CGGTGGCATACTCGTTGCCGTTGGCTCTGTCCTCCAGGCAGCTGTGGAATGTATCTTTATCGGGATGATTGCCCATCTCCATAACCGTTGTGTTCGAGCCAACATGCTCACCAGCAAAGTCCGCACCGTCTTCATCATGCTTTACGGTACATCAGGTCTTGTCTTATTCCGATCTATCTTCCGTGCCATCGAGAAGTTCAGCACCCTCAACGTCATTTCTACCGGCCAATGCGATGGAGTCTGTGATGCTGTTCTAAGACACGAGTGGTACCTATATGCCTTTGAAGCAGCTCCCATGGTTCTATACACCTATTGGCTTAACATAGTTCACCCTGGGAAATATCTACCCAACAAGACTACCGTCTACCTTGGATTCGACAAGGAAGAATACGAAGGGCCCGGCTGGACCGACAAACGTTCGAAGTGGGAGACCTTCGCTGACCCATTCGACCTCAAGGGGGCCATTAATGGACAAAAAGAGCATGAGAAGTTCTGGCTCCTGTCTCAAGATGGCACTCATCCCAAGTATCACAATGAGCTACAGGCGTAATTTATCATTTGCTATCAGTGCGTTTCTTTTATCATAGATTTGGTGCTTTGGTGGCGAACTTAGTACGTGTATATATACCTTTTCTAGAATTTTTAGATTTTTCTAGCAATGACAACGCTAATATAGTTATTTCTCCTTTTCAAGTGCTTTACAACTGCGATTAATAAAATATGAAACACCTTTTTCCCCTTTCCCACTCCAGACTATTGCCGAACCACCCCTAAACATTTCCTTTCAACAATGGATCTCCTACTTCATCACTCTCCCAGATCCTCAAATAAACTTATAATACCCCATAGATCTTCAACTGACAACAGCTAGAGCACTAGTCCATTGGCCCATAACCAGGGGATGAAGGATAATCCCGTCCTCCAATATCTTGCCCATACATCCCAGGCGTTGAGTCCCCAATTATATCACTCCTCGTACGACGAAGCATTGTCAACCCAACGCACACCAAGAGGCAAAGTATAGTCACCGTCCAGTGTAAAGCTAGAGAGACAGGTCCAGCTTTAACCGTATGTGCGCATCCGAAACCAACAGCGAATACGCCACTCACTTCTGTGATTGCAAGTGCAGCTGCTAGAGTAAAAGCGCAAGCACTGTATGCACACCCAAGTGAGGCCTGACGGAAGAAGTTCTGGCGGCGTCTAGAATCTCTCTTCATGGGCTGTTTGCGTGTTCGTTTGGAGCTGTGGGACCGGAGTAAGTCGAACATGAGGCCGGAGCAGAATAATGCCACTGCCACCAAGAGTACGTTGGTAAATACCACAGCTTGAAGTTTGATGGCTTCATTGACGGCTGATTCGGGGAGAATTCCCTGGACTTCTCTGGCCAGACGTTTCCTGATGGTGTCGGGAGACGAGAATGCAATTGATGTGCATCTAATCTCAGAATATGTTTTCACGCAGATGCCTGATATTCATTGTATATTATTAGCATACAACCCTTAATAATATACAATGAGAGAAATAGATACCAAAATATCCCACACGAACAGCGTCGCCATTATTAGTCTGCACTTCGGCGAGGTATATACCAGGAAGCCCGACTGTACTTCCAGCAAGGAGCAGAGCTAAATGCCGAGTCAGTATGAAATTAGAGAAACAATCAGGGGGACGAGCTGACAATATAGAACCAAAGGAGGAATAGCTAGAAAGAAGATTCCAATTTTCGTGGTGATTCCTGGAAGTGAGGGTGCCATTGGAAACAAGGTTGATAGTGTATAGATATAACAAACTGACGAGGTTCTCAAGGAGGAAATTGGTCAATCAGTATCAAAACTAATAGGGGGATATTCTTTGATGTGATATATCTTCTCTATCCAAAAGAGTGTCCATGACGGACAATTATATACTCTCAATTCTTTGATACCCTTCGGCAGCATCTAGATCTGCCAGTTACAGCTAGATCACGTAAATTGGATTATATTTAGAAGTCTGAGCAGTTTCAGTTGACGCCAGATTTAACTGACAACAGCATATCCTGGCCCCTCGGAGGATAATGGTCTTCTCGAAAATCCCTAGAGAAGAATACCCTGCGTATGCATGAGCACATCCTCTCGATATCTTGCCGTGTCCACTGGGCGCTTATTTAGTTTTGCGGCTCCGCATTACTTTTGGGCCAACAACATCCAAACATCAACCTTAACTTTGTGTTGGAAATGGCGAAATATAACATATTCTATAAAAATAGGTGGCTATGCTGGATTCACTCCCGTTTGGCATATCAATGGGGCGAAACAACCCTGTCATATTACACTTAGTGGTCGCTGATGGGCTTAATTCTGTAGTATGTATCTTGCTCATACAGAGTCAGCCTTTCAAGAGACTAACTCTCTGGCAGGCTGTCTACCACCTATCTTTGCTTAACACTAAATTATCCTTGTGAATAGCCAAATTCCAGAGTCATTCGGTATCCGATCGCCTTGATGCTTATCCTACCGGCTCAGTAAATGCGTGTGTACAGGTGCTAGAGGTAAATGATCTGTACCCTGCATACCTACATCCAGGATAGTGACAACTGACACCAACTCTCGCTAAGTTATGCCAGCGAGCATCTCTCTTCCAATGGTTTGGGCAGGTGGCGCTAAATTAGGAGAAGTATGCAGTTCTGGCATGCATTACCACGCCCCCATGTCTGAACAACCTTGCACTCCCATCTCAAGGCATATATAGATCTGGCGCTTAGCTATGCACGGCTGCAATGACCTTCTAAATCTATCACTGTCGTCAATGCCTGCATCGTATACGGAGTAACGATCCATGACAGCCACTCATTCTCCCCACATCGGACTGGTACGGAGTCGGTGTAAGACACCTTTCGCCAGTATGTTAGATGTTGGACTCTCTTTGCGATCGTTGCATAAAAATATCACTGAGCCGTCACTTACTTAGTGTCATGGAGCATGGGAAAAGACCTGGTTATTTCTCTCGCATTTTTACTTGCTAATTATTCTTCCAAGTTACCTTGCGTGCAATCCCTTTTGATATTGGGCCTCTGCCACTGGGCATAGAAGGCATCAGCCTTCCTCCCTCGTTTGCAGTAAAGTCTACAAGAACGAGGCTCTCTGGCTCCGAATGTCGTTCAAGAAAACTTTCACTTTCCGCCGCGATTCCCCACGTCAACGGCGCTAAACGAATTCTCCGGCCAATCGGAGTCTAGCTTGGCTGAGACGCGGAATCGCTAGTTAGTTAACTGGTTTGCTGCCTTGTTAAATTTTGCGGCCACGGAGCGACGTCAACTCTCGACTCGCTGCATGAACAAATAAAAATGAGCGTTAGGACCACTTACTCTACGTTTGGGATGAGCATACCCATATTTCTATACCGCCTACTCCATCCCCTAGTTTCCGAAAAAAGCAGGACGTGATTCTGACAAAAAAGAATTTCCAATAACCCTTGTGGCATTTCGAGCCTTCCGGAATCCAATGAGGGACTATTGTCTGAAATGCATTGCTGAAAACCGGGACATATTTACCATTAAAGACAAGTTCTCTGGAATCCAGCTATGTCAAGCCGTGGTCTCACAGATTTACTTTCTCCAGTTTCATAACTTGGATACTGGCTTTCCTCCAGTTGATCTAGATATAGATCACGAGGAAGAACGAACATGTCCCGATGGTATATCATTTAGCCGCCCACGTCCCACCTTGAAAGCTGAGGGTTGGGTCCTGTCTACCGACTCGGAAACAGCAGGCTAGGAAGATGATGAATGTAACCAAGTACCTTTGTCTACACTAGGAACCACCATTTTTCCGGCCACTTTCGTTTACAGGGGTGCTGGTCAACTTGGCAACTTACAATGTCACTATTCGAAGCAGTTTTCATCCTTGAACAGTTATTTAGCTACATGCCAGCTCTATTATTGGTTTCGATTAGGTCGAAGAGACTTCATCAGAGCGTCTCCCAGGTAAGAACATCAGCGAAGCGGCCTCGGTGAAAAAGAACCCCATGATGATCGATAGTACAGCTACGCAGTTTATGAAATGGAGCGTTGAGTTCATTGAATTTGAGATGGCTGATATCCTCAGGCTATTGGTGCATTAGGCCGATCCCGTCAAAGAGCTGTTACTGCATATTGAGATAAAAAAAGCCAGTGGGCATATCATGGTCACTGACGATCAAGCGGCTGGCGAACGAACGGTGGGGACGAAGATCGCCAACTTGACTAGGTCTCGAAGGAATGTTGCAAACCCCAAAAGCCCTGTAACTAAGACCAGTCGAGACTGGAACGACTCCCAGCTTAGGCTCTGCTATGCTGATCACCGGCTTGGGGATTCTCAAAAAGTCAGAAGCCTAAGCCAAGGGATCACCCGTCACCATTTCGGCGATATTGTCATGGTTTTTTTTTCCTGTTAATATTCGAGCCCGCAAGCACTTCGGGACTCCGTGCGAATTCCCGCCGTCATTCAAGTATACAAACCGCGCCCCAGAACTTATGCCGTGTGACACCCACCGGGACCATGTTTAGCTACCTGTCACGAGCTTGGCCGTGGAAGCATAGGACCAAATCATCTTCAAGCCTCTTGTTACTTTGTCCAACGCCTTTTTCTTGTCACTGGCGGGGTTGGTCACTAGTTACACCCTGTCATCTTGTGATGCTGTCTATACAGATAGTGCAGAGCTATACCCCCGCCGCCTTATATAGCATTGCAGCACCAGATGAACGATTATTCTCTAACAACAATGTGATTTTGTACATTCATGCTTCATGCGCTTATGACAAGTAGGACAAGCCAGTTTGTGATGAAGCCCGGCGATACATACCTCTCCTCCTCCACTGAATTATCGCAGGCAATGAACAACATAAAACGGGGCCATGAACCCCCCGGGTTTCCGCTACACTTAGATGTGAGCGCAGGATACGTGCCAAGCTCTGAGGATTCGGATATAGCTGGGCATTCGGCATATGGTGGCCTACTGAGAACTGTGGCTAAGAAGAGATCACCATGAAGTTGCTTCACTTTACCATCCTCCTCCAGGTGTCCCTGTTCCCGGCAAGCTCCCTTGCGCAGGCAGGTGGAAACAATACTGAAGTTCAAGTCCAACAAACGCTTCCTGGTTGGTTGCTATCTCCTTGTCCTTCCCACCGCTACTCACATCCTCTTGGCAGGATGAAGATCGTGGAATGATGCAATAACTATAGAGGAAGACTGTCTGACTCCTCTCTGCTAGGTACCGGAATCGCTGCCGTCAACTCTGTTAATTTACTACGGATCTATAGCCAAGATACTTCGGGTGGCATCCGGGAGGCCAGATTTGAAGGCTATTGGAGCGGAGGCCTCGCAAATGACACAATCGCAAAGGCCAGGGCTAATTCGTCAATTGCTGCCGCCTCCGATGATCTCGAGCTGGTAGGTGACATGTTCTTTGGATATGAAGTACAAGAGTTCTTCTAGCACTAACTTCCTGCTTAAGATCCGCGTTTACTATCTCTTGCCAAACAACACGCTGGGCGAAGCTGCATCTGATTCCCAAAGCCGGTGGTATACCGGTTCGCTTAACCAGTATAATTTTCAAGTTGCATCTCATTCAAGGCTCGCTGCAGTATTTGTTCCCAGCACCCAACGTCCTCGATTGCGCATATATGCCCAGCTAGGAGACAATACTATCCAGGAATTTGGATATGACGGTAAGCAGTCATGATATTTGGCCCCATCTCGCTCCCCAGTATCCCCGTTATCTCAGCTAGAGCCGATGTTTGCTAATTATTTGAAAGTTGGTCGTGGATGGCAACGTCTGGCCAACTTTGGTCCTGCCTTACCAGGCACAGGTATAGCCGCTCTGACGTATACTACAGGTCTACGAAGATCAACCACTCGGTACGCCCCGTGTTTTTATTCATTATCGTCATCTTACGAATCAGTTTACCAGTCCTTCCCTAAATTGGCCGAGACTAATGGTATATTTAAATTTCTCTTCCTTTATAGAGTTTATTTCCAAACCACAGACCGCCGTGTTGTGGAAAGGGTCTATGATAACCGGTCGTGGAGTGATGGGGGTACCGTAGTACGAACGGCCAAGCCACGCACCCCCTTAGCTGCCACCAGCTTCCTACTTACTCCGGGAAACCCGCAAAGCGTCCGAGTGTACTATGGCACTGAGGACAATCGCATCCTTGAAAAAGGGACTGAAGGCGGTACTTACTGGTATGATGGCGCATTTGAGCATTCAGCCATTCCTGATTCCCAAGTGGCTGCCGTGGACTGGGGAAATGGCGGCGTGTTCAACATCAGGCTTTATATCCAAGATGGGGCCTTTAAGAACGGGATAAGTGAATGGGCTTGGTTCCGCCGTTCATGGCGCCGAGGGATCCTTGCAATCCCACCCGCATAATTTTGTGCCAGAATACCTAATTACTCTAATGATAAGAAAGGATTTGATGAATGACGTGGTAACTAGTCAACAAGTATAAGCCAAGTTGGTGAGATTAAAGGAGGATAGTTATACCTATAATATCGCAGATAAATCATAAGTTACCATATTAATCCGGTGCAGTGACGAAGTTAGCTCCCCCCAACGGATATATATCTGAGACCCTACGGAGTACGTCTATCCCAATAATTCTAAGGGATGCGAACGTTGAGTTATATAAGCTAAACTATTGATTGAACAAGGAATTGATAGGCATGCCAAGTTATGCGGAGTAATCTGTTACTCCTGGTGAGATTGATAACTCCTTGGCATATTCTGTGACAATCTATGCAGATCTACGGGTAGACTAGAGAATAGTGTGGGGGGATGTTTTACTAAGAGCATTGTGGAAAAATTGCTATAAGGACTTCATTGATTTCGTTAAACGCCCTGATTTTGCAGTTGCAGATAGGAATAAGAGATATAGGCAATAAAAGAGTACAGGAAAAAAAAATAACATAGGAAAGAAGAGGAAGCTATATGGTAACAAGTGACCGAGTGTTTTAACAGTCAAGTCGGGGTATCTATCAGTTTTGGCTTTGATTGCTGAAGGGTTGTCAAGTGGAATAGGAGTGATTTAGTCGGCGTCCAAGTTAGCGACTGGAGCGTTGTCATTGACTTGGATACCACCACGCTTCTTCTCGTTGGTGTCCCAGAATGGGAGGTTCCAGCCACCCTCGTCCTCAGGGGTAGAGAGCCAGAGTCTCATGAGGTGGCGGCGAGGAGCTGGTGGTGGGAAGTCCTTGTAGGCAGTACGGGCGTGGAGGACCTGGGAGTTGGAGAGGAACTGGATGTCACCAACATCGAGAACCATGTGGAGGGAGAGGCGGAGGCAGGTGGCCTCAAGGACTTCCATAGCCTCGATCTGCTCTGGGGAGAGCGGTGGGATGATGCCTGCATCGGAGAAACGGCTAAGGGACTGAACGTAGTAAGGGTCCCATCTAAAGAAGCATTGTTAGTTATCTAGACTTCGTAACAATATCTATAACGTTTGAATATGTATCACGAATGACGTAGACTTACTTGGTATAGACGCGGCCTCCCTTGGGCTCAAGGTACATAATGGCAGCTCTGATGTACTCCTCTTCGCCAACGCTAACCTCACCCTTACGATCAACGTACCAGTTGGGCTTGGTCAAGGTCTCCAGGACATCAGGGCGCTCCTCAGCGAGGACATTGTAGACGTGGTGAGAGGAGATGATATCTGACTCGCCACCCTCGAATGCCTTGGCCACGCAGAGCAGGCCAACGATGTCACAGTCATCGGTGTGGAAGAATTGTCTGTTTAGGCCATGTTAGTTTCCGACCCCTGATCACCCGTAAATTTAAATCGGAACTGGGCAAACTTACCTAGCGTTGGTTCTGTAGATACGGACTTTGTCGATCTTTCCAGAGTCTTCGCCAAGATCCTTAACGTGTCCCAGAGCATGGCCACGGCTGTTCTGGCTGACGAAGTATCCAAGATAGGTTCCGAGACCCATGTAGGCAATGGCAGCCTTGCGGGTTCCCCATTCCTGGACTGGGAATCCCTTGAAGAGGATGAATCCCTTGCCATCAATGATATCCTTTCTCAAGACTTCGAGGAAGCTGGCGAACTTGGGAAGTCTGAAGTTGTCCTATAATTCAATATATCAGAAAACCCGTCCTTTCTAGAATATACAAAAACCAAACAAAAAGGTAGGTGGAAATATCTTACCTTGGATATGGCAGTCAGGGGGATGCCAGAAGCAACAAAGGCATCGGCAGCAGCGCTCATCTCGGCGCATTCCTCCTCAGTGAAACGATGGGTCCATTTTTCGGGATTGTTCTTGTAGTCCTCAGCCTTCCAGACTGTTGGGCCGGTGATTTTCTTGGGGAAGTCAGAGAATGGTCTGATCTGGTCGTAGAGAGGGGGCTGCTGGCCGGTGGTCTTCAAGCCATCGGGGAAGATATCGAGAGAGACTGCAGGCTTCTGGGGAGTGGTGGTCTGCGTAGCAGGAATGTCGTAGGTAACGGGGGCCATTGTGACGGATGGTTGATGGAGGAGAAGAGGGTGAAGTATAGAAGGGAAGGGTTGAGATCTGGGGTATAGAGAGCCGATCAAGAGTCAAAGTTATAGACTAAAGGCGGGAGAGTCTGATCACTAGCTTTTTGCTTGTGTGCTTGCGTGCTTATGAGGGAAAGTGATGAGCTGTTGAGTTTGGTTTGAGAGGAATAGTTCTAGACGAAATGGAATCTTCCATCTCCCTTATATAGCTTTCTCTTCGGCGTCATCCTCAACGGAAGAAGATGAACGATCGGCTTTGCCCAGCTTGCCGAGCCCGTTGTGTCTGTTTCGAAGAGCTGGACACCCCGTTTCCAAGGGGTTGAGACCGACTGCAACACTCTAGGCAAAAGATTACACCACAACGGGCCGCAGGTAGGAGTGTTGGCGCAAGGATGATGCACACAAAGGCCTTGCTAATTGCGAGATCGCCTATCAGATCATGACATCTCGGCGATAGAGGACAAATGAGGTCGGAGCCAATCCGCATCCTCAGAACCGCCGCTGAGTGGGTATGGATTCCCGCCGTGTCGGCGATTGGCAAGTAGCAACTTCAAGGTACGTCGGGTCCTGAAGTCTATGATCAGACAGTGGACATGGGGGGTTACACCCTGCGACACCCAAGTCGGACTAGCAAACGATCCCCAGCTGGTTGTCATCGAAGTTAATTCCCAGCTTGCACTGCCTGTTCTGCTTTTTTGTCTGCCTTTTTTTTGCGGCTAGTATGGTAAAGTAGAGTTGTGTATATGGTTCGGCCATACAGGCGTCGCTGCACACTGGCCAAAGTCTCACGGCGGATGGAAGGCTAATGTCGCAATTCGGCAGGCAAGCTGCGCCATGGCATAAAACCTCCCCCTAAAATACCCTCCCTCCGTCAGCAGGATCCGGAGAATGGGAAACCAAACCACACTTAATCTTATCGATCTCGGAACCCCTTCTCCACGCCTCACGCGATGGAGATTTGACTCGAGGCGTTTTCCCCTACACTTGGCAGTAGTGAGATTCGTCAAAACAGCTTCGGGTTGAAGGAGTTTTAACCAAGGCGGCGAAAAGAAAAATCTCCCACCACCGAACGGGGGCCCGTCGAGCCGACAATGCTTCGTATACTCGGGACGAGAGACTGAGACCACGCTACTGCGTGATGCGCGGCTTCTTGAAACAAGCTTCTTCTCGGTGAATCGCAGCGGCAAAGAGTCGCGCCGAGTGCCCAGAACCCTTCCGCCGTTGTTGCAGCTGTTACAGCTGGTTCGTAAACATAGAATGCGATAGAATAATACTGGAGATTCCCCGTTCTCCTCTCCTTTCTTTTTCCCTCTCTCCTCCTTTTGACCATGCTCTGCAGGGAAGGCCGGCATTGGGAGGGAAGTAAGCTGCTTGCTGGGCAAGCTTAGCCGCTGGTAGCCTCTGGACACGATATAAAATACTTAATGAAACCAGGGATCCAGCCCTGTCGAGTTTTGACACATTTTGCCGTCAACCGGCGCAGGGATCCTGACAGCCAAGGGACCCTGTCTTGATGTGATCCATATGTACATACCAGTTGATAGATATGAGCTGAACCGTTGTCTCTTGCCGTCGCCGATGGGCTCCGGGACAAAACACCCATGGTCCAGATCAAAACGTCCAAGATATATTGAACGGCTCAGAAATACGAAGTAAATTGCTGGTTTTATTATCAGCTTGAATCCAATACTCCTAAAACGAGCAAAAAAGTCAAAGCAAATAGGACTGATTCGCGCTTCGTTATCTAAGTTGCCGTTTTTCATGCAAGGCAGCCTGGCCCGGCCTAAGCACTATGTGGTATGTGTGGTCGACTGCCCAAACGAGCAGTATGTTGGCAGCAGTTGGCCGAGTTATGCCCGTAATAGTGATCAAAAAGAGTTCAAGAATCTAGGTACAAAAAAAAAGGAATTCGGCGATGTTGGGAAATGCCGAACTCTCGGCTGTTTGTCCACAGGAAATTGCCAAGCTGCAAAGGAATGGTGATCTTGCTCCGACATCCAAACCGTATGGTAACGACCCTGGGCGGTAGTTCCCGTTCGTTGTTTGTTGAGCATTTCTCTAGCTTTGAAAACTACAGGATGGCACAACGAACGTCAACGTAGACAGTCTTCTTATTCCCCTTCCTCCCAGGCTGCCGGAACCAACAAACGTCCGACTCAACCATTCTGGTCAGATTCCGGTCATATTTACCCTTTAAATGGCAGACTGGACACGTCTTCTCCGCGGCCAGTATAGGACCTCCAGCATCAAAGGGCAGGATGCCTTTGGTTTTGAAAACTTTGCATTTAGAAAATCCGGGGTCTTTGGCGCACGGTTGACCGATAACTATCCAACGGTGGTTGCAGTTTGGGGACTTGAAATAAACCGTTCGACACATGTCTCGGCGTTATAGGAACCAGTTCTTCCAGAGAGGGTTGTGACTACTGCAAGGCGATATCCTGTCGGACCTGGACGGATCCTAAAACGATGTTTCTTTTCCTGGTAAGCGAGAGCAGCCTTCGTGTTGTATCGTCTAGCATCGTCGGGCATACGGTTCGAGGGCCCAAGCATTCCCTGGACAGATGAACGGACGGGCGGACAAGGGTAGCGGAATACACTTGGAGCCTGGGAGGCCATGTCTAAAAGACTTTATATAAGTATAATTTATTCCGTCAAGCAACCGTTGAGGCATCTCATTCACACCTCTTCGAGTCTAGTTTTAGCAACAGGGTCAGCGTGAACAAGGCGACCTCCGGGTGCCTCGCCCTGTTGGGAGGGTGTCATTGAACATTTGCATTTACTAATGCGGGTAATCATGAATCGCCTTTATTGCTATCCCCGTCTCCCTTTCTGATTGTCTGCATAAGCTCGTATAGTTGACCAAGTTGCTGATCTGTTTGAGGCAGTCATCATCAGCTACCAGGTAACATTTACACTCGAAGTAGTATGGATAATTTACCGCTCATTTTGTCAATCTTCGCCTTATCGAGCTTTCCATCTGCCCACGAATCGCCTTCAAGCTGCTGAGCGTAGAGTTGCCACTCTGTCAAAAACCCGATCTATAATAGGTGGTTAGTGAATTGTTCCAATCCCCTTGTAGCTGATCGGAATAATCCGGCGGACAAGGGCGCCATCTTACAATGTGGATGGGATTTTCCACATTTCGATGGGCTCGGAATTCGCTCTTCACGTACGAATCCCCCAGAAACCGCAAATCAGTAGGAAGTTTTTTCCGGTGAGCTCGTAGTATGCGTCGATATAGCGGGATGGGAGGTAGCAGAGCCATTGGCGTTTGTCTTAGTGCCGAACCAGAGGAAATTGACGAAGAACTCGCCAAACGAAGCGGCAGGGAGGGCCTCATGGTCGTTTGCCCTTGTAGCTGTCCAGATGAACGATCAAGCGCGTTTCTTCTGTTGATGTTGAAGCTGTTGAAGCTGTTGAAGTTGAAGGAGTTTTGCTTCCTTTTTCCGCTCTCGTTAAAATAAAAAACATGCCAAGACTTGTCACATGGTTGATTTTTGATCTGATAAGACAAAAGAGTTTTAATTCCAAATATTATTGAGGACCAAAGATGATGTTTGACGTTGACAGGACATCGCCAGATGATAATGAATAAAGAGATGTTGGACATATTGGCCGCTGCTATATGCTAGAATAAAGAGAATAATAGTCGGCCACAGAGTTAGCTTAGGGATGTTGCCCACTCCGTCGACCTCGCATGTGGCCTTCGACACAATCTACGAACCAGCAGAAGACAGTTATCTCTTCCTTGATACCCTATCTGACATCGATGAGTCCATATGGCTCTCTGAAAGATTTAGCCCGGGAGCATCTGACCAGGGAAGTGGTCCTCTTCCAACCAGTACCACGTCTCCATCGCCAGTTGTCGTTGAAGTTGGGACAGGCTCCGGAGTGATCCTCGGATTTCTTGCTGCAAACTGCAAGGCAATTCTAGGAAGATCCGACATACTAACAATAGGCACTGATGTGAATCGAAAAGCGTGCAGTGCAACTCGACAGACTGTCAAAGTTGCCATCGCAGACAATTACTCGGTGGAAAATTTCAGAGCTACGCCAGCAAACAAGGAGAAAACGAATGCAGAGGCGCCAAAACCAGTTCAACCCCTTGCTGTGATTACAGGGGATCTCTGCTCTCCATTGCGCCCTGGTATGGTTGATATCCTCTTATTCAACCCTCCATATGTACCAACTCCAGAGCTCCCACATCTCCCTTCGTCGTCAGAGGTCACCTCTAGTGCAAGCGGGATGTCCAAATTTGAAATTGAATCTTATTTTTTATCTCTCACTTATGCTGGAGGTGAACATGGAATGGAAATTACGGACCGGTTGTTGGATTCAATTCCTCATGTTTTGAACCCTGAGCGTGGGGTAGCCTACGTCTTGTTATGTGCGCAGAATAAACCCCAAGAAGTCATGGACCGGATTAATGGGTGGGGAGACGGCTGGAAGACAGAGATAGCTGGTAGAAGTGGTACGAAGGCTGGATGGGAGCGACTAGTTATCATCAGGATATGGAGGAATTGACGCCAGATATAAAAAAAAGTATCCGGCGACCAGGGTCTTGAAAATCGCTGTATATCGCAATGAATATACTTAATGTGAATAGATCAGTTGGATGTTCTTCAATGTTACTTCAGATCATTGGATGCTATACATTAAATTAGGCCTCTGGTTGTAGTTGAAATGAATCCTCGATCATCCCCCCAAGTGAAAGAGGGTCCCAATCTGTAGGTAGCGGCCCAGGTATTAGGGAAGAAGACTATATAGGTCTCTGGTTCTCATGCCATTTCCCTTTTTCATGAAACCGTACAAGCTTATGTTTGAGATATTCCTGCCGTCTCTCCTTGCCATCACTGGGCATATTTTTTTGCAGCAGAACGCCAAAACCTGGATTAACAGCATTACAAAGTCAACACGCCCCAACAGACACTTAGAATCCACGGCCCCGGCCACGCCCTCTACCGCCTCCTCGTCCACCTCGTCCTCTGGGGCCACCTCTGCCACCGCCGCGCCCACCGCGGTCACTTTCCTTTCGTGCCTTGTTCTTCGGTTTAGGTTGGTCATCGACAAGTAGGGTATCAAGAGGGAGACTGTCGGGTAGGATGTAATATCTTATGGTGGAACCGCGTATGTTTATCGAATCGAGGGAGATGGGGTCACGGCCCTTGGGGGTCATCTTGACAGTGCGCAGCGCGGTATTCATTTGCGGGGAGACAGAAGCTATTGTCCCATGGAGGATGGTTCCTACGGGTAAAAGCTGTTAGACTAATTGAGACATTCCCACGCAGTTGAGTTTTAATCCGTATTTAACGCAGTGTGCGCCTCGATCTCCGTGGTATTGAGAAATCGCAAAGCTCGCTCTGGGGCGTCTGTCCATCAGCGGTACACATCGCTTGACCACTCACCATTCTTTAGTTCAATTGTAACGGTCTCATTTGCACATTTCATAAGAAACCTATACGCATAGATAAATCATTAGCTTCGGTCTCAAAGAGCTTCGAGTCCTATAATCCTGGCCCAAGCCAGTCGCGCACACATACCTGACAAGCTTCATCTTGAAAATATAAAATTAGCAGCTGGCACGTGTACACAAGTTGAGAAGGGGACCACAGTTTTGGCAAAAATATGGCAAAATAATGAGAATCCCTAATATAGCCAGAGATATTGAGTCTGCAGAGTTGATGATTTGGTCTGTTGATATCTTTATTTGACTGACTGAAGCTTCAAAAAGATCTTATCAGTCACGTGACCTGATGGGAGCTGATGCTGATTGGGCCAAGATTATCACTGATCAGGCAAGTTCCAACTTCACCTCTTCTTCTTCTATTGCTTCTTCCTTGCTATAATTACAAGAGATACCCCTAGAGACTTGGAAGAATTCTCTGTTTAATATGCTAAAGATGCAATGTAATACCTATAGAACAAGAGGTCATGGCCTTTATGTATTATACCAAAATGTACGATGACTTACAGTATAAATCGATATATCTATACTGTATTTTGAGAACTATACTATGAAAAAATAGTATAGATCAAGGATGCTCTTGGACCATATCCCCTAATACCCCTTTAATGTTATCTTACTACTTATTCAAAGCCTTATTCAATTCCGAGTATTTAACCTAAGGTGATTCTGCGCTTTTGGTAAATAGAGATACAACTCTTTATTAAACATTGCATTAACTGGCTGTCTACTAGCGTGGGCTTACTAGCGCGAACTCCTTTTCGCACAGTCAATTTTAATAGATATAAAGTCTGGATGGTGTGTCTTTTGCACAAAATTACTACACTACAAGACTCCCAGTGTGTGCTCACTCTTTTGGCTCAGTTGTTTTGATATTTTATGTTTCCTCTAACAAGAGGAATCTAAAGAAGAATATATATGTTAAGCTTATACTATAAGGTAATACTTTCACTTCTCCTGTTATCTATATCCCAGACTCCAAGTCACTGTTTGGTTAATCCAAGCGTCATGACTTCAATATTTGGCGACTAAGCATGAAAATTATCACACGATGCGATGTGAGGAAATCTGTCTTCATGTCCTCTTCTCCTTTCTTCTTCTTCTTCTTCTTCTTTCCTGTTCTTCTTTCTCTCCTATACCAGACCATCTTCCTCTGTTTTACCTCGACAGATTGTGCCTCGATTACGTTCTTCAAGTACTTGTTCTCACACAGCCGTTGCCCGTTCCCTTCTCCTTCATCTATTTTGCGTGCGAACACTCCGGTCTTCAATCATGAGTGATATTGACTTCATTCCAGCCACTATATCAGGTGTCACCTCGACTCTGGGGGCCCTGGGTCTTTCTGTTGATACCCCAGAGTCGAGGTTCGAGCTGCTTGCAGCGGAGCTGCTCAGCCAAATATTCGATTATTTGGGCACAGACGATATCAGCAATGTCCGCCTAACTTGTCGGGTATTCGCCAACGCTTGCATTCGATACCTGCCCAGAAAGTGTGCAGTTAGCTGCACCAAGGCCAGTCTTGAGAGGATCGAGTATATTGCCTCACCCCCACTCATCTCTCAACGCATCCAGTCTCTTACGGTAGACTGCAGCCAATTTTGGACCCTCGTTCACGGACGACCAAACCAATCATGGGATTATATACCTGCGGTTGGCCCTGAAGAATTTCCGTGGTGTGAAGCATACAAGAGGATATGGGAAGAGCAGAGACAGATTAAACAAACTGGAAAAGACAACGATATCATTTCCCGGGCTATTCCACATTTTAAGAATCTAAAATCTGTCCGCCTCTGCATGGGCCGATTCAGCGAAGATGGACGTTTGCACCGGGAAACTTACAACTCGGCGTTGGAACACTTCAGCTTTTCCTATGATAGCCCTGTTTCTTGCAGCATTCTTCAGTATCTAATGGTCATGGAACCTTTGCGTGATGCGGGAATCAAGGTGGAATCTCTCGAGTTACTCGATGTTTCTTATGGGATATTCTACCCTATCAGCCAGATAATAGGGGGAATGGAGGCTAATTTCGAGCATCTTACCAACTTGTCCATTCGCGTTCAAGTTCACCCTGACAAAGTGATGAACTCTGCAGAAGGGAAACCAGAGCTTGGACGGGTTCTATCTTACGGCGTGCTGGCAGGATACCTTGAAGCAGCTACACGCTTACGTTCCTTGTCACTCTCATCCAAGGATGACCATGGAGGGAGAATGATGGTTTCCGACAACGCATTCTCTTCGAATATCACTTGGGAGCATTTGCATACACTCACACTCGATAACGTCTGGATCGCAGAGGATATACTAGTTGGTTTAGCTACCCGCCACAGCAAGACGCTGAAGAACTTGACGCTGCACAACATTATTCTCTGCGGTTCGTGGTTCACTGCCTTTCCCGCCATTCGTGAGATTTCTTCTCTTGAAAAGGCAGTTGTTTATGGGTGGATTGGAAATCCAGTGGGTGAATACGCCCGGCGTGAACACTGGAGACTTGGTGTCTATCCCGATAGAGAGTTCGACACACCTTGGGGAGACGACGCAAGAGAGCACAGGCTTGGACTCCAGGTTGCATCGTTCCTGTGCAGAGACCCAGGGGTGATTGCACTGCCGTTGAATTATTCAAACATGACTAGGCACTTTTGAGGAAATGCAGAAAGCAGGAGCATGAGCCGTCAACTTTTTGCTGTCGATCAGTTCCCTGCATTTCAATGTTAATTCACCGAGACAAGATTTGATCCCTGCGAATATGCCAAATATACACATACACGTTGTGTTTACCAGGAGTCGGAGATAAGCCCTGCTCAATGCATGCTGCCACGATGGAGGAGGGCAACCTTGTTGCTCAACCGTCTTACTTGAAAGCTCCAATGGTCCTATCAGCATTGAAAGTACCCTAGACGTGGAAAAAAAGGGAAGATAAAAGCCACGGAAAAAAAAAAAAAAATTTGAGATCGCCATAAGAATTTGTCATGCCCACAGGAGACCAGTCAGAGCCTAAGAGCCTCCAACTTGACAAATACCCCATGCATTATTCGTATCCGTGCCAGTTAGCCTGTTCAGGTGTATGTATGTCAAGACTCATTCGAACCTAAATAAGAACAAAAGAAAAGGATTGAAGACTCCTATCACATCCTCGCGAGCCGTTCATCAAAAGCTTAAGAGAGGGTTAATAATAAGACCATCAGTAATCACTTTATTACCGACCAGCCGCTTAATTTTACCATCTGCTAGCCTTACCGTGGTAACACAGCCTTCCCATGTCCTGTTAGTGTCTCCAAACCCATCAATCAAGTTCCTATCCGGCCGGCGGATAGAAGGGAGGGCCCCCCCGATAGCGCATGGTTTAACCCCATATAGCCTCCTGAAAGCATGGCCAGGGGTGAGTGCGACCCTGAGCCAGGCGGAGCCCTGGTCGATTCCTGGGCTGTGACTCGTTGCACTCCAGCAGTCCACTGGGACGGTCCAGGAGATTAACTTGCAACAACTATACATGCATGTGTGAGCTGTGACTGGGTTGTCGCACAGAGGAGCTGGTACATAACTGCTTGGTCGCATGGCGTGCACATCCATCCCCCCTTTTGCATTGACGAACCTGTAATTTGGCTATATGGAACTCCGTCTGGAGTAAACAAAACTGGCTTATCCAGAAAATACTCCATACTTTCCTCAACACATATGAGTCTGGGAGAATCTGTGGAGCGCACTCCGCAGCCCATTCTGCTCCACACTAGTTACTCATCCATTCAGATACTATGGCCAGTAGTGTTTTCGCATGGGCTTGTGTGGATGAAAGCCGAGGGTTATTCCACCTCCTGAAAATGATTAGTAGCAAAATAACAAAACTATACTTAACTACGACATAAGAAGTAATAGACACAAGAGTTCTCGGGGAGGAAAACGGACATGTTCGGAAATGGGCTCCAGGTGGGCGTCCGAGATGGTGGTCGACTGTAGCTCTGCATCACTCGGCTTCGGAGGCTAAGGAAACAAAATGAGCAGCCCATCCGGAGTTAGAGCAGATCAGATCTCCGAGGCAAGAGCATGTGGTGGGTGGACCGAGTTGGCGGTTAAGCAGCTTCTGTTGACCGTGGGGTGAAGTTGAAGAGTGGACGGGACGGACGAAGCAAATAATACGAGCCCAAGGGGGCCAAAAGAAAAGCATGCTTTAGTTCTAGATCTGGCACCTGGTCGACAGCGTGCATGCTTTCGAAAGTTGGAGCAGAAATAAGAAAATCTCCCACCAAAATATGAAAAATTAATGACGAGGAGGCCTGGAAAGAGCTGTCATGGCTAAACCTGAAAGGGATAACGCTGGGCGTTGCCGTCTATCCAGATTGATGCCAGGGCGGGTGGAGGAGACATGGGGAGGGCATGGGGGAGTCTCCAGGAGATGGGGAAATAACTGGCCAGGGAGTTTAAGACAGGCAGTCTTCCAGAACCACGCGTGAGGATACAGCTTTACTGCCTTAATACAGGAACTATTGGCTGGCTCCCTGGGCAGTCAAGCAGAAGGAGGGATGGGAGGGTGAGGATTATCTGCATCATTATTATTCCATGAAGAACAGATCACCCTTGGCAGGAGAGAAAGAGGCATGACGAACAACCACAAGACACGAAACAGCCGCCGAGACAATGGCGTTCGTATTCCTGCGTACAGCCCTCTGAGCCCTCTGAGGAGATCGAGGACGACGTCGTACCACCCTCACGCAGAGTGTAAGTAAGTCGAGTCGGGAGCCAACTACTGGTTCAGCGTGTCGATATCCCCATGCAGGCAGAGTGGGAGAAACACAGCACCTTGAGCCATGCGCAAGCGGCTTGGTTTGCTCTCTGCGTAGATCGTGCTCCAGGGGTAGCATCGTCGTAGTATCTAGGCTGGTTCATGATTCAGTGGCCCCCCCTCCCGTCTCCAGAGTGAATCGACAGGCAGTGCACCATCTCAGCCTGCTTAACTCCATCCTCGGGCCGTTAATCGAGGTTTCTGTGTGAGACGGCAGCACGGCGAATCGGGGTTCCGGGGCTGCGAACGATCGTCGCGCTGGGTCGAACTTCAGGCTGCAGCGGCTGATGCTACCCTTTTCTTGCGTCGCTCTCTCTCTCTCTGTAGTTACTAGTAGTTGTTTCGCGTGTTTCTTGTGTTTGTTTCTTCTGCCGCTCTCGTTGGCTCTGCTCGTTGGATGTTTTGTTTTTTTTGTTTTTTTGTTGTTGTTTTTTTTTTTTTTTTTTGAGTTTCGTCCGTCTTCTCCGCCGTGATGACATAATACAGGTTATATAAGGAATTACTAAGGTATACTAGTCCGTTTTTGGCATTTGTAGAAACAAGGTTGATGACATAAGCAGAAAAGCACGGAGCAGGGGCCAAGCTTTTAGGTGGGTCCCGTGATCTTTACCCTTTCAGGAAGGGGCAAGGTCCACCTTTTATCTGGACTTTATTATATTCTATTTTCAACTTCAATGACGAACGGCAGCAACAACAGCACCGGCCACGAGACAGACAAGAGACAGGAAAAGGGACAGCGAGGAGGCAGAGATACATGCAGGCCGCAGAGATGAGACAGCGGGTCGGTGATCGTCGTCCAGGCTGAGCGTCGGCAGCCTTTCTCGACTGACTATGGGAGCATCGATGCGCCTAGCAAAACCTACCCCTTACCAGCTCAGCAGCAAACCAGTCGATGATATCGAGTATTATTGCTCTCCGGCCATCATGTTGGCCCGATATCAGATTACTCATTACCGCTCTACGATCACCTGCAGCCAATGGCGAGAGGGGACAGACCTGCCCAGCGACACCTGGGCTGCTGGAGGGGGGGTTGTTCAGCCTGGCCCCTTGGCCCCTTTCCTACAGGCTTCTATTCGCACTCTTTAACTGATCTCCACAAGAGCGGCAGAGGAGAGAGAGAGAGAGAAGAGCGGGGGGAGGAAAGCAAAAAAGAAGCAACATTATAGGGCTGAGAAAAAGGAAACCAAGGATGAATGCAACATGCAATCATCGCACCTAAAGCCGGAGTGCTGGTGTTATTTTTCACCGCCTGGCGGAAACACATATATACATCCTGAGAGAATAGGGTTTTGACTTCCGGTCGACTACTTGCTGCTAGTCTCATGCGGCTGTGCTCTGTCTCAACCCAAATAACATGCATGCCTGCTCGAAAAGGCGAAGGATTGCCCAAGAGCCACATGGGACCCCTGGCCGGACTAGGGTCGTTTAATCGTTTAGCAGGCCGTCGTGGCCGTTCAGGTTCATCGCCCAGGCTCCCGGTCACCCTCTCTGCTAGTCGCTATCGTGCAGGTTGCTCATCTCGGGCACTCGACAACCGCTGGGACTGCGTTAATCTTGATGTTGTACTCTATTTTATTTTTTATTTTTTTCCTCCCTATTCTTTTCCTCCTCAATATCCCAAACCTTCCTCCCCATTATTCCTCGCAACCCTTTCCCTTCGGCCGTTTTTGTAATAATTTGGAATGTTTTTTGAAAATATATTTAACGGAAAAAGCAAAACAGGGCAACGAAGGGGAGAGCAAACTGGTTGGTAACTTGACCAGGCGTATACATACATATATCTTCTCAACCCTCTCTTCAACTTACATATATGAACTAAATCGACAACTAAAACAACAACTCGCTCCGAAACAGCCAGCCCAGTCCAGCATTCAATCGATATTATTCATACATATATATATTTATATATACGCCTCTCGCGTACATATACAATCATTCACCGGCCAACAAAGAGTACTTCAGTGCAATCTCATCTATATACCTGCTCCTCATGCTTCAGTACAGCAGCAGACCGCACACTCCAGGCACTCGCCGAAGACGAACGAGGAGCTCATGCGCAGACTCAGGCTTGCTCCCATCACCGTCTCCGTCGCCTTCACCTTCACCGTCAACACCGCCAGACAGCTCGTACCGGCCAGACTCGTTCCCCATGGCCGTGCAAAATTGCGAAGCCTTGTTAGGCATAGCCATCCACAATTTGTCATCCACTCCTGACTTTCTCCAGGACTCTACTGGTGCCATGCAGATGCAGGCATCCTCTCCATGCCCATCGTCTCAGCCTTTCGAAATAGGCCTCTCTCTTCGGGGGGTTACTACTCCCTCCTCCCCAAACTCCTCAACCTCATCCACCTCTCTCGGCCATCACTCCGACGCCGCTGAGGCATATAAGTATGACGCTCACTCCCACGCCAATACTTGTGCTAGTGCACACGGGCAATCTTCAGGGTTAGTTGCATTCATAACAATTCATTTATATATTTGGCCTTGAACTGCAACCATCATATAACCAAAGAGACTCTTCTTTTACATTCCAACTGACCTCTTATCATCTTACGTCAATCATACAGGCCTTTCGTCTGCCAGGTGTCGCCTCCCACGCCCTTGTCCGACTTCATGCACGAGTCTCAGCCCATTTCTGTACTAGGTTATCCCAACATGTTCGGTATGTTCGGACTGCGGTTTTAACATTTAAACCAGCAGCCTTTCCCTCCCTCCCCATCTCGTACCCAAGTTCCCACCCCCCCCTTCTAACAATCTCACAGTCCCCGACTACAACGTTGACGGTGCTTCTGCTTTCGATTCTCTTCAATTCAGCAACGTAGACACCCCAGTCACTGTTAGCACAGCTTCATTATCAATGTCTCCACCACTTGGCAATATACCATCCCGTCCATCTAGTGTTTCGGACTCCTTTGGCATCTACGATCAACCACAGCATCACCACCAGCAGCATCCCTCTTCAACTATGCAGTTCAGCAGAGATCAATGGAACATGGCTCTCCCCATTCCACGCTCGAACGTATACCCGGACCAACAGAAGCTGAGCAGGGCCATGCCAGATCACTGTCCCGGAAGCAACAGGCAGTCCATGTCGTCTGCACATGGTTACTCAGACCTCTCGAAACCCCTAGACATGCACCTCCAAAATCTCGATGGCTCAATACCCACCTCCCAGGCCCAGTATGGCCTCTCCGCAACCTCATACCCACAGTATGTGATACCGTCCAACTCCCAACATATGTCTTGGGAACCCCTAGTTGCTAACATTTCTTAGAGCACCTTATTATACACCTGTCCCTTCACTACCAACCACCCCCCCATCAACAAGCTCTCCAACTTTCTCGCGCCCTCATGCGCAGGCACCTTCCCACTCCCACCACCGAACGCCGTCCTCCAGCTCCCCGTCTCCAACAGCTCTAAGCGAAGCTGACCTTCGCTCCAAACCTCAATGTTGGGACCATGGATGCAACGGACGATCGTTTTCAACTTTCAGCAACCTGCTGCGCCATCAGAGAGAAAAGGCTGGTCTTTCCGTTAAAGCCGAATGCCCGTACTGTGGAGCTGCCTTCACTAGGTCGACCGCACGCAACGGACACCTTGAGCGAGGCCGATGCAAAGCCATGAGGGAGGAATGATTCGCTTCACCCATGCTACGATAACGACTCTGCTCTCTTTCTTCACACTTTAACGAAAATCTAATGTCCAAAAAAGCGCCCCTTGAGACCTGCCTTACTTTCTCACCTTTGCATCAGGATTACACTTTACACGGTCCCGAGTCGTCCAGACATGGGGGTGGGAGGTCCATTGTTGTTGCCTGCCCACTGCGTCCATGATTTAATGTTTCAGCCTAGCGTTCACGTACACCCAACATACTTAGGCGAGGAAAGAGCAAAAAAGAGCGCAAGAGCCCCATCTTCCGGCCTCCGATTCACTCCGGAACAGCATTTTCCCTTTTTATGCTGAGATACTCGGAAAGACACGAATGCATCTTCCGATCCATGACATAAAAATGGGGCGAGCCGTTTTCTCAGCCCTCGCTGAGTTCAGCTCATGGCGAGCTCAGTGGTTTCTCTTTTCTTTTTCTTTTGTTTTTTTATTTCTTCCCCCTTGACTTGCAGGGTTATGGGTTAGACAGGGATTGGTTGTCAGCGGGGGAGGTTCTCTCTTAAGGTCCCTTTTCCCCCTTCTGTCTGGAGTATCTTTTTTCCCCACTTCTCAACGTATATACTATATTATCTTTTCTTACGCTTTCTTTTGTTTGTTTTTATTTTATTTTTTTTTTCCCCTCTTTCTACAGAAATGGATGGGAAGCAGTTTACTGGGAGTATTGGCGACTGGCAGACTGGCAGGAGTTTATGAATGTGTGCATTAACATGTCTTGTATATGGTTGTTGATACTTCTTCTTTTTCTTCCATAGAAAGCGAGCGACCCTTTTTTTTAACTTTTCGTCTTAACTTTCCCGATGTCAATCTTATTTCTAATTTTAAACCTTTTTTTTTTTGTTGCATGCATAAAGCGAGATGCACGTGACTTAACTCCGGGCCCCGTGACTTTTCCTTTTTGCGACAACTTTTATCAAGCATCGACATCATCATCGACAGTCAGTATAATAATAATAATAACAAGAGCACGAAGAACTGTACGGAGTAGTGGAGGTCGAGTAGTTAAAGCGAAAAAAAGGGCGCGTCATCTGTCCCATGCGCTGCTTGGTGACTTTCTTGCTGCTTGCAGCTCATCACCTCCAGCTCCTGCATAATCCCTGCCAGCCAGCTCACAGAATGTGTCAGTGAGCGGCTAAAACCTCCACCGCTTATCTCCTAACTCCAAGCTGAGAATCTAGTGCAAAAGTGCGAGATCTGAGCGGTGACCGGATGAGCAGCGGTGCATAAGTCCGCTCTCTGCAGAGGGCCACATGAAACCTGCAGCATTTCTAGTACGGCTGAATAGCGTTCATCGCTGCATATATTTCCCGCTTAGGATACAGCCCTCAACACTAATAACCCATACCTCGCAGCATTCCAGTCCATCCGGTCTAGTCAAGCTTGGTCGTTGTGCAACAGTCGCTGGCTCATAACCCCGAGGCCGAAGTTCCGAGCGAGCGGCCCCCGAAGTGAGGCTTGAGCCACGATTCTCGCATCATCTGGCTCGTAGCACCCTTGGCCCCCAATTTATGATACAAGAGAGTATGACCCATGTCGTTAAGTGGCCAGGGCTGTTGACTTGGATTTGAAAAGCCAGATTGCGAACCTAGCCTGGCCCTTTACCTTTAGAGATGGAGGAGGAGAGCGCTTGGGTAATTCGGCAGCCGGGAAATTTCGCTCTGGGAAGTCCCATAACTACACAGTGTAGTAATACCACCACATTTACTCCGTGACTAGAGCGACAACAGCACCAACACTCGCGCTGTCGTTTTATTATTGGCACTTTGGCATTCACCCACCTATCTCCATGTAACTGACCCTTTCACTTGTCATTTAGTCGAACGTACATGCATGCATGGGCTGCGTGGCTGCCAGGGTCCGCCGGCCACGCGCGGTCAGGCTGCATATCAACTCATGATATTAGTTATACGTTTTTGGTCGACGGCCTCTGGGAAACCAACAAGCCTTTTGGGTCATCTAGAAACGGAAAGGCGCATATAAATGGGCAACAAACTCTCCCCCTTCCAGGTCTGTGGGAGTGCCACGTTCGGCCAGCAACGAAAGGGCCCCCAAGTTTGAGAAAGATGAAACATACTCCAGCCCTCTCCTGTGCAGGTTCAGTGCAGCCTTTCCATCTTAATGGTCAACTACGGCCCCATTTCATCTATAATATTCTTATTTTCTGCTGGATTCCCCCCATGGTCCTTGTCATGCCATGCCACTTCCATGAACCCATTGATATCAACAGACGAATTAGCTTCGTTTCGTCCGCCATTCGACGGAGCGGGTTCCTTTGACACGTGGACGGCGTGGCTCCCACGTTTGTACCCCCCTACCCTTGTCCTTGTCATTTGTCCTTGCAGCAAGGCTATGAGGAGGACTCTCTTTGCGGTATCAAAACATCATTCGTCAACTCACTCCGTCAGAGCACTTAAGACAAGGAAAATCTTTAGCAAGCGGCCCAGTTTAGAATACTTAAGCATCCTTTCTATTGCCGGCAAATCCATCCTCCATCATATAAAATTACTCCAGAACGCACATGGAACCTCCACTTCCTTCCTCCCGAATAGCCTACCACAGAAGTACACACCTCCTTGCCCGGTTCAGAATAATACACTTTCCGCATTCTCTATGGAGGGCCTTGGGATTTTACGTTTCTGCAGATATTCTAACTCCCCACCCTCCCTTGGGCCTTTTTGTTTTAGGGGGGGATGCAACTCATGAGGTTCAGATGTGTTACTTCTCTTTCCCCATGTCGATCGGATGGAGCCTGATGCTGAGATAAAATTCATACCCAGAATAAAGCCAAATACCCACGACCCAGCCGATGGGCCCAAATCGACATGGGCCTCAGGACAAACCCTTTCTGGTAAAGTCCTGATCATGGATCCCGAATTCCTAGGGTGATATCTTCTTAACAAATAAATTATTCCCGGGAGTTGAGGCTCGGGTGTAGATCCTGGTGGACGCCACGAGGCCGCTTTGCATGCAGGATTTGAAAGCCGGATATTTTGACTTTTAATCTGGAGCACGTATATTTGGTAAGTTATTATAATAGTGATAAATGATGCTAGTTAATTCTAGTTTGTTACTGATAGTCGTCTAATCGATCTCGCGTGTGATGATTGCTTATAAATGTTCTAGGTATTTTTCACTGGAAAGTAAGGACGGAGTATTTCATGCAAGCCAACCTTTACAAAAATACGTGTACGTGGAATGCTTTAGCTTTCGTTTCATATATTAATTTCCTTCATTTGCAGTTTTACTTGATGAGTTAATCATAGCATCTATTTCACGCCCTTGATGTAGATTAGAAATAATAATATCCAGATGGTCTGACAGCACCTCCTTGCTTACCATAGAGAAGAGTGCCTTGTTTTCCATGCAGAGATTCCCCCAGACCGTCGTCGACAAATAGTCGAAGGCCTTTCTCTCTCGCCATATGTTATATACCCTGAAACACCAAAACCAGATAACAAGCAGCCTGATAACAAAACCGACAAAAAGCTTGACGACAAGACCGCCACCATGGATATCCAGACAAGATTGCGAACTAAGTTCAGGAGAGATGTAAGTTGTTGTAGCAGGTCTAGACGCTGGACTTGACTTTGGGCATATCTCTCTCTTCCTCAGCGCCATATACCACTTCCAATGTAAGTACCACGTACTCTATTACCACGTCTACGCTCTTTCATGACCCCCGTGGACGCATGATCGCATACCTAACTTAATAACCCTATTGATCAGATATTAAAAACGGCAACTAAAAATATTGCTGCCGTAACAGCCAATGATCCCAGTCCAACTGCCTCCGCCCACATCAGAAGGCAAAAATGGCCGCAAGACGCGCTGAAAAGCACAGACAGGCTAAGGAGCAGAAGAAGAAGCAGGAGAGAGAGGTAGAAGTAGTTGTTATCAGATGGTGTATCGTCGGGGCTGGGCCTCCTGCTTACTATGACGATATCTGATATTCCATTACCGAGAGTACAGATGGCACATGGCAGGGAAAAGGGGCTGGACTACCACTTTGCTCTACCATCGTTGGAAAATTGGGTGGAAAAGGATGTCTGGCCGCCCTCAGAGTACTGCTACAGATACCCCGGAATCTGGCGACCGTACTCTGATACTGATAACATGATATCCTGACACCCGTACTATAATGTTATTATAGTAATATCACTGTTAGCCGTAGATTCCCCTAGTGAATATATCTCAAACAGAGTGATAGAGACGCCATGCTCCATGAGCATTTCGAACGAGCCTCATATACTACCTATATCCCGTCCACACGGCTCTCGTCCTGATGCTGCTACTGCTGCTACTGCGCGAAGGTCAATGGGCACAGGATATCAGATATTGGTGCTTCTTCTCCTCTTGCCATCCATTACCTCTGGCCTTTCGTCTTAACCCTTGAAATTAGCCGCGGATGTTGCGCTTAGCACTACCTAAACGCGGGGCTTTCCCAAAAGGGACAAAGCAAGCATCGTGATCAGACGCGCGCATAACCCCGTGTCCTCCTCGTCCCTCTTCTTCCTTCACTTATTCTTCCTTCACTTCGTCCTCTTCTTCCTCTTCCTCCTCTTCCTCTTCCTCTTCCTCTTCATCTTCATCTTCCCTCCTTACGTTCCTCAGTGTTTCTGTTACCATCACACTGATCGATTTCTCAAGCTTATAGCTCTCCTCCCAGATCAAGACACTGCATTCAATACGCCTCCCCGACAATCTCCTATCCATCCAGTTAACCCTTTCAAGATGGATCTAGGAGTAACCGCGTTCGTTTCTGCCCATTTCCCTTAAACGCTATTTTCCACCTCTAATACTCTTCCCTTCTCTAGTGCCGACCGCCAGTTGTTAAGGAAGTGGGTGGACTCTCAAGAAGTAGCCAAATACCTTGATTTAGCATATAACGGAAACCAAGACGCAAGAATAAAATTGCAACGCTACTATGATAAGTTTGCTAAGCTTTTCTATGCTCCAAAGGGTACGCCTGGTCCTCCTAGAGTATCTGGAGCCTGGAACAGCTTCGTGCGTTCGTTTCTTGAGGTTTGGAAACGGGTCCTTTTCATCTTCTTCCTTATGGCATTTAGCATTTGCTCTTCCCTGCCGAGGAAGCCCGCTATTGACCTGTATGACAAGCATAATAGCTGGACGGCTTATTTCCTTGTGAGTGAGGGTTTAGGATGGTTGGGGTTAGTGTACCAGCTTACTATGCTTTCCTTCCCCCGGTGCAGCTATGACTGGATCAAGGTTCCAATGTATCTGTTTGCAATCATCACCCTGGTTTCAGAGTGTGTTGCATTTGGGTATTTGGGAAGCGTTGAACCCAACAGAGGCTATTACCAGGACTCGTTGGTGTCTAAATGCATCAGTGAAGGTGGCATCCACATTCACAATCTGAGGCTACTTGTTCAGGGCATGCTAAAGATCCCTGATATTGCAGGTCCCTCTCCTTCCCGTTTACTTTCTCTCACTCATCACAGTATCACACTTCAAAATGTAAGTACTATGTACTCTATAACCCTGTCAATGCTCTTTATAGCCCCATAAGACGTATTATCGCAAATCTAACTTGGTTCATAGATACGATACTATTTTTCTAAACAAGGAACAGCCATGAACCGATTCAAAAAGAAGGCGGCGGCGGCGGCAGCTACAGTAGAAAAGGAGAAAGCCGCCAGTAAATGGGCGGAGGCCGCCGCGGCATGGGCGGTGACCCTGCGCGGCGAGCCGAGTGACCCCAGCGCCGCCCCCCAACACCACCAACGCTGCCGACGCCCGCGGCCACACCGAGAGGGCAAACTTAAGGCCAGGAGGGCAGAGAAACGTAGGAAGGCAAGGGAAAAGGAGAAGGAGGAGGGGAAGGAGAAGGGGAAGGAGAAGGAGAAGGAGAGGCCAGAGTAGGAGGTCATGGAGGAGGAGAAGAATGAGGGAATGGATATCCCCACCAGACAAAAATAACAAGGCAGTTTAAGCAATGCAATAAATAATTTGCAGAAGTCGCGCTCTCTCTCTCTCCGAGCCTCTTTCTACTCTGTACTCCTTTCTTATTTACGGTTTCTCTTACCTCTACTACTATAAGGTAGTAAGAAGTGAAATAGGAGTAGCAGGAGCGTCAAATAAGAGAGAGGTAGACAGAGAAGGGTATCAAAGCCAAGGGAGGGAAAAGAGGTTGTTCATATGGGAATAAATGACCGTATTGTGCTCACTGGTCCTTCCTGGCTATGATTATCATTCATTATCATCATCATCATCTACGTCGGTATTTTATTTTCGAGTCTTTGGGTCGACCTCACTGTCTATTTTTAGGCTTATCACGTGATGTAATTCGGGCAGGAATAATAAAATTACGAAAGTTAATTATTAAGCAAATGTTTCAATGCAAATACTACAAACATACCGTATGGGGCTGTGACTAACCGTCGAGTCGAACTCTCGCAACATCGCAAGAAGTACGGGGTACCAACGTCAACCGCAACACCAAACACCAAACATCAACGTCAATTTGATATTTAGCAGCTAGAGCAGCGATAATAACATCACCCTTGTCATTGTATCTTCACGATGACCTCCTCTTTTTGAGCAAGCCGCCAGGAGCCAGCCGTACTCATCCGAATACCTGCTCCAGTTTGCCTCTCCTTTATCAAAGCGATTTCCTCGATTTTGGGACATACAGCTTTTACAAGATATCTGTTCACTTCAAAATGGTCAAATTACTCTATCGAACCTTACGACTCTACTATTTCCATGCTAGCACACGGTACCTCGGGTTATTACACTGCTACTCGAGGAACATACGAACAGGAGCGAACTGCTGAATGACCATCTGTCTACGGGCATCACCACACTTCCTGACCATCACAAAGGGATAGTAAGAAGAATAAGAAGAGACACGAAGAAGCGAGCGCGCGGTACAAGTTACATCCCAAAAGGGCATATCTCCATTTAAATAGGGTGGACACCGGTGCCTATGGCGTCGATATTTACATTCGATCCCGACCTTCCCCGGGTTTCATCTCCATGGTCCAGCTCTGGAGCAACAACGCCACGCCATCAAAAGGGTGGCCAGAATAGTTCCTGTGGGCCAAGCCCCATTGACACGAGTGACCCCGGATTTCTCGAAGCGTGTGGCATCAAGAAACTGGAACCAGAGCCTCAAGATGGGCCTACAGAGTATAAACTACATTTACTCTTACGCCCTAGGCGGCCTTTCGTTTCGCTGTCTTCGGGGGCTCAGGTCTCAGGCTCACATCATTCAAAATTTCATGGCAACAGTGTTGCGGAAAGGGATGTTTCTGAGTCCCCTGAGCCGGCTTCACGAGGTGCACAGTCATCCTCAAATTCACCAAGACAGGCTCGACTATGTCAGCTTACCACCCAGTTGCTGTGGAGGCTGCAGCAGTCCTCACCATTTCATTCGTCCTCCACTGCCAATCTAGTGCTCCCTGCCCTTCCGGAGGCAACCGAGTCTCTAAATGTACCTAGTACGTTATCCCCGCTACTGCCGGGGCTGGAGGAGAGTCAGGGAGCGTTATATGAAATTGGCGTCACCGATGACGGCACCTTTGCGGGTTTAGCGGAAGATGAACTGGATGAGAGTCTTGTCAACCTTCAAGCTATGGCTGCAAGCTTGGGCTGTCGAGTTGAGGTCCTTCGCCGTGTTGCAGTTGGGTACTGTGAATGGGTGGAGAAAGACGGCTTGTCTACCCGAACCGAGAAACTTTGGGTAGCGGAGGCCTTGGTCAGCCCTGATTTGAAGCAGTGTCGCTCTCAGGTATTAACAGGTGACCCGTCGGGGCGTTGGAAAGAAAATGGTGGCAGGTCGTCTATGACACAGCAGCCAGTTTTGACTGAACAACTTAATGTGGCAATTGCAGGGGCATCAGGATCTGGAAAATCCTCTCTTCTTGGAATACTATCTACCTCTGCACTCGATAATGGGCGTGGGAAAAGCAGGCTAAGCCTTCTTCGACACCGACATGAGATTGCATCTGGTGTCACAAGCTCCATTGCACAGGAGATGATCGGGTATCCAGCTCCAGTAAATGATGACAAACAGGTAACTGCCTCCTCGGATGTCATAAATTATGCATCTGGAAACATAAATTCATGGGATGACATTCATGTTTCTGCACGTGGTGGTGGACGTGTTGTCTTCCTGTCAGACCTTCCTGGGTCTCTGAGGTATGTAAAGTCGGCGCTCAGAGGACTAATGAGCCTCAAGCCGCATTACGTGCTTCTCTGTGTCCCTGCAAACAACCCTGAGGACCCTGGGTCCATTATACCACCTGAAGTAGGCATGTCACTGGCCTACCTTGAGTTATGCGTTAAGCTAGAAATTCCTGTTGTCGTGGTTGTAACCAAGCTCGACAGCGCAACCAGGTCCAGCATTCGACAGACTCTAGCTCAGGTACTTTCTGCCATTAAGTCAGCCGGCCGTAAGCCTGTGATGCTTCCTGTTCCTGGAGAAGTCAACGAACAAGACTTAGACCTTAGCAATATCTCTCCAGGTGACCGCAAGGACGCTAATGCTGCTATTAACTCCATGGGTGGTGACTGTTTAGATGACATTCCGATTATTATTACCAGTGCAGTCACGGGCGCTGGCGTCGGGAAATTGCACGCCTTATTACAGACGCTCCGCATGCCTACTCCAGAGAAAATCTCACCCCCTGTTAAGAAGTCCAATGAAGACGACGATGAACAGCCGAAGTCTCTTTTTGATATAAGTGAAGTGTTTGAGATGCCACTTTTCAAAGTATACTCTCTTTCGAGTGAGGGACAGCGGCAAAATGATCGAGGCATAGTTCTTTGTGGCCGTGTTCGCCGTGGGGCTATATCTATTGGAGACCGTCTCGTTGTAGGACCAATAATCCCAGAGTGTCGTTCTCATGAACCAACCCATACACCACCACGAGCCAAAGCAGCATATAGCAAGTCACTTCCTGATTCTCTGCCTTCTTCTCGTTTTCGGAAGTTTACTGGAGACAGTCTTGAAGCACAGTCTCAAACACATGCAGTTTGGAAACAAGTCCGGGTTGTTAGTGTACGTAACCTGAGACTTCCCGTCAAAGCTCTCTTTGAACATCAAATTGGCACCATCGGAGTTGACTTTGTTGACTCTTCACTTTCAACGTCGCTCGGACGAATGCGTAAGGGCATGGTGCTTGCGGATTTTAACTGTGGGTATCTATCAAACTCACTGCTTTCTTCGCAGCGACTTTCTACCTCCGCACCGCCCTTTCATTCTGGTTTCATTGCTCGATTCCATGCATCCGACTTCTCAGCGTCTCCTCCTGTTCTGGTTTCAGGAAGCACCTCGGTGGTATACATCGAAAGTATTCGGGCTGCTGCCCGAGTAATACTGGTCGAACAGACACGACCGCATATTTCCCCTTCCCATGGGATTGAACCAGAAATTTTCATGCTTGACGCTGCTGACCACCATAATACTGAACGTTGCCATGGGGATGATGAGATCAGCGTTACTTTCTCTCTCACAACCTCAGTCGAGTGGCTTGAGGTGGGATCGCTTGTGCTTGCAGTTCCAGGTACAGGCGTAGGAGTGATAGCCACTCCTCCGTCCTCTTCCTCATGCCTACCATCGATGGCCCGGTCTGGCCTACCTAGCGCTCCTGGCCTCAACGGCCTCGTTGGCAGAATATGCGAAGTCCTCCATGTTTGATATATTGCCTATCTGGCCTCTTGCTGCCTCCCTTACGCCCGTATGTTTGACTGCTGCCTGTTCGTGCTGATACCCCTTCACATCCATAACATGTGTTATGGAAAACACGTCTCTAAGAGCTGTTTGATATTGGCGTGCTTTTCTTTATATACTCTTTCGGCTTTCTTCTCTGCTCTTATTTCATCCGTCTGTTGTTATTGATTATCTACAAGCCGCAACAATCAAGTAACTATATTCACCAAGTGACGTATACAGTAGGCCAGGGCCACATACACATATGCCCCGGCGCAGTCCGTCTTGTAATTCTGTCTGCCTGGCATCAAGAGTACAGCTTGTTCACTTCGGCTGTGACGTCGCTGGCGCCCGCGAGTCTTTATATAAGCGGTTAGAGTGGGGAACGCAACGCTTACTATTTAAATCCCTTAAGTTATCCGCCGCCGCAGCAAAAAGGAAAAACGTCCAACTCGCATTAAACAAATGACTTGGTCTTCCGTGAGGTCACAGGAACGCAGCAGCTACCAACTTCCCAAGGGCACATTCATATATCATCCGGCCTGGATAAAGCACCTGTGTGAGTTTGTTAAAAGGACGAGGCGGAGTCCCGGCCTGACGGTTGCGGATATCTCATAGCCTGACTGAAGCCCGCCTCGACTCTACAACCTCTGCGCGCGCCGAAAGCTTCGACCAGCAATATCCAGATAATATACTACAAGCTCCTTGCGATACGTTTGAGATACATAAGCGGACGTCCGCGCGAGCCCTCATGGCGGAGTTTTTCCAAGAGCTGTTCTCCAGCATCTTCACCCCCGGAGCAACGCCCACCCTCCTCCTCGCTACTAATGCTACCTTCGCCGCTCTCCAAGTCGTCTTCTTCGTTCTCCTCGTGGCTACCTACAGCATTCACTTCCTCATCCTCTCCTGCATCAGTGGCGCATTATGGTACTCGATAAATTGGTTTGCGGACGAGGTGAAGGCGGAGAATGAACGGCAGAAGAAGCTCGCAGAGGGCAAGGAGAAAGATGATAGGGGATCTTCGACAGATCTCAGCAGTTTACGTGTGAGGAAGGAGGCCTCGCCTGTCGCCCGTTTATCAGGAGCGATGTCCGATTCAGCTGAGAGCGGAACTGAGACGGAGAGCATACGTGCTGGTCATATTGGAACCCCTAAAGTATCAGGCGCCTCTCCGTTGAGCGGTGGTGCTACTGCGAGGCGGACTACACCCTCTGCGTCGGGCGTACAGGTGACGCTGACGCCAGAGAGCAGTATGGACGAGCTCACGCTACGAAAGCCATCTGGGGATAGCTCTGGATACATCAGTACCGACAGCGAATGGGAAAAGGTTGACGATAAAGATCGATAAACCATTTCTGACGAACATGTTCACGAGGTAATATTGATGTCTTTTCTTTGATTTTTCCTTAAGTGAAGTAGATCGAGAGGTTTCATTTTTGGATCGTCTCCTCCCCACGTTCATTCATACCTTACACGCTATGTATGTCCGGATATCTTGGGTATATCAGATACAACCTCCTACTTTACCACAACTCATACAATATGTTTTACAATATACCCAGACTGGATTGTACTGTCCCTAATATTCCATGTCTTCCCCTGCACGACTATGGTGTTAGCTGTTGCTTGCATTCAATATTGATGCTTGACCTGGTTACTTTTGCCTGCTTAGCCTCTGTGGCCATATATAGAGACAGAGGTAGCCATAATACACAGCTCGCTACTCTGGATAACCAAGTATTCCCTGAACGGTTGAAGAAGTCATCAAGAAGGTGATCGTCAGCCTCGACGGTCTCTATGATAGCTTTCAACGCGCTTGTCGCGTCTTAAAATAGCCGCTTATCGCTCGGTCCGCGCGATAAGTACCACGTGACCGTGTTTATTGATAAGGAAGTCGCCAAAAAGCGTAGAAGAAACAACAAAACGAACAACGAACAAAACCGACGTTGAACGCATTTCACGGTGGTGGAGGGGATGAATCGTGAATCTATACCACTAGAACTGAAGCATTCCTTAAATTCACCGACGTGAGCCATGTTCCAGCACGTTCCATCTTCCATTGGCCAAAAACGTGTTTTCGACTCTGTCTTCCCGCCGTCCTTGCTCAGCGGCATATCTCCCGCCCCAGATGTCACACGGGTCCTAGGATACGCACCTTCAGGCGCGCTATTTGGCAGTACACAACTATCTTCTGATTTGGAAATTGCTTCGTCAACCTCGGAGGAACCAGAACCAGAACAAGTTACATGGGACCGGTCATGGCATATGGCAACAGCCTTCCTTGCTATCCCAGATAAGCGATTTAATATCAGTAATGACGGTAATTGTGATGACCACATAGGAGATAGGGTGCTGCTAAAACGATGGGCCCGAGATCCACCTACAACGAAAACACGGGATAGCCTATATTATATAGGTGCCGACGCATCCCAGGGAAAAGAGCTGAGGAAAGAACTGAAAGAATGTGATCTCAAACTGTGGTACATAAATGAAACTCGTCGACACTTTTTAACTAATTTTAAAGATTCTCTTATTCATGTAGGTTTACAGATGCCCTACCTCTCATTACCACGTTCTGGCTGACTGCTGACCGTTGTAGATTTTACAAAGCACCGAGAAGAAGCATGTCCTGACCCGGCTAATCCGCTATCTCCGCCTTATTCAGAATATTTATTATAGCCCCTTTTTAAAATATATACTACCGCTATCAGACCCAATGGCGAGGGATACGGGTTTTGCGGCTCTTCGTGAGAGTATACATGCAGTCACCACGTTTTCACTTCCCCGTTCATTTTTCGATATCCTTGCCACGGAACTCAGTACTGCGTGTTCTACAATTCTCGGAACAAAGAATAGGGGTGAAAGACTCAGTGCTACAGGTACGGACGGTGATGAGATGGATGTCGACCCAAAGTCTCGCATGTGCTATAGTAGCTGGAGAAAACAACCTCCTGGTGATAGAAATTCTTTGGTCTCGGAAAGGGAGATACCTGGAGCCATTGACGCAAGACTGGGTCTGATCCGCGTACTAGAAGGACTTCAGGAAGTTGGTTTGGGCGGTCAAAAATGCCAGACTATATTTGCCAATGTGATGAACAATATGATAACAGAGTTTGTAATAAATTCATACTCTGGGCTATGGGATACTCCGTCTTTTGCCATCGAACACTTACGTCTGTGGATTGGGAAGATCTTTGGGAGGCTAGTCCTTCAAGTTCTTCAATGTTTGAAACAAGGTGGGCACAGCGTGTCACGAGGTGAGGAAAGCATTGATGCTACGTTGACAGATATCCACAAATGGCAAGAGATTGCTGTTACTCGACTCGCTGCATTACGGATAAGCGAACTGTTCGATATAGTCGTTGAATGGGACGCAAGTAGCGGAGCGATCGAAGATCTGAAGAGCTATACCACCAACCCAATGACGCGCCTTTACCTTTCGAGTATGTTCAATACTTCTATTTTTCAACGACTTCTTCACCCAGGTGCCTCCACCGTCGAAATATTGCAGCTCTATATTTCTATCATCAGGGCACTTACTCAGCTAGATCCAAGAGGAGTGTTGTTAGATAGGGTGGCGCGGCCTATACGCAGGTATCTACGGGAACGCGATGATACAGTCAAGGTCATAGTGAATGGGCTATTGGCTGATGTGAGTGAGACAAAAGATCAGGAGAACACGGATCCAAATACCCTGGTGGAACTAGCAATTGAATTAACAAGTGCACGCCAAGCGTCCTTGCGTAATGATTCTGGAGAGCTTGACTGGGATGATATGAACTGGGTCCCTGACCCTATTGATGCTGTGGTTGACTATAAGAGGTCAAAACAGTCCGACGTTATAGGAAGCATGATAACTCTCTTTGAATCCAAGGAAGTCTTTGTAAAGGAACTTCAGGAAACGTTGTGTGGCAGGTTGTTAAGCAAGAGCGGATCATTCGATCAAGAGGTTTCCGTATTGGAGCTGCTGAAGGTTCGCTTCGGTGAATCAGCACTCCAAGCTTGCGAAGTTATGCTCCGTGATGCGCTTGACTCCAAGAGGATTGACACCGTTATCCGAACGGATAAAGGCCTTGACCAGGGCCCCACAGCCGGTATTCATGCTAAAATTCTATCCCGCCTGTATTGGCCTGAGCTCCAGGAACATGAGTTTAAAATTCCCGCCGAAATTATTGCACTGCAGGAAAAGTATTCTGCAGGTTTCGAGTCTCTGAAGCCTTCCCGAAAATTAACTTGGCTGAATAGCTTAGGAACAGCTACTGTTGAACTTGACCTTGAAGACCGTGTATTCAAGGACGAGGTGACAACATGGCAGGCTGCTGTAATATATTCATTCCAATCAGATGAGAATGCCACAGTGTCAAAGACAGTCAACGATCTATCTAATGAGCTTGACATGCCTGCATCTCTTGTTCGCAGCTCCTGCTTATTCTGGCTTAGCAAGCGCATTCTCATCCAACAACAGCCTGACACCTTTACTGTCCTTGAAACACTACCTGATGATGAAGATCCTGAGGCCTCATCTCAGAACCAAGCACAAACTCAGCCCAACTCCGACGCTAATGCTGCTGCTGCCGCCGCCGCCGTCGCGGCAAAAGAAGCGGCAGAAGCCGCAACCATGGCGAAAATGGATCTGTACTGGCAATTCATTAAGGGTATGCTTACGAACCAAGGAGCCATGCCTCTACAGCGTATCATCATGATGTTAAAAATAGCTGTTCCCGGGGGATTCCCATTTAGCAGTGAGGAGCTTAAACAGTTTATGGGAAAGATGGTTTCAAATGGGGAGCTTGAGATGGTCAGCGGTGGAAATTACAAGATTGTATCATAGACATCATTCATTGGTATGGCATAACTAACAACATTTGTATGTAACGGCGAAATCACTGCCAAAACCGTCAATGGAGACATAGCGGGAAGTTTAAATAAGCTTAACTGTATTTAACTCCATGCACAGAATATGGAGCTATCAGCCCATCCAAAACTTACGTCAGGATCTCTTGCTCATACCATATTGCTTTCCCTTGCAATATCATCAGAATGCAAGTGAGTAACTCTTCACCGTCTAATATCTTTAAACGAAGTCCAGCCACCGATGGATCGTTGGCCCTAACCAGTTTTCCTTCGTGAATGACCCAGTCACCCATGCAAACACCCCCATCATCATTATTATTTCCAAATACTTCCATGTTCAGCTGAGCCATGAGTCCCGGAATTGCTTGGTTGATATATTTCATGTTCTGCATGGTGCTAAAAGTATTTTCGACGTACAGCCGAAAGAGTCGGATTGTCTTTGTTGCACCGACTCTCTTCAGTCTCCCTAGGGCTTGCTGTTCGACCGAAATTGGAGCGGAGTCCCAGAATACTAAATTGCGGCAATGGCCTTGCAAATTGAGTCCCGTGCAGCACACCCAAAATGATGTTATCAAGATATAACACTTATCCGGAGACCTGTGAAATGTATCACTCAGGGTTTGTCGGTCTTGCACATTTAATCCCGCCCTATACGAATGCGCATCTAGGTCAAGGAGCTGTAAGACCTGAAGAGTAACATTAGCGGATTGCCGGCAAAATAGAAGACATGAATGATCCATACACTCTCTAACCAAAGGACTTGAGCAGGCATGGTAGCGAATATCAGCAACTTTTCCTTTCGTAGAATTACCAACTCTGCTATTAGCTGTAGAAGATATCGTAGTTTTGGTGAACCACGGCAGTGGCTCTGCAGTATCTCCCTGATATTATCTTCTGAAGGCAGGGGATATATCTGGGTTTCAGCCAGGCTTTCAGGCGGCTCTGCTATATGATAAGGCCTCTGTCGTTTTGCGTTGTTAATATCCCTCAAGATCGTATGTGCATGCAATACTCCATTTTTTCGACGGTCATTTAACTTCTTTGCTGTATATGAGGGTGCAATGTGATCAAACTCTGTCCAAGATGTGACTAGACAAAGCCTTCTGAATTTTGAGGCACTTATAATACCTCTAGCATCGTTCTTGCCCCGTCGACCCCTGCGAGCTGGTGCCATACAGTCACCAAATACTCCTTCATATATTTTTTGTTCTTCCGGGGTGAACGCAAGGTTGACGGATATATTCTGAACGGCTGGCAGAGCCTTGCCCACAACCTGGCCATCAACTAAAGACCCGTATGATCTCTTGATCATACATGCTTTTAGGACCTCCCTCATTCTCTCACCTTTAGTGACTAAAGAAATGTCTCCTTTGATTATATGATATTCAACAGATTCCGAGGTATATCGAAGACAAGAAGCCGGTTCGTCGGATTTGATATCCCAGGGATCAAACTCTTCACTACTGGCCGTGGTATTCCACGCGTCAGTAGCAAATACACCGAGTTTTTCCAAGGACTCCTTTGACCAGGGATCCTTATGCGGCTCCAACTGGTAGAGAAGTCCAAGAATGTCCGAGAGGTCATTCCAAATGGGGGTTGCGGTAAGCAATAAAACCGATGGAGCCTCCAACCAGCGTAAAGTGACTGCTGTAAAGATTTTTTTTTTCCTTATTTCGTGAGCTTCATCCACGATCACTCTTTTAAAAAGCCCTTTCAGATTATGACGCCACCACGCGGGAGCGCTCTTCATCCCTTTCATTCTATCATTCACAGCCTCCATGACAGAAGCATAAGGGGTAGACTCATCTTTTTCCCAGATTTCATTTCGAATTACTTTTCTCAAGACAGAGGGGCCATGCCGTGAAGTCAAGGTGCGAAGCGAGGTGATGATAGTCGTTCGTGCAGCTTCCTCGGTCTGAGAGAATACTTCACTGTCTTTAGAGAGTATATCTGTTAGATACTCTGTTCCATCTGCGCTAGTTTGATGTTTTCCCCCGTAGTATATTTTCACGACTAGGTCTGATGATATGGCTTTGATTGCCGAAGCCCACTGATGGATTAAATTTGGTGGGACGACAATAAGAGTTGGCCGAGGAGCAGCTACCTCTAGGTTTGACTCCAGAGCAGCCTTTCTCAGGTTCCAATGCTATATATGCAGTTAGTTAACACTGAGATAAAACCAGACCAGGGGGCTTACGTATTGTTCCAAACCGATAGCCTCAAAAGTCTTCCCTATTCCTACATCATCGGCTAGAATACCTCCACGGAGATAGCCTTCTTCAAATTCTTTGATGGCTTTTATAGCCAGAGGCTGCCAAAACTCGAACTTGGCGCTGACCAGCATTCCTGGTAAACGAGGTATATCCGGGTTTGGGATCCCAAGGGCTTTACAAGCTTCAGGATGGCCCTGACGCTGCAGATCTTTGTTGTCAATCCACTTTTCCTGCTCACGGTACCGTTGAAGGTCCTCGCTTGTTGGCTCACACAGTATGAGTCCATCTCCAGCTTCTCCCTGGACACCGTCTGAGTCTTTGGATGTATGTAACCACTATAATTCATTAGTAAACTTGGAGAATATCGGGAGTCACTCTTACTCACTCTTATACTGTCCCCTCTAGCATCAATGCCTTCCGTTAAAAGCTCACACTCGCTGTCGATACGCGAAGGAAAGGATCTAGTCACCTCTTGTATCAAGGACCATTTGCAGAAGCGGTTTTTCAAGTCAAATCCTGAGGTCACCTTTTCGGCAACCATGATGTCGAATAAGAGCTTCCTTGAAGTATCTTCTTCGTTTTCGATCGTGGGTATATCTAGTTCTGCAGGACAATTCTTGGTAGCCAAATCAACCAGCACCTTTCTCTTCAAACCAGCAGCAAGTTTCAAAAATTCCTTGAAGGAATCGCTGCAGATGGGGTCACCAGCAACAGATAATTGGTCGATTTCATATCCACACTCTTTCAACTGCAGTTCACTGCAGATTTTTTTAAGGAATTGTTCGTAGGTGTAGTGGACCAGCCCGGTTAGAGTAATCGTTGTTTTCTGGCCGTTCCCTTCCATCTCTGTCGGAATATCGGTCCATACGACACAAGCGGCTCCGCCGTCAGGGTTAACTGGCATAGGGATAGCTTCATCGTCTCCGGTTCGCCAGTGGTCAAATTCCCCCGCTGCCTTCACCCTTTTATTTGGCCTGTTTTCACGAGATGCATCCAAGTTCAGCCGTAAAATCACTTGCCAGGCTCTGGTAGCCATCTCAATCTCATTCATATTCTTGCCATAGAAGATGCCATGTCTATCTGCTTGATTCACAGATCGTATCTTGAAGAGCAGTCTTGCCTGCCAGTCTATGAACTTCCAATTACGTGTATCTGGAAAGTCGCTGGAAAATTTCCGGTTTCCTTGAGCTTCGCCTTCGGCAAGATGCTTCAGTACTGAGTGGCAGTCTACCAGCCTTGCCTTTTTACCCTTGGATAACTCAACTCCAGTACATCCACGCGTGTATTCATCCCAGTATGGCTTGCATAACTTCCCCCGCATCCATAACTGGAGTGCTTGCACTGTATCGAATCCAAGGAACTCCGCAAGTTTATCCAATGATTGATAGACCCCGGTAGCAGCGCTCATGACGAAAATAACAAAGTGAAAGACTGATGGTTCTAAAAGTAAAGAAATTTAGACATCGTCAGCGGTATGTAGGAGTATTTGTAGGCTGGGTATCCTGCCAACGCGAATCCAACCATGTAAACGGGGAAGCAAGCAATTTCACGCATTTATAGCGTGTCCAATCCAAAACAAAGGCAGGCTTAAGCTGTAATCAAAGACTAAAAAAGAGGGCCCATCTAACCCATGTATCCAAAGGCATTGATAAAAACAGAAAGTACAGGAAATAAGGGGAAAAGTGTATGGCCCTATGATCCAATTAAATGCTCCAAAGTATTACTGTGAAGTGAGTGATAAGTTTGGAGTGGCTGATAGCTATCTAGGGGTATATTTGAGGATATTACAAGAAAAACACCGACATATGCATGGAAAGTACCGGAACTCTCCATTCGATCCCTTTTATGAGTCAAAGAGAAATGACTAGCTGAATAACACAATCGAGTCCGGGACGGTTGTCCTGCGAGCGACAGGGGTTTGTAATTGGAAAGATGCATGTAGCATAGATGTAAAGAGGCTCCTTATTTCTTTCTTGTCTTTAACACACCTCTCCCCTTTTACTTCCTTACTGCCATAATCATACTGTCCTTCTGGTCTCCTAGCCCTTTTAAGCTCCTAAGCTAAGCTGAGATGTAGGAAAGGAGAGGAAGAATTGGAGACCAGAAAGAGGGAGGCATAGAGAAAGTAAAGGGAGAAAGCCCAGTGCCTTTCTCCCTATTAAAGTCCAGTATATGAGCTTGACCATGCTAACTGATCTTGTGTCCAAACTAATGCCTCCCGGTGAGCCTTGCCAGCCAGGTATTCCTGGTCAGAAGGCTGTTGACATGGTGTCAGGGCCAGGCAGCAGCGGCATCAGAAGAGTAAAATCCGCATGGTATAGCAAAGGTGTAGTACATATTGCATGAAGATGGGTGGATGGTATCATATATTGGCCCTGGGCCGCAGAATGTTCATGCACATTTAGGCAACAGCCTGGCTGTGCACGCATGAAGTTTTAACTGACTCCTCGAAACAGCCAGAGTGGACAAGGATGAATAGAAGACATTTCCTTGATATTAATTTCAATCAACAGGAACAGACCCTACAAGATTAGTATTCAACCAAACCAACATCTTCGAAATCACCCACACCAAGATTATTCCCTTTACAATTATATCTGAGAATCTGACATTTCAAACCACCTTTTGTATCAATAAGTATAAAAACCCAAATAACTGCTATAGCCTATTTGGACAGTTACTGACATGTATATATAAAGGATACCATGTCTAACCCAGAACAAAGAGCGTACGAAGAGGAAATAGCCGCTGCGATGGCGGCCGCAGAAGCTGAAGCAGCTGCCCTGGCACAAGCTGAAGCAGAGGCAGAAGCTCAAGCAGCAGCTCAAGCGGAAGCCGAAGCACAGGCGGCGGCAGCAGCAGCAGCACGTGAACAGGCTCGTCAAGATTCAGCAGAAGTCACCAGAGGCCTAATGGACCCAGTCACTATTCGCCAGCTGTCATCCTCGGGACATTTTGCACAGCGGGCCCGCGAAGGGAGGAATCGTTAGATAACCAGGGGTTGGTACATAACCCTCGTACGTCTCTTTACGCATGTTCGTTTGGGGGATATATCAGACCATGAAGCCAAGGATGAAATTAGAGAGAATCCAGTATTAAATCAAGACGACTCTTCGTTAGCAGATTTCCGGAAGAGCTCCCTTAGTTTCTCATCATATACCTCTTTGTCCTTCATCTTTGTAGATAAGACTTCGTCCGCATCAGCAGCCCAGTATTTGTACGCAATTTTTGGATATTCCGAACCTTTTCGATGATCTTGAGCATATCGTGGCTGAATATGTTGGTGAAACAAGTTATATAATCCTTTCGGGCTGTCGAGTGAGGACAAATACCAAAACGTCCCCTTACTCAGCCCTCTCCTCATGATACTTGTGCGATACAGCTCAATGCCATTAATAGGGAAAGGCGCCAGTAACCTCTCTTCTTCCTCGAAAATATCGGCGAACTCTTTATAAGTGTTGGTAAAAACCTCCAGATGCTCGTCCGTAAGCCCATCCACAAAGCGGCCTGACATCCACCAGGGGGGAAATAGATGTTCCACTGGGAGCGAGCATGCCCACTCGAGGTCAATCATATACTTGATGTGCCAATCCTCATCAACAAATATGTTGCTCTGGTGAAGGTCTGTCAGTTGGAAGAAGAACGGTCCGTGGCGGACGTCACGACTTGTATAGTCAGAGAGTACCGTTCGCATCATAGCAAGATTGGCCATCTGGGAACGACCGTCCTCTTCGTCATTCATGGAGTTTGGCTGATACCGTATACGGTTGTCGTGATAAAACAGAGTGTCACGATAGTAAGCCTCTGAGGTAAGATATGTCATCTTTCTGTCAATACCAGTAGGTATACCCAAGTTCTCAAATTCATGTAACCGAAGGGTAAGCGGACGGTTAGCTAGGTGGATCAAACCCTCTGAATCGATTGTCCAAGAGCCAATACGAGGCTGGGGTATCCGGCTTAAAGAAAGCATAACACGCGAAAGATCCCTGAAAAGGGTCTGTCTTTTACGGTCATCCTGGCGTTGTTTCTCCCATGTAACGGAAAGCATTTGTACGCCTGGATCCGCTATAAAGTCGACAAGAATATATCCCTGCTCGAAAGGCTTATCCCGAATACAGCTTATATATTGGCAAGGTAGAGTGTATCCAAGAAGCCGCAAGATATATCGCCGGAAATACCAGCACCATCTTGCAGCTAAAGGTACAGTACTAGGGTCAACGAACTAAAACCCATTCAGTAAGTATTTCCAAGAGTGTAGAAATGACTTTACGAGTTAAGCCATACCGTTTGGCCATCAACAAATCCAAAACCCCATAACTTTGGTATGGGGACATCAGGACAGTTTTCCTGCATCCATACGTAGGTTGCAACCTCGCAACGAAGTTTCTCGTCCGCGTTTCCCGGATAATTCGCCTCTCCAATTTTGTACGGTAATGGAAAGCGAATTAGAAGTCGCTTCTCAGTTGGAGTTACCCCTTTTTTCACATAAATGGGGACGCAAACGTTGAAGCTGCCGTGAAGCCACTCTCTAACATCGCCAACACGACATTGCTCTGGTGAACTTAAGCCCAGTTGGAATGAAACGAGTTCTTGAATCTCTTTCTTATGTTGAACTATCCACAGAAAGAAATCAAATCGCTTGTCAACCAAAGAAAGTCGAATAAGCATGTCCTCCTCCTGAACGAGAGCATCCTCAAGTGTGATCTTGCCTCTTAGGAGAGGGAGGGTAAAGGGTTCCTTGGTTTTTGAAGCTTCCGCTATGGAATCTTTAGAAGTGGACTCTGTAGCAGTTGTCTGTGGAGTTGAAGACTTAGCAGTCACCAGCTCATTGGACGTTTGCTCAGTGGCTGTTGACTCTGCAGATGTTGACTCTGCAGATGTTGACTCTGAGGCTAACTCATTGGTTGTCGGTTCAGCCTTTGGAGACGCTTCGATCTTCGTTTCCTCTACTTGTGTGTTCGACTTTCTGGCTGTAAGTTCTGTGGTGCCCTGTACTATAGTCGGCTCCGGAGCCGGTGGTTCCTGAGCTAAGGGCTCTTCAATGGCTGGTGGGTCTGCCGAAGGCTTATCGACGACCCCATTCTCAACGGGTACTTCGGGCTTCGGGACCGTATCTTCAACCATCACATCAAACAAGTGGTGTACAATCTGTCCAAATGTTAAAGACGAAAGAAACCGAGATCACCAAAAGGGCGATCTTGAGAGTAAATATAGAGTTTTGATGAGGCTGAAAAGCATCTTAGTCAGCAAGCGGAAGCCCCTGAAACGGCGGCCAGGTAGCAACATGCAGGGGCGAAGCGGAAGAAGACGGTGAATACATAGAGTGGTTGAGGGTGTCGAACATTGTATTCCAGAGTGCCGAGTATCTCATGTCTATGGAGTATTGTGCATCTATTGGCCTGGCTGATCTATACCGGCAGCCCCCAGCCTCTAACCCGTCTAAAGACAAAAGCGCGATCATTTCTGAGCGTGAACTCGGCCCAGTCGTCAGTGAGACGGTTGTAACTCCAGAAGCCCTTCCATGCAAGTTTCGTGTTTCTTGATTTATGTGAGCCTGCAGAGCGCAAGCTAAGATGCATTGAATAAGTATACTTCGGGTCTACGCCTTCGGTCTCAATGAACAGATCCCGTGGGTCCGACGTGGAGGCGGATGGGGGCTCAGCGCTTGTGTGCTGGCGGTTGGAAGGCTGGCCACTCGTTGAATCAGGGTTTGTGGGTGCCGGGCCCGTATGGCTAAGAGTTGGCGGGGCAAGTCTCCATCGTCCACGCAAAGTGTGCTTTAACGCAGCCGCGGCAGTAGGTGGCATTGGACTTGCTGTTGAGGTTGCCTGAGGTGCAGGAGCCGGAGTGTCTGAGATGTGCCTTGTATGTTTCCGTCCGGCGGAGCTAGCAGCCAAGAGGTCTATGTTTTCTCTTGAGAGGTGATGGACAACTTCGACTGGTTCTGTAGTGGAAAGTAGTGACAACACAGTACCATCGGGATAAAAGCGTAGATATCGATAGTAGGTGACTATATGGATGGGTGAGTTCCATGAAACGCTCTGCATGGCTGAGTTTGCACCCGGACGCATATAATTGACTGTACTGAGGTAGACACCTGTGAAACGCAGTCGAGGAAAAGCCTGGAAAACATGGGACCAGCTGGTGAGCGGTTTAGGTATAGTAGCCGTTATCTGTGCTGTGAACGGGTGCGAGTGAACAATCTGAGAATCCGATTCTGAGTCTGAGTCTGAGCCGAGGACGTAGCCTTTGTCGATAGGTGAGCCATTGATCTGACAGGCAAAGGAATAATGCATGGAAGCGAGACCGAACTCGGTTCCCTGACACAGTCGACGCCATATATGTTGTTCATGCATAAAATGGTAGGCCAGGCGCTTGCACACAAGAGATAGTCGAAAGAACAGAGCCGGGTCAAGCAGGGCTACATGCTTCAGGATCTCTATCAGTACCTCCGAGGGCAAACGGGCAATCGGGCATGGCGGAGGCGGTGTGTTTTCTATAATTGGATCCGCAGGGAGAATCGGCAGGCTGGCAAATGATGCAATATCTACCTTTTCTCCTGCTGACGGTTGTGTCGAGCCTGAGGTCGGTGCTGCTGGTGGTATATACGGTTTGGCATTGGCATGATGCTTTTCCCGGTATGCTTGGTCAACTTTGGCATCGAGCTGAACTTTGCAGTCAGTATACACATCGCTAACAATTAACGAAAACAACATACACGGTAAGCCTTGCGGTACAAGCTCAGACTGTCTCCCAGTCTGCCTTGGTCCTCTTTCTCAATGGCTCGCTCAAAATGCTCAAGGGCTGACTGGGGCGCTTTCTCCTCAGTTTTCTCACTTCCCAGCTCCAACGACTTGAATTCCCCATCCAGCTCGGACGTGTCAACCTTGGTATAGCCATCCTCATCCGCCTCATCTGCCAGATCCTGTGGAAGCTGTATTGATGCCTGTGGCCGTGGCTGCAGCGACTTCCGCCGCTCTGCCGGTCTGGCTTCTGCCGCCGGCTGCTGTTGCGATTGAGCCGGCGGTGGCGGGTGTCTTGTGCGAACTTCCTCCAGCCACTGGCGTCGAAACGACTCGAGCTCATCTTCCTGCTGACCCCCAGCCATCTTTTCGTCTATCCAGAGCCTCTCTATCCCTTTAATTACCGTACATAAATAAAATGGAAATATTCAAGGAGTCATCAGCTCTCGCTCCTTCGGCTATGACGGTGTCGGGATTATATAATCAATCAGATAAGCGGTATCAAAGTTTCTCCGAAGTCCGACCGGCTTATCAATCTAAATTTCTTTCCTAACGGTTCTTTTTCTTCTAAGGTTCCTTTTTGACGAGTCGAAGAGAAAAGAAAAAACCCATCTCAACGCAGTTTCTGCACATTTTTACGCCCTTTCGGAGTTACAATCTCTTCCTCCGACCCTCCGGATAGTTTTGGATAGCTAGGAGAGTGATCGATAAAGCACCTGAAGGGTGGATGAATGCCTCATGACGCTGAGTCTGCGGGTGCCTTGAGCACCGGCGCTGGCAATTTCAACTCCAGCGAACAGACAGCGTACACGAACAACAGCGATAGAAACAGCAGAAACAGCAAAGATAACAGAATCCCGATAGACACGATGACCCCTCGACCGAGCAGCGGCGCTGGCAGCCGTGAGAGTGATGCCTCGGCGCAGTATGAGAACATATCAACCAGCCAGAAGATGATATCCGCCACCTGGGGGAGCCTTCTCACCTCGTTATTAGGTATGGCCTCCTGTGTCCTGCTGGAATTGAATTGCAGCTGACAATGATAGTCACACCGCTGGATGTGGTCAGAGTGCGTCTTCAGGCGCAAACGCCGGTTATCCGGGCCTCCCTGCCTACATCGCCACAGCCTACAACGCTTACATCTGTCTCCCCGTCACCACTCAATTTCTTCCGACACCTCCCTCCAAACCTCGGTGTGACGGCGTGCTGCCGAGAAGTCTTCTGGATAGGAGAGAATGCACAGACGCAGTTCTGCCTGGTGAACCAGCCACCACCAACTGCTACGTCCAGTACGTCTGCTCCTACATCTACTATAACGTCTCCACAACCGTGTGTGGTCGAACAACGCAAGTCATACACATCGACGCTCGACGGGCTACGCAAGATAGCACGCCATGAGGGCCCATTGTCTCTCTGGCGAGGGCTTTCGCCCACCCTAGTCATGGCAATTCCAGCCAACGTCATCTACTTCACGGGCTACGACTGGCTACGATACGACAATGCCAGCCCTGTAGCAAGCTACGTCCCTGCCAGCGCGGCTCCGCTGGTAGCAGGTTCCGTAGCGCGGATAGCAGCCGCATCCGCCATCAGTCCGATCGAGATGTTCCGAACACGACTGCAGGCGATCCCGGCCGGGGGAGGAATGCATGGCCCAGACCACTTCAAGGCAACGCTGCGAGATCTCAACAAGATGGTGCATCGAGAAGGGTACACTTCTCTCTGGCGAGGTCTGACGCTGACTATGTGGCGAGACGTGCCCTTTTCCGGCTTGTACTGGTGGGGATACGAGCGCATCAAGCGCCAGCTCGAGTCAATGAGAGGCCATGCTTTCCCACACGCTTATGTCGATCCGCTGCTCAAGGGATCACCAACAGCGGCAGCAAAAACCACACCAGCAACTGCAACATCAGCAGCCGGAGCAGCGTCTCACTCGCCGAGCTCGACGGTGGTGTTTGTCGAGAGCTTCACAGCCGGCGCCGTGTCTGGGGCTGTGTCTGCGCTGGTAACGACGCCCTTTGACGTGGGCAAGACGAGACAGCAGGTGGCCTCGGGCTCGTCTGGGTCCATCCCGCGCTTCCTGCTCAGCATCCTGCAGGAAGAAGGGCTGCAGGGCCTGTTCAGGGGCTGGGCAGCTCGCTGTCTCAAGGTCGCCCCAGCCTGCGCCATCATGATATCGAGCTACGAGGTCGGCAAGAAGGTCGCCAGCAAGGCCAACGACGACCACCCGTAGCCCTCGCGCCTTTTATCTACCCCTTATCTGCCTGTATATCTCTCATGAATCGTGTCTATATAGCAAATACAACCAATTAATGCCGTAATATCTACTCCGAGCTCGTCGCCTTTTTATATGCTCTCTGGCACCGGCGCTAGCCACCTCCTACTGCCACGCCCTCTGCTACTGTCACGCACAGCACCCGCAGCAGTAACGTAGTAGTAGCGTAGTAACACCCAGTACGGGCATAGGGCGTGCCCCGAGCAGCCGGTGCGTGCGAGTGGAGCTTCCCTAAGCTCGGGCGCTCCCCGCGCTTTTTCCCACTTTGGCGCTTTTTCCAACTTCAACTTCAACCTCAAACTCCAACCTCGAGCAAAAACCGCCAGCACAGCTTGAGCAGCGACCCGACCAGCTCGCCCGCCCGCCCGCGCACTCGAGACGACCGCCTCTGCGTAGTGACCGATGCCCTGATGCTGCTGCCATGCCCCGGCCGTCTCTCACAAGCTCGTTCTCCGTCTCGGACGCCACCAACGAGGTCGTCTGTCCGCTAGCAAACAACGATGGCTCGAACTGCCGCAAGCGATGTCTAGGGGTTTGTCCTCGTCTTTCAAGCTCCAGCTGCCGATGGCTGTGCCCGTCGAGATGCATACTGACCGTTCTGTAGGAGAAGAGGTACCGCTCAATGCAGGAGCACATCCGGCGGGCTCACCCGAACCACTACATACCAAAGCTGCCAGCTACCGAGGAGAGCTTCCAGCTCATGGTCAACACGCCACCGCAGCAGCCACCACAACAGCAGCAGCAGCAGCAGCAGCAGCAAGCATCTCAGCAGCAGCGCCAGCAGCACCAACAGCACCAGCTTCAGCAGCAGCAGCAGCAGCAGCTCCAGGCCAGAGAGAAGGATGTCGAGCATCCGGCAGCTACTACGGCTGCGGTGGCGTTGGCGCAGCTGCAGCAGCACCATCGTCTCGACTGGGACTCAGAGCCGGTATTGTCCTGTCCCTCTCTCTTACCCCCTCTCTCTCATTCCCCCTCTCTCTCCGTCTCTCCCTCTCTCGGCCGTCTAGGCTGTTTGATTTTGAGCCAATGGATGCTAATTGTGCGTGTGTGTCTACGTGGTTAGGATGATACGGACATCCGGTCGGTCGAGCTGCCGCCCATCCGTGACTTGAGGGATTCCTTTCATCCACGGCAGCGAGAGCTGCTGCCGTCCATTCTGCATCCGCATCATACCCACTCTCCGCCAGGCCGCTCGTCGACTCTGCCACCCATCAACCGCAACCAGAAGATCCAACGGTCTCGGAAAGGGTCGCTGACGCACTCGCATTCGGCCCGTAAGGCCAAGCACGACCGCAACCGCTCCAAGGACTTCAAGGACTTTAGAGACATCACCCGTCGCCGGTCGCTCAACGAGCGCAAAGCTCTCTCCGCCGAGCCGCAGACGGCCGCCGCCTGGGTCCAGGGCAAGCGATGGGAGGACCTGATCGAAGCTGCCACCTCGGCCACGGAAGTCGACGATCGAGACATCACCCCAGTGCCCCAGTCGCCTCCCCCAACATCGTCGTCTTCTTTCCAGCCTCACTCCCCGTCCTTTAATTCACTGGCAAGCATCAAGCATCGCTCATCGGTTCCCCCAGCGTTTCAGTCGCCGCCAACCTCCAACCAAAACTCGACCTCCATCACTTCGCAACCAGCTGCCGCCACCTCTCACCCGCTCCAGCCGACTCCGTACACCGCTTCCCCGTTGCAAAAGTCACAGACTCCACCACCTTTCCACCGCGATCGAGACACTGACCTCGAGCCGTTCCCCTCTATTGAGTCGAGCATGGACGTCACCAAGCCTTATCTTTCCCCTCCCAGGCCGGTCACCTCTTACCCACAGCAGCAGCACAACATCTACCCGCACCCACACCCTCATGCTCACCACCCGCTCCACCCGCTCCATCCACGCCACCGTCTCTCAAACCCGGCTCCTTTCACCTCCACCTCCGCCTCGAGCTCGACCTCCAACGTCTCCATCTCTAGGGACAAGGATCTGCACATCCACATCTACTGCGCGTCTTGCTCCCGCCCAAAGGCTATCCGGGACTGCTTCGCCTGCACAGAATGCATCTGTGGCGTCTGCAGAGACTGTGTCCCTGCCCTATCCCTCTCCATGCATTCATCTGCAGGCTCCCCTCCGTCTTCCTCCTCCACGGTCGGTGCAATGGGTATTTCCGTTCTCAACCTTGGCCCCACTAGCAGCCCTCGCTCCGGCGGTAGCTCTGCCGTAAACAGGCTGGCACGCAGCAACAGCACCAACACGACAATGTCCAACCACTCGAGCATTCACGCCAATGGCAAGCATGACGGTAGGCAGGGCCACGGATGTCCCAGGTGCGGCGTCGTGGGCGGCAAGTGGAGAGCTTTCCAGCTAGATTTCCGATGACGGCCAGATACAAACTGTCAACGACTAACCGGCGTTTCTTTCTCATGCTTCATTCTTCTTCTAACGACCCTAATGCCACGCTATACCTTGCCGCGGATACCACGCATTACGACCTATACAAATAAATACCTTACCAGTTGGTTGGTGGTTAGTCTTCTTTGCTTTCTTTCTTTCTTTCTTTTTTTTTTTTTTTTTCGCTCTCTCACTTAGTCGCCTGCTGATATACACTTACACCTATAGCTCCATTAACTGTCTGCTTGATTCGCTTCACTGCCTATCCTCGCTTACCCAAATCTGCTTGCGTATACGTGTTTACAGCCTCCTCTCGGTCTGACTACACCTCGCTTTCTCCCGTTATGTCTGTTTATTCATGTTCATGTTCATGTTTATGCTTTTAACGCCCCTGTACCACTTCCCAGTTCTCCAATTTTTCCTAGCCTGCTTTCTCTCTCCTCTTTCTCCATCCCCTTTCTCCCATTTTCCTCACTCTATATACACTCTGGTTAAATCCCCTGGTCGGCCGGCGGGTGGTTGGTTAGTTGGTTGGTTGACTTGGTTAACAAGAATTCAGAAAAGAAAAAAAAAACCGTATAAAAAAGATCTCCTTCCCCTTTCCTACACCCACCCACGCCCCCTTCTACCCTCTACCCTTCCTTTTGGTATTCTGGTTCTGGCACTCGCGTTTAGGTTCTAACCTGGCTGGCCCGGGGCCGTTGGCCTTCTAACGGGCCAAGCTGCATTTTCCTTCTGTCTGTTTTTTGTCACCCCCCCTTTTTTTTGTACATACTGTTCTTCTGTTTTTCTTGGAGCGAGAAATATACACTTATTACACTACTATTATGAATATAGTACAGCACAATCTAATATACGCAGGCAAGCAAGAAGGCAGGCAGGCAAATTGGATGGAGAGAAAAAGTGCCGAATGGGTATTGTGTGAAAGTATCAAAATACATTTTTAAAGAAGACAGGTGTGATAGTAGATCGATGAAAATGAGATGAAAGCACTCTTCTGCACTGGACTAGTTGAACTCGAGCTCTTGATGGTTCGACTGGTCAAGCAAACAGTACGAAGATGATAAGCACAGTCTGGTCGGGAAAAGAGGTAGTAGGCGGATAGGGAGATGTGTTTGGTCAGATGAATGGGGTGAAAGGGGATGGTAGAGGATAGATGGCTAGTAGTGACGAGGGTAAGTAGAGAAAGAAATAGAAAGTATGGCTAACTCGAAAATAGAATAGGAACGGAAAATTGACGGAGAGGGTCCTTATCAAGCAAGCAAATAGAAAGAGAAACGAGACGGCCAATTTGAAGACCAAAAACACTGTGGGAGAGAAGAGGAGATATCAAATCGAAGCAGGACAGAGAAAAATAATTAAAAGGAGATAGAAAAGTAAATTGGATGGAAAAGGAACAAAAGGTAAACAATTGCAACCGTCTTTCCAGTTCCGGTTTCAGCTCCAGCGCCAGAATTCAATCATGCATGCTTCTTACTTTGCTTGTCCTATGAAGGACCAAAATTTACCTCCATGGCGGCCTTTCGTCTTTTCGAGTACCTGTGGCACTCTCACGTCCGGATCGACCGGCCACTCCTGTTCTAGGGAGAGGAAGCATGCTGCTTCGACGGCTGGAGTGACCTAGAGAAGTCCCTGGACGGGCAACCGTAGGTGGAGGCCCAGCGGACTTTTTAGCCCCAGGGCCATCGTTGGTTGGCATAAAACTGGTCCGAGGGCTAGGAACACCAGCATAACTCTGTCTACTCCTTGGGGCAGTGGCTAGTGCTGGTTTAGGAGATGCAGCTAGCTTGGACACTGGTGTTGGAGCAGGGACGCCCGGTACAGGGGTCTTTGCCCTTCGGGTGGGAGTAGGAGGCATTAGTCTTGATGCTGGCCTTGCTGTTGCGGTGGTAGTGGTGGATGAAGCGGATGATGCTGCAACGGCAGCTTGTTTGCGCAATTTGCTGTATGGAGGAGGATCAAACACTGATGGTCTGGGTGAAGGGGAGGGAGATGGTGATGGAGCAGTTCCGTGAGCATGGCTGGTACCGGGCTCTAGGGAGCCACGGTCTGTTACGCCGCGATGAAGGCGGCTTGATGGTCTCCCAGGAGCGGGGGATGAAGAGGATTCGCGGCTGAGGGGACTGCGAAGACCAAAGGAATAAGTGGACTGGCTGTGAGATGGGCGAGGTGAACGAGAAGATATGGGGACAGGGAGGTTCCTGTTTGATGATGATGATGATGATGCAGGAGTAGGATTTTGTGGTTTGTAGACGTGGCCTACAACGAGGTCTTTGGTGTTGTATGTTGCGTTCCACCGGGGTCTACCGTCAGGGACGTAGTTGGAATATGTGAGCACAGTCAAGGGGTCTACCAATCCTGTCCGCGATGCAGGACGTCCGGAGTGATTGGTAGTGGTTATCTTAGGTGTGCTGACTGCTCGCGGAATAGACGGCTTGCGGGGAGTATGTCCAATGCCGGTTGAAGTTGGACCAGGTAGAGCAGAATGGCGTTTGAGTTTTGCTGCAGTACCCCTAGAGGCGGTGCTGCCACCACCTGCAACGCTGCTTCGCCTGCTGGTATCCTGTATCATGGTGTGGTTGTTAATGTTAGCCGTGCTACCATTGGTGTTGCCGTTTGATATGATAACAGACGAAGCAGGAGAGCTTCCAGGGGTACCGATGCTTCGACCTGCAGGGCTGTCGAGAGTAAGTATGCTCGAGACAGAATCTCGTAGTTGTCGACTGTTGAGCTCGTCCAACAGTGCGTCCATGGCATGTACACTGGCCTGCAGCGCATCAAACCTCGCTGTCAGGTCGGCAAGAAGCCGAATAATCTCACCATTGACAGTCAGTCTGTCATTGATGCCCTTCTGGATGATAGAAAGCACCCGTTCAATAGCTGATCCATAGTGCACTTTCTTTGCTTCAAAGTTCTCTGCACGTTTAGCAAGCGCGGTGGGATTGTTATGTTGTATGCCTCCCTCGATGGCTTCACGCAGCTTCAAGACGCTCCTCTCGACAGACTCGCACATCTTGTGTGCCTGTTTGCCTGCGTTTCTAAACACGATGACCCATCTATCCTCAGCCAATTCGCGTCTGAGAGCCTCAGAGTCTGTCTCTAGTTTCTTGTAACCCTGTTCGAGACGGAGTCTTCGGTCTTCGAGTTCTTCGCAGGCGCTGGGGAAGATATCTTTGGCTCTGGACTGGAACATAGACAGTCTCATGGGTAGGAAGTCAAGGGATGCCCGAAGCGGCTGCATCCGTGCAAACAAGGCCAGCAAGCTTGATTCATCCTGCTGGTTCCCTGTTCCTGGTGTCTGCGTGCCGGAAGACATGAAGGGTGCAAAATTAAGCCGTGGGTTTGTAGGTATATTTGACGGCGTCTCTTCGACAATGGTCTCAAGCTCGTTGATATCTAGACCTGTCGTTGGCTCATTGTCCATCTCCATGACCATGACGGACTTGTGTCTCTTTTCCTCCATTTCAAAGATCATTCTCGACAGGTTGTCAATCTCTAGGCCGACGTCTCCGAGTACAGCGTTCCATAGCTCCTCCCATTCCATTGCCAGTTCGACCTGTTCCTTGACTCCATGTAGCAGAGCGCCTACTTTCCCCCAATTCTGAATGGTCTGTTCCATCTGTGTGACAATGTTATTCAGCGATTCGGAGCCAACCTCTGCGATGTCCTCGCGGACCTGGACCTCCTCGATCGCCTTGACATAGACATTGACCAGACATTCGAACTTGGAGACGGCCTTGTCAACATCGTCCAGGCCTTCTCTGCCTCCAGCAGCAGCCCATTCGACGTCATCTTCGGCCTCGAGTCCCCCCAACACCTCCGACGCTTTGTTTGTCCACTTCTGAATCTGGTCTGCAGCGCCGCTGAGCGCTCGCACGGCGGCCGGGGCACTCGATATCGACGCTATGCTCTCCTCGAGGGCGGCTGGCTGTGGTAGGCTGATGGATGTGAGCTGGGAGAGTTGGTTGCTGAAAGACGCCCGGGAAAAGGAGTATATGGAGTCTGGTCTGTTGAGGCCGAGAGGGTTAAAGTACGACTCTGACGCGTTTGATCCGGTGCTCGAGTGTCCCAGCGGCGGTGTGTCCTTCGGCGGCGGCGGCGGAGGGATGTCAGAATCGGCAGCATCTATCGTCGCCCCGTGGCTCATTCCCGCCGTCCCCATGGTACTCAAATGTATATCAGTATCAGTAGACGCGTCCTTTTCCTCCACAGTAGGGAGGATCCTATGATCTACCACTGGCACTGGGACTAGAACTGGAACTGTTGCGGCTGTTGCTGTTGCTGTCGATGTTGCTGTCGATGTTGCAGTTGCAGTTGCTGCTGCTGCTGCGTCTCGTTCGGCGTGGTCGTTGGCTTCTAGTTCAACGGGGCTTGTCTGCAAGTGTGTGCGGCCAGAGTCCTGCTCCCGGTGCGGCGCACTCAGTCCACCGCTCCACGCCCGTCCGCGCCGCTGCACCCGGATGGAGAGGTCGACGTTCTGTCGTTCGAGCTCCTGCAGCTGGGAGGCCGGTATTTTCCCCACCGGGCTCTTGGACTGGCTTCGAGCCGACGCAGTGTCAGACTTGCTTGAAGCCCCGTCCAGCAGCTTCACGCGCGCCGCAAGACTGGGCGACAGCCGTCGGAAGATGGACTGTCTCCCCTTGTCCTTGGGCTCTGTAGCCGCGTCTTTCTCAGTGTTTGTCGTAGCAGTATCTGTCGCCCTGGCTGTGGTTGCAGCAGCAGCAGCAGCAAAGACCGGCGCTACTCCAGGCGTATCTCGGGTCGACGGTGACCAGGAAGCGATGCGTTGGGCAGCAGAACGGGCAGCAGACGCCCGCTTGGGGAGAAATATCGAGTCGACGGCGCTCGACGGCGACGCTGGAGTGTCCCTCGAGTCTGCAGCAGCAGTGCCAGATCTGGTGCCAGGCCCCGAGACGCCTGGGGGCATTGATACGTCGTCCCGTCCAGCTGCTGGCGTGGCTGATGCTGGCGTCCTTCTCGTCGCTCTCGACTGCGGCTCGCTCGTCCGGCTCAGCAGCGACAGGCCATGCCGTCCCAGCCCTTGTACCGATACCGCGAAGATGTCTCTGCTCGTAGCTGATGCTGGTGCTGGTGCTGTTGTGGCGGTTGTCCGGGTGCTGGTGCTGGCGCTGGCGCTGACGCTGGTGTTGGTGAAGTTGGCGAGCAAGTTGGTGATCTCGCTCCTGGAACACTTGCTAGCAACCCCTGGAAATTGCACTCTGCCCGCGACGGCGACGACGGCGGCCTCTACACGCCCTTTTTCCCTTTTTTCCCTGGTTACGCTGTGTCTCTCGGGCTCCTGGCATTTCGGCATGCTTGTTCTCCCGCTCGACTCCGTGCTGGCTTGCCTACCAATTCTACCACTACATCAGGGGGCGTGAGTGTGCGTGTGTGTATATACCATCTCGGTCCCCTTATACTCGCCCGTGTAAAGAAGGACGGCAAGAAAAGGACCTTGCTGCAGAGGCAGACGATGGTGCAAGACCGGCAGTTCAATTGCAGATGCATCCTGGCATCCATGGACAGGGACATGGACTGTACGACGTGGTACCAATGGGGATTCATGTCTCGTTACATTAGCCTTGATATTATACTATTGTATATGCATCCAGATATACATATTCCGGACAGAAAAGAAAACAAATAAGATGGAGAAGAGAAAAACAGAATAAGAAGAACAAGAAGAAGAAAAGAGAAAAAGGCCCGCTATCATCCGTATGGAGACAGAGTCGAGGGAGACTTGACTGCAGGCTCCTCCTCGCGGGAGCTCCAGTCCTGCATCACCTCCTCCCTCACTGTCCGGCACCACTGCAGGATGGCAGCATCGAAGCCTTTCCAGGCCTCCGGCTTGTCTCCGGTCACGATTGCCATCACATCGACCTCCAGACGCAGCTCCCAGCGTATCTCGGCCGCCTTGACCCAGAAGCGGAGGTTATCTGCCATCCGATACGGCTTGTTCACGTCGTCGTGGAACGTCTTGATCGCGCCAAAGGGCCGGTATGACAGCTTGACGGCCTCATTGTGAAAGCGCACCAGGTCCCGGCCGTCCCGCAGACGGGCCAGGAAGGGCGTGGGCAGCTCCTGTTTGCTGTCCTCGCTGCTGTCGATGGGATCCCAGGCCGGCAGCGGAGTGACGGCTGGGGGGGTCAGGTTCTGCAGGAATTGATACTCCCTCTCACGCTCGTGGCCGGTCCAATCGCCGCTTGTCCATGTCCAGCTCTTGCGCTTGTGGCGCTCTCCGGCTTCTATCTTGCGTTCTTGCTCCAGCATGCGGCCAATGCCGTCGATCCAGTCGAGGATGGACGACCGCTCCTTATCCCTGAGTCCCCCGGCAAACGACCGGGACGCCCATCTCTTTAGAACCTCGAGTACTGATAGAAGCTCGGCCCTGATTTCCTTTTCACTCTTGATCTGGGCCAGACGCTCTGGGTGTTCGTGGGCCGTATAGTAGATTCGTGCCGCACGTATGGCCAGAGTGACCAGGTCGAGTATGTGCATCCCCTGGATCTCATCCCAGCCCTTGGGCTGCTTCTTTGACGGTGTCTCCTTCTGCTCGTCCTTCTCATCGTCATTATTATTATTGTTGCTGCGGTTGCTTCTGTTGTTGTTGTCGTCGTCGTCGTCTTTCTTATTGCTTGCGTCTTCGTCTACCTCTATCTCAGGTAGGTTACTGCCGTCCTCCTTGGTAGCGAGCTCACTCGCTGCCAGCTTCTGGGCTGCAAGTTCGTCCTTGCTTGCCGTCAGGACGTCTCTCGCCTTCTCCAAGGCATTCTGTAGATCATGTCTCAGGGCGTTCAGGTCCGGTGGCGGCGGTATATAATGCGTCTTTATGCTGTATGTGCTCACAGTCGGGGGCAGCATGAGAGGTTCATGTTCGTATTCATCCCATGCGCCAGCGTCATCGTCCATTCCCCCAAACTCCCCGAACGCCTCGATGGGACTCTGGACCAGATCCCCGTCCAGATGCACTTCCTGGCTCAGCGTGAGCTTCGGTATTTCAGCGTCCGTAGGCTTCTTCTTCGCTCTGGCCATCTGAGCACCTTTCCCGTCCAGCAGCCCCGTCCGGGCAAAGTAGTACTGCAGATGGGCGATGCTCCCCAGGCTCATCACGCTCTCCCGGTTCTTCGCCGACTCTGCAAACGTGGCACCCTGAGGACGGATGTAGCCTCTCCTGCGGGAGCCGGTCGAGGCAGAGGAGAGCACCGACGACCTGGCATCGCCTGAGAAGTTCGAGATGGACGAGACGGTCGAAAAAGTGCGGACCGGCGATGGACAGGAGGATATTGCTGGCGTCGGCGACAGAGAGGGAGACCGAGACAACTCACGGGCGACGCCCTGAGAATCAGCAGTCGGTATATCAATAGCTTCGCTCATTTTTCCCGTCTTTGTCGTCTTTCTCTTTCTTGTCTGTCTGTCAACAAACAACAGTTCCACGGCGTGTGATGGCGAACAACCGATGAATCTCTCTCGACCAAAACAAATCACCAAAAGGAGTTAACGCCAGAAAGGACGGCCAATCTCCTATCCATGCCAGTTGTTCATAGTAAGTACGGGCAAAATCTCAAACACATCAGTGCATATCCTTGTCGAAGAAGAGGGAAGACGAGAAAAAGTAATCAGGTCACTAAATATTTAGTTTCAGGTCGGCGGTTTCAGGGGCAATCCACTCTATTGGCCAACCTCCGTAATCTTCTTCTGCTGTTGAATCTGATAGTACGGAGTACTTTGTACTGACTCTCTTCCCAAGGCCGGGAGTAGCCATAGAGCGATGTATTGAAGGCCGAGCGACCTGGCGAACTGTAAGGCCTTTCATTATTCGTTGTTGTACTCCGTAGCCACACTGCATGCTGGATGGCTGTCCCCTTCTCGCAGCCAGGCTTTGGCCACACATTTTAGACTTATATACGGGACGATCGACAGCACTTCATATCCGTCGTGTGCATTAAGTAACCTCCCCATAGTATCCGAGGGCTTGTCTCGTGCTCAGCTTGGATATGAAACATAATGCGGTCATCCGTTGGCATGTGTATATATGGGCGCTGTGGATGACAGGAAACGAGAGCTGTTGAGCCCCTGCTTTTGCGTGTAACCAGTCGGTGGCTGCCTGCGACCCGGAAACAAGCAAACGAATTGCAGAGCCGAATTAAATCTGCATGCACCTGAGAAGAAACCGTCGCCCCGAATGCTATCATCGTCAGTAAGGCTCTCCCAGGCCCTTTCGCCCTTCAACCCCTGCAGTTGCTGCCGTGCAAGAAACACATGAAAACATAAGAATGCCCTTAGATGAACGTCTGGGGACGATTATCGGGTTCACCTTGGTAACTATCGCCCCGACAAGGAGACGATGTGCATCCAGGGTCGTCCCATTCCACAGCACCGCATAACCCTAAGCAGACGCTTAGAACGCGTCTGCTTGATTGACATCTTTTCCGAAATTTGAATGACACGCTGTATGGGCCGTATGAAGACTGTTCTAGTGTGTTTTATTCATGGAGGTCTAGTAAAGTGGCCAGTATCGGAAAGCACATACCCCATATGGCTTATTTATGTCTCCCCGATGCCCTTCAGTTCCAGCAGGTCAGCTATGTTCGTCTTTTTATGCCACCAGGTGTATACTTAGTTGCGTTTAAAGGACCAGAAACCCGGAATAATTCCTGTTGACTGCATCCAGGAGTATATAGGTAATTCTTTGGGCCAAGTAGGCTCTCGCAAAGTGTTTACCGCTTGCGGCACATTGGTATAAATGGAAGCTTGTCCGGCCGCGCATTTGATACGGCATGTGAAAATGTGCTTCCAAATACTATTTTCAGCCTGGTCAACCGTTGCCAATCCCAGATAACATTCAACCAAATCCAACCTGCACTTGGTAACTTTTTATATTTTTCCTTCTACGGGGAACCAACCTTCATCTTACGCATGGGAGTTATCAACCAACTAATGCTCCCTTGGATGCTGGAGATGATGTTTCTCTAGAAATATGTATGCTCTAAAACATGAAATTATATGTCAAAACGAAATTTGAAAGCTAAGAGCTGCCTACACAAACCGGATTTATTGACATGATGATAGTCGGTGACAAAAATTCCACCCGTACCCTAACCGCAAGATACACAAATACTAAACAAAATGATACTTCGAGTATACCTTGATTATCCGAAGACACATACTTTGTAGCTAACATCTTCAACAAACTGAGAAAAGTGTTTTGTTAAAGGTATGTCTGGCCTCTTATCTTCAAACCTGTTTTGCTCAAGGAACGAAACTGTCATTTCCTTTTATTGGCGCCCACTGAGTTTCCTAATTACACTAAATTTGGATAAAAATGGAGACATATCAGGTATATCTGTTAATTGTAGATTATTCCACAATCTACATGTATTTCTTCTTAGGCTCAAGGCCTTCATGCGAGTACGAGTTGCATTCTTTGATTTCACTACCAAGGATCCTATCCATGTGCAACTCGCCAGTGATACTCACCAGTGATATAGGCTCAGAAACGTTCCATAGATGCTCCTCCATGAGGGTGAAATGAATTTAATTCCTCGCTATAGTGTTCAAGTATGAGTATTTTCCGTCTCAGTACAACCGCCTTGAATATTACTATGACGTATACATTTTGTTCCCCGACAAACACCTTACAACAAAGTTATGAAATCTTGTGACCGCCTAGATGATCCTACCCAATCTAATTTCAGTCCACATTTCAACTTCCCCCTATATTTAATACCATTATAACCGTCAAGATAGTACGGAAATGTTGAGACCGAATTGACAGACAAGATTTGCTATAAATGGTCGGAATGATGGCAGAGTAAATGAACGAGTGTTTCTCGGTACATTATCTAAATCCGAGATCCTCGCTAGTTTCTGCATATCTGCATGCATCTCAAGCCATGTATCACCAAGTCCATGCCTACCCCTGTGCCCTGATATTTAAACTTTAAAGTTGCCGCGTAGACGCGTCGAGTTGCACAGGATAAAGTTTAGTCTCCACCGATTTGCATTAGTGTAAACTTTAAAACTTTCAACAAGGCCAGGTTGGAAAAGGGGCAGAACATACTTGCTTAGAGGAGTATTCTCTAGGATCCCAATATCCAATAAACATTTCTGGTACTCCCTAGTTGTACTATGATTACCTAGCTTAGCTATACTTTCATTTAGCTAAGAAAGAGAAATTACGTCTACTTCGTGAAGTCTCATTTGAAGATATGCAATTAGATTCCATTTATCACTCGAAACAATCAGAGGCTGCAGTTAAAAGGCTTGCTTTGATGGTACGTCCTTACCCCTTACTAGACGGGAAAAATTAAGATGTCTTCCAATCCTGATAATTTTCCTTTAGAGTTGTGAAGTTCGTTGATTTTCGTGGAGTGGATAAAGCAGCACAGACAAAATGTCCTGATCGCTGTCTCGTAATAATTTAATATTCTCCGATGTGTGATCATAACTAGTCAAACAAGGGCGCGGAAACCCACTCTTAATTGACTTATGTTTTATTGAATAGATGCCAAGTACATTCTAACGAATAACCAATAATAGTGTGCTGGTACTCCGTATGTAGGTATACCAACTAACTCGCTGGTCGCCCATATCTCTGTACCCCCTGAAATATGGTCTCTATTGGATAACACAACCTATATAGGAAACTCTAACAAATATGTTAACCATCTAAGCCCCGGCAACAGGAGCTGCCGCAGTGGGTTCGGTGCCAGCTGTCTCGGAAGTATCCTTTTTCTCGGAAGTAATAGCCGCTGCAGTCTCATTCTCCTTTGTTTCTGTCTTATTTCCCTCTTGCTTCTTTTGCCATTTTGGTGGTCTAACCCATTGTGGGTCATGCCAGGGGCCTGCATCGGAGTTCATGCAACCGCCTTCGCATTCACAGGAGCCGCCGAATTCCTTTGGTAGGTTCTCTGCAGGAACCTGCTTAAGCAATTCCGCCTTGTATCCAGAACCCAAAATGTGAATCTTTCCAACAGTAACAGGATCAAGCCAGCCCTTGACAACACTCCAGACAGTAGAGAAGCCCCACGGTGCATTGATCAAGTACAATTTCCCTAGCCGTTCAGGATAGTAGTTTTGAGAGACTACAGAAACCTGGCGGACGTAGGAATACACCGAAGGCACCTTTGTGAGAGTAACGCCCTTGAGATCCATGATGCTACAACTAGTTTCCACGAGGGAGCCAGCCTTTCGGGAGCAAGCAGGGAGGCGAGGATCAGACACACGTTCGTACTCAACGGCAAGGTTGGTAAGCATACGCTCGGCGGTGGTAATCTTGTACATGGCTGTTAGGTCAATGCCACCGAGTGTCTCGATATAGATAGGGCGACCATCCTAGAAAAAGTTCATCAGATATTAACCATGAGAACTAATCAGAGTCCCGAGGTTCGAACCTTATCCGTTTTATGGTAGAATTGCTTATAATACTTGGAAACCTCGGGTTTCTCGGGATAGTCCCAGACAGGGACGAGCTCATCGAGCTTGATTTCTTTCCGCCACTTTTCACAGTCGACAAACCTGTAGGCGGTTAGTGGAACGCCCTCTCCGAGCTAATCTATCTCTAGACAGACCAGAATATCCTTAGCCTTACATCTGCTTCGACAGATTAACGTCGAACTTGCGAGCACGGAGGAATCGTAGCTATCATTCCGCCACGTAATGATTAGCTAGTGTTGATGTTTACCATTTCTTTCACCACTAAATTCTGTACTGTCGTACCAATGTTAAGGTGTCAAGACGTTCTGTATATCCCTCAGCCTCCAGCAGCATCCGTAGCTGGTGGACTGCAGCTATCTCTTGATCGGTCAAGTGTCCGGGGTGGCCATTCTGCGGAGTGGCGGACTGGAAGGGGAAGTCATAGCCGTCGTATTTGGGGTTCAAGTCCATGGTAACGGAGGGAAAATAGATAAGCAGTTTTGAAACAAACGAATGGAATAACACCAAAAAAGCTCTAACGCTGGAGTTTCAAGCTCTGGATAAAAACAAATCGCTTCAGCCAAAACGGCTTTTGATGTTTTTTTTTTTTTCCTTTTTACTTTCTTTTTTTCCTTCTGGAACTTTTTCGTTGCTTTTATTACGTAATAGCTTCTCGGTATATCAATACTCCTATATCCGGCTTACTCAGCTGTCCTGGGCGGCTGCCCGAACACTGGAGTTTTATGTTAGGGAGCGAAAGGCAAGCGGAAGACATGATCTTGTCGCCTCCTGCGAAGTGACACCTGCTCAGGGTTGTTTTCTCTCATGCCTGACGCCTGACTGGGATGCCCAAAATGCTTAGTTGGCTAGTTGATATACAATGCCAAGCCCACTTTTTTTTTTTTTTTTTTTTTTTTTGAATATACGAACACCCTGCAGTTCTAAGGCACTCGAATAAATTTTTACTCGATAAATATATCATCCTTTAAATTGGTTTAAATACTTCTATTCTAAAAGGGATCATATCCTGCACCACACATAAAAAGTGCAACTACGGAATATCTGTCCACCGGTTACCCTACTTCAAGTATTTAGGCAATGCTATACCGCTAAATGAGATATAATAAAACTCCATTCCTGTTTCAAGGGTGCCTCAAATAGCCAATGTTTACTTTAAATGAACGTCAAGGCAGCAAGTTGAAAGGTGAGCTCGAAGAATCTTTGGGGCGTTCCCCACAATTTGCGGGCCGAGCCGCTTGAATTCTCCGATAAAAGTGTGTAAGAATAGGCGCGCATGCTTTGCATTATGAATAGAGTCTAAGATAAGCAGTGAAAGGTGGGCGTACCTGCTGAAATTACGATTATTCCTTATATTGGCATTATCCAGCATCAGTATATATATCAGTCGCAGAGATCATTTCAGGATGTCGGTGGCAACTTGTTTAAAGCAAGACAAACTTTTGACCTGTTGACGCCTGAGTTATAGGTGGCATGAATCTAGTTGTCGAGTTGCGACTACCTTTCAACAATATATTCAGCCTCTTTTGGCCTCGTTTGAACCATCAGATCTCCATCTCAAGCGTTTATTGCCTAGCTACTCAAAAAAGTACGGAGTAGTGAAGGTAGAAGACAAAATATGCAAGTCGCCGCGTTTAGAAATGTCAAATTGCCGAGACAAAAAGAAGAGCTGGCTGATTGGTGGCAGAGAGAATAGCTAGTTATATGTCTTTAGCAAGAAATTTGCTAGGTAACGAAATGGGTATTCTATATGAGAATCCACAGCCGACACACTCAGAATTTGAATGACGGGCCGGAATAGCACGGCCATCTAATGGTGGTAGGCGGGGTGGGGCTGGGTAACTGGGCCGGATGTAGATATACTCATCAAAACTTGAGAGGCTAGCATCGGCTTCAGGTACTGAAACACAACATATCTATGCGAAGTGAATAGACACAAGCAAATATATAGTCCCAGACTTGACTAGTCGATCATACGAATGAAAAGCAAAAAGCAGATCAACCACCGTCTTCTCATTGGGACTAGTTACCAAATATACGCTCCTCATCTTCCTCGTTAATATATACGCTTAACCATAGCATAGTACCATTTCTCCGGGCTTCAGCCAGCTGAGTTTCTCCCTCTGGATTTCCGTCGAGTACAAGCCTCCATAATCCACAGAAGGTAGTAGCATAGTAAGATGGTTGTTTATCATCGTTGTATCCCTGAAGGGGATCTCCAAAAGATGTAGAGCCCCCAAGCATCTGGGGGCTAAATCCATTGCAAATGGCACCAGGGATATGTAAAACGACGTCCAGTATGAGTGTATTAACCTCTGGGTTATCTGGAGATCTTGGAACCTTTAACTCCACACTTCCAACGCCGATAACACGTGCGCCGGTGCCAGAAGCTAGTGTCACTGGTCTGATATGACGGTATGTCTTGAAGGAGGATCGGTTTTTGGAATAGCTGATGCCGCTAGTAATCATCCAATCGAAGCAGCGCTGTTTTGGAGGGTTGTTTTTCCGGCGTTCTAACTTGCGTTTCTTGTACGCTCTATTCTCTTCCCAGTACTCTCCAATTTCACCCATTTTGCACGCAATGGCCGTTACTTAACCCGCTAATTAGTACGCAGAGTTCTCATGAACGAGTGCTATATCATTTCGGCTTGCAGAGGGGCAATTGATAAGTACAAGGTAGAACAAACACATACATGATCGAGGAGACGAGAGTGAGAGCAGTGTAGTATGCAATTGAGCTTACTGCACTTGTAATATCTGTGTATGTGATAAATTCACTGCGTAATGATATATCCTGGCAGATGCTGCTTGTCTGGCCAGGACAGTGACAGGCAACAATTTGCGCAGTTCTGCGGCGGGTCTCTTAACTTCTCACTATAGCTGATACGCGCTATCATTGGTTGAAATTTAATTAACATTATTGGCTAAATCTAATAAATGAACGCTGGTAATTGGACCAGATTGACTAGAAGTTTACTTTGATAGCTTTTTAGGATCGAGGTAAAGGCGTTAATTCCGTAAATGAAATCTAGATAATGCTAAAAGATCGATGATTTACTCCGTATTGCGTCCAAAGTTGCCCGGTTAACCGGTTAACTTAAGTTACCAAAAAAAAAAAAAAAAAAAAAAAAATATCACGTGCCGGGCTATGACTGCATTTTAGTGCCGGTGCAACAAGATATCAAACGGAACCAACCTCCTATCGACTCGAGATTGCCAGTTAAACGTATAGAAAGGTGCATACTGTGATCCCCTAACTCTACGTATAATGGCCAAGAGGGTAAGTTGGAGTTTTACATATGCTTAATTATCCGAGCTAACAACAAATTAATTGCCTTAGATAGCGTTCGAGGTTTACGGGCTCGTCCAAGGTATGTTGAACACAACGTGAGATGCGATAGCAAGCTAACAGGTTCCCTCCAAAAGGTGTCTGTTTCCGGTATTGCAAATCTTAATAATAAATTTGATCGCCCGAGCTGTAGCTGACGAACATATCAGTGACTTCACTCAGAAACGAGCCAACAGCTATGGTATAACAGGCTGGTGCAGAAACACCAACCAGGGATCCGTACGTGTCTAAATTGTGCACAACATACCATCGCACCTGGACTAACCACGTAAACAGGTCCAGGGTGAGGCTCAGGGAGAAGAGGAGCCACTTGGCAAGCTGATGAAAGACATCTCTTCAGGCCCAAGCCATGCACGGGTAGACGGAGTTGATAAGACCGACATCGAGCTCAAGGAGGGTGAGACGAAGTTCCAGGTTGTTCGGTAAAAGGGACACTCGGCCCGAGAGTTGGATTTTGTCCTACTTTCAAACCCACCTTTTACTCAGCGAAGATAGCTGTGGTTGGCTGTAACATGTATAGTGACCTAAGCTGTATTTGGCTGTCCAGCAAATGGATTAGGGAGCAACGGAGTACGTGTACGTATCCTCCGATCGAAATACCTGGGGCTAGACAAAGGGCTATGAGAGGATATGTCCGATGGATCATCTGAAGTAGCAGAAATTTTCTGGCGCTGAACCAGAGGGCTGAGCTAACTAGCGAATTGATAGCATTCTCTGGCTGAATCGCCCGGGATCTCTCGGAAGTGCCAGGAAGAGTCATAACAATCGAAAAATTTTCGCTCCAAGTTCCAGTGCACAGCGGCCGACTTTTCCTTCGTTTACTCGTCTTTTCTTTGTCGCTAAGAGCGTTGCTGACTTTTACCGCCGCCTGTCTCTTCTTTGTGCTGTTTGTATGCTTCTGCAGCAAGGTAATAACTGGCGGCAAAGGTCCCCCGGCCCTTCGCAGCGCGTCTAAAGTGGCCAAGCGATGCGGGTCTTTTCGGAGCTGGAATCCTGCTTAGGTAATAAGGTTATTCCTTATGACATCATCCCTTTTTGTTATTCTCTTGTTCGTTGCGGGCTCGAAGAATCTTATATAACAACAAGGGGCAGCAGTTCCTGGAAGAAGCCAATTCGATACCTTGTATTCTTCTGCCCAGCATAATAAGGATTACTGCAGTTACTACTGAATTTTACCACTACGCCTTTATTGTCTACTATCCGCTGTTGCTCCAATGCGCGCTCCAACACCTGCCCCCTTAAGAGTCCTCGTCCAGGGTTCTGGCGCAAGACTCCTCTCACAAAAGTGCCTACACAGTGGCTTCAGGCCCTCAACATTGGCTATTGGGTTGCGAGGAAACTCGGCTTCACTCTATAACCAGAACAGCCATGACCAAGGGCGAAACTTCTCTACTACTTCCCCAGCAAGGCTAAAGGAGTTCTTCGCTGCACCAAAACAAACAAAACGAATAGTTGAGACTGAGTCAGCCTTCGAACACCCTGTGTAAGAAAAAACTCCCTCAAGATACTCATAACAGGACATTGTAACTAACGTAACGTTTAGCTTCACTCAGAAACAAATGAAAGATATCATAGTTGCCCATAGAGAGACGAAAAGCTGGTCGGACTGGGTTGCCCTGGGTACCGTACGTCTCCTCCGATGGGGAACTGACCTGGCTACCGGCTACAGGCACCCTAAAGCAGGAGAACCAGCACCACCCAAGCACTTCCAGATGAACGAACGAAAATGGCTTATCCGCTTTGTTTTCCTGGAGACCGTGGCAGGCGTCCCTGGAATGGTTGGAGGAATGCTTCGGCACCTTCACAGCTTAAGGAAGATGAAACGTGACAATGGCTGGATCGAGACACTCCTCGAAGAAGCATACAACGAACGCATGCATCTCCTTACCTTCCTCAAACTTGCTGAACCAGGCTGGTTTATGAGGCTCATGGTACTCGGCGCTCAAGGCGTTTTCTTCAACGGTTTCTTCCTCTCCTACCTTATCTCGCCACGAACGTGCCATCGATTCGTTGGATACCTAGAAGAAGAAGCTGTTTTGACATACACACATGCCATCAAGGATTTGGAAGCGGGTAAACTACCGGCTTGGACAGATTTGCCGGCACCGGATATTGCCATTAAGTACTGGAACATGCCAAAAGGAAACCAGAAAATGGTTGACTTGCTTTACTATATCAGGGCTGATGAGGCCAAACACCGAGAGGTCAACCATACACTGGCTAATCTGAACCAGAAGATCGATCCCAATCCTTATGCTGCCAAGTATGAGAATCCGGAAAAGCCTCATCCTACTAAATCTGCCGAAATTGTCAAACCCACCGGTTGGGACCGACAGGATGTTATCTAGACATCCTTCAATTCATTTTTACTGCTCGCCTTTGTCGTATTACTTAGGGATTTTTTTTCGGCCCCTTTTCGACGCCACCAGAGCTTGGTGACTGTATTTCTATGGGTATGGTGCTCGGAGTTTCGGGTCTACGGAAATTCTCCATTCTGAAAAAGCGGAGTTTAGAAGATTAACCTCTACCAAGCGTTCAATATTTAGCGCATTATTTTTAATTCATATCATAACACTCCTTTCCTATTTCTTTTACTTCTTTACTTGGCCAGACCTGCTAATATACTCATACTTTCTTTGAAGAGTGTTCCATGCCTCCGATGCCACTACCTTGCTTTAATCCCCCAGAGGGTATGGATGCAAAACTTGACCATCTACAACCTCTCGTCAGTACGTTGATGACTTAACTGCTATACTATCATAGGACTCACAGTATAGCGAGGCTTCCTTGCTCGCCAGAAAGATGAAACTTGGAGCGACCTCGCTGGGCTGGCCGGGCCGACCAATTTGAGAGCCGGATCCAAATCCTTCCATTTGTTCAGCTGGTCGCGAGGCAGGCTGGATAGGTGTATGAACCGGGCCGGGACTAGGCAGAACATATTAATATTGCCATTCTGCGCGAGAAAGAAGTATAGTAAAGATATGATGGTACTAACGCAACTGCATTTACTCTGATACCCTTTGGCATCAAGTTTTTAGCCAACGACTTTGTGAAGCTGATAATAGCTCCCTTGGTGGAAGCATAATCAATAAGGGATCCCGAACCCCGGAATGCAGTGACAGAAGAGGTGTTTATGATCCTTTCAGCTTGAGTTAATCCACCGCAACATATCCTGACAAAGGCTGTAGCAACTTACGAGCTTCCCTTTTCCATATGCGGCACGGCATATTTGCACAGAGTAATCATTTGCAGAATGTTGGACTCAAAGGTATCCTTCACAGCATTGAGGTTGATTGTTGTAAATTCCTTGCATAGAAACTGTCTCGATGCGTTGTTGACCAAGATATCGACGCGGCCAAATTTCTTGACGTGCTCGGCTACCGCGTATCTACAGGTTGGCTCGTCTGTGAGGTTTCCAGGATATAGAAGACACTCTCTTCCTTCTTTTCTAATCGCTTCGGCTGTTACCTCAGCGTCTTCCTGCTCTTCACGCAGGTAAATTATGGTGACATCCGCTCCTTCGCGGGCCATAAGGATGGCCACAGACCTTCCGATGCCAGAACTATGAAGGTACAGTTAGTATATTTGCGCCTGAAGGCGGAGAATTTGCTAGCTACATACTCGCCCCCTGTAACGATGGCCTTTTTATCCTCTAGTTTACCACTGCCAACATACTCAACAAATCCGTGGGCTCCCTCAAGCTTGGTCGATTCACTTGGAGGGGCTAGGTCTTTCTCCAGCCTAGGGGAATTGGTTAGTACTGTTTACAAATAGTATATTTGACGAAGTCACATACCCTGGCTGATTCTGTGCTTGTTTCTCCTGTATTGGCTGGAAAGTGCCGCCAATGCCAGCTTTAGAAGATGTCATTTTGACGTTACGGATTCCTTCAAACTGTGGAGTTCTTCGATGTATCTGTGAGATACTGAGTGGATGGCGACTTAAAAGGCCCCGGGTGAAATTGCGAGACCACATTTGTGTTTATACTAGTTCTATGATGGCGGTTTGTCTCCTGATATTTATAGACATAGCCGGTGACATCAGAGATGAGATCATAATTATCCGACACGTCAGTAGTTACAAGGAAGCCAAATAATAAAATGTGGTAACTTAAACTGAAAGCATGCACTATGTGATATCCTCATGCATCTGTAACCTTACCAGTGTCTATCCAGGTTTCTGTTCGAACTGATATCAATATCAAATATGAAACGCGCCAAACTAGTCGGCGTCGCGCTTAAGTGGATACATCGCGACGAGTTAACTTGTGAATCCCGGGAGTGAATTCTGACCAATCACGAGACTCCTTTCTGGTTTCGAACTTCACGATAAATTCCACGATTTCGTACCTTCAACAAGCAGGCTCGTACCTCCAACTCACGTATCCCCACCGAGGGTATAACGATTTCAAACAGGTTATATATACTTGGCTATGAAGGAGCGAACAAAAACATATTATACCCTGCATACTTATCTATATATACACAATAGGCTGTATGCAAGTGGAAGTGCACTTCTCATCCCTCAAAAATAAGGAAAAGGAGAAGAGAGAAGAAAATGCAGCCCCAAAGAGTGAACGTTTCCTTGCGACAGCTGCAATCTGATCAGAAAATTGCTGCTGCAGGGACAGTGAGGCCGAAACTGCTCTGAGCTGTTTATCGAAGGACATACCCGTCTTTAAGTATGAGGGTGCGGCTCGGATAGGACCCGTGGCGCGTTGTGTTGATGGTGGAAGCGGCGGACTTTGCGAATGTCATGACGTTTCAGAGAGATTTATCCTCCTTGTCTGACTGGAAGACCGAGCGCCAAAAATTGAACTTGCTGCTGGCCAACATCGTCAGGTGGCACTACTCTCAACATTGCAGAAGGACAAAAGGAAATCAAGAAAAGAGAACTTTTCCCGATATCCAGAATCCTAATTGCACAAATCATGACTAAAGCGCTTGAACTAACCACAAGTTGGCTTGAAGATGAAACGACCATGGAAATAAGGTATCATGTGTATCTCATTGCCACTGGCTCTACTGCTATTGAGCACAAGGAGCCTGACTACGCCGTCTAGCCACCTAATCTTCCTCAAGACCGGACAACCAAATGGCCAACCCTAGTTATAGAAACGGAGAAATCACAAACTCACAATAACCTTGATAGAGTTGCGAGACGTCGAGGCCTCCCGTACGCCCGTCATGTCCCCCTCGGTCTCTCCTGCGACCTTCTGTACCGACAGCAGCGAGGCTATGTATGTAGGTACCCCGAGTATAAACCCGAGCGGCCCGACCTTAACAGGACTCCCGTCCCCCGTTTGAACTGTTCTCGTCGTGCTCCCACCCTGGCGAATGTGCGTGAGGATTCTTCTGGTTCTGATTCTCCTCTCCTGGCCCGCCGTCGCCGTCTTTTGTGACGATGAAATGAATGAATGACTCGGTGGATTCGGAAGTCTAAGGGGGATATAAAGGTAGCTCTCACAGCTAACGTGTCTCGAACCAAGCTGACAATTTAAAGATATGGCCGCTTAGGAAAAATAAGGGCAGGAGTCCTCTAAACCATGACTATTAAGAAACGCAGACAGAATAGCCCTATCTATATAGCCGGCGGTCCTTTAATTATTCTATCGACCTCCTTCTTCGAGCCGCAGTTAGAAATCAGGGTGATATTATATTTAATAAAGAAGAGCTGGAGAAGGTTGAAAAGCATTTTTCTTTATTTCTCATAGGTGGCTCCAGAGCTCATTTCCTTTGCTACCGCGGCCTTCAAGGCTCACCAAGACTATCTCCTCGCTTGCGATGAGAAGGCCACTCAAGAAACCATTGATGCTGCATACCAGACGCTTAGGACCGCGCAGCAAGTTTTTAAGAACAAACGTAGCGGATGGGCTCGCAAGAACCAGGGTACCCGTGCTGCTCCAGCGCCTGCCCCCGCTCATCCAGCCCCGTCTGTGCCCTCTACCACCAATGCCTCGCAGCATGCGATATCCACCGTTCTTCCGCCCCCCAAAAACCAGAGGTGGCCGTGCTACCCGTCCTGCAGCCCCAGCTGCTGTGGTCCCCTCCAATACTCCTGCTGCTGCTGGCACTCCTTCCAATGCTCCTGTTCCTGCTGATACCTCTGCTTCCACTGCTGCGTTGACCAACGCGATGCAAGCCCTGGTTGACCAGCTTCAGAACATCAACCCCCCATCAACCTTTATTACGTCTGAGAACAAGGCTTTTGTTGAGCGAATGGTGGACATTGCTTCCCTGGAGGATGAAAACCTTGAGGCCAAGGACATTGATCTAAAGACGGGTGACGACATGATCAAGGTACAGCTTCTCCTCCAGGCCCTGGACGCCCGGTCTACTGAAAGCATTGATTCGAGAGCTTTTCGCATCTCCCAACAAATATCTTCTTATCCCTTTCCATTAACCTGTAAAATGGCCACAGTGCTGCCGTTAGCCTCTAAACGATACCACCCATTCCGATGAAGAAATCATGTTTTATGGCTCCTGTTCCATTTTGACATGCTAATAATCAGTTGAAAGCCACCGCTTAGCGAATATCAAAAACATCGCCAAAATATCAATATCGACTTATTCAATCAAACATCTTGGTAATTATATAAAAGAAACTATAGAATAATGTACTGTATAAATTATCCTTGTCATTTATTATATAATCATACTGCATAAGCGCGTTAAGCGCAAGATCCCTGCAAGCGCTGTAGCCAATCAAATATCACTGGTTATCCGCTGCTCATATTTGACACACGATAAGGCGAGCCTTGAAGAACATTCGCTGTTCTCCTATTCCAGCGCCGCTATGGGGGTCATTCGCTGGTTGCGGAGGCTGTACTCCCTGGATACCCTCGACACTCGTTTTACAGTCTCTTCCACGACGCCTATCAAGGCCGTCACCACGTCTTCACATGATGCTGCCCCTGGATCGAGTTCGAGTGATGCGGACGGGAAAAGGTTGGAGTCCGTGAAAGCCGGAGCGCCTCCTTCAAGATGGAATACAGTTGAATTTTACTTTTACTACCTCGCCTTCCTTACGATAGTACCGTTGATGTTCAAGGCGGTAATTGATATTTCACAACGTGAGCGTTCACCAGAATAACCAGCTTTAAAGGGGATGGCCAACGTACAACTACTAACGAACCCCTGATGGCGTCTTTCGGAATATAGCAACTCACCCTACGTACTCGAGCTATTCTAAGTTGTTGGATCCAGGCTGGATACCGGGCCGTAAAGTTGTGAGTCGTGTCCCCCAGAGCCTTACTCTCTTACCAACCATACCTAGGTTTCTGACATCTTGCTACCAATCGCAGGATAACTCAGATTCCCAATACTCCACGTTTCGCGATAATATTCCTTATATGACCTTGCTTCTGGTCTTCCATCCTTGTCTCCGTCGAGTTTACGAACATCTCTCCCCCGCAAAAATATCGACTGCCCCTCCAACCGGCGGAAAAGCAAAGGATGACGATAAGCCTGAGGGTTGTGCTGCGGATGCAGAGGCTCGACTAAAGCAGCGAGTGACATTTGACTACGTCTTTGGGATAATACTTATCCTAGTACTGCACGGCGTCTCCGCATTCAAGATCCTGGCCATTCTTTGGATCAACTATTTAATTGCGACCAGGCTCCAACGAGCCCAGATACCTGCTGCAACATGGATTTTCAACATTGGGATCCTCTTTTCAAACGAACTGCTTCACGGATATCCTCTTGTGGACCTTGCGAAAATAGTTTCCCCAAATACCGATTCTTCTTTTATAACCTGGGCCAAGTGGGTGGATGGTATTGGAGGAATTGTTCCAAGGTGGGAGGTGCTATTTAAAATTACAGTCCTCCGGCTGATAAGTTTTAACATGGACTATTACTGGAGTCTGGATTATCGATCCGGAAGCCCTGTAGAGGTACGTATCTTTTGGAAATTTTAACCTTCAGCAAGACCAAGATGACTGACTCTCCCAAGAAGAAACAAGTTGATCCTTCTGCGTTATCGGAGCGTGACCGCGTGTCGATGCCCGCTCCGCCCTCCACGTATAATCTACAAAATTATGTAGCTTATATTCTTTACTCGCCTCTCTACCTTGCTGGGCCAATCCTTACCTTTAACGACTACATCAACCAGCAACACTACTCTCCAGCTTCCCTTACCCGATCTCGCACTGTTCTTTATGGGGTACGCTTCCTGCTTACCCTGCTGTCAATGGAGCTGGTTCTCCATTACATTTATGTTGTCGCAATCTCCAAATCCTCTCCTGACTGGTCGGCATATACGCCCTTCCAGCTCAGCATGTTGGGGTACTTCAACTTACATATCATCTGGCTGAAGCTACTCATCCCCTGGCGGTTTTTCCGCTTGTGGGCATTAGTCGACGGCATCGACCCTCCAGAAAACATGGTCCGGTGCATGTCCAACAACTACTCTGCCCTCGCGTTCTGGCGCGGCTGGCACCGGTCATTCAATAGGTGGGTTGTTCGATACATGTACATTCCTCTCGGCGGAGGTGGGCGAGCTAGATCTGGCACAAGCAGTCCTAGTGATAGTAAACCGTCTCTACTCTCTAAAGCCCGCGGTGTGATGAACTTCCTTGCCGTTTTTACTTTTGTTGCTATCTGGCATGACATCAACCTCCGATTGCTCATGTGGGGCTGGCTTATCACGCTATTCGTCCTTCCAGAAGTTATCTGTACCATGCTCTTCCCTGCGAAGAAATGGCAATCACATCCAAATGCATACCGTGTGCTCTGTGGTATTGGAGCAGTGGGGAATATCCTCCCAATGATGGCAGCGAATCTCGTCGGGTTTGCCGTTGGTTTGGACGGACTGAAGGGCCTAATACATGGCATCGTCGGCTCTTATTCAGGCCTCGCGTTCCTTGCTGCAGCGTGTGCAACGCTATTCGTTGGAGTCCAGGTTATGTTTGAAGTCAGGGGCTCGGAGCTTCGGGCTGGCATTAGACTGAAGTGTTAATAATAATGTTAACCTAGTTAATAAAGATTAAAATAAATTTCCTTATAGCTACATGGATTTTCCCTGGCTTCGAAGGATTTAAACAATAATAAATGATCTTCTTACACGTCGAGCTGGCCGGAAGCTGGCGGAAGCTGGCGGAAGAGCCCGTCTGCGGCTGTGGGGGCCCACGCGGCGCAAGGTTCCACTAGCAAAATAAGCTTAACTGACGAGACGCAAGGGACAAACTCGACTTCAACGACAGGCATAGGAGTAAGTAGAATGGATCCAGTTGTCTATTGAACAGAATATGTACAAGCAAAAGCTGCAAATAAGGAGAAAGGAAAAGAAAGGGTAGACATTTTAGATGCAACATTTCAGAACTTGATGAACAAAAAGAAGAATAATGCAAATATAATGAATGTGTTTTGAGACTGGTGCTGTTGGTGTACTCTGTACTGCTAAAGACCATTTCTCAATGAAGACCGCTCTCTCCAGTAGCAGCCATGTACTTCTGGCACTGAACCAGCATCTCTACCTGCTTGGAAACCTCCCCAAGACGTCCCAAGACCTTACGGTTACCGTCTTCAAAGCCATAGATTTTATACTCGATGCCAACTTCTTCAGCAAACTCCTTGACCCAGCCCTGCAGTTTGCGCAGGTTATGCCTAGGGACACGAGGGAAGAGGTGGTGGATGGCCTGGAACTGGAGACCACCATGGATCCAGTCAAGCCACGCAGGGCAGTCGACGTCCATCGTGGTGCGTAGCTGGCGCTGGGCAAAACATTCAGCAACACTCACGTCAGAGGTAGACATAGCGAAATGTGAGAGCGTTATTTGGACGTGCAGGCCCATGGTGATGATATGGGAGATGAGGACGAAGGCGATGCGCATGGGCCAAGTTGGAATGCTGCACCATAGAAGACAGTATCCGTAGAGGTACCAGTAGCAAGCCATGAAGAGGATCTCAGTTGGTTTAGTCCAGGCAACGGCACCAAAACTAGCGGAGCGAGGAGAGAGCAGATGCATCCAGGAGAGTAGAAGAAGGTTGAACCGAGCTATAGCCATGATCGGATAGTAGGAGATATGTTGGTATTGGCCTATGATGTTGGCAGCCTCGTCCCAGACATAGACGAAATCATAGTATGTGGACCTTAGAGATTTGAAAAAAGATGGGGATGTTGCGAAGAAGGGGATATTCTGGATATCCGGGTCATGTTCCTGAATAAGGTTAGTTTACCATACATGATAAGAGGGTCAGAAGTGAGGCTTACAGGATGATTGGGGACAAGGTGATGGACATTGTGGCTGGATTTCCACCAGCCGATTGATAGTCCACAGCAAAAGTCCGCGATGAACATGGCAATGAGAGTGTCGATGACGAAGTTGTGTGTGATGGCTAGATGGCCACCGTCGTGCGCAGTGAACATGATCTGATGCCAGAACAGGCCAAGAAAGACTGCAGATGGGATATACCACCCCGCCCTGAGGGTGATGATAAAGAGGCTGAAGAGAATGGAATACCGTATCAGCTCCTTTCCATACTCGATGTAAGGGCAATCGTAGAGGCCTTCGTCTTTGATACGCTGGTGCAACTGCTTGTACTTGGTAGCAATACGGCGCTGCGTCTCCGGCTCTAGGGAGGGATAGTTGCGGTGGTCATCATCAAGCTCCTTCTGCACCAGCCTTTGTGTATATTCTTCCGGCGTCATATGTTGTTGGACTTGCATCTCAGCTTTGCGTGAAGCTGCTCGCTTCCTGATGTCTGCCTTGGCCACTTCCTGAGTCTCCATAATGTCTTCCATCGAGGTAACGCTTGTATCAGATCCACGGGACTCTTCATCTGAGGAACTGGTGCTGGAGTCATCCATGGTAAAGAATATGCCACCCCGGATAGGAGGCGTCATACTTATCCAGGGCCCTTCAACACGGCCAATTCTATATTTATCCATGGTTGCGAGGGTCTTTTCGGAGTGGTAACTGTATTGAATAAGTGGTTCCCCCCGAGTAATTAGCCCATGTGTTCAGTCAACGATATCTGCCACTTTCGCACCAAGAAGTGTACGGCACTTGCGCTATGAACTCACCCTTTAAACGGAGGCAGCCAAAGGGAGACCAATTGGGGACATTATGATGAAAGGTAGAAGGGAATTGTTTACATATTAATCTCATCGGTGGCATCTCTGCCAATCATGTGCCTAACAGCTAGAATTCCTCCAGGATGGTTCTTGAGCCATCCGTCCAGTCGAAGGACACGATTGTCCGCTATCACGATGGTCTGGCCTCGAGCAATGCGGTCCTCGACCTCGCGGGCGGAAAAGATACGGTTGCGATTCATGGCGAACGTATCTCAGTTGTAAACGGGAGTAGAAAAAAAGGGGAAGGGATGAGACTTTATGCCAACGTCAACATCCCAGAACGGAAGAAAAGAATGACAAAGAAATCTTTTTATAAAACGAGTGGATTGGTAGGACGGGCAGTGGTATTCGAAGGAGAAGTTCAATCAAAGAAGTCCAAAGAATAGGCGTCCTACTCAATGGAGCTTGTTCAAAGGAGACTGCATTCGAAGAAGGTAAAAAAAAGAGCGCGGCGGGGCCTGTAGCTAAATATCAATCGCTAGTCAACAGCTAACTAGCAGACACAAGTAATGCACCCACAGTGAAGAGAAAATGAATGAAAAAAAATAAAGAGAGTATTGTAGAGAGCCCTGTCTGGCAGAAGAATCTGGGGGCTTGCGTGTCCACAGAAAGCAAGGGGACGAAGCCGACAGACTAAGTTGCGCTTTAACGAGCCAAGCAGCAATGTTACTTTCCGCCAGGCAAAGGGAAGTAAGAAAGAAAAAAAGAAGAGGACAGGTTGAGCATGGCGAACAGCAAGGACTGACTGGCCGCAGGCAAAAAAAGGTACAGGCACAAGGAGGTCAGGGGTCGGCCCAAAAATAAAACACCCTACTGTATGCCGCGTGGCAAGGAAGACGAGCAGCAACAGGCAGACTCTGAGGGAGGAGAGAGAGACACAGCCAAGCAGGAGTCAAGCCGCCAAGGCAGAAGGCAAACAGTTGAGAGTGACAGGTTGAGCATATCCACTATGGCTGCCGGGCGTCGTTGCAGCAGGCCATCAATATCGGGGCGTGATATACGGGCCTCCGCCAGATGAGATTCCTATGCGGGTGCGGCCGCCCTCGATACGATACGGAGAGGGACGCATCCCGCACCGTCGAGGGCGTCTATATCAACCCCATATTGTCGGGCCATTATTTGGTTCCCTTGAGCCGGGACTGAAGGCGAGAGCGGACGCAGAGAAAATTTCGATGGAACTGGGGGAGAAGCAAAAAAGCCATCCCGATCCACAGTGGAAGCGATCCCCTTGGCGTGGAAGTGCCCCTGGCAGAGGGAGAATTTTTCTTCTTTATTATTATGTCGTCGCACTCTTCATGCTGGCTCTGTGGGATCCCGTCTTTGTCTCCGTCTTCACGCTTGTCAGGGTCTTGTACGCTGCGGCCCGCGTTGCTGATGTTTGATGTTGGGTGAGGTGCGAAGAGACGCCCTGGCGTGCATGAGGCTGCAGCTTGGCTGACTAGCTAGTTATATAGAGTGTTATGTTGCGCCAGGCCGTTGCGTAATGAATTAATCTTAATAACAACCCTGTGAAGCCGTGGACATGCACCTTGATGTCGGGATAGTAAGCTGTCAACGCCTTTTGGACAGTCGCTGGTTTACTTACTCCGTACGGTTGGCTGGATTGGTCGACGGTTGGCGTTTGTGTGAAGATACTCCGTCTCGTACTTGGTCTTTCAGCCAACCAAACGAGATGCCCTATGAGCAGAAAGAAGATGGATAGAAGTGACGGCATGGATCTGTTTCCAGGACACGAGCAGCTATCGTCGTCTGTATCACGTACACATTTCTGGCACGGTTGGTTACTATCGAACTACGTCTGCCCGCCAATCTCGTTCTCTGGTACGTGTTGATAGCTGATGACCATATAAATGCGCACTTGTTTCTTTGTATTTCGTATGTTCCAGGCCAGCCACTGTCTATTCTCTCATCTGTGCCTGCGCCCTCTTGCTCTGCAGATCGATAACAGATATAAAAGAGCAAGCTGATGTTTCTCCTTGGCGGTTTTCCCCTATGGAGTGTCAACGCTGGCATGTGGATTGGCTAAAATCGGGACCTAGATGATTGTAGAGTTGTCACAGACAGTATATTGTCATCCCTCACTCCTTTTACTCTCCTGGGTACTGTTCTTCGTGAAATGGGTAATCCTTAATCCTCCAGGGACGACTTAGCCGCCCACACCTATCAGCATCGCTGTGGTTCTGATAGTACACCGGGTTCCGGCAAATTGCATCATCACAACCACCCCATATTTAGTGCTATTGCGCCCATACTCATGGCCGGAACTAAACACAGCTGATCCTACTGGGCCAGTGCGTTCTTCGATGGCTTCCTCAATCCTGTGGGAGCTGATGGAATAATCACCGTATCGAAACTGTTGATCACCTCTAGGTTCCTGACCAAGACCCAGGGGTTGGCAGGCGGGGTTTTGAACACCGTCTCTCAGACGGGGAAAAGTACTGGTCTGGCACTCACTACGCTCGTTGTAAGCAAAGTGACCCGAGATTCTCGCGTGAGAGGCAAACTCAGCCTTGATGTTTTGTTGGTAGGGTATCAGGCAGCCTTTTGGTTTTCCGTAGCAATAATTACAATGAACCTGGACATTAGCACATCGGAACTGAGAAATATCGGAAAGTTGAGCAAGAGAATAGAGTAAGACTGGGATATTAGTGTCGACAGAGGTACGGAGTACTCCGTAGATCTCGTGGAATATTGTGTTGTAGGATGTCTGGATGTGCTGGAGATCCCCCTTCGGCTTATATGCTGATTCTCTTTCAACACGTAGCCAGGCTAATCGAACTATCAGCCAAGAAACCATGCAGACCCCTCTAGAAGAAACAGGATCCTTGATAGAATCTATTCAAAGATTCTTGTTGGTAGTTCTGGGTACTCCGTAACTCGCTAACCCCTTTCCCCAGCCTCGATGTGTAGGGTACCTCTCATCTTCGGCCATGAACGCGGCTGATAATGCAAACACACAAGTTTCGCGTCGTATAAGGGCCAATAGAGCATGATGACGGTTGCACAAGCAGTGGAATAGAAAGATCAACGTCTCTATTCAATTCATGGTCGTCTTTTCGTCGTTTTGTAGATGGAACAAAAAGACATGGGTTGTGCTTATGTAATCACCGCCTCCCCCTTTTCTTTTTTCTTTTTTCTTTTTTATCTTTTATCTCTTTTATCTTGAAAATTCACAGCGAGAGGCAGACGACAAGAAGAAGAAACAATTGATCTCGACACTCGTTCAGCGCATTGTTTTCGTTTCGAGTCTTTTCGGAGTACGGTCGCAGTCGTTAATTTTGTCCTCCATTTCCGTTTTCCTGCTTTTCCTGCGTACGGGGCATAGTCACAGCCTGCCCGAGCAAACGATCCCAGTCTCTTTCATTTCAGACATAAAAGATGATGGCCTCCAAGATGATTCAGATGGCCTTCCGCACGAACAAGACGGCGATTCTCTCCAATATTCAGAAGTCTGCCCGGTTCTCCACCTCGAGACAGCTTCTGAATGCCACCGAGGCTGCTCTTCCATCCCAAGGCCTAGGCACCTTTCGAGGAGGGTAAGCAACCAAGTTTTCTCGCTGCAAAAGTTATAATTGCCCGGCTTGTACAAGTTACATGCTAACGCGCATTTCGTTCTGTCATAGTGTCTTTGGATTCCTTGCTGGCTCGACTCTTGCTGGCGCCTCCGTTTACTACTACATCCTGAAAGAATTCCGCCTATCCAACGAGACCCTGAAGGGAGACATTTACGTACGTTACTGCATTTGAAAAAAAAAAAGCACGGCATGCAATATTAAGGCCCGCCCGCGATCTCGGCTGTCTGGCTGTTCTTGGTTTTGCTCTTTATCTCCCTGTCTCTATTTCCTTGTGACCGGGTTCTATTTTCGGTTGACCCTTGCGTGAACGCCGCATGCAAGCGGGCTTGGTTTCTGGGGAAGGCTTTCTGCTCCACTCTCCTGGAAACCCGCTGGCTGCCCACTGATTCGCACACTTGAAGCATTTTTCCTTTTTCTTTTTCCTTCGCGCTTTTGCACTAGCAAGTCTGCCTGCCTGCCATACTTAGATTTCCTTTTCTTTTTTACCCTTCCCCCTGATGATCTTAGACGAGTTACGATAGATTCTAGATATATGTCATGATATGAGCGCTGATTGAGACTTTGGATATTCTGTCTGTAGGCCCTGCAAGCTGCCACGCAACGCCTGGGTGCTTATATCAATGAGTTAGAAAGCAAAGTAGACCAGATACAGAGAAAGACTCGATGAGGAAAACCCTCGTTAAAGCACCGTTTTTCCTACCATGGTTCTCGCGCCATTGACCCATCTTTTCGCCCCTATTCTTCGGCAAATGCTACAGGCCCCGGCCTACGTTGCATTTCCCCCTATCATCCTTGATCTCGGCACTGCGAATGTTGCGATTTTCTTGTCTTTTTGTCCTCTGTTCCTGCAAAATTTAGCGACTTTATAAAAAATGACAGTAACTATCACGTGATGTTGAAATTTACGTAATTTATTATCTCAGTAATTCTTTCTCATGACAGGGAGCGACCTGGCTACTTTGAGGGAAGAATTAATTCCGTGCATGAGGCCATGTATGAGGCTAGCTAACGGTACTGCGATATCAGAACCAACAGATGGTAGAACATAGCGTTGATTGAGAGAGAGAACTAATCACTTTTGAACTCTTGAAGTATGTTAAAGTAGGGCATTACGTAACCATCACGTGACAGATCAGCTGCTAAGACAAACAAGACAAACAAGAGATTTGCTGCTGATATCGAAAAGTTGATTGTTTGACAGTTGAAGAAGTAGAGAAAAGGAGAGGAGAGAACAGCGACTGTTTTGGCAGAGTAATAGACGAGCCATGTCGTCGCTGGTGGAGGTGGTGTCCACGCGAGCATCAAAGGCTCCAGGATGGGAATACGTCCCTGCTGCGCGGTTTGAAGCCCCTGTCAGCGGGCGCAGGGAGACTGGCGGGAGGAAACGGACTGCCAGAGAAATTGGAGGAGACACCGGCACCGCGAGATCTGACCTGAGTGCGAGGCAGAGGGGTGCTATTGCTAAGCATTTGGAAGCTCTCGATAAAGAGAATCATTCAGAGGTTTCGATTCCCGTCCCACAGAGACGTCAAAGGGAGCATACAGTCAAAGGTTTGTGTATCTCCTGCCACCTTATATTGAAGGCAACACATATTGACCCTCAAGCTATACAGGCGTAAGAAGCAAAACGTCTTCTAACACGCGAAAGATTATCACCTCGGGGAAACAGTTCAAGAACTACCTTGCCGCTGAAGAGCCTGCCACCTTAGCACTCTCCGCCTCCTCTACAACAACGGCGACTACTTTGAGCCAACGCACAAATGTCGTCAGACAACCCGAGACTCCTGCCCCCCAAGCAGACACCAATGCCAACAGACCTCTCCTCCAGATACCGGATCAGCCTTCCGGTCTAATCGTGTCTGAATATGACAATGATCCGCTTCTACTGTCCTATATCCCCACAGCGCCCTCCGAACGCATCATGATGGCCCTCGTTTCGGAACCTCCTTTGTCATATCATGCATCTCGTGCTACCTTGCCTCCCGATTCTCGCCCTCCAAGACATTTTTGCAGTATATGCGGTTACTGGGGCAAAGTGAAATGCATCAAGTGCCAGGCAAGGATTTGTGGCTTGGAATGCTCAAGAATTCATTTGGAAACAAGATGTGACAGGTTCTATGCATGATAAAGAATAAGTCCGCACCCTGGGATAATGCTCCCCGATGAGTATATTTACGTACTCCATGGAGTTAAGGATATTATCCGAGCAACCCTGGATAGTGACATTCAAGGGTGCGATTATTTTCACTCTCCATAGCTCTTCCAGTGGATGAAGTACAACTGCAAAGCGGTCCGTGCTTATTAACGCGAGGCCGATTACGCATGCTGGTACGGAGTATGTGAATGCAATATTACCTTATCCCGCGTCAGCACTGGGATGGTATCATCATATGCACCAAAACATACTCCATTGTTCTGGCATACACTGCGGAGAGTCAAAAGAGAAAGTCTAGTTCCATACGGAATAATGAAAGGCGCGGCTTACGCCCTATGTCGATTGAATACGCAGACCGCTCAATATTTCTATAGTCTTCGATGATTCGGAGTCTGACTTGAGTATAGATTGGCGTCTGCGGACACCCTTGACATGCATGTGCTGGAGAGGTGAACAACAGAACGGACCCTCAGATTCTGTCCAAGAGATTTGCTTCTCCTTAAATTTCCAGATATAGCAAGGTAGATTAGTCACTAGATTAGCTAACTATGGTGAACTCGTTAAACAAATCAGCGAGAAGATCATCTGTGCAGGCCGCGATGTCTGGAACACCCATACTATACATGGTCTCAAAAGAATGTATACTCAACCGGTCAAAGAAGGGCCGCAACAATTTCTCTATAATCTCATCCTTGGCTGTTTCCCTGCTAAGATCCGAGTTCAACCAAGCTTTCTTAAACCCATCTTTCTTGTTAGATTCTGTACCAACGCTTTCGTCATCGCCGCCACCATCATAGCCATTTGTGTCTTGCGCTGAGACTGAATGTTCACTCTGGGGGCTTTTGCTCTTCCCCAGTGAACGAGAGAGTTCGTCAGCAAGGGCTCTTGATTCCCAACGATTCGGTGGATAAACCACGTCTATAGTGTCTGTGACGAAGAGCCACTCCTGTAACTGGAAGTCGTCTGGTGAAATCAGAAGTAGCGTCTCCAGAAGCTTTGCAGCCTGAAGAAGTGAATAGGGGTTGAATCTCTCGCTCTCCTGGTCTGGAGAAATAGCAGAAATGGCATCCTGGAGTTCAGTGCTGATCATAGGCCAGAAGGGGGCAATGCTGGTGGATCCAGTCCTGAGAACCAACGCTCTTAGGACCATGTATATTTCTGCCCTTGTCACGGAGGATGGGGAAGATACATGAGTAGCTGCAAGGAGATCTTCTAGTTTTTGCTGAAGTTCCGATAGCTCAGCGCTGAAATGGTCTTCGTCAGATGCAATTATCAATAATGAAATTCGACGGAGATTCAGCTGTGCTTTACGATCCGCTTCCAGTCGAGCAGCGCTCGCACCGACACCAAACATTATACCAGCAGATGTTGGGGAGGTGAGGCGGGTGAGCACTTCCGTAAGGCGTTCTGTATCTGTTAGGGCCCATTGACGGAATAGGCGTATCCAATGGCTCTTGACCAGGGTAAACTTGAAACCAAAAAACTTGCTGTCATTGAACGCATCGCTCACATCCTTCTTCCAGATCTTGGATGCTCCTTGGATCTTGGAGATTTGCTGCAGGAGGTCTAAAGTGTTCTTGTCCACATTGGATGGGAATAAGCGTGAGTGAAATGTAGGAGATATAATATTCGTTGATATGCTGGACAGTGCGTTGGATACCCTATCCGCCTCATCAAGAGTGGCTGTCAGCATTGAAAGACTGACAGACAGGATACCAATGATATCGTCCGGCCCAATGCGTTGTAAAAGAGAGGACGAGCTAGAATGCTCTGACTCCTGGTTCCGAGGCGCTGATGGCTCGTGGGTCCCAGATAACGGCTTGCTAGTGAATATAGCCGGGAGAAGTCGCAATATAAGGTCCTAACACGGCAAATTAATATATATATTATAAGCACTGAATAGATTTGGGTGGGTAACCTACCCCCAGTTCCCTCCTGGTTCTTCGGTCGTCCCCAAATGTGGTGTTTTCCATCTTGCCTCCAAGCACTACGGCAAACTCCAGCAAACGAGGTAAGATTTGGCGATGGGGGAATGGGTTTGTGAGAACGTCTTTCAAAAAGGTGATACAATCACCCCAGATGTCATCCAAAAAGTCATCATCCAACGACTTGGCGTACATGACAAGGAAAGCTGCGAGGTCGGTCTCTGACAATTCAGAAGACATGGATGATTTACGGCTGGGTTCTAGTGCAGCTGGACTTGTCCGGCTATATATAGCATTGAATATGGCAGGAATCGTGACCTTAGGTTTTGATCCGTCCAGGGTATGGAGTAGGCTAAATATAGCTCTACTTTTGGCAGGTTCATCCAAAGCTATCGACGTACGCCATAGTTTGATCAACGTTTCAAGACATTCGAGGGCCTCAGCTGCAAACAAATGTTCGAGTATCCTTCTAGCCCTGTTTCTCATTCTTAATGAGGTATACTGAAAGGACGCAACGGAGTCAAGGTCACGAGGCGATTTACTTCGGCCACCAGGACCCCATGCCCAGATTGAATAGCATAGCTGCACAGCATCCTGGAAACACAGAAGGACTGTGAGTCTCGTGTTGTTGCTACTCGTGGGCTGGGCTTGGGCTCCTTCAGATGCAAACATGCTACCAAAAAAACCCTGCGGCTGATCTGGTGATTTCACAGCAGCCGTGTTCACCTCTTCAATTTGAAGGCGGTCATGAGCAGTTGCAACGCAAGTCTCTAGGCCACTCAATAAAGCTATCGTGGTATGCTCAGGAGAACAACTAGGGGATCCTTCCGATAACTTTTGAAACATAACTTGAAGTTCGTTGAATGAAGAACTTATTTCCTTGCAGAAGCACTCCGCGAGCGTTAGGAGTACCTTAAAAATGGACTTATAGTATAATGGTAGACATTCCGCAAGGAAATTAACCCATTTGTCAATGATGGGTCGGGATATCTTTGAGCTGATGCCTTTTAGTAGGCAATCCAAGAGCTTTGCAGGTGGTTGGGGTAAGGTTTGGCTTTCTTGGCTCTTGTCAGACCTCTCCGCACTAAACGACATTCGGGATATATCAAAAGATCCCTTTCTCTGATGTCTGTTAGCTGCAGCAGTTGAAAGCCCTATATGATGCGCGTATCTCATCTTAAGAACCGGAGTCAGAGCATCGATTATGGAAGACTGGTGCTCTACTTTCCCCTCATCTAAGGCTAGGGATAGATGATCAAGCAGATAGGAATCGATATCTAAAGAGAGCAACTTTTCTGCTCCTGTACTGGACAGTAGTAGACGCAGAAGGGACAAGGCTTCTTTTCTTATCTGGTTTTGTTGTTGGTGAAGGCTCTCTGGTACACGATGGACGCCATGAAGTGCATGGAAGCATATCTGTGAAATCTCGGTTTGGATGGTGACCTCTCCCTTGTTTTCTAACTTAATCTTTAGTAATGCTGAAACTGTGTAACGCAGAGTCGGAGCACTTACCCTCTACATCGAATGGTACGGATTTAGTTCGTGATGGCTGCGTGGCAGTATTTGATAATATCAACGACCATCCAGCTGGGCTTAGCACAGATAACACGTTTCGCACTAGCTGAAGCATATAAATGCACTGGTTGGCATGGTTGAGTATCATTGTTTCCCTGAATTCGCTTGTTTCCTCTGTCGATGTCTCCTGAAGGAGATGGAAGTCGCGGAACTTCAGCAGAATGACACGAAATAACCTACCGTCGCCTTGTTAGTTTCTGATGACCGAGGTTGCGCTATGGATGTTGACCTACTCATATGTAGATGGCAAATCGCGAAGCCAATCTCTGACTGCCAAAGATGTATCTTCTGAACCAGATGACAGAAGACCCAGAACATTGAACAGTGGCTGACTCAAGAGATTTGCACGATATACTGTTTTTATATCTGGGCCGTCATCACTAGGAGTACGTAATGCAAAAGAATCCGTGTTGGAATGATGGCTATGGTTCCAAAGTACAAAAAATTTCTCTGCTTGATCAAGTGGAGCTTGATGGGAAGAAGTCGAGGGAGAGATCATGACCGAGGTTATTGCGGCTTCGACAAGATGGTCTCTCCAGCTAACAGAGTGTAAGAGCCATAAACATGCCGCAGCTTCAACATGAAAGCGCAAGTTTGCCGGCTCCAGAAAATCCCATAGTTGCTGGACCAAGACTGGAATCAGATCTGTAATCTGCTCATAGCTGATATAACGACTGGACTTTTTCGTGGAATATAAGGAGGTAAGAGCAAATACAGCTGAGTTGACAACAGACATAGGGAGGACACTATGGCCATCGTTTGCAGTAGTAAGCTTTTCCTCGATGGCTTCATATAGCTTTCCTGGTTCTGGGAGCTCTGCTCTTTGCATTTTACTCAGCAGAGCAACGAACAAATTTATTCTTTCTCTGAGAAATTGGGTTTGAGTATCTGATTCCAAAGAAAGCATAACCAAAGACTGAGCTTCGCGGAGAATGATGGTGGCCACTCCGGTGGACGAAAAAGGGGGCTCTGGGAGGCGCAGCGAATCCTTGCTTCGAGAATAGAAATTTAGAATTGCTTTTGTTACTTGCTCATTGCTCATAGATGTTGTAGTATTACCCATGCTTGAGTCTCGACTTTTCTCCGGATGAGGAGTGAATGCTCTTTCAGGAACAAGGCGAACCAGTAAATTGGCAACGGACCCTATTTCATCAAGAGCGGAACTCGCTACACTAGAGTAGCCCGGTTCGTTCCATGCGCTGGATGTGCATAAGGCTTTTGCTTTCAGAAGTAATGATAAGATCAGGAGGGGTATATGTGTGGTTAGCATTTCTTCTTCTTTCATGTTGAAGTGGGACAACATGAATGTAGCCAGGCGTAAGTCGTCCATCATACGATTTGGCCGTGATATACTCGAACGAGGTGAGAGAACCAGACCAACAAGCTCCGAAAATATTAAGCTGCTTTCTACACCATCAAAGAAAGCACTGGCGCTCCGGAACACTTCATCAAAACTGGCCTTTGACTTGGCAATATGTTTGTATCTCTGCGTACTGCGGATGACGGGGAGAAAAACTTCCGGAACTACCAATCCTCCAACTTCCCACCGATCCATAAGTGATAAAGATATACGGTATGGCCTGGATCGCTCGTTTGGGTTGGAAGAATTCTTCGCAAGCATAGACTTGACACTACTGACAAGGTGCTTAAAACCGAATTGTTCGAAGTAATGTGACTTCGAGCTATTGTTGTCAAAAGTAGCCATAGCAGCGGAGCTAGCAGACATTGGGTTGTGGACTCCGGAATCATTCGCATGAGAAGATTTATCAAAATCAGGCCCTAATAGCCATGCCCACAGTCGACGATTGAGACTCATATCTCTCCGGATAACCACTCCAACAGCAGCACCAACAAGTAGCTCCAGGTCCTTAGAAGTAATCCGTCGTTGTAAAACAGAAGAATGTAGGGGGAGATGGGTGACAAGCAGGTCCAAAAAATTTCGCTGTATAAGTACTTGTTCATCCGCCAATCCAGTTGCAAAGCATCGAATCAGAAGGCCTGGCTCGGGTGATGTGACGCTTTCTAGAGCACTGGTCATATCATGAGTCCTGTTTTCTCCCTTTTCATAATCACCAGTTTCATTGACGATATCATCCGATGGTATTTTACCAGCGAGCTTTGGTAGGTGACGATTTAGGTATGCGAGGGCTCCTACTCGTCGAGACGGATTCGTAACAGACGCAAGAAACATGCACTGCCAGAAGTACTGGCTTCCAGTCGCCGCACCAGAGTCATCACCGGCAGTACTTGATACTTCACGAAGCTTGTCCACCAACTTCAGCGTTTCTTCAAAGTCCTCGCTTGTCTCGTCTTCAAGACCGGGAAGAAGGGCTAGTATAATGGATTTGATAGCTGGACGTAGCGCAGTGGGGCTAAGTTGTAGGATATGGCTCTCGATAAGGGATAGAAATATCGGTCGGACTGAAAGAGACGCAAACGACAATGTGGGAGCAATTCCTGGGAGATATATGGCCAAATCTCGAGCCAGACCATCGGACTAAAGAATATATGAGTTATCCGAGAGCTAAGATTTGATAGTACTTCAACTTACTTTAAGCAACCCAAAAATATATCCATATACCTCTAATGTCTTCTGGTGAACGCCGGACGGGAGCGCAGGGTTCAGGCATTGCGCAAGCCTTTTCGCAACAAGCAACTTATTCGGTACAAGATATAGTGACGGCGGATGAGTTTGAAGCGCCTAGTCGCCCTGGTGTCAGTGGTATCCCCCATATATATAAAAATCATAACGAGTGGTGCGCACCTTCAATAGGCGGCTGAGGAACGAGATGTAGTCCGCCCATTCTTGCAGGGCGGTATCGAACAGAGAGAGAGCGCGGTCAACATTCGCAGCGTAGCGACGGTAGCTTTTGTCCTTCTTCAAGCCTTCTGCATCTAATAATGCTGGTTAGCCCGGGCGTGGTTCATAAGATCGTTTCCCAGAGGTTGCTTACCTTCGTATGGGCGGTTTGGAGGCTTCGGTAGAGACGCCTCGGAGCTGGCGGGCGAAGAGGATCTTGGGAGGCCGCTCGGTTCAAGGCTCATTGTATTTAACTGATAAAAGACCCTTGCGTCGCAAGCCGGCCATTATCAATCTCTGTTTCTATCCTCTCGAATCACCAAATGGGTACGCAAGTACATAAAGTGGCCTTTTCTTTTTTCGTGTTGTGAGGTTGATGTTTGCCTGATCTGGCCACAACCAAAACGCCGTCACCAACCTAACTATGACCTCACCTCATCACCACCACCACCAAAGCTACGGCCGGACAACGATAACTATTCCCGACAGCACAGCAACACCGGCGATGAGAAGGTGATAGAGCAGCGGAGTTTAGATGATTACCACTAGGACTACCCGATGATATCTACAATTGGTCGGATGCAGGCAGTCCAGAAGAACGTCCGCGATGAATATATTCAATGGCTCCCTCAAGACCGCAGACGCCTTCAGGGAATAAAGACCCCGAAAACCAGCCTGTCAGCCCAAAGAGAGACACAGACAAGGGGAGTGGAAATGCCAACGATGGGAGTTCTGATGCTAAACCCCCGCCACTTCCACCCCGGCCGCAAAGGCCGCCCCATGGGCAGCCAGATGCTGGTTTGAACCCTTACTCGGCAGCCCATAAACTTCAGTCAGGACCAACTACAGCTCTTTCACTGGCAAATGTTAATGTTCAGGCCTTGGATGATGTTACCCGAGAGAATTATGTATCTCTTGCAACAGCAGCAGGAGGAGGAGGAGGCCCTGAAAAGATAGTGAGACCAGCCACCTCCGGTACTTCCAGGCGAGGGAGCAGAGTGGGGATCGACATAGGAGATAATGGCAGCGTTCGAAGCTTTATGCCAGAAAGTGACACTCCCTTTGATGCAGGGAGTGTATTTGGCGATTTCGGCGGCTTTGAAGCTGAGATTCCATTCAGAAACGCATCAATGAAGCCTGGAGAAAACCAGTCTATTTTCAATGCGCAGTCTCGAGAAGACGATATCGCCGTTGAGTTTGAGGATGAGTTTGATTCAGTTGACAACTCGAATGAGGGAGAGAATGAAGGTATACCAATGACTCCCTGTTTACCTAACCTTTGCAGAGCTAACATAGACAGAGGAAAAACTCGAAAAGTGGAGGAGGAAGAAGAAACATTTTTTCATACTCTCCTCAGCCGGGAAACCTATATATACCCGCCATGGAGATGGTGGATTGATATCCCCATTTATTGGTATTATTCAAACCATCATTTCGTTCTACCAAGAGTCGGGGGGTCCTCTCAAAAGCTTTTCCGCCGGAAAGACAAAAATCGTGATCCTCTCTCAGGGCCCCTTGTATCTCGTGGCCATCAGCTCATTGCTTGAAAGCCAGGCCCACTTAAGAGCCCAGCTCGAAGCTTTGTACATGCAAATACTGTCGACACTAACGCTTCCTGCCCTTGACCATATATTTGCTGTTAGACCAAGCTCAGACTTACGGCGACCGCTCCAAGGGACTGAATCACTTTTGTCCTCACTTGCCGATAGTTTCACAAAAGGCTCCCCTTCTACTCTATTGGGCGCTTTAGAATCGTTAAAAATTCGGAAGTCTCACCGCCAGGTTATCAGCAACACCTTCCTCAAAGCTAGAGTTGAACCTCTTCTTTACGGCTTGCTAGTTGCTGGTGGGAGACTTGTGAGCGTTGTTAGGCCAAAGAAGCACTCTCTTCATCCAGGAGACCTCCAGCTAATTTTCAATATGATCTTCGAAGCAGATGGGGTCAAGGCCGGTGGTGGGGAAAGCTGGATCCCCATATGCCTGCCTGGTTTCAATAACAGAGGTTACCTGTACATGTACGTGAGCTTTCTTGACGTCCAGAGGGATCGAGAAGCCGATAAGAGTGCAGAAGAAATGAAAAAGGATGATGTCGTGGCGATCATCTTGATAAGCCCCAATAAAGAGAGCTTTTATACTTTGCACGAAATGCGTGATTCTCTTGTTGAGGTAAGGCTTCGTAAAACCGAGGGAGTTCTAACAACGATTTACAAATTGACATCGTCTCTAGCAAATGGAAAAGAACGGAAGCATGGAAGTTCTCAGAGCAGCTCTAGAACAGGGGCGACCGGCTCCTACTGACATCGTCCCCGGCACCGTGGTCCGGCACTTTTTATACAAATCAAAAGCGAATGTCCAGTTCACCATGTCATCCTACTCTCCCGAGTTTATGTCAATACTAGATCGTCGACGGTATTTGCTCTCCCTGATTCAACAATCAATTATATGATGCCAATAATGCTGACCATAATAATACAGGCTTATGTCGGCTTACCATTCACTTCATCTAAGCGTTCATGGAAAACCTGCAAATGTCAAAGTACAATACTGTGTCTCATCTTCTTTCAACTCACTTGCCTGGGTAACGCCAACATTTGAACTCTACTGTGTGGCATCGCCAAACTCCAATCGAAACGCTTTATCCCAGGGCGCAAATAAAATCGCATTCTGGGCTCAACGAGAGCAAGAACGGCTTTTTATAATTGGTGGCGCAGTACGTTTTTCCTATCTCCTCATATCAAGCGGCCTACAATTAGTTGGACGGAAACGATGCTAACCTGCAATCAGGTATTTTGAAGGTGTGGAGATACCTCGTGCAGAGTCGAGTACGCGATATGTAGTAATTTTTCAGGCACACCAGATCATGCGGATATAGTCATCCACACTCCATTATTTTCGTAATATCGGTATACCACATACTTTATCTCACAGTCATGGAAAGGTAAATAATAAATATTCATGTAGAATGTACCCATACCTGGATCTATTAATGTGGGTATTATACGGTGCCAACACAAGAATGCATGGTATTATGAAGGGAAGGGTTGTGTCTAAACAAGAAAAAATTATGATCCGGGTGAAAAAGGATACTCATGTTGGCATCATTCCAATAGATGGGCCACGAGTATTTGCTGGTTTAGAGCTACTTCGAGATCTTGAAGTAGTGGGTGAGGATTTTCTCTTTGCAGGCCTAGAACTTTGAGACTTCTTATTAAACCTAGCCCCAGAGGGTTTATTTCCGCGGGCTGCTTTGGGAGGACGAGAGCGTTTGGAATTGGCCTGCCGTGGTGTGGGATGTTGGGTTGAATTTGATTTCGAATGGCTTGCTTGCCGTGATGACCCCGCATTAGAGAACTCATATTCAGAAACTTTTGAGGCTGAAGTTAGATACCGCGAGAACTTATGGATAAGGCGATAACGAACCTTTTGCCTTAAAGGATGAGGCTGTGTCATCTGGAAAGTAGGGGCTGTGATTCTGAGCTTCATCTGCATAGTTTAGTTCATCCTCAGTCCAGTCACCATATATCTCGTCGTCGCTACTTATAGTAACAACATTTTCGTGGTTGGGATCGTGAACATCTTCGCCTTGTTCCTGGCCTCCGGCTATATCTTCGTAATACTTCTTTGACCTAGCAATAAGTTTTAAGAACTTTGAGCCGTACCGCTCAACTTTGTCAGGATCAATGTTACGAATTCGTGAAAGTTCGCTGAGAGCTAATCAATCAAGTCAATAAATCTATCCGCTGATGTAAGAATTTGAGGGAAATGCATACTAGAAGGAAGACGAATGCCCATTTCTCGGAGGATAGCATCTGGGAATGGTTGTTCCCGAAGACCTTTCTCCATCTTGATCTATAATCTGAAGTTAGCCGAGACTTTTTTTTTTTTTTTTTTTTTTTTTTTTTGGGCGAACATACCTGTTCACATTTCCCTTTTGCCCTCAGCAAAAAATCGTCTAGAACCATTTCACGAAGATCGCTTAGGCCAGAACGGCTTCCATCATCTGTTATTCTAGGGCCAAGCTGTGAGTGACGCGATCTCGACGGATTGCCTGGGTTTCTTGCATCACGAATAGGGGCAAAACCATCACTATCGTCATCTTCATCGTCTTCTGTTTCCACTTTGCGACTCCTCCGATCTTGGGTGCGCAAATGAGATGGACCTCGAATTGGCGAAGACACATTGGTGGATTCTGGCTGATCATCTCTCGCGACTCGAACACCAGTAAAGTTCGTGTCAACCCGTCGGGTAGTAGTTGCTTTGCCAGGAGTGATACGTATCGGCAGCTCCGTCTTGTGCCGACCAGTCTTGAACCGTTGGGCATTTCGTCCTAGCTTGACATGCTGAACAGCGAATCCTCTTTGATTTGGTACGTTGTGTTCTTCGATCGCATCTTCATAAAGGAGATGTCTAAACAATCGTTCAACATCGCCACGTTCAAGTTCACTCCCATATCCAAATTCTAGAAGTTGAGAGAACTCTGACTGGCGTGGATAACCTCTAAAGGCATCTACACACGCCAGGACTGTCACTTTCGCGCTTTCCAGATTTTCAACAAGTCTAACAGCAGCAGCAGCATGCTGCGTAAAGTCACGAATTTCAAAGGTGAAGTCAGATTTGCAGTTATCACATGTCCTGTTACAGTCTTCTCGTTTGAATTTCTCGTCAAAATATGCGAGAATTTGAGCACGTCTGCAATCCGTGATGTTTTCACAAAACTGGGTGACGTGACGTAGCATCTGTCGTTGGCGTTGTTTTTGTTCATGGGTAGTCTCCTTGTTTTTCTTGATCATGTAACCTATCGAAGTAGAATCATAGTAGGCGTAGTAAAGATAGCATTCAGATCGTTTGCCATCTCTACCAGCCCGGCCAGTTTCCTGGTAATACCCTTCCAGGCTCTGTGGAATTGAGTGGTGAATAACAAAGCGCACATCAGCTTTATCTATTCCCATCCCGAAAGCGATTGTCGCAACGATAACATTATGTTTTCCTGACTGCCAATCTCTTTGAACTGTAAACCGGTCCTTTGAGCTCAGCCCGGCATGGTAATGAGCCGCCTTGACGCCAAATTTGGAAGAGAGCTGCATAGCTACCCTTTCGCAAGTTTTTCTCGAGAGGCAGTATATTATTCCACATTTGTCAGGGTAATCATTTGTAATAAGATCGGCGATATCTTTGAGCGCATCTTGGGCTCTTCCCTTCTTTCGCACTTCGTACGTCAGATTCGGGCGGTTAAACGATTGAGTAAAAACTTCACACCCCTTCATCCGCAAGTTGTGTATAACGTCAACTTGGACATTTGGGGTTGCCGTGGCAGTCAATGCCATTACTGGGACACCAGAGTACTTTTCTCTCATCGTACCCAGCGCAGTGTAATCTGGTCGGAAGTCATGGCCCCACTGACTGACACAGTGAGCTTCATCAATAACTATGCGAGCAAGCTTATCGTTACTATGGAGTTGAAGCAATACGCTTTCCATGGCACGGCTTTTGGCAAGCATTTCGGGTGTAACATAGAGTAATTGAATAAGTGAGTCGGCTCGGAGGCTCCGGAGATTGTTCATAATCGTAGCTCGTTCATCCTTTGACACATCTCCGTTTATCAAGAAGGCTTTCACATTGAGTTTTTGAAGATGAGCAACTTGATCTTGCATTAGACTTAGTAAAGGAGAAATCACTATAGTAACTCCTTTTGTTTTCCCAGTTCGTATTATAGATGGCAGTTGATAACAAAGCGATTTACCACCTCCTGTAGGCATTAAAACAAAGGTATCTTTGCCACTGAGGGTAGAATTGATAGCTTCGAGTTGATTGGGGCGGAAGCCGCGTAGTTTAAACGTTTCTCTCATGGCAGATTTGACGTCCTTGCTCCAAGGATGGCCTTCCACTGAGCTTATCTGGCCAACATCCTTTTGACTGAGGTGTTTCACCGACGGCGGTTTTGACTGATTTCCGGATGTTTCACGGAACACCTCCCTATTAGGGAATTGAGAGTGGGATTCAGGGGGGGCAGGAGCAGACAGAGCGGGCTTGGAATTAGGAGAATCAAAAAAGTCCTCAAGTTCATCATATGGATTGGAGGCAGATCGATCATCGAAGTCGGAGTCACCTGCAGTTGCCGTTGTTGCCAGACCACATGGAGCGTCCATGGTTCTAGAATAAGGAGGGTCATCGTCAAGCATATCGACAAAATCCTCGGCATCGTCAAATTGGGTATCCCAACTACTTAGGGGGCTCTTGACATTACGTGGAGCAGAAGGGAACTCTTGTGACCACCGTGGCTCGGGTACTGGAGGACGCAGGATATCATTTTTTCTCGTTCCACCAGTGTGGTTGCTAGGGAGCGATGTTGTATCAATGGGCGCTGGTATGGCAGAAGTATGATGACGGCTCTCATCCTCACTGGAGGAAGCCTGTGGTAGTACAGTTGATTTGACCTGAGAAAAGGAACCTGGTTCTTGATCCGCTTTTTCAAACGAATCCCTATCCGTCGTCAAAATATCACAACTCTGCCCTTTAAACATTTCTGACTCCTGTATCAAAGAAACTATTTTCGCTTCCTTCTCCTGTAGCCGTTGGGCTGACTCCCTGATTTCAGTAACCTTGAAGCTGTCAGGAATATCGCCCATCTGTTCAATGGAGGATATTAGGGCGGACTTCAACTTGTCATGATTCATTTTGGAGGAACAGAAATCAGCATGTAATTCTTGAAGTTCCTCCATGGCCTTTATACGGGAGGCCAAAATCCTGACTTCCTTCATCTTATCCTGACTGTCAATCCCTTCCAAGATCAGGTCATAGGCAGATTTTGCCTTTATTGTCCTGTCGTTATTGAGGGTATTAATTATTCGACGAAAAGATGTTGGAGGTGTGTTCAGGTATCTCGTTATCAATGCACCTGCCGTCTCACTAGGGAGGGGGTTTACAGGAGTAGAGGGATGAAGAGGGTGTGCTTGGGTTCCTTTAGGAGGCTGTGCAATTGATGATGATTGTGAAACATCAAGCTTTGGTTCTGATATGGCATTACGCTCATTTATCTTCTTGGAAGCCTCCGTGCTTTCCTTTCCTTGAGACAGGAGAGGGTAGAAGGTATCTTCTTCCATCATGTCGAGATAAACGCCATCATCTTCAGAGTCATTGATAACTCGTTGCGCAACTGGGGTCTTGGCCTTTTCAGGCCGTATCTTCTCCCTTTTCAATTGCCGAACTATGGGGGATGGGGAAGAGTGCTTCTTTTGAGGATAAGAGTCATCCTCCGAATCGGGGGTTTTCCGCCTTTTCTTCTTCTCGCTGCTACTACTATGTGGCCCCGAACGAGATGCATAGTCCTCTCTCCATAATCGCCGAGGTTCTCCGAAGGTTGAAGCGGAGCCTGAAGAGGATAAATTGCGTTCAGCATCTTTCGTGAGATCAACAGACTCAATTTCCTCTTGCTTTAGGACTGAACAAGATATTCCAGCTTTTCTCGCAAGCCTTGAGCTGTTGCTACTGGTTGGGGGAGTTATGCTTGTTAGGCTTCGTTGTTTTACTAGTTACCATATTAGCTTATTATCAATGTATTTCATCTTGGGACTTCAGGACACACTTCTTGTCTGTGGCGTCTCTGAATCGGTTCTATACAGGGGCCGTTTCTTGGAACTCCTTTCTGCCGGAGTTCCTGGTACATCGATTGAACATTTGGCGCTTAGTGTACTGTGTAGCCTATTGCGTGGTGGGGGAGATGCGAGCTGGAGTACGGCCATTGTATTATCAGTCGACACATCATCATTACCAGGAGCAACAGCCCGAGGAGCGGATGAATCTTCCTCTATGTGTAATGCAGTAGATGGTCTTTGGCCAAGCTCTGGCTCGATATAAGTCGTCGGCTCAGTGCTCGCGCAATCGGCTAACGCAGCCTGCGAATCGAGCGTCACTTGGGGAATCACAAAATCGTCGAGTGGGTTAGGACGCTCCAAAAGCCAGGCCAGGTGAGCCCTCAAATTGTTCTTGGTCATAGATGCCTGTCATATCTCGTAACTTTCTAGGTTTCCCATGCTTTCAAGTTGTCGTTGTCGTCAATGTTTTTATCAATTTAACATCAACTTCTCGAGATGTCGCGACAGACGCGCCTGTCACGTGATATTAAATTAAGAAAATCATGTGATAACGAAAGTTTACGTAATTCCGAATAAATATATTCACATGAGCATGACTAATCATATCCATTAGTCATAATTTTTACTTTTCCATCTTGTCCAATGAAATTAAGCTTTCGAACTACACACAATTGATTATCACGAGAAGCCATCGAAGCATCGAGGGGTTGGTGATGTTTTGCTTTCTTCTTTTTTGATATTCGAATCAGGTAGATATACATGTCACTTGATTCGTAGAGACGTTGCTCTACTACCATGGCAAAAGATAAAAAGGCCAAAAAGGCGGAGCAGAAAGCCCGGGCTGCCGCAAAGCAATCAAAGAAAGCATCTCAAAAGGAGAAGAAGGCTAAAGCCAAGGGCTTGAATGATGACAGCGATGCAGAAGACGTTGACCTTGATGCTGTTCTAGCTGCTTATGCTGAAGAGCAGGCCAAGTTTCTAAAAGTCACTGAAGTTGCGAGCGGCACGCCATCACCCCGCTCTTCTTCAACCATCATTGCTTCACCATCAAATCGAGGGGAGATCTTCCTATTTGGCGGAGAGTACTTTGATGGGTCGCTGGCTACATTCTACAACAATTTATATGTATATCTAATTGAGAAGAATGAATGGAGGGTTGTTACCAGCCCGAACAGTCCGCTTCCCAGGAGTGGACATGCATGGTGTCGTGGAGGGAACGCGGGAGGAATATACCTCTTTGGAGGTAGGACAACTATTTTCAATCTCATAGTATCTCTACTCCTAAAATTGATATCTAACTATGTTTCATCATGGACAATTTCATTTTTAAACAGGAGAATTCTCATCGCCTAAGCAAGGAACATTCTACCATTACAATGACTTTTGGCACCTCGATCCGTCCACTAGGGAATGGACTCGTATAGAGACCAAAAGTAAAGGCCCTCCAGCTCGAAGTGGACATAGAATGACATATTATAAGGTATGTGATTTATGTATACCTACCGCCTTAGCTCTATAATGCCTTGCTAATATTCGTGTTTAGAACTACATCATACTATTTGGCGGTTTTCAGGATACCTCGCAACAAACGAAGTACTTGCAAGATGTTTGGCTCTATGACTGCCAAAAATTCACCTGGTACAACCCTGCATTGCCACCGGCAACGCAAAAGCCTGATGCCCGGTCGTCCTTTTCTTTTCTTCCACACGAGTCAGGCGCCGTGCTCTTTGGCGGATACTCCCGTGTGAAAGCAGCAACCAAAGCGAACAAAGGACAAAAAGGTGGCGGCAGTAGTGCTCAACGCTCAGTGCTTAAACCAATGATCCACCAAGATACCTGGTTTTTACGGGTAACCCCTCCTCCATCGGATGCACCATCTACTGCTTCACCAACCATTCGATGGGAGAAAAGGAAACGGCCGGTCAATGCCCCAAACCCCCCGCGTGCGGGTGTTACCATGGCATTCCATAAAGGGCGAGGTATCTTCTTCGGAGGCGTCCATGATGTTGAGGCAACAGAGGAAGGTATAGAAAGCGAATTCTTTGATAACCTTTTTGCGTGGAATATTGAGAGAAACAGGTTCTTTCCTCTTCCTCTCCGAGCCCCGAAATCAGGGAGTAAAAAACAGCAAGCTACTGAGAGAGCCATAAAGTCACGCAATAAGGGGAAAGCAGATGAGGAAGAGTTACTTCGTAATTTAGCACTGTTAGAGGCTAAGGCCAACCCATCAAAAGCTGAAGCCGACTTGTTACCGGAAACAGATGAGAAGGATGAAGATGTACCGGAAACCACGGGGAAGAAATCACTACCTATCCGGTTTGAGATGCCGCATCGCCGGTTTAACGCACAACTTACTGTCCAGGAAGATACCCTGTTTATGTACGGTGGCACTTTTGAAAGAGGAGATCAAGAATTCACACTTTGTGATATGTATTCCATCGACTTACTCAAGATGGATGGTGTGAGAGAAATATTCTATGAAGAGCCTGAACACTGGAACGATGCGATTGTCCCAGATAGTGAAGATGAAGAAGATGAAGATGACGATGATGATGACGAGGGTGATGAAGATGAGAACATGGAAGAAACCTCATCTATTACTGCTCCTTCTACAGTTGCAACTGAAATTACAGAGCCTACATCCATCGAGGCTGAGGCCGAGAAGGAAGAGGAACCAGAACCAACTGTAGTCGACTCTCGACCGCACCCACGACCATTTGAGAGTTTGCGCGAGTTCTACAGCAGAAGTTCGACAGAATGGCAAGACATTGTTCTGGCAAAACTGAGGGAGAAAGATAGTGGCGCCGAAATGTCAGTCAAGGAACTTCGGAAGGTTGCGTTTGACTTTGCTGAAGAGAAATGGTGGGATTGCCGCGAGGAGATTACCGCCCTCGAGGATGAGCAAGCAGAGGCGGGAATTGGTGAAGTGGTTAGTATGGCTACTCGGGGTGATTCAGGGCCGAGACGGAGATGATCTATAGAATGATACAGCCCATAACCAATATAAAAAAAAGTTCATAATATATTTTCCATCCCTCATATATTCTTTGTCATAACCTATCTAGAAACTTCATCAAGAACCTCCTTAATCAAGGTGAAATCTCTCTCAACTTGTACTTTCCAGTTCGAAATTGCAACCCGACATGCAGGCTCCCCAGCCCACTTAGTTCCAGAGACAAACATCTTGCCAGTACCATTTATTGCACTAGCCAGCCTGGCATTAAGTGTTTCATCTTTGGCCCTAAATAAAACTATAATGTATGTGGCAGCGATCAAGTCTTCTTTTGAAGCTCCACCTCCGAGAACCGTGTATTTGGGATGCCCATGGAGCCAGCTGGTAACCAGCCTGGCAAGCCGAATTTGTCTCTCCACCATGGCTCTATAACCGTCTTTGCCATATGCAACAAGAGTCGAGTAGACAGGCAAGGCCCTGAATCGCCTTGAATTCTCCACGCCTATGTTGAGGGGTGTTGGTATATGCTCTCCGGATGAAGACGAGAGGTAGACGGCATTAGGATTTCTGAAGACCTCCTCTGCAACATCTCCGTGGCGAGAGAAAAAGAATCCGCAGTCGTATGGGACATTCAGTAATTTATGCCCGTCCCCAGTAACTGAATCCGCAAGTTCAATCCCTTCACTACCTTTCTTGATAATTTCGAACTCCGGGCTATCATCAAGGACACGCCCAAACATCCCGAACGCAGCATCAACATGAAGCCATGCATTGTACTTATCGCATAGTTCCCGTACACGCCTGAACTCGTCTATTCCCTTGGTTGCAAAGCGTCCGGTATTGACTTCTCCGCAGGAAATAGACACGATTGAAGCAAAACCATCCCTTGCCAACTCCTTTTCAAACAGTTCAATGTCAAACTCCAATGGCTGTCCGTGAGATTCGCCAGTTTTTGATATTATGGACTTGACATTTGCCCTACCAATTCCTAAGATACCGGCAACCTTTCCCACAGAAGAATGTGGCATGGTAGACAATACCTGAAGACCCTTCAGGCCCGCTGCTTCAAGAACTGCAGGCATACCATACTCGCCCACACTATCTGTAATGTTGCCGGAAGCGATATTTCCACTGGTACCTCGTTTTTGAGCTGCCTTTCGTAAGACGTACTCTCTTCCACACGCTAGACCAACCAAATTGCTAGCAGTGGCACCGGTAGTAAATATCCCATGGGGCCATTCGTCCCTCTTAAGCCCGAATAAATCCTTTAACAGGCAAAGGGCAGCATAATCCAGGTCTGTTGCAACCGAGTGGTCGACAAGATGAACGCAGACGTTTTGGTCATAGACAGAGACAACGTTGTCGGCTAATAAAGCTGCAGGAGTCACTCCGCCGGTTACAAAGCCGTAGTAATTTGCATTGATTGCAGAGTCATTCAACCCGGGGATGATATCATTGAACAAATGGTCCTTGGTTTGAGTGTATCCTTGACCAGTATGAGAGAGTTCAGTAATGATGGATGAGCGCGAGTGCGCCAGTGATGCTGCTGGAGGGAGAACACTACGGCTGGGGGGATTGAGTGCCGTATCCCAGAGTTCCTTTGAGTGACTATCGTCGACCTGTATGCCAACGCCGTCTTTTAAATGATTCCGTTCCATATTTCGCTTTACTCTTGGAGTATGAAATGGTGATATTGGCTCCTAAAGTCCTGGCCACTTGGTTTTTGTCCTGTACAAAGGGTGGAAACGCGGGGCTCATCCCGGTTTTATATCAGATTATTTTGTACATAGATCACCAGGGGCTCCGCGCCTTTCCAGACCTTAACTAACTAGTTCAAAGGCCAAGGTACGAACTAGTGCCGGGTAGTTCGGTTATCTCGTAACAAGTAACCGAGCAAGTCAGGAGAGAAGCATGGTATTCAGATGTATGCTTCAGAGAGTGATATATATAATTCCTGAATGTTACACCTAGCACGGCAGCAGTACGTGAAGACTTGATCATATATTCGAGCGATAGCGACAGAAGTATATACACAATGTTTTCCATAAACAAAAAACTCCAATACTGTAAACGAGCGTATGCAACACCGAACCAGGTGAGCGTGAAAATCATAAGTCAAATGGGGATGGGTAAAAAAGGCATGGCCCTACCAGAGGGCGATGGTCAAAAGAATGAAACCGTCATCATTCCAATGTGCTCGCAATATACAGGCCTTCCGAATTTGAATCCGTAAAGGCATGTAAATAGCGCAGAAACGTGGATTCTTAGACTCTGAACTTAGCAGAGTGAGTGCCACCGCACTTCTCAGACCTCTTTGCGCTCTTCTTGGGGCATTTCGGGGACACCTGGGTCTGTGCAGTCACGCCGTCCGCATACTGCACTTTCTTTCCGGGGTCTTCAAAAACAATATCCTGTCCCTCGACGGTAGTGCAGCCATTTCCAACATTGGCAACAAACATGTCAGGGAGAGAGTTGAACTGAGTGGTGGAGGCGCTCTTGCTGTCAACAGTGACCTGGGCACAGTTCATGTACATCTCACGGTTTCCGACGAGGTTGAACCAAGACCATGCAAGGAGAGCCTTTCCTGACGGTGCGTTGGCTGGGATGTTGAAGTTGTAGGTATCCTTCATGGGGCAACCGCCGAGATAGGAGTTGATAACCTTGAAGGTCTTGCCGTTGTCGTAGCTGAGAGAGACCTGGCAGGATCCTCCGTCGTGGCGGGTGTTTCCAGCAAGTGTCAAGTTGTACTCTTGGCCGGCCTCATAGGTAGCAACAGACTTGAATGGGTCCTTGTGGTAACCTTTGCAAGGGAAGTCGGCTCCTATAGGGAGCCATTAGTATCCGCACGCTTCATGAATGTGTCAATTGGGTCGAGCTTACCCGAAGGGTTCAGAGGGCCAGTCATGGACCAGTCAGGGTTGGTGTTCTCTATAACATTATTAGCACCGTGCACATCTCGGTCAATCAGAGCAGGAAGATGGCCATTCATACCCTTGTTGAACTTGCTTCTCAGGGCATATGGCCACTGCATTTCCATGTGGGCCATGGCAGATCCAGCTGCGCAAAGGGCATAGAGAGTGAATGTAGAGGCACGCATATTGGCAGATGACGGAAGATCAACTTCGCCTGTAAGGAGTGTATAGAATTGAAAGAGTGGTGGAAAGAGAGGAAAGAAGGAAAGACTTTTTGAAAATGTACGGCAATAATGGAAAAGATCGCTATGCTGAACAAGAGAAAAGGGCCGAAATCACTGAGGGAGACATGTTCCTTTTATGTCTGGTGGATGGCGATATTCCATCAGACTTACGCGCCCGAATCCTTCGTTCTGGCAGGGTAGACAGGCAAATCTGCAGCTTTCGGTCTCAGTTGTTGTAGATAGCGCTGCAACTGCACAAAGATGAAGTTGATATGCAGCCCATTGCCCCTAACGTATCATAAACCCCATGTTAACTGCACAGTGGCCACCATGATAGGCAACCGGCTCTCCAAACCCTGTCCTTCCGGGCGGTTCGGCCAAAGACAACAGTGTTTCTGCTTCAGATCTTTGGCTCACTTTTGGCCAAGAGGGTCTGACGGGATCAGCCGTGTGGAACTTGGGACTCGCTGACTGGAGGGCCCGGAGCCTATAGATTGCCACAGTTCCTGGTATTCCTTCCGTCCAGCAAATTCCCGAGCCAGGGGTGGGAATAATAAGAATAGCAGCAGCACGGCCCTTGATACTGGCGGCTGGTTATGCACCTTCAAGCGCCGATATCCCTGGTCGTTTTGGCTTCACAGTTGGGAGTTCCTCGTGAAATATCGCAATCTCACTGGATGTCTAATTGTAAGAAGCTTTGTGGCCCTTGTCACTAGGCAAGGGGGATTCAGCAACCCTGTGATGGGACCATCGTGGAATGGTCCAGTAAGAGCCTTGACATCGGTTAGCAGATCTTATCTTCCAAACTTGACATGGGGTATCATATGTCGGCAAATACGAAGGCGTCGAAAAACAACTTTCGTGACGTCAAAGTGCAGAATCCACTAAAGTGCAGAAATCGTTTATCATTCCTTGTTTGTGGGGTGAGTTCTGGAGGATCGAATGTATCTCCAACTTGATATGTTGTCGATTGGCTGTGAAGTCGACGACGGGACAAATATGAAACAAATGACTAAGCAGGTCCAGAAACGGTTTAGCGTAAAATATGCTCTTAAAGCTAAATACTCTGACCAATTATATATGAGTAATGCAGCTATTTTAGTGGGGTCCCTATTGATTGGTCAAAGTTTATTGGGCGATGAAATAATGACTAAGCAGTACTGAAAAGGGTTTAGCTTCTACCAGGAACAATCAATTTTGACCAATAAAGGATGGTTAATATAGCCATTTCATTGGGGAGGCCACAAAGAGTCCAAAAAGTCCTCATTGATTGGTGACATTACAAAAGTAAATAGGCTTATTTAACTTTAAAATGGAGTCCCACCTTCCATTGGATGAACTTTAACTTAATCGCAAACACCCTCTGCTCTCGTACATACAATTGTCAACTTTGAGGCTCAAGATGAAAACAGTCTTCCCCAAAGGCAGAAGTCTATCCTTCTGGCGTGCTAGATAGGTAGGTGAAATAAGTGGTATATGTGGAATTAGCTCCTCGTGAGGGTGACACTTTTTTCTGCTAAACTTGGTACAATCCCGGGCAACTCTGCTGTGTGAATCACACCCGACCAATGCCTGGCACGCTAGATACCTCCTTGCTTCCACACTCCCGACATTCCAAAAACAGGATGCCTAAAGAAAAACCTGACCACCTTCCCCTGGACCGCAGGATCTCGCGGATGAACCTCTTGATCCGGCGAGATACCACCCTTCCACGTCAAAGGAGCCCTCACTCTAGGGCAGCAACAAATTGTCAGCATTTGGTACACAACCCTGGAGGCTGCAGGCTGCTCACCATCATAGGCCGAGTATATGCGTTCTTTCCGTATCATGTCTTGGTATCGCACGTGGCGGCATATGTCGATTGTTATTGCCCATGATATTGTACGCATGCTTGTCGTGACCCAGATGCCGTGCACAGAAGTTATATTGTTGAAACGAAAACAGTGCTTCTTCAATTTCTGATATTTCTGGTACTGTAATGAACGCCTTTAACCGTTGATATTCGTAAGGATTCATATTTCACGATCATAAATAGATCTCAGCATGACGACTCCCGCTCAGTCAAGCATAACGTTGTCGGCGATATTTGGCAGTCTCTTGCCGCCGAGACAATTCTTTAGGGTGACCCAGCCGAGTTCCCTAAATAACGGAACCACATCTTTGTGGATTCGGGTATAATATATACTAAGGAAAACATCCAAGTTGTTCGTTGGCGTTAATATTCGTCTTGATGCCCTTCAAAGTCTTCCGTAACTCGGCCCTCGCCTGCGTTTCGGAAGCTATGAAGACTTGACACCTGGCCATGAAGCTCCTTAGAGATACCTTCGGCCCCCTCTCCGCAGAAAGAGGGCCGAAGGCGTTGACACCCTGAGCAACGGGTCGGGTGGTTTCAGTTTGCCGGTCCGGTTCAGGGTTCTCGGCGTCTTCGACTGTCGTCTTGGCAAGCTTGTCGCATGCCCATGAGTCTAAGTGGGGAAAGTAATGTAATACTACCCCAGTTAGGACCGGGAAGAGGAGCCATGACAGGTAGTCGATGGCTTCTTTGGCTGTTCCTCTTCGCACGGCCGTTTCTAGCATGGTGAGGTTGCACTGACAAGCCATCACGGAGGTTGAAAAACAAAAAACGAGAGTCAGCGGTGTCATATACAGTAGTAATTTATATTGGAGCGACAGGAATAGATATGAGCGCCGTTGGAGGAGAGAACAAGCAGAAGAAGAAGAAGATGATGAGATGAGTTGAGAAGAAGAAGAGGAAGAATTTGAGAACTTGGAGAGATATTTTATAGGCGATCGAGTGCCTTCCATGTCTGGCAATGTTTTGTTTATTTGTGATGTCAGTCAATAAACACAGGTTGATGAGAAGGATCGACTGGTATCCTGGAAGGCACGACCATGCCTTTGGTGACAACAGGAAAGAAGTGGCCAGTTGAGAGTGCAGGAACGAACAGGAGGAGTAATTTAGAGGAAAGAGCCAGGGAGTTGCCTAGTAAATATGAGCATCAAGAAGGAGCGATTGATATCTTGGAAGGTCATGAAATGCTCCTGCCTTTCAAGGGACCAAGCTGGGGAAGGAGGGATTGCAATTAGCAGTCATTTCGTCTTTATCTGCAAGCGAGCTGTCTGCTCTGATATATAACATAAAAAGGGGGGCCAGGCGCCAGGAGAGAAGTGGTCGTAAGGGAGGGATCATGGAGGTATGCCTATAGTTGCTGGATAGTAGTTAGGAGTTTTCGCTTTGAGTCAGTGGGAACTCTTCGGCAAACAGTTTCAGTCTTTAATAGATCACCAAAAATCAATCTCCTTTCCCCGATAATCTCGAGAGGGCAATTCGGAGTCGAAATGGTGTTTGTACTTGAGATCTCTAGGTTCTATGTCAACCCGGGCAAAATTGCAGGGAGAAAACTCGGTTCCATGCTCCCATAAGCTTCCTTCGGAGTTTTTGCAGGCCCCGAGATTCTCCCAAGTGGTGCTTCGAATCAATATACAACTGGGTTTATATCGTAGACGGGAGATTCGAAATTCTCTCTCCGAATGGCTTAAGGGACATCGGTAACAGTAGTAACAGTCACTCGCCTGGCTACGTAGCGTAATTTCAGGCAGCAGGTGTTTCTTGAAGCCATTCAAATAGTCAGATGCATCATGTGGAAACGATGCTCGATACATAATCCATACGTCTTCTTTTAGAATCAAGTTATTAGATATAAGTTTGATATCGAAATTCCAGACACCCTTAGTTGACCAGTATTCACCGTGGGGTTTCAAGTAAAAGGTGTTGATATTCATAGCTGCAGCCGCGCACCGACCATGCGTAGGACCGAACCGATAATGGTTCATGACCTCTTTCGCCTGTCTATATAGCAGACACGGAATGTTCCTTTCATCCCTAGGCCCGAAAAAATGAATGGCAGTTTCTGTATCGCATTGACCTGGCTTTAAAAGGGGCTTTTTCTTGCACTGGGTATGGAATATCTGACAACGGTAGCAGAGCACATGTTCAGGAAATTGGGCTTCAATCCTCTCCAGGAAATCTATACGACTGTCACTAGGTTTCGACAGTCTATTGACGACTCTTTGCCCACCCGCAGCTTGCCAAAAGGACTTGGATGCGAGAACAAATGCAGCGGCGTCAGCTGGTGGCAGCGATGAAACAATGCAATATATTGCATCGGCATGGAGTGCATGTATAGGCGCTAGAATTTTCCGGGGAAAGGATTTATTAATGACCTGAGATTCAGCGTTCAGGGATTCAGCGTTCAGGGATTCAGCGTTCAGGAATTCAGCGTTCAGGGATTCAGCGTCTCGGAAATCAGCGTCCAGAGAACCAGCGTCCGGAGAATCAGCGTCCAGGGATTCGTCGTTCAGAAATTCGGCCAGGGATTTAGCGGCCTGGGATTTAGTAGCCTGAGGTTGAGCAGCCTGAGGTTGAGCAGCCTGGGGTTGAGCAGCCTGGGGTCCGGTGGTCCTAGAGAACGTAGGCCATAGTAACATGAGTATCTGCAGTATCACTCGGATGCAGGCGTCCATTGTTACTGTTAAACAATAGTTAATAAAGAGGTATATTCTCTTTCCATGAGCTGATACGCTTACTTACCTCTTTGGTTCAACGGTTTGATGCAAGTCAATGAGTTAAATCTTGGTAAGTCTTTTTCGTGGTGCCTTTGTGGTCCTTGTATTCTCTCGGCGGTAGTTTTTGTGACAGCTGTAGTAGGTGATCCGTAGTAGTGATATGAATAAATGGTGAGATGTATTTTTTTTGGGCATAATGGGCGATTGCGCTCTTGATATATCTTTTCGAGCCTTTGACGTCATTGACTCTGCTATTGACCAGGCTTGGAATGACATACTCCTCGCTTTTTGGGTTGGCAGTTTGATGGGTAGTCAAATAGTCAAACAACAATCGAAGTTATAACTTTATTAGCAACGAGCTGCCTTAGATATAACTCCTTAGTTAATGGGTTAGGTAAAGCCGTGACTCAACCATAGGGTTTGCTGAAATTTTCTTGTAGCGTCCATAACTGAGCAAAGTCACCGTACAGTGGTAAATCTCGCTTGGGGCAATTTAGCTTTTGTCTTTGCTCTTGTAAATTGAGCGCCACAGCACGTCGGCGACTCACGATGATGTGTGAAATATATTGGCGAGCGATATCTTTGTGTTAAGACTGAATATTGGGTTAGTTACGTCAGTAATTTCTGGTGCAAAAGAGGGCTATCGGTGGGTAGTCCCAATAACCATGGAAACAAGGAGACTTTAAGTCCGGGAGGTTTGAACCAAGTAAGTGAGCTATAGCGTGAGTTACTGTGACGTAGATGTTGTTTGAACTGAGCCGGGTATCACTCATTTTCAGATGGTGTTCGAGTCAGAGATATGCAGCCACAATCTTGGTTAGTTATGTATAGGCGCCAGGATTAAATTTTTGGCCTTGATTAAGCGCTGCATAAATCATAATGTTTTGAAGAGGATGGCCGGGTATATGGTAAGGCCCTCAGTTTTGTCTAGCAGTTATTTTGGCCATCCTAAATGGAGCTATTATATGAATCCGCTTGCTCATCCTGTAGTCCAACTCGGGTAGTCCAGATGGAGCTGTGTAGGCGCGATATTATCCTCGTTCTTCTTGCACATTGTTGGTTCACGCTCTCTGTTAGATTCCACAATATCTGAGATGGTATAAGAACAGGACATCTACTCATTCTATTGAATTGCAGCGAGGGATCACGTAGTTAATGGCCTGGGGACCCAAGGGCTGAGATCTGAATTCCGAGAAACCGCGACGGCGAGACGTGTTAAAGGGCGCGCCCGAAAAGAGAATCTTATAACGATTTTCGACTTGATCTTTGTTATTATGATAATTGGGATACGGGCATCCATTGAGCAGCCGCGGAGTAATGGGCGTTGGAAGTTGAAACAACTTGGTGTGACATAAAAGAAACTAACTACGGAGTAGTTAGTTAACTAGTTGAAGATTGCCCAGTCAAGCCACAATAATAACTAGTTAGAAAGCCCCACAAATACTCCATAACCGGGCCAAGCCTCTCTGCTCTCCCTGCCGTAGGCCTGGTTAGTTGAACTATCTAGAAAATACAGAGAATCCTATTTAAACTGATACTCAATATGGAGTATATTATCTAGCTATCGAAACCATTGTCCAATGTTAACCAGGCTATATATTTCCCAAGGGCCGCTAAATACTTAGTATATGCTGATATGCCTCCTCCACAGTACATTTGCATGTAGCATGAAGCGATAGTGGTGTGGCTAAGTCGTCTTCTTCCAATGTATACCCTTATGCTCTAACGCCATAGTCGGCTCCATCTCAATGGAAATCTGGTTGATAACTCCCTCTGGGCTCAGGACGAATCTCCCCCTCGTGGCTGAAGTGGCACCGTACATCAACGTCCCCACTACCCAGAAATCACCCGTGACATGCCTGAGTTCCAGAACCAGTGCCGAACTGCCGAACGCGCTGTGTAAGGGTTTGGCACAGAGGCGATAAGGCCCTAGCTTTCGTTTGCCGGACACCTTAGGGAAAAGTGAGTGGCTGGGGCAGTCAGTTGTTACTTTCAGCGTTGGATAGGCAGGGTGTGTATAGGTTCCCTCGTATTCTGATAGTTTCAATGGAGGAGGAAGAGGCGGACTAGGGATGCGTGGATAGAGATCATCCAAGACTCGCGGAGAAATCTTGGTGTTCTCTAGTGTGGCTTCGGCTCTATAAAATTACAACATCGGTAAGTACTTTTGGACGTTTATATGGTTTGTGGATAGGTTATTGCATGAAATTACCTCTTTCGCCAATTTGGACGGTGTCTTTCCTGGATTCCGAGAATATCGTCGATTAAATGGTTTCCAAGCAATGTGACAGCTGCGTTTGTCCCTATCATATTGTTGCCTAGGATAACAAATCCAATCCTCTTTCTAGGTAGGAAGCACACAAGGCTGCCAAACCCTTCAATTCCACCCGGATGTTGGATTATCACTTCTCCAGCATATGTACGCAAAAACCATCCAAACCCGTACAAGGTCGGGGATGTATCGGGAGCCATTGGTTCTGGAGATATGATGGTGTGTCCACCCAGAATGGCAGTATACCCTGCAGGTGAGATTGGCGGACTTCGTTGTATCATTGCCTGAACCCACTTTGCATAATCCACTGCCGAAGTAATGATGTTTCCTGCACCTCTGATACTCTCATGGAACGATAAGTCCGTATCTTGTAGCTGTCCCGTTGAATTGAGAAAGTACCCTCGTGCAATTTCTCCACCAGCAGCCTGGGCGTCGGACAAAGAAACGTATGTTTCTGTCATCCCTAGAGGTTCTAGGATACGCTCGCGCAGTACATCCTTGAAAAGTTGCCCCGTCTTAGTCTCGATCAAATGAGCAGCAGCCATGTACATCAAGTTGCAGTAGTTAAACTTTGTACGAATAGTCGATGTAAGTGGAAGGTATCTCATCTTCCTCACAGCTTCCTGCAGCGTCATGTTGGCAAACCAGACCCAGTCATGGCGTGGCATGCCAGACCGGTGTGAGAGCATATCCTCGACCGTAACTTGCGTAGTAAACCATGGATCACTCAGGGTGAAATCGTCTGGAATAATGCTGTGAACCATTGCGTCCCATTGTATCTCTGGGAAGTTCTCGTTGTCGTCCACGAGAATTGATATCAACGCTGCTGTAAAGGCTTTGGTTGTACTCCCACCAAAGAAGAGGGTGTGTTCTGACACCGGCTGTGAGGTAGCAAGATCTGCAACACCATACCCCTATGAAGATCTAAGCAGCCAAAATTTCGACCTTGATACTGCAGAATAAAGTTGGAATGAGTAGAAGAAAAGTGAAAGGGACATTGCTGACTTTCGTGAATACTCTACTACCATTTATAAACGATATTGCAAGGCCCGGTACTTTAAACTGCTCCAAAGCCCAATTCACTTTCTCTTCGAAGGCAGTACTCGGGAGATATACGGAACGAGAATCGAGATCCAGAGGAGCTTGCTGATTGAGGCATCCTTCCGAAACCCATGAACAGAGGAGTAGAATTGACTGGTAAAACAGCATCGTAGAGGCTTAGGGGTTTGTCTGCTATGGTAAATGCCTAGAATTTCTCATTGCCCAGGTGCGAGTGAAGTCACTCTTCCTGAAAGACTTCCAGCAGAGGGCGAGCCAGGAACGGCGGTGCATTTAACACCTTTTCTCCCCGAACAAGGGCCTCAATTATCAAACGGCCTGGAACGAGATGGCACTCCCCAATGGCCTAACTACACGTGATCTGGGGCTGTGACGGGAGCGCCTCACTCTCAGCTCGTCAATAGCCTGTTTCACCCTGGCTAGTTGTCTTTTGGGGCTGGAATTTTCCACCGTAGGCTAGGTGCAGCAAGCCCAGAACGCATCTTTTTGCAGGGGCATCGTCTTTTCCATCTTAGTAAGCACATCTGGCTCTGATAAAGGAATTTGCTAAGTGTTGCTTTTCGCTGTGATTAGCTAGTTAGTGGTACAAGCGAAAAATCCCCAGAAATCCGGCTATTACGAGGATCACATTGATTGGGATGAGTACTAGCCGGTACAGAGTATGCGTTTCCGTCAAGCAATTAGACGCATTGCCCGCAGACACCAGTAGATTCGATATTGCTTCCGATATACCCATGCGTATCTTGGTACTCTCCTTCATTAGACTGCTAGCAACTTGGAACATCCCAGCTGCTATTTCCACCTTATCTGCCAACTCGTGTATGCTGATCCGGTCAAATAAAGGGAATTCTTCGAGGGATGGGTATATGACTCTCAACGGGTATTGTCGAGTCGGATTCCTTAACCCGTTGATAACTGCTATGATACTAGTGGTAGGCGCTGTGATTTCATACTTGACTCTAATAGTGGTGGTTTGCTCTGACTCTTCTCTCAATATTACCTCGGCCACGGTGTCATCAGGAAAGGCGAGCGAGCACTCGGCTTGAGCTCTCCCTGCATAAGAAAAGTCATCATTTGCCTAATATGACCTTTGCTCAAGAGCGAGGGCATGGGTTTGCGAAATAAGATACCACGTTAATCATACCTACTTGTATAAGCGATGACTAGCGGGTGTGTACTCGGTACAGTGCAGAAATTGTCATAGTAATCAGCTGAATACGTTTTAAACTCACTTGTCGACCAATTAACGATTTAGACCAATAAGAACTCCCTTTTCACTACCATAATTGTATTTGTCAACCGCGCGCTTAGTAATTAATTAGTCAGCTCGACTGGTTTACAGAAGCTGGTGTCATGTGTTTCTAGCGCGAGGAAACGTGCTGAAAGTTTCAACCTCAGCCAACTGCATGTCAACGACAACGTCAAACAAAAGACAAACCACCCTTCTACTAAATAGATATGTATAAGAGATTCATGATCCAAGCATCAGACTCAACAGCTGAAATGTTAAGTAAGCTGGCGGACAGAGATCGGGAATCTTGGGCTGGTTCCGGCAGGCTGCAACAGCGAGAAGATTGATCGAATCCAACGGAATTGCACGACCGTTAGAAAGTATTCTAATAGATCTTTCGAACATTGTCAGGATTGCCGTGGCAGACTCAGTGCTTAGCAAACTGCCATCACTAGAGACCGTGATTCCAAGTGTTTTGCCATTTGGACGAGCAGATACCTCAATGTTTGTGGGTGCGGCGTATGGTTTTCGGAACCAGTCTAGCTGTGCACTGCAAGGTTCGGAATCTGGGCCGGCGCTCAATGTAACCACTGGAGTTTCGTCAATGTCATGATACTGAAGTAATGTGTCAAGCTTGGTACCGCTTGGCCATTGGGTACAGTTTTCCACAATATCCTGGAAACCCAAGGAATCGGCATCTCCCATAGCAAGGTACTGATTCATTGTATGGCGCTGGAGATCTATTGTTGTCCGCATAGAGCTGAAACATATTCTGACAGGAACTGTGTTCATGCATGGGCCAACAACCTCCTGTATCTGTGGCATACCGATGTTTCGCCCAGCAACGACAAATCCGTACACAACGTCCCTCTTGCCTGTTATTTGTCTGAGGACAAGTGACCATGCTGAACTCACGAGTGACGCGACAGTGACGCCCTTTGGCGGGATTGGCAACTCCACTGTTTTTTCAACATGGGTTTTCTCCACCCTTTGCAAGGGGGTTTCCATCATAAATCTAGCGGAAACTTGCGTCATATGTGACCCTTGGAGAAGATTTGTCCAATATTTCCTTGACTCACTCACTTTCCCAATGGTGTATGAGATGAAACCTGAAAATGACTGAGTTGGGCTCCGTGGAACTCCAGCATATGATTCTTGGAAACATCGAAGAATTAATGGCCACGACATGCCGTCATACTGTGCGTGGGACATACGGATGATAAGTTGAGACCCAGATATCGCATGTCGAATCAGTGTGAAAGATAAGAATAGCGAGCCTGAAATGATTTTGTTTTCCAGATCCTGGAGGCAAAATAGGTCGCTTGCCTTGCTTAAGTTCTTCACGCTGTTGTGAATCTCTAAAGGTACCTGAAGCCTTCGAATGACAACTTGATAAGTCCTGCCTTGGGTCGGTATGAATATTGTACGCAATATTGGAAATTGGTCGACAATGCTTTGACAAGCGTGACGCAGCCTGGTGACATCAGGGGTGTTGTCAAATCTCAGGTAGAAATAATTTAATGCGTCCCTTGAAGCTTCAGCTACGCGTGAGGCATAAAATGACTGTAAATCGGTCGCTGGAAGGATATCTTCGATGTCACTCGCAATATTAGCGTAGGGCCCAAGCCCTACCAAAGAAACAACTCTCTCCAAGTCCTTTCTCTGGACATGTGCAAACGGCTTGCCTATCAGAGTCTTCAAAATATTGTTGGAGGATGAAGATGCAATCCTGGCTTGTTCATCGATATGAGGGTGACGGAATACGTCTGCCACTGTCAGGTTAATACCGGATTTCCTTGCAGTTGTTACCAGCCTCATTGCTGAGACTGAATCCCCACCCAAGCGGAAGAAGCTATCGTCTAAGCTTATTTGGCTCCTGTCGATGTTCAAAACGAAACTCCACAATTGCTGCAGTGTCCGTTCTCTGGCTCCTGACGGCGTACGTTTGGAATTATTCTGGTGATCGCTTACACGGGCAAGCTGTTCACTAGTGAAATTGGAACCGATATCACGGAGGTGCTGGCGATCTGTCTTTCCATTCAGGGTGAGGGGTACGAAAGGTATTGTGAAAAATATGGACGGAACCATGTAACATGGCAGCCGATCTTCTAGTTGCTCAATGAACTCCTTTGATACCCAAACCGGAGACAACCCAGTTTTGGGTTCTTCGGGTCCATCGAGATCACCGAGTGGATTGCTTTGTGCATCGCTAGTGCAGATGAATGCAGCTAATGTCGCCTTCTCTTCTCCCGTCGGGTATATAACCTCAGCTACTACCCCTGATGCATTTGTCCAGCATTCACACACATGGTATTCAACCTCTCCAAGCTCCACTCGCTGTCCACGTAGCTTAACCTGTGTGTCTTTGCGACCACAGTATGTTAGGCTTCCATCTGGGTTTCTCTTTGCCAGATCACCTGTTTTATATATCTTACATCCCGGCAGCCAGGCAGGGTTGATAAACATGGCATTCGTCTTCTCTACATCGTGTAGATATCCTCGGCTGACCTGACGCGACTCAATGACCAGTTCTCCGATGCATCCGGCAGGGGCAAGACGGTTATAATCTGCTGCCTCGGTTATCCAAAGTCGTGTTCCATCTACAGCGTATCCTATATTGGCAGGGTCATCCGATACGTTCAGAGGACCGCTAATGGAGACGCATATAGTTGCTTCAGCTGGTCCGTATCCATTGTAGAGGGTAACCGTTCCTGCCCATGCTTCTAGGTCTTGGCGAGACATTGGCTCTCCACACAATATCATCCTTTTCAGGCAGGGGACATCCTGAGATCTAATGAGTCTCGCGACAGTTGGTGTGAGGAGCGCTAAATTCACTCGCATTTGGGTTATGCAACCTGCAAGATCTGATAGACGCGCATCCTCTGACGGAACACATACGCATCCTCCATGAGATAGAACGGTAACGATTTCCTGCAAGCAAGCGTCGAACGTGAAAGCAGCAAATTGCAGTGCACGAGTCTCTTCGTCGAATCCATAGCGTTTTCCATGTCCTTGGAGCACGCTTGTGCACAGGGAGCCGTGATCGATGATAATTCCCTTTGGCAACCCAGTGGTTCCTGAAGTATAAACGATCGTCGCTATATCAGAGTCATGAATTGTTGGAAGTGTTGTTGAAAGTAGGGCCCTCTCTACTGTTTCCTTATTCACTACAACTGTTGGCGTATCAACCGTCTCGAAAAGCGAGGAATATCTAGGCTCGACGATGATGAGCTTTGCCTGGCAATGATTCACTACACTCTCGAGTCGCTGCTGAGAATGAAGGGGGTTTGTGGCAACAAAGACGGCACCTGCTTTCAGAATCGCCAATATTGTTATGACAGACCAGCAAGATTTGTCGAGACATACGACAATGATATCTCCGTTGTTGACTCCTTGCTCGACAAGATACTTCGCGTAGGTGGTATAGTATTTAGTAAGCTGGCCATAAGAGTATTCTCCATCCCAAGATACCACCGCCTGAGTATTCAACTGTGCCATAGCTTGTCTCTCTATAGCTTCAAATACACACGTTTCTGTGTGATGCAGTGACTTCTGGTCTGAAGACTTCATGGCATGAAATTCATGCTTACCATCCAACGAGATGGTCTCCACCGATTTATCCGCAGAGTCCAGCAAACGATTCAATGCCTTTTTAAAAGCATTTGCAATATGTATCACATCTATGTCACTGAAAGATGGCCAATATAAAAAGCCCAGCTTCATGATACTGTCGACAATTTCGACGTTGGCAACAATATCATACTACTGCATCATCAGTAATGGTCTAGGGGAATTCAGTGCATTGAACCTTACCTCCGTCGGGTCATCTTGCTCCCTAATCTCCTCGAATGCAATGGAAGTGTTATAAAATGGGTCAGTTCGAGCAGTCCACTCCATGGAAACGGCCGTGTTGAACATAGCCTCACTGCCTTTCGGATATAACCTCGCCTTTAGTTCCGTTAGAGGATAGTGTTGGTATGGCATGCTTTCGATATATTCTTGTTGCATTCTTTCCGCAAGAGATACGAACGTTGTGCCAGTGCAGAGCTGTGCTCGACAAGGCTGTATGCTTAGGCATAGTCCAACCATTTTGTTCACATCTTTCACGGGTACATCTCTACCAGCAGCAACATAAGTGAAACATACGTCATTGGACCCAATATATGCCCTGAGGACCAATGCCCAAGCAACCCTAACAGCTGATGCCACTGTTATATGTCTTTCTTTGCACTTGGCTAGAAAATCACTGCTTTTCTCGTAGACGAAGTCCTTTCTCAAGAAGCGAGTGGGCAGGTCGTCAAACATCATCTGTTTACCGATGGGTATCATGCAGGGCGGGCAATCTTTAAGATACGTCGTCCAGTACCTAGCACTGGCCTCATTGTTTTGCGAAGCCACGTATTTTACGAATTCTCGATATGGCTGTGGCTGGTACAGGAGCTGTCCGTCATCGAAGACAGTTGCAAAATCTCTCATCAGGTTCTCCATGGCAGCACCATCAACTAAGGCATGGGATATCTCTATCATGAGGTATGTGACCTTGTCACCACATACGCATAGGGATATTCTATGGAACGTTGAACGCTTTGCAAATCGTTTGATTGACTTGGTAAATGTTTCCATAGCCTCAGAGGGTGAAAGATTCGCTGGGACTTCGTCTATACACACATCTACCGGGGCGTTGCGCAATACAATGGAATGGTACTCGGCACCGACTCCCAGGTCGTCCACAAATACTGTCCGCAATGAGGTATGGTGAGACACAACTCGGTGCCAGGCTGATTTAATCCTTCCGAGTTCTGGCAATTTCCCACCCTTCACAATCGGTTTATAGAAGAATCGAAGATGATATGAGCCTGGTTTCCGAATCTGGCCGAGGAACATACCTATTTGCATAGGTGTGCAAGGATACACATCTTCAATATCCTCTATATGTGAAACCCCTAGGCGAGACAAATCGTACTTTTCTCGAAGTTTTCGCCACGCTGGTGTGGAAGTGGAGGAAAGCAGCCTTGTCTGCGACTCATTGTTCCCAAGTGCTGTTGTCAAGGATGCCGCTCCAGCAACACCATTGCAAGTCAAAATATCAGTCATTGTCAGCCCTATACCTTCCTTCCTGCATTTTGCTACAACTTCTTGGGCTAGGATAGAACTGCCACCAAGTTGTATGAATGATTGATGACGACCAACATCCTGTGGTGACAAGTCAAGAACAGAACTCCATATATTTTGGACAAACTGTTCCATCTTACTCAAAGGCTTCCTGTCTTCAGGTTGTTGTATACCCCCAGTTATCTCACGAAATGTGCTTTCTGACATTTCTTCAACCCATCGGCGTACTCTAACACGATCAATTTTTCCAGATACAGACATAGGCATCCGAAGGATACACGCCCATATAGTCGGAACCATATACCTTGGAAGAGAATTTTGTAATCGTTTCCGGATGGATTGTATACTTTGATCAACCAAGGCACCTTGAAGAGTTGATATTTCGTCGTTGCTGTCGACAGGAGGTGATGACTTTATGGATATTATTCCCATCAAATTATCCTTACATCGTCCTGTCCTTGGAACCATCGCCATTGCATGGCCGACTTCTTGCTCGAGAGTCAAATGGTATTCTACTTCACCCAGCTCAAGGCGTTGACCATTGAGCTTTACCTGACTATCTAAACGCCCACAAAAGACAAGCGTCCCATCCGAGTTCCATCTCACTAAATCTCCAGTCCTGTAACAGCGCCAGCTGCTGTAGTGAGGATCTCCTTGAAGAAAAGCGATGTTCTGGACAAATGATTCCGCAGTCTTGACAGGATTTTTATAATAGCCTTGGCCGACAATAGCGCCAGAGACTAAAAGCTCCCCGGTGGCGCCAATAGGGACGAGCTTGTTGTAGTCTTCCGGGGATACCACCCAACATGCTGCGTTATTAGGAACTCCAATATTCAATGGATCAGTATTCTTGTGTGTTATGGCTCTTGTTGATGAATTGATTGAGCATTCACTTGGGCCATAGAATTGAAAGAGGTTGATTCGCTCGGACCACAGTGTGACCAGCTCTTTAGGAAATGATTCTCCTCCGAGGCAGAGAACCTGTAGTCCAGGTACTGCTTCAGGTTCCAACTGTCTGGCAAGTGACGGGGTCATGACCGCGAGACTGACGTTATATTTGTTAATTGCATTTGCAAGGCTCTCTTCGATTTCCTCCGTCCGGGGTACGCATACACATGCTCCAGAACCTAAACTAGTACAGATTTCAAGGAGGCTCATGTCAAATGTATGGCTTAGCATCTGAAGGACACGGTGCTTGGGTCCAAATTTCCATTCTGGGGCTTTTCTTAAAGCTCCATTCAAGAACGACGAATGGGATACCATACACCCTTTTGGAGCCCCTGTTGAACCGCTGGTGAAAATTATATAAAAGGTATCTTCCGGTTTGGATTTTGTTATTAGGGGCAGTTCGGACGTTGGTAGACAATTTATACGGCTGCCCTCTATCGGAATGCATTTTGGTCCAGTGGCCCAGAGGTGACAAAAATCTGATGTTGTCAATAAGATTGACGGAGATATCATTTGAACCATTGCTTCTCTTCTACCAGATGGCAAGTATGGTGGGATGCTCACGAATGCGCCGCCAGCTTTTGACACGCTCAACATAGCCACGATCGCCCACGCAGAACGCTCGAAAGATATCGGAACAACGCTACCGGGCCCAACTCCTTGGGATTGAAGGTATTTGGCTAGCAGAATTGACAGATTATTCAGTTCTGCGTATGTGAATTTCCCATCCCATGCATCGATTGCTTGAGATAGGGGATTTTCTCGTGCATGTCTCTCAACGACAGCATGGAAGCATTCCATCCATGGTTCTTTAGAAATGCCACTATTGAACTTCCACAGCTGAGAAATGTGCAGCTGACTCATGTATTCCAGAGAACCAAGCGGTCTATTGGAAATTCGTATAAAACCTGACAAGATTTTCGCAAACGTGGAACCGACGTTCATTGCCTGCTTATCAGAAAGCATAGAGTTCTGGTAACTCAGGCGGAAGTCTGTTCCTACTGTTGGGCCCATGGCATCTAGAGTAATAAATTTCTTCAAGTGCGTTGGTCAGCCACTATCGGTGTTGAACAGTAGAGGGAAAATGGAAATACCTTTACAAATTTCAGGGTTGATAAATTTGCTCTACTCGAAACATGACCGATCAGAATTGCAGTATTAACTTGTTGTTCAAGAATCTCGCGGTCTCCAACTTCTTCATTCGAAATGCTCTCTGATTTAAGCTTCTGGAGCAAACTGTGTGATTTCTGAACGAACTGTTGCTGTGTCTGATTCTCACTGGCATTTATATGGAATATCGAAGTTCGCCACTGGGATTCATCCTTGAGCAGGACATGAAAGGAAACTTTGGATGTGCCAATATATATTGATAGGGTCAATGCCCATGCTGAAATGACAATGGACTCTGACAAGTTTCCTGGCGTGAGATCTCCTTCCACACAAACGTTGTGGCGTTTCGTTTCCAACTCGAATTTGCTGCAAGGTGGAGAATAGCCATCAGTCAACAAGGGGAACTTTCCAATTGAGTCGTCCCTGTTTTCATTCGAGGTGCAATTGTAACTGCGCACTCGTGTTGAGTCCATTTTGATAACACAGACGAAAATAACGGGAAGACTGTGTCTAGCCACCCAAACTTCGCAATATTATTAATAAAAATTGTCGAGTTTTCTTCTTTTGAGAGGAATATGTCGGTATTTGCTGTCAAGTAAACGGGTGATGATAAATGTCTTTTTGAACTCCAGGTTCATTGCTCGCTGATACCACAAATCCCAGTTGTCTTCTCAGCTACAATTGTTACTCATGTGAACGGTTAGCTGGAAAAATGACGACGTGCTACCTGCTTAAGCGGGTCCTGATCCTTCGTCAACTCAGCTGTTGTTGACATCCACATAGAGCGCTTCCATGCATTATCAACCAGTCACCCAACTAGTAATACCCTCGTTGATGTTACTCTTAGCGAGCCAAGGTCGAATCTTTTTCCGGCATTGCCCGTCATGGTTCTTACAGCTGAATTCAGGGTTCAATACCTTGTCTATATGGGTTACATTGACAATGCATTTTCAATCCCCCCTGGTCTACATCTCAGCTGGCATCTACAAAAATATAACTGTAAACGGAGACCCTTTGAGTATAAAAGGCCCTGATTATCCTTCACCAAGCAAGCTTCTATCTACTCATCATCATCACCATTATCATCAATATCAGAAACCCTATCGCTTCAGATCTACAGCTTCACTGCAATCTCTCCTGTTATCACCACCAAAATGGGCTACCCAACCAACGCCGAAATCAAGTCTCTCTTGGAATCTCAATTCCACTCCAAACTCCAAAAGTCCGACCTCACCGATGACTCTGAAAGCCTCTTCCAGTTCGGACATTTGGACGAGCTCTTCTCCGATGATGTTGAAGTTCACATTTCCGGCCACGAGTTTCACTTGAATGGAAAGCACCGCGGTCTTGATGCCTTCAAGGAGCACCTTCAGTCCGATGACATGCCATCCTTGAACTCCATTATTGATGTCAACAAGCCGATTAAGGGCAGTGTTTTGCATGTCATTGGCGGCGAGAACGACGAATGGAAGGCTGCTGTTCTCCACAGCACTGCAACCACCCAGAACAGTAAGTTTATTCGATATATTTCAAAGATTAAGAATGCCTCTTCGGCTAACAATCACCTTGCTAAGACACCCCATGGAATCACGAGATGGCTGTTCTCATGCGCTTCAACCACGATGGGAAGATCACTGAATTAAGGGCCTATGCGGATACCCAACACGTCCACCAGCACATCGAGGCCCATAAGTAAATGATGATGTCAAACTTGTGCCGGCTACCTCCCACAACTTGCAAGTTCCCATCTCATGTATCACTTAAGATTAGTTAGCCTCCGACTTTTGAACAAGGCGAAAGGTACATAGCAATTCAATGGCAATTATTTATATTTGACTATATTCAGCAGGTTGATACAAACACTATGATACACATATTTCATTAGCTTTTGAATGTCTCGTCAAATCGTAAAACTAGTAAGTACCAGCGTGTTTACATAGCGTCAATATGTGTTCTTGCATAAACATGAGCATTTAAGTTGCTGTAGGTTAGGGTCCCTGTAAACACACTTATATTTGCTTCCAGCCTATCATCACCATTGATAGAGTCATGGGCTAGCCGTTAGCGAGTGTGACTTGCAGGGATTATTCGTATCTGCTTCGTCACGTAAGTGCAGTTGCCGAGAGAGACGTTGCAAAGTCCCGCGATGTTTAAGGCCCAGATTTCGTATTATAGTCTATGTGCCAGCAACTATACCCAGGGATAAAACCGCTATATACAGAAGATTGCAATCAATGGGTAGTTCTATTATCGGGCTTAGTTCCCCCGCAATACCGTGTCCAAGAGCCAAAGAAATGCTGGAGAGTGAGAGATCCTTCGTACTATTCGGCACAGATACTTCTAGTTAAGAAAACTGTTTTAGTTAAAGTCACACTGCGTAGGTTTTATGTCAATATCAGAGAACAATTATTCATCCAAACTGCTAACCGCCGAGATTTGCGTATCCCATAACCATCAGATATCGTTGTAGCTCATTTTGATGATTACTATTGAACGGTGGGGATGTTGGGTTAAAATTAACTTACGGACCAGCCCGTGACCCCACAAGCCTAATCAACGCCCCACAGGGCCGGACTTTGCTCGTTTTGGTTATGTAAATTCAACTCAATATACGCGAACACTATGCAGAATTGGGCGGTGCCAGCGTCGACTGGGGCCTGAAAGGAAAACCAAGCCCACGGCAAACATCGGGGCTGGCACTATGGGCAGTGTTTGCAGCTGGACTGCCCCGCAACAGGGCAGGGAGAGGAGCCAATGCTGTAGATGGCCCTACAAGCTGAAGGTGATATAGCATCAATGGATCACTCATCAGCTTTTCTATGGGCGAGACAGAGATTCACATCATGGTGAACGAACTTCCGCATCATGGATTCCATAGGGCAGGGCTGTCATACAGGCATCAGATTTACCCCACCATGCCGTTCGAGAAACAGGGGTAGTAAGCTGAGTCATATAGGTTCTAGCCCGACGTAAGCAAATAAAAGTCCTCCGGATGCACTACTATCTTATTGGTTAATAGCGACTGTTGGCAGCTGAGTATCATTCCAAATTTCTGCCTTGCTCGGGGGGATTGTTGCCAAGAAACTGGTGACATTAATGTCCGGCCCTGTTGTTCGGGTGACAATATATCGTTTTTGTATCACTTCTCCCCTCCTCACGTTATAGCCTCAGCTATCAGCATACATTCACCTACACTTTCTATCTCAAGATCGTGTTGATACTGCCCTTAGCCACATCACAATCATTCCCAAGCATGGGGCCTGACGCTCTTACCACCTCCAAGCCGAAACAGTGCTCCGAAGCCATATGGAAAGATCCAGAAGTCGTGGAGGGTTACCGCTCTGCGGAAAAGGTGACCATTGCTTTTGCTAGGTCGTTGGTCGAGCAATCAGGTATCTTATCCATTCGGAATGAGGAGGAACCACTGTCCATACTGGACAATGCCTGCGGGACAGGGGCAGTCTCGGCCGTTCTGCATGAGATGCTTCCTGATTGGAAGACCAAGTGCAAGTGGACGTTGACATGTGCAGACCTGTCTGAAGCAATGATCAATGTGGTCAAGGAAAAGATAGAAGCTGAAGGATGGGAAAACACCGACGCTGCAGTCGTGGATATGCAGGAGACCGGGTTGCCGGCTAACAGTTACACTCATGTGTTTGCCGCTTTTGGTTAGTTATATACGGAAAATATCTCCTTGATAAAGGTGATTAGTTTGCTGACGCTTTGGGCCCTTCAGCAATAATGGGCGTGCCAAAGCCCCAGGAGAGCCTAGACGGTGAGGCCTTTTCAATCCTTGTAGCCAGGCTTTGTATACCAGGAATAGCCATCAACTGATAACCTAGTATGTAGAGTGCCTCCGGATTCTAAGGCCGGGTGGAACACTCGCATTCACCACCTGGAAAAAGAGTACGTATGCCCTAGGACCTGACATCTAACGCTAGTCCGCCAAGCTATATCTGCGGCAGTTAATGACTCCCAAATTTGCCTGCTGACCCCATGTCCTTTCAATAGCCGGATGGAGTGAAGATATCAATGCTGTCATTGCTACCATGGCCCCTGACCTTCCACAACCTACGTCCGATGAATTTCTAATGTCACTCGGCAGCGGCGATGAATGGCATAATCCCACTTGGGTTGAAGATCAGTTGCAGAAACGGAGACTCGAAGATATCCAAGTACGACTCGTGCAAATGACCATGGCAACCAGCAACCAATCGGAGATCATGCCAGCATTGGGTCCAATTATGTCACATATACCGGCCAGATTCTGGAACGAGGAGCTAAGGGAGAAGTACGGGCCTGGTTTTGCATCAGCAGTCTCGGACTACTTCACATCAACGTATGGTGTTGATAGGCTTATTCCCATGAATTGGATTGCCATCGTGGCTACCGCAACAAAACCCGCTGGGATGACGCATTAGGCTTGCTGGACCAAAGGTGCAAAAAAGAGGGAATCGTGAGGCAGCTTCCTGTACATCCGAGACAATGAGAGCAGCAAAATAGGCCAGATATAGCGTGTTGTAGTGATATCGATGCAAGTTCAGAAGAAAACAACTTCATGTGCTCCTGGTTTGTTTGTAATTTTTGTCGTCACAAAGTAAGGGACGATGTGGCCCGTGCTTCCTGTATCGATACCGGATTAATATTATCCCGTGATGATCACGTGAGATAGTGAATTTTAGTCAGCAGCCGCGTCGACGCTGATTCTTCTATGATGAAGCCAACAATATCCAGCTCGACAGATGGAAATTACATGAAGGATCATATGTTGATAGAGAACGATACGTCCCGTGTTAGGATTTCCATATAGGACAGAGGTGGAGAATTAGTAGACCTATTGTCTCTCATCTTCTCCCCATTCCTGGGTCATTATTTCATTAACCTTAGGAACTCCCCTCCTGATACCTTAATCATGTAAACGGGAAGTGAAGCGGCCAAACCCCATGAGATGATCTCTTGGATGCAAAATCGAGATGAATTAAACCTGGAATCCCTGGAATCGTTGATATATATATATATTGTTGAACACTACGGACTATACATACCGTTGAGTTTCAAGGGCCCAACCAAGTGGGAGGAAGCGGAAACAGACAACGCCTTCTAGCTCGCTCCCTGGCCTTAATAGTCGACTTTGTTGTAGCTAGCACCTATCAATCGATATATATGCGGCTTAATAGCATATATTAATTGTTTAATATTACCTACTCCCGTCAATAAAACCATGAAAGTAACTATCGAGTTAACTAACTAGTGGGGGGGGATAGTTAGCCGATTTAGCGCCAAGCTGACGCTCCCAAAGCCTAAAGAGACGGACGGCGGGTATCAAGCATTCAACAACACCGATCGAACCACCAAAGCTAAGACTGATTGTTCGTCTCCTGCTTGTCAGTAACACACGTCAACCAGCTGCGGGACGCCATCTAAATATACTATGGTAGAAGACATGCAAGCAGCAAAACTGTTGAGCCGGTACTGGGGGCAAAACGTACCAGGTTAGTGCAGCTAATTTTGAGTCACATCATGCATAGTTAACCGAGTATCACAACGAAATCTACTATAGCATATTTACTAATGGCTACCATAGGAAGACTGAGCGTAGCTGAGCTTCTTTTTGATGTCCCTTTGGACTACTCAAACCCATCTTCCACATCGCTCCGGTTGTTCGCCAGGAGCGTGCAGCGGCGAATGCCAGGGTCCACTATCGAGGATAAAGACAGACAGCTGCCCTGGATTGTCTTCCTGCAGGGTGGACCAGGAGGAGCTTGCCCACAGCCTCAGGAGGTAGGCTGGGTTGGGCCATTGCTGGATCGAGGGTACCAGGTGAGTCTTCAGAATCGGGATGAGTAACTGTAGAACACATCGTTGAATTATTTTGATTAGATCCTTCTCCTTGACCAGCGAGGAACAGGGCTTTCAACCCCTATCACTGCTGCGACGCTTGCTCTTCAGGGAAACGTAGTAAAGCAGGCCGAATATCTTAGGCTATTCCGTGCCGATAATATTGTGCGAGACTGTGAGGCAGTGCGTAAACTACTGACTGCTTATTACCCTCCAGATAGGCAGAAATGGAGCGTTCTTGGCCAGAGTTTTGGAGGATTCTGTGCCATTACGTATCTTTCTAAGTAGTAAGTTACTACTCTTTCAAATCTATAGGTTGTCGTACAAATGTAACCTTCATCATCTAGCCCTGAGGGACTTAAAGAGGTCTTCACAACTGGTGGATTACCGCCTCTTGTGTCAAAGCCTGATCCTGTGTACGAGAGGACTTACGGTAAGTTAAAATAGATTGGGCTATCTTTAGTTCAATATACAGCTGACATCTACAGACAAGGTCCAGTCCCGGAATAAAGTGTACTATTCCACTTTCCCGGAAGACGAAGATCGAGTACGGGTTATACTCAAGCATCTCCAAACCCACGATGTTAAGCTCCCTGATGGCTCATCGTTAACTCCAGAACGCTTCCTCCAGCTAGGAATTCATTTTGGAATGAAAGGTACGCCATACTTCACCAGTGGCTTCTCGTAACCAATGACTAACATATGCGTATAGGGGGCATCGGTTTAGTTCATAGTATGATACCTTCAGTAACTACACTGTACTTATTCACTGACTAACAATGTCGGAATATTAGGCATTATTTTGAAATGCATTAATGAACTGGATACTTTTGGCTTCCTTACACGTCCTACTCTATCACTCATTGAGAACGACACGAGTGCAGACAACGGCATTTTATATGCCATAATGCATGAATCTATCTACTGCCAAGGGTAAGACGTCTCTCATGATCGAGTGGATATCAGAATCTAACGTGATACCGTAGGGAGGCATCAAACTGGGCGGCCGAAAGATTACTACCCAAGTTCTCTGGGTTCAGAGGTGCTCACAACCCTGATGGCATCTACTTCACTGGGGAGATGGTATACAAACACTGGTTTGAGTCGTCCACTGAGCTTGGCCAGCTCAAAGAGGTAGCCGATATTCTTGCTTCCTACAATGACTGGCCTCAGTTGTATGATAAGGAAAAGCTGGCGCGCAACGAGGTGCCAGTATACTCCGCCACATATGTCGAGGATATGTACGTGCACTTCAGCTACGCCAACGAAACAGCTGCCACTATTGGCAATTGCAAACAGTTCATCACCAACACAATGTACCACAACGGACTGCGTTCGAATTCCGCTGAACTTATTGCGCAGCTGTTTGCTCTTCGTGATGATACGATTGACTAGAAGTATTAAATTTGTGTGGGGAAATGATATGCGGTGTCTTGGACATGTGCCGTCGACAAAAACACATCTATAGAGTAAATATAAATGCGTCTTCTAGTCTGCTATTTCTCTTGCAACATCGATCAGTCGCAACTTCTGTGAATCCCGCGGGTGGAACTGTGCGATCTTGGCCTTGACTAGGAACCTTGAAGCCGCGGAGTCTTGGTCTAGTTCGACGTACGATGACGTAGTCGCTATGCTCAGCAGCGAATCTAGAAGAGACTGCATTTCTTGCGCAGCAGCTTCCCTTGGGTTATTGATTCTAGTAACATCTTCCTCATTGTCGTCCCCATTCTCTCCATCGCGCCCACTAGGCTGACCTCCTCTCTTGCCTCGATGAATTAGCTCGTCTATGCGTTGCTGCTGCTTCTTATTACCAGTACTTTGTCCACTGCTAACCCTGGAGGCTTTTCGTTCTTTGCCTCTTGTTGTATATCCAGCTTCAAGAGTCGAATCAGATACCTCGACCTGATCACCAACAACCGGCCCACCAATATCCTCTGCTGCAAGCATCGGTGCAAGATGTTCCTCAATGAACTCCTTTAACGCGTTTTGCAGCTCTGCAGTTTTCTCATCTATCTCAACGCCTTTTCTTCGGTGTTCCCTGATCTGTTCTTTTGCAGCTCGGTTCAAGTCTTGTCTTGATTTCTTCCGTCCAGTATCATTCTCGTCTCGTCCGTTCTGGCGAATATCCCGTATTCTCCGCTGGAGTTCGGTAGTTATTGCATTGGCGTCTTGTAGATCGGCTTCTTCAGCTTTTAGTCTCTCACGATCACGGACAAGCTGTTCTGCCGTTGAAGGAATGGTGTGCTTGAATTCTTGAACCAATCGACGAGCTTCCCGAATAGCCAAGAGACCATTCAATGGCGAGTCCGGGGCCGGAAGCTGGGGCTCTCCATCGGATAAGAGCGACTTGTATGCCTGGATAGCCCTGCGTGTCTGTGACAGTCGTTCGTGTGGCTGTAAGTGTGGACGCGGTAACTCCAGAGGATTCGTAGACGCACGCAGCTATAAAATCACTGGTTAGACAGGCCCAAACATACCGTATCGGCCAAACACAGGTGGCATACCTCTCTCAAAGCAGTCTCCTGTCGCTGGACCTGCTCGCGTAGGCCGCGCAGTGTCTTGTCTATCTGCCTGTTGTATTCTTCGTAGTCAGCGGCTGTCAACGCGCCTTTTTCACGCTCTTTCTCGATGTCCCGGCACGACTCCTGGTAAGCTCGTATCCTCTCAACCACCTCTTCAGCCACCATCCTGTCCCGCCTTGTCTTATTGTCTGCTTGTCTTCTCCTTGTCCTCTGCTTGTCTGCGCTCTTCCTTTCCTGCTCGTTCTTGTTTGGCCTGCTGCAATGCTGATTCACGTGACTACCCCGGATGTCCCAAAGGGGACTAGCGCGAATCCCCCTAACTTCTTTTTTTTCAACCTCAACTCTCGACTTTGCGAGCTTCAACCTCGACTTCATCTCCAGCGTCAGCACTTTCGCATCGCCAAACGAAGAGCGAGCCCTCTGGCGTTGTCTTGCTAGGTTCTCGCCGTTGAGTCGACACTTTTCGGCGGCCCTTTTCTCGCCAAGCTCCTTTGTTTGGTGACCTGCGCGCAACCGTCACGTCCGAAACCCACCCTTCCGCGTCTCAGCAGCTTCGATCCATACTTGGGCAAACAAACTAGAAGTTTCGTTTTCTGGCCCTTCGCCTTTTATTCACTTGCGTTTTCAGGCACAGCCGTCAATTATCCTTTGTTTTCCTGCTCGCTGAGTGGTGACGTTCTCGTTAAACCCGTCTGCTCAACTACAAATCACCACACCTCCTAATCTCTCCCACAAACACCACTGTCCTTCTTTCAGAGCTTCTGGGCTCGGGGAAAAAAAAAAAGAATTACATATCAGCCTTACTCTCGCATCCTTATTCACCAGTCAACCGCTCGAATCTTACACAAATCAACACGCCCTGCACCCTCACAATATCTATCTACACCAATTCCGCTCTCAACAACACCACACCTCCCATCACCTTTCTCTCAGTCCGACCACTGCACCAGCAAGTTTTCCTTGGGAACTCCTGGTGTACATAAGAAAAGACCGATTTGACAAGAGAAAGGAAAGAAAGAAAGAATCTAAAGAAAGTTTCAGCTTCACTCCGGCTTCTACCTTGTTTTTTTTTTCTCAGTCTTCCTCTTCTCTCAAACGTAGGTGATCGATTACCGCAAGAAACGACAGAAAAGAAGCAAAAAAAAGGTCCCAATCAACCACTAAATACCTCTACACGCGCTTTTCAGCCATGTCTGCCTCGCCAACTTCAGCCGGTCCGTCAACTAAACGACCCCTCGAGGACCCATCTTCACCTTCCGGGCCTAATGACCAGCCAGAGGCCAAGCGTCAAGCTTTGGATAAGGTCGTAAAGGCTGAGGGCGATGAATCGAAGGCCCAAGAAGGTGATAAGCCTACCAATGAAAAGAGTGTGAACGGCACCGAAAATGGTGCTGGCGGTGAAAATGGCGTCAAGGATGGTCAAGGTGATTTGCTAGTCCCTGATGCCCCTAACAATGGCAAAACCGCTCCTGCTCCTGCCCTGGAGACGCAGCCAATTCAATCCACAGCTTCCCACAACGACCGTGCCACGTCGAACCCTCCAACTACCAGCCAACCTGCCCAGGACGAAACTGGCTGGGTACACATCAGAGCCGTCATCTCCAGTGCTGAGGCTGCTACTGTTATTGGTAAAGGTGGAGAAAATGTCTCCCAGATTAGACGTCTGTCTGGCGCCAAGTGTACCGTGAGCGACTACTCTCGCGGAGCAGTGGAGAGAATCCTGACCGTTAGTGGCATGCAAGATGCAGTTGCAAAGGTATGATCACATACAACTTTATATAATTGGCAACGTTTCTTGTTCTAACTATTTACAGGCTTTTGGTTTGATTATTCGTACCCTAAACAATGAGCCACTTGAAGCACCCTCAACTGCCCAGTCAAAGACCTACCCTCTCCGTCTTCTCATCCCTCATATTCTCATTGGCTCTATCATTGGCAAATCGGGTGTTCGCATCCGCGAGATCCAAGAGGCATCTGGTGCTCGTCTCAATGCTTCGGACTCTTGCCTCCCCCTCTCTACCGAGCGATCACTTGTTATTCTTGGTGTTGCTGACGCCGTGCACATTGCAACCTACTACGTTGCTGTCACATTGGTTGAGCAGTTGACTGAGAGATTTGGCGGTCCTGCTGCATCTGCTTATGCCACCCGAAGTGGTGGCCCTGCTGGTGTCGTTCCTGGTGGTATGCAGGTCGTGCCATACGTTCCGCAGCCAGCTGGAGGACAGTACGGACATCCTGACAGCCTACGCCGGAACAATCCTCAAGCCAACCGTGCTGCCCCTGGAGGATATGGTGTTCCATATATGCAGCAGCCTGCTCCTCACCCCCATGCTCCACAGCCGAGTCTTCACTACGGTGCCTCTCCACGGACGGGATATACCGGAGCTGGACCTCATCAGCCCGCTCCATATGGCGCTCCTCAGCCTCCGCATGGCGGCCATGTCCCTCCAAATGGCCCGCCAATGGGTGCAGCCGTTCCTGGTCAACCTCTTACCCAGCAGATCTACATACCCAATGACATGGTAGGCGCAATTATTGGGAAGGGAGGAGCAAAAATCAACGAGATTCGACACCTCAGTGGCAGCGTTATCAAGATCAACGAGCCCCAAGATAACAGCAATGAGCGATTGGTCACTATAACTGGTACTCAGGAGTGCAACCAAATGGCGTTGTACATGCTCTATTCACGACTTGGTTAGTTGACTTCTCACCTCTAATACACGAACAATATGCTAACCGCTTCACCTTATAGAGAGTGAAAAACACCGAGTCTAATTTGGTATGAAACTACGTGATCCCTTTTTTGTTTTGCAACCATAGTATTTCGGGCGCTTAATGTCCTCTGGCCAAGTCCTTGATTTCCTTTAACAAAAAACATACTTCCTCAATCCTCTTATTCTTTTTTTTACTGAAGTATTTTTAACTCGCAATTTTCTACTTCCTATGCTTCCTATTTTTGACATTCGTTTTTGTGGCATTCCTCTCTACTATCACGGGTTCCCTGGATGTAATTCCTTCACTGGTGTATTTCTATCCCGCTACTTGTTATGAAATTGCTCATCGTGCCGCCTTAAAAACAAATCAGGATCTATCTGCCTTCATCATGTTATCCTACCTAGCCCGACTCATAATTGCCCACCTTCCTCGTCTCCCTTCTCACATTGGACACTAAATTACGCCCTATTTATGAATGACCTACCGTAACACTTGCACATCCATCATATACAGCCATCTATTTCCCACCTTGCCCTTAAATCAGGACAATACAGCTGTGGCTGGTAAAACTATTGCCTACCAACGTTCACACAGCTTTATCACCCCCTTTTTGGCTTCGCACGTATGGTTGCTTCGCTCTTGATATGGCAAGCACCTATGGCCGATCAAAGTTCTGCAAACGGATAACTGATGAGAAACACCATCTGAAGTCATCATCGCAGGTTAATAGGTTTCGGAGTCTGCTTTCATGAATTTTCCTTGGGAATTGTTCTGGCTATCCCAGCTGAGAGCAAGTGTGAAAACCAAAGCAGGTAAGTAAATGAAGTTCTAGACTAACTGTTCCATCATAGTCAATCTAGGCTTCTTCTCAAATCTCTGCAATCAGGTTTGAATACAGTCATACAATCAAGTTGTCGAAATGATGGTCTTTGGACTGAAAAATATAACGTCGAGAACGCTGAAATACACATTAACAAAGCTACAAGGGGTCCAAAAAGTATCGGTACATCGCCACAAATATCTCTACTACCAACATCTACTCCTTTTTCAAAATATCAACCAAACCATTAATATAAGAGCCTTTAGCATCAAAATTAGTCTAAATAGAAGGCTAGGAACTAAATTATCTAAATCTACTTATTCTACTATCTATTCCTAGTACCTTACTAATATTAAATTATCTATTATCTAGAAGAATTTCTAAATCTCTCGTACTATATATTATCGAACTATTAAATATATATTAAAATACTCTATATTTAGTTCTCTATTATAACTAGGTAGACTAAAGACTTTATCCCCTCGAGATATATATTATCTTTATTAAATTATACATAGATACCCTAATATCGTATATAAAAGCCTTATTATATATTTAGGGGTCTCTATTTATAAATCTACTATAAGGAATTATCTATATAAGTTCTACCTTTAAAAATAGTGCTTAAAGGACTATATTCGATTAAAGAAATATAATATATAATAGAGGTTAAAGTTTATAAAGAAATAGAAGGATTATAAGGACTAGAAGAAGATATATTTTTTAGATAAATACTCTATATAGAGAAAGGCCAATACTTATAAGGTCTATATCTTCTAGCTTATAGGAGAGGCCTATAGATAGGACTTAATAAACCTTATAAACTATAGGAAGGATATTTTATAGATAGTATATAGCTTAATTCGACTTAGTTTGCGATCGGAGTTAATAATTATAGAAAGAGATTCTACTTCTAAAAGAAACGGATTTATAGCCTAATCCTATATCTAAAGCCTTATAGACTCTCTCCTCCCTATTTATAAGTCTAGCTATATATTCTAGTAAGATAACGCGAGGATATATATAGCTAAAAAGATATAAGAGTGGTTTAAAAGGTATAGAATATATATTATAGAATAGTCTCCTTACTCCCCTAATTTAAACCTAATTAAATATATCTAGGGCCTTTTAAAATAGAAGATATTTAAGCTTTATTCGGAGCTTACTTTATATAGAAGATCTTAAATTAACTAGATATTATTTCAAGGAGCTATCTAGGATACTTAGAAATCAATCGATTAGGGTACTATTAATAGACTTATTTAATCTATACTATAGCGATTAGCTATAGTCCGAAAAGCTAAGGGCTAGTATACTAAATATTGACTATTTATTATATATATTTTATAGGAGCTATAAGATAGAGTATTTGGCTGAGATATTTGCGTTTTAAAGGTGCTGCAATTTTACCTTTTTTGGAATGTACCGATACTTTTTGGTTATAACTGTATTTTATACGAAAATGCCGCCCAAAAACGAATATGAAAATATACCAGAGCTAGGTCAAGCGCTCTTTCTCACATACTCCACGGGCCCAACATACTTATGTCTCCCTTGGAAGGCAAAGTATATCAGACTAAACAACAACACTCCAAAGTAATTAACGACACTCCAGTTCATCCCATCCAGCGCCGGCTTTGGCGCTGGCGGGAAGAAGCAGAAAACATATGCCAGCAGCAGGAAGGCAATGGAGAGCAAGTTAATGGGCAGGCCAAGAGAACCCATGCGGAAATGCGAGGGAAGCAATTTTTCGCCGCGTATCCTCTTGAGAGCCATACATGATATGGAAACAATGTAACTGGATAGCAGCGCACAAAGACCAAGGGAGGTGATTTGGTTGAACGCAATCGTACTACCGATGTTGATAAGAGAGAGCAGCGAACTCACTATGACAGTGAAAATGATAGCATTGAGTGGAATATCCCACCCAATTGGGACCTATGGATTTCAGAGTCAGTAACTTTCTTATGACCCAGGCAAAAGGCTTTTGAAAATGTCGTACCGTTTGGAAGAAATTGCCGAAAGGAAGGCCATTATCTCGGGCAAATGCGAAGAGCTGTCTTGAAGCAGTAGCCATGTTCGTCATGCCACAGAAGATGGACAGCGAAGTCATGATTGCTGTCATAGCAGTGGCGCCCGGCTTAGACATGGTGGCATTATAAAATACTTGGATGAAGGGGTATCCTGTTGGTGTTGCAAGGACGCTCTCAACATCACCGATTGTATAGCAGAAAGTGCTATAACTGACTGTCAGCCCTTGAGATTATAAACCAGTATTAAGTGCAACCAAGCGAACAACTTACATCACCATGATGATACCTAGAGAACCATTAAACAAGGCGGTTGCGAGCATCGCCTTAGGTAGCGTTTTCGATGCATTCTTCAACTCCTCAGACATGTGAGTTGCAGCATCGGCTCCCAGGAGTGACACGACGGGCGTGATTATTCCAACCAGACTGGCCAGTCCTTTGCTCCCCCATCCTTGCGCATCCTCGACTTTTGTCCATACATCCTTCGAGGAAGACCGTGGGGCAAGAATCCACAGTGGGATCAAAATTGCAAAGAAGCCGGCAACGTGAAGGATAAGAACGACACCTTCGACCACCGGGAGTCGCTTCGCAAGGATCGTGTTAAAAAGGGCGCAAAGCGCAATGACAGCCATCGCCATCAAGGTTCCGTGCCACCGCTGGGGTTCATAGTTGTCATAGTTAAGAATAACTAGTCCCTGGATCTCGGTCCCGGCTAGGAAGCAGGAGGACGCTGTACCAGCTTGCCATCCAAGCACACACAACCAGCCGATGATATAGGACAGAAATCTCTGAGAACTTCGGGGCGCAAACTCTGAAATCCAGTGGTACTGGCCACCAGCAGTTGGCGCCATGGAAGCCATCTCAGCCATCGACGCGATCACCAGCGAAAAACCAACGACGGTCCCAAGATAAACATAGATCAACCCGGCTGTTCCTCCATTTCCAAGGCCAAAAGCTGCGGTCCTGCGGCCTTGTCAGTACTGGTAGATAATAAAGCAGTCCGTCAGGTGTGAGTCTTTAGAATACTCACCCAAGAGTACTCTCCCATGTGCTCATCAGGATCATGGAGAAGCCAAATATAGATAGAAAGCCAAAATTACGCTATATTGCAGCAAGATGGTCACATTAGAAGACAATCTGAGTAAGGGCATTCTATGCTGGGTACGACATGCTGCGCTTCAACCCATTGGACTGTTCACTCACTTGGAGCTGCTGCTGTTTGCCCATCCGCTGCATATCCTGCACATCGTTTGCGGTGCCATCTCGCAGGCTGATGAAGGTGTCCCCAGGCACATCAGATCTGGCATCATTAACCTCTGTGTCAGATGTTCTGCCCATGATGAAACCCAAGTTCCCACCTATCGGCCACCACCTTCTGCTGCCTTGATTCGTAGAGGTGTTGCGTATATATAAACCACTGGCGGCGCAAATATAACGTGAATCGGAGCGGCTCCTTCAATCAGCCTGCGTCTGCCGATCGTTCGAAAACCCAAACGTCTGAGGTTTGGAAGAGATGGAAAAGAGCGCAAGAAGCTCACAAACACACGGGATGTGAAATTGATATTGATATATATCGCGAACAGGACAGTTGCACCCTGGATTGCAGCGACCAGGAGCCCAAGGTATTCGGGGACTGACCTACCAAGTTGGGTTCATGCTATGGGGGGGCCAGCGTAAGTAAATTTCCCATGAGTGAACAAGGCCCCTCGTTCACCCCGAAGCTATCCATTCGCCAGTCCTCAGTGATAGTTCCAGCTTGCTTCGTACCGTCGCGCCGGCGTTGCATGGTTACATGCATGCCAGAACGTTCATGAATCGTTTCGACTGACCAAGGCATACTTCCGACCTACAGCGAAGCAAGCCTGACAAGAAAAATTTTGCCTAGTCAGCCAGAGGGCCGCCGTGCAGACACGAGACACAACGGGAGCTTGCTCTCGTTCCGTTCTAGCCCAGCCCTAGCGTTGTTTGCAAGCTTCGGGAGGAAAATACCGACCCCTTCTTTTTGCTGGGAATAAGGGTGAAGCTGGTTCGGCTGGACATCCCCCTGTTTTCCGCCCCAAGACAGCAAAGAGTTGCAGGGACTCTATCCAATTATACGATGGGAGACTCGACGGAGGCGCCCCACCCGTTGGCTCTTTCGTAAGGCCAAATTCCGGTCCGTTCTCCCCGGCGACCGCAGCCTTTTAAGGGTACGAGAGACGCCAGAGCTTTTCCCACCCCCTGGGCACCATTTTGTTATCTGGACGACAGCACACGGCGGCAAAACCAACAGCAAGACGGCTGAGATGTTGGTAAGCAAAGGGCAATCCCGCCTGCAGCTTGGCCAGGCGGAAGCTCTGGGAGGGAGGATCCTAATAATGTCAAGTCTCACATAAGTTAACCAATAGTGGGTGGGTGCTCACCGTTGGGTGGAATGATTTATGGGTAATTAACCCACGCGGGAATTACCTAGGTCATGATTTGTACATATTGTGCTCATCCGTCATGACCAGGGATCAAAAGGCCTTATTGGTGGAAAATCTGCCAATTCTTCGTTGGGCAGTTGGTCCTTCAGAACAGCTATCCGCAAGGTGGATAAACAGGCTGGCCAAGACGCTGGAGACGAAGATCTTTCATATGGAGAATACAGGACGGAGCGCTGTTTCCTCTGTCACATATGACACCCTTCTCTATGCAACCCCGTGTCAACATAATATGGCCTGGACAAGCATCAGTTTCCGCAAAAAGTCAATATTTTTTTTGTCTCGAGTGGAGGTTTGAAAAGCTTCTTGATTTCTCCTGCTCGCCGTTAACTACGGAGTACAGGGGGTGGAGAAGGTTACGTTCCGCTCCCAGATCCATCCATTCTGCTTCCTTCTCATAACGGAAGAATCCTCTACATTATGCACCATATATCCAGATTCCCTGATCATTATTCTTCCAGCAATCAATGAAGGCAGTCCAAATATCGATAGCTACATGATTTGTGCTTAGTCGCTTGATACTTGCGCATTGCCAGGTGTCTGTGAATATCATCTTGTTGCGATTGAAGAAGTCCCCGAGATGTCCGGTCATGTAGACCTCCAACTCTTTACAGGAGGGGACCGGTTCACCACTGTGACGCCTGACGATCATGGCGGTATACTTTGGGTTGCTTCAATTATCTGTGCTATTTATGTTGTCCTCAGCATGGGACTACGAGCCTACGTCAAACGGGAATTTTATGGCCTTGATGATCTGATAGCACTCTTTGCCACGGTAAGTCAGCCACCTGGTTATATCTTCTGCTATACAACAGTGCCTCTAAGTAATGATGAACCATATACTAACACCGTTTTTGTCTCAGCTGATTGCTGAAGCACAATATATATCTATCTTCTTTGGTTTGTCTGACGGGCTAGGGAAAAATGATGAGAGCTTTGGCATGGTTCATATTCGAAGAATCGGACGATCTCTGGCCCTCAGCGAGGTCTTCTTTCTTCTTGGACTGCTACTTGCAAAAGTATCACTTATCTTATTGATACGCCGTTTATTCAGCCCAGATATGAGGTCACATATCATGACATGTGATGCGGTACTGCTATTGAGCATACTCTGGGGCGTTGGTTCGATGCTGGGAGCATTGATCAATTGTTCCCCTACCGGAATGATGGCTTTTATTCACGGTGCTTGCAAGGGTATAGTGAGTGACGCCTAGATATTAACCTGCCTGGCAAATATGGAGGGTTCTAACTGCCAACTATTTAAAACAGGTTCTAAGGTGGCAGATTATAGGTATACTAGACGCATTCACCGAATTGGTTATTTTTGGAGTGGCAATATCAGTCATCTGGGGAATTCAAATGAGTGCTTCACGGAAAGCCCGTGTATTGATGGCTTTTATGCCTAGGCTGCCGTATGTGTACTTCTGCTAATGTGTGGATGTGTAACTCTATGCTAACTCGCCGTTATGCCAGGATTATTGTTTTCGCACTTCTCCATGTTGAACGGATAACGACGTTCTCCAGAAAATCCAAACCCAGCGTCAGCATTGTAGCGCCCCTCGTCTACCAACAAATTGAGCTTTGTTACTCTCTTGTATCTTGTACCATCCCCAATCTCGGCGGATATCTACTCAAGTTTCACACCGGCATGGGCATAACGCTTGGATACGTGTCAGAGCCATACGGCTCATCACGAGATGCTGAAGGCTCCAAGAGCGTGCAGCTATCATCTTTGAAGAGCGTTCCAGATGGCAACAAACAGACAGGCCCAACTCCAAGCGAATCAAGTAAGTGTGGCTTTCTCCGACCTGAGAAGTATGAATATCGAGCCTACGTTCGAAGCGCTGTTAACAGCCTAGAGATTAACTCTGGCCATGGTGATAACGATGGTCACTCGTTGAGTTCTCAGGGAAACCAGTCAGTGTTGAGCATACACAGTCATGATATGATAATACGACGGGATTTGCGGTATAGCGTTCGACATGACTAGGGCAGAAAGCCTCATATCCCCCCTGTCTATAAGTGTCCTAGTTTCTGCATTAACCATGCACGCATATAAACCCCCTTGCATCTCATGTGTTTTATACCGGCGTTGTTTTCTCGACCTTTTTTTCTATCACTTTATCGCTGTATTTTATCACGATGTTTATCTAAATAGATGAAGTTACGAATCGCAGGGCGTGGGGATCTCCTTAAATGATATCAGATTAACTTATCAGTCTTTTCCAGCCAGATGGAACATCATAGCGATATAACAAGGCGCAAGTATAGTTCTATATCCCTGATTGAAGCGCTTGGATACTGGCTGATATTTCCGACTATCCGCCCAGCCCAGCAAAGCATGTAACCAGGATGTCCAGGGGTAACTAACTCCCTGACTGCCCAGTAAGCATGCAGATTACAAAACTCGGATCACAAAACTCGGGCTGCCGGCTTACGACCCCGCCAAAAACCATCAGCTAAGATTCAAATTCTACGAGTCCAAAAAATGACACTTTACGTCTACTTAGTTGTTTTCCCAGAGAGCGTTAAAACCCCTGCGCACTGGGCTGTGCTGATAACCCCGGTCGAAAATGGCAAGGTCGGGCAAGAGTTTCAAGCCATTGGCAGCCCGTTTCATGGCTATAATCTCGAGGTCAAGGAGGAGTTTGATTTGAGCAAGGAGTTCAAGAAACATTCCTGTGTCTTTCTTGGGAGTCTGGGCGACAGCTGGAAATCTCAGCTCGCTGGCGTAGCGCAGAGCGTTGCTTCACCCGGGATAAGCTCCACTCCCCTTGACCCCTTCGCGGTACGTCTAAGCTATAGACAAAGAAATTACCTCCGTATTCTCTTCTCTCTTCTTAAGGCGGAGCTGACATTCATCGCCACAGGGTGAGAATTGCCAGAGCTGGGCAAGACAGTTCATCCAGTCGCTTATTGATAGAGGAGCTTTGGAACCTTCGGCAATGGAGAGACTTGAAGCCGCCCCTCGCGTTTAGACGGGACGTTTTCTGGTCCGCTGGGCGTGGCAGTCAGATAGATACTCCTCCAGTACAAGAACAAGACTGATATTCTCATACATGGATTCCTGGACACGAACAATGTATAATTCAAATATCGTATGTCATGCGCGAAGAGATACCCAAGTATAGTCTATTGTACTTAACACTCTGGGAATTGAAATCATTCTAACACCTTCGGCCATAGTCTTCCCCGGGCTGTTTTGCCACTTGCTATGACTTTCAGTACCTCTGGCCTTATTAGGCTTGAAATTCTATCTTCATACGCACCATCCCAAACTGCTATCTTGATATTTAGAGCAACTAACTGGTAAACTCAAGTGTTTCTCATGGACGCCAGAAATATCATTCACATACCTAAGGGCTTGACCTCGTCATTACCGCCCAGTATATAAACTCGCGCTTAACTTGGCGGCGCTAACGAACTTTATGATATTGACTCTCGAATACGGAGTGCATGAAGCCAAATCTGATGACTAATACAGATTAATACAGATTTAGTCCTGGCATTGGTTGAATAAACGCTATAGCCGAGATGCTTGGCGTTGATCTTTGCGCTAGTCCCAAAGCGGAGATATCCAGGCCCCCTTCCCAAAGTGGCAATATATTCACTCGGTGCAATATAAAAATCGCCTCCTCTCGATTTTCACTTCTCTCTCTCGCTCTCTTGGTTTTACCAAAATACCCGTCAAGCTGGCACCCAAGCCACAGTCCTCGCTGCTCTTCTATCTACCTATTAACCAACTACAGGTCTTTACCCATCAGGGTGTCTGCATTTTAGTTGTTTCTCCCCACCAATACTTGTCTCTACTTCTCAGGTATACCTGTGGCCGAGGTGTTGTCTCCGGCACGTAATTTCTCTCTCATAATGTTAGCATCTGTCCTGCATCATACTATACGCATATATTGAATCCTTTCCACCATACTGTAACCCCCAATAATAGGATTTATGATGTCAGAATGGCCGATTCTACAGGTGTTGATGAAATAAAAGCCGCCGTACAGCTATGTCTCATTCAACGTCAAGGCCTTTACCAAAATGTTACTGCATTCTCCATGCACTTTGAGGACAATGATACTGGAGCCTCCAGGGCCTTCAACAATTTCAAGGACCTTGCCTCGATATTTGGAATCTCGAATGTTGAGGAATGCATCATTAGCGCCCACGATAAAATGCCAGGCTGGGCTGTTATTGGACGCTTGGTAGCTCATCTGTCGGCTGCCATTCAGAACTGTTCTCCTGACTCTCCCGAGAGGTGCCTTGTTCTGATACATTACGCCGGCCATGGTGTCAGTGACGATATACTACGGGGCTGATATTCAAAGCCACACTCAAAAGCAGAACTTTTTTCCGATTCAATTACGTTGCAGACTCAGTTTCGAACTTATCTTTTACTTCGTCTGTACCGCTTGATGTTGTCTGTATTTTTGACTGTTGTCATGCTGGATCTGCACACTTTCTACCTTCATCTACTACCGGCACTTTTGAAGTTTTGGCGACGGTTTCGAAAGGTGAGTGTGAGTGCGCGTGATATAACGACTCTCTCTGCCGCCAGCCAGGGATCTCCCCTTTTTGGCTCAGCGGTTTGATAATAAGACAGCATCCAATACGTCAGAGTATTTTGCAACACGCCGCACGCTCACGGCGAAGCTTGCGCATGCTGCCACTATCTTCCGCAGGAAAGCTCAGTCCGTGGACTTTGCTGAGCTCCTTGACCGCTCGCACCAGCTAGTTATCCTCAGCAAAGTTTCCACTTCATAGATTTTTCAACGGCTCTGTCTCAGTCCGGCTATTCTTCCCCAAGCAGAGTACAGCTTCTGGCCCCGTGCGTCTTCCACCGGCTTTAGAACCGGGGAAATACAAGGTCGTTTTCTCTTGTTACAACTCACTCCGTCACTAACTAACTAGTTAGCGAATCAAGGAGCCTCCCCTTTTTGGCCCAAATATTTGATCATACCTAATCCACGCAGCCCCGGCAAGAAAACATCCCCCCAAAGAATTCCGCGTGTGGACTATCGGGCTATAGCAGTTAGACGTGTAAATTATTCTCCTTCCAACATTCATATCCCCGCTCCCTCGCGTCCAAGTAGCTAGTTAACTATTTTGTTCCCCATCCAAATAGTTATCCACTTAACCAGTTAACCTGCATGTCGTTAATTAATTATGATTTTTATTCAATAGTTATCCCAGTCGGCCCAGCCGATAGCTAATCATGACTCGAAAAACTCTTCTGCCTCCGATACGAGCACCAACGTGACAGTTACCCAGGTGTATAAATAACCGAGGGACGCCTTGCGAGAGAGCCGTAAGTTTTGGTGTCTAACTAACAAGTTAGCAAGTCGAGACGCCCAGGAAAAATGCCGATTCGTCTCGCAAGGTATTCAGACCTGGAGGCAATCTCCTCGACGCTTGCAGAGGGCTTCCATGAAGAGGAGGTTATGGGCCCTCTCCTACATCCGCTGCGTCGAGAATATCCAAACGATTATTTGAACTATTGGCGGCGGAAGTGCTGGGAGAAATGGTGGAATTACTCGTACGTCTTCGTCGTTAGCTATATAGAACAAGACGAGAAGCCAGAGGCAGCGGATGAAGCATCCTCGGATGATCGAAAAGATGATAGGAGCGCAGAAGAGCCTAGCAGGCCCCCGAGAGAGACTATAACTGGCGTTGCTCAGTGGCATCGCATGGGACCCGGCTGGGAGTCCGTCTGGAAGCCACTTGGCAAATGGGATCCAAGTAAGACTTTTAACCAAGCTATGATCCAATAGCTAGTTAGACCGTGCTAGAAGCTTATTCTACCGCTTGCAGGGCTCGTGATATCACCGTTACTATCGATATATCACAATTTTTTCCTGGCTTTGATAGCCCCCAACCGAGCTGCTTCCAGACCTCCTCAGCTCACCGAAGAGTCTGTCCGGCAAGCACTTATCAAGGCTCTAGGGGCCCTGTATGCATCGCCTCCGCATCGTCTGACCAACTGGTCCCTGAACTGCCTTGCTGTGCGGCCAAAGTACCAGAGACTTGGCCATGGTCGTGAGCTGGTGGCCTGGGGAGTCGACAGGGCGCGAGAAGAAGGTATCGCAGCCAGTGTGCTTGCAGCCAAGGGCAAAGACACCTTCTATCGTAGATGTGGATTTACCGAGCTGGCAGGATGGGCTACAGACGGCGAAGGGAATCCTCTCAAGGGGGTGGTCGAAGGGGGTGCCGTCATGTTCACGCGGGTAAAGGAAGACGATTTATGAAATGACTTGGTTATTAGTATATAATTTCAGCCACCGTTATTCATATCCTTCATACAATAGATATTCCTTGGAGATTATGCATTGAGACTCTCGATATCAAGTAACCAAATAAATACGAGCTGGCTGACTTGTTAATTGGTTGTGATTGGGGCTTTCTTTTGGCGGATTTAACCAAAATTTCATCTCAACAATCTCCAAGTAGCTGCAATCAAACTACTCCAGGTGCAAAGATGGCTCTCTCTACTAACATGCTATCATATACACTGCCCGTTTCCATCATAGCAGCCTATGCACTTGGTATTGCATCCTCAATATGGCTTTTCCCATGGGTCAAAGGGATAGCCATATATCTTATCGCACAACTCTCGGGCGATAACACCAGGATAGAAACCAATTATACGGCACAAGACGAGTCGCTGTACGGACTAGATCATGCAGCATTGAATATTCAGCTTCCTCCAACGACCATGTGGATGAACATGGGCTACTGGAAGGTTGATATCCTACAGAAATCTGCCGATGCTTCATTTCGCTGACTGAGATGTAGGATAACGGCAGTGCTCAACTCCCTGAAGCATGTCAAGCATTGCTAGACAAGGTCTTGAGAACCGCCGGTCTCGATATTAACAGCAAAGAAAGAGGCGAGACGGCAGGGGAAGAATCGAATACTACAAAGAAGAGAGTCCTTCTAGACCTTGGGTTCGGATGTGGAGAACAAACGATCTATCTCATGATGAATCCTGCGAGACCTTCGCCAGTATTTGACGAATATATCGGTATTACGCTTGATAAAGTACAGCATAGATTCGCTCAAAAGAGGCTACAGCAGAAGATACTGTATGAAAGCCAGCAAGAAATCAGCGCCAGACCTTCTAAGATCTCACTATTTTGTGCTGATGCTGCTCAACCGTCAAGTTGGCCTGACGAAGTAAAGAACACTCTCTACGATACTTTCTCAATTAACGATAGCAACAATAATATGGAACGCTATGTCATGGGTTTGGACACCCTGTATCATTTCCATCCTTCGCGGCGGGAAATATTCAAATATTCCCACTCCATACTTCGTGCTAACCTGCTAGCATTCGACCTCTTTCTTGCTCCATCGGATCCTTCGAGCCTGAAGCAGATCTTCAACACGTTATTCCTTCGTCTCCTGACTCCTGCTCTTGGCGCCCCATTTGGTAATTTTGTCTCTCCAGAGACATATACAACCATGCTAGAAGAAGCAGGATATAAAACGGAAAACATCGTGATCGAGGATATTACCGACCATGTGTTTGTGGGTCTAGCTGGATTCCTCGAAAAGAGATGTCTGGACATGGCTATTATGGGGCTTGGTGGATATATCAAATGGCAGGTTGCTGGATGGCTATTCAGGTGGCTAAGCAGTGGGGGCGTACTTAGAGCGGGTGTTGTCATTGCAAAGGTGGACTAATTAGTAAATTCGTCATAGGCGCTAAGGATATAGTTACGGAGTGTACACATGGTTAAAAGGATATGTGCCCAACCCGGCGTAATTCAAATCCAATAAGCTAAAATGATTTTGTCAAGAGCTCGAATAAGGGTATGTGGAATAGTTTGAGTTTGTCGTCTCAGCAAGCGACGATATATTGTCTAGCGAGGCTGTGGTGTCTGTGGGACCAACCATCGGCGATAAGGGTGGTAGATTCAGCTCTCCATTATTGATGTCTGGCGGGAATAATTTATCCCATTCATTCTGGGAAAGAATTACATATTAGCAGATCCAATATTAAACTGGTACTTGATGGAGTGACTTCCTTACCCAGTCGATATCAAGCATAGGGAGATCCTCTTCTGTATTGTTCAGTTTGGCCGTTATGGCTGAGGGTCGCTGTGGTGCAGAGTGTAACGGCGGCGCAAGACCCGCGCCGGTGTTGGTATTGTCAAACCCAGAGGCAAACCATAGATGTCCCATCCCAGAGTCCTCAGATCCAGTACCTGAGTCCAGACTCTCTCTACTGGGCATGCGGGTTGAGTAATCAGGTGTGTAGCCTTGATGCTGGAAGGTTGGATTATAGGCCGGGCTAGCCGAGTACGAGGATGAGGTGGGTGGAAGGGCCGAAGAATGTTGCGGCTGTGACTGTAACCTTTGATAGCTTGGTTGACCATGTTGATATTGTTGCATTAGAGAGGCCGGTGACAACCGGCGGCCTTGCTGCGATTGAAGTTGATACTGCTCATGGCTAAACATCCGAGGGGGTGATACCCGAGAGGGGTGTACAGACTGACTAGAAGGTGCAGGTATCGTTTGGCTTTCCTCAAACGGTTGGGACGTATACTGAGGCCCCCATTGCAAGGAACCACCGGCAGAGTTCTGTTCTGTAGTCTGTGGCGGGCTTGGTTCCCGAGATGTTCCCACTTCTGGGGTTATTCGTAGGACCTTAGTGTCAGCCATGCTTATGGGCACTCTCAGCTTTCTCATCTCGCGGTATGCCTCCATCCTGTCTCTGAGCTGTTCTAAAATCAATCGAGCCTTTCTATCACGCTGCATTATGAGCTGATGACGGGCGTTTTTGCCTGCAGTGTCTGGGATAGCGGGAGTCGAGGGCGTTTCAAACACATAATCCAAACACCTCCAAATCCGATCCGCTTCTTTTCGCATGGGGTACGCCCATACTTCCATCAGGATCAGAAAAGCAACGTGATATTGATTGAAAGCACCACTGTACCAGGCCCAAGGCTGTAAATCCGGAGCGGTTTCGAGTTCTATGGCATCTTCGAGGATTTGTGTACAGGCCGTGATAATTATCTGTCGCAACCGGTCTGGAATTCTCACCGAAACACTGTTATGGTACCGGTGTAGAACAGCTGTGTAACTGCGGCAGATGAGTATAGACAATACCAACTGTGCAGCTCGCTGAATAGGCTTGGGATTCGAAACATAAATCAACGGTCCATATTTGGCATATGTAGCCCGTCTGAATGCTTCAATCTTCCCCAATACCCTTGTTAGCGAGATGCTGTTGGTCTCTAATTTCATTCTATCAACATATACTAGTCGATGTAATTCGTGGCATTCAAAGCGAATGCGAGTAAAAGTCATGTCTGTAAATTTGGGCATATCCGTTAGGCGACTGCCGCGATGCTGCAAAAAATCTGCATCGTTCACATTCAGTGGGAATTTAGTAGAGTAATCTTCTCGTCTTATTGTTTGACGGGGTCCTTGTGACTCGCTTGTCCGAAGGTCCAGGAAGCATAGTTGATACCAGATCATTCGCCGAATATGAGTTTCAACAGGGCCATGACCATATTCTTCGGGATCACGGTGGATACCCATACATTCAGCCAGCCGAATGGCAGTTCCAACAAGGGCAGAATGAGTTCGCGATACTTCATTCCTGCACATTGGAATCTAGCTCGATGGTTAAATGCGTATCTTAAATCAGGAGCCAGGCTAGTAATTAACATACCATATACATGACAAGAGCTTGAAGAGTCTGTGTCTTGGTGGTCTTGAGAAAATGAGCTTTTCCAAGAGCCATCTCTGTTCCTAGCTGAAAATTTTCGATGAGCTTCTTTTGGGACACTCCGAATGTACTTAGTACCAGGTGCTCTTGCATACTAGCAACAGCAGTAAAGAGCACTGCGAATACCACGGCTTGAAGGGAATAGGCAGGCTCCAGGCTTTTGGAAACATCAGACCAGAACTCCCAATATTGCCTCTCAAAAGTTGGCCGGTGAAGTATTTTAGCGACTGGATCGACAGATACCCAATACTGCTCTAACAGCCTATCCGATGCGTTTCTGGTTGGTAAGAAATCTGCAAGCGATGTCCTTCGGCCACCACCAAAAAAGAAGTCGGAATGAGGTGCTATATATGTAGGTCCAGGATGGAAACAAGATTCCTGGCCTTCTGGCATTAGATCTCTGAGCCGTGGTGGCTTCATTTCTGGGACTTTAACTGGGGTATTTAAGGATGTATCTGTTACCCCATTGCTAACTTTTGGTTCCTTGAGTACAACGGAAATTTCATCTGCAATCCTAGGCCTAAAGAAACCCCCTAGTCGATCTGTCATCCTCATTTTCCCAAGTTTAAAGCCTATGTCAAATGTATCATCATCGGCATCATCATCATATGCTGCATCCATCACGGCTAAAGGCGTAGGTCGTAGATACTTTTCATCATCTGGGACAGGATCTCCCCTATCATGCTCCAAGTTGTCGAGGATCTCCAAGGTATCCAAGTCGAATGATCCTTCAGGCTTTCGATCATTCCTGGTATATTCTACCACTCCGGACACAAAGCCAGATACAGGGGCGGGAGTGTTAGCATTCATGCTACTGGACGGATCATCGTGGCCCGTCTGGCCTGTTTGTCTGGCAGCAACATCTTGCTCAAGGACAAGTTCTAGAGATCCCATCTTTTCCTTTAACTCCATCAGTTTCATGCGTGATAGAGCATCGGTAGTAGGAGATAGGAAGAGGCAGTGACGCTTGAACTTTGAGCAGTTGGTGCATGGGTGAAGTCTGTCACATTTGAGCTTTCGTCTTCGACATTCCAGACAGGACGTTATCATTCGATTCCGGCGACGGATTTTCATCGTCGCAGTCTGTTGCTGAGCCTGTTTCTTTGATGCTGTAGTCGCCGCGCCCCCTTGGTGGCTGCCATCATCGCCGCCTGTATTTCCAACATCCTGCCCTCCCCAAGTCGAGGTACCGCTTAAATACTGCTGATACTGCTGAGAGCCATTACTGGCATCTTCGGTGGTATTAGAGCTACCACCAACAGTGGGAACCTGACGCAACTCGGCTGGAGAGAGGTGTATCGAAGGTGTTGGAGACGGGGAGTGGGAAGCTGCTGGGGCAGATGAAGAATTCGGATGAAGATGACTAGAACTGTACCCTAGTGGATCCATCGAAAGCGTATCAATCTGGCCATGCAAAAAACCCCGATAGGCGCCTTGCTTCTGGGGTCCAAAAGGGATTTGATACTGCTTCGCGAGCGTCGGTGGGCTAATACTCCGCCAGGCTTGATAAATCCGTCTCTCTGGGGTCTGTTACGCCCGTTAGTGATGGGGATGTTGCTGTATTCGTATAGCGTGCATGAAGGAGGCAGATATAAACGATCTTCTCTGTCGTCGATAACCTGTTCTTACTCTTTTGTGATTTTCCTTCCCAACTCAGGCCCAAGTACTCCAGAGGGGCTAGGTACTTATATTTCTAGCTTTCGTTTCTCAGGTCTCCGATGAGCGGGAAAGGGGCGAAGAAATATGGGAGAAATCTTCCGTAGGCGCCTGTCTGTTCTTATCAGCATTCAGCATCTGGGCAACTCAATCTGACAGAGCGAGTGGTGCATATAATACGGGAAAGCTCCAAGCCACTAGGCAGGGGTACTTCAATTTTAAAGGCCCGATTCCGCTGTCCTCCGTGGGATACGCCGCCGGTTGTGCATCGTTCCAGTGCCGAGTAGATTGAGGTTGCCAATTAGCTTTCTTTGTTCTATCGTTTTGTTGCGATTCGATTTGTAAGTGTTATATCGCTAGGCCGTGGATGAATGAGCTTGGTGCATGCATTGCCAAGGGGGGCCAGGTTGTGAATGGGCGCTTCAGAAGGAGAGCCATGGACTGAAACACCTCCAAGATTAATACTGGTTGGTAGACAATCGCATGGCCAGTGCGACCAAGGAGAGCTCCGTGAGTCATTTTACGCCAGAAATTAATAGGAAAGAGACCAAAATACAATCAATCAATCATCAGCATGACCTAGTTTCGTACATTGTGTGGTTTAAATAAATATACTCCATACACTTGGGCGGGTATCAACCAAGAAAATTTCCCCAATCGCTCTCCGGACGTATTAACTATCAAGCGTGCGTATCTTCACCTTGCGTTTACTTAACGAAGATCGCAAGTGTCCAACGACTTCCTTCCGCCTAGCTGTCTTAGTCCGCCAGCTTTCTAAGTCTTCCGAAACGACCATGTCGGGGGTATTAGTGCCCTGGACGCTGCTACTACGACCCAACAAGCTTGACCGGAAGCGCTGTGCTGCAGCAGATTCAGGGGTCTGATACACACTGCGACCATAACCATCCTGAGAACCTTGAGAACCAGGGGTAACAGGAAATCGGCCGGCTGGCGTTTTCTTTGCAGGTGTGAGGAAAGGAGAAGCTTCCCTGCTTCTCCCAGGCGCTGGAGAGGCGGAGACGTCAATCCCCATTCGTCGAAGCTGGGCTTCTAGGACGTCAACGTCACCACTCTTTCGTTCTGCCATGTTTGTCATCGTGGATATCGTGGATGTCACCGCTTCAACGGTCGGTCGCGCCATCTTTCGGTCTCCATCCACACCAGCTAATCTGGACGCATCAGCGATTTTGGCTCGGAATACCGTAATGTCTCGCTCCAAGTCGGCTACCTTGGACCGTGTGTCTGTTGCTGCTTTCCGGAGATCCTGTTGAAGTGCAGCTTGCTCCGGAGTTAGTGGAGCAGAGGCAATGGCAATCGAATCAGTATGGGCATCAAGGGTCCTTTGAAGATTGGCAAACTGGCCACGTAGAGTCACTAGATCTTTGCTGATTAGTTGCTGGCATTGATCAAACATTTCCTGCACTCCTTCAATCCTCCCTTTTTGGAGTGCTTCGTCAAGGGCATCAACACCGACGCGCAGCTTGTCCACTTCTGACAATAACTGTCTTTCGTTGAGTAAATCAGAGCATTTATCACTCCGTAGGGTTCTGAGCCATCTCTTGTAGTCATTTTCTTTGGCAGACTCTTCGTAAAGTAGGAATGAAGATAAAGACCTGGAGTTGATTCCCAACGTATCTATCATCGTATTGATATCCCGGAATAGCAGCTCTATTTGCCCCGGTATCCCTGGTTTCATGCTCTCACCGGTATAACCCTGATGGGGCAAAAAGGGGTCTAGAGAAGGTGACGGGGAGATAGGTCGGGCCAGGTCAGCGCGCAGCTGCTCGTCTTCGTCATCTTCACACAGTGGTTGTGTTTCAGCAGCTAACTTTTCGGCTTCACGTTTAGCCTTAGCTTGATCCTCGGCTAGGTCTCTAGAGGGCGACACTTGCCTCGCCAGCATGGACCCTTCAAGTGTAGCTTTTCGCCGAGTGATCGCTCGATCGGGGGCGCTAGGTGCGCTGGTTGATCTGAAGCCGTCTGCCCTGGCTAGCATTTGTCCGGATCTACTACGAACGGGACTTGGTGACCGGGGACTCAGGCGGTGCCGAGGCTCTGGGAAGGTAGGAGGCGGGAATATGGGTTTTGATATCTCCCCGAATAACGTTTTTCCTCCTCCAGTCTTCAGTTCCGAAGTGCCACCTTTGGTAAACAAGTCACTCATAGGGCTCTTGTCGGGGGCTCCACCAAACGAGCTCTCTGGTGAGGTCTTTAGACTTTGTACACGGTGATCTGCCGCCTCATCTGTAGGGCTTAGATCATGTCCAACATCCTCCCCGCTATCTTCGAAATCGGCATCACCTTCCTCAGATTCCGCCGGAAGCGATACGTCCGTAGCTTCTTTGGGGGCCTCTTCTTTTTTGGGCTTCACAAAGTCAGGTGGAAGGGGGGCATCTTCAATTGATGTACGCGAAACTCCGGATGAAGATGCAGATGTGTCCCCAGGGGCATAGCTAAGCTTGCTTGTGGATTCTGGTGGGAGTGGTGCTTCAACAGCTTTTGCTAACGGCGTCGGAGGAGTCGCCCTGGGGGTCTCCTTCGGTGTCTCCGCCCTAATAGTTGCTGGCGAGTGAATGGGTTCACCTGGAGTAGACGGTGCTTTTTTCACCACAGGGATCATGCTGAAGGAGCCGGTAGGAGTAGTGGTTTTGGCGGTCGGTAAAGGTTTTTCCTGCTGTGGTGGTGCGTTGAATAGATTCGAAAACGATGGTGCCTTCTGATCTTGAGATTGGGTTTGTTTATGGGACGAGAATATGGAGGCTGGTGGCGCGCTTGTAGGGGTCGAGCTGATAGAAAGCTCCGCTGATTTTGGAGCAGCCAGTTTGGGAATATTGGACTTCATGCCACCAAGCATATCACCGAAAGCAGCGCCCATGGACAAAGACCCGCTAGATTGTTCTGGTTTGTCCTCATCCATTGCAGCTGAGGTATCCGGTTTCATTGTAGATCCCACCGTGAAACCACCAGTCCCAAGACCGAAACTAGTGGATGATTTTTCATTTTTAACTTGCTGTCCGAAAGGAGAAGTTGTCATAGTTGGTGCATTGGGCTCTCCAAACAACGGCTGGCCAGCCTTTGCAAAGGGGTTGTCATTGGAAGAAGTTTTTGCAAAAGGACTCTCTGTAGAGGCCGGCTGTCCAAATGGACTTTCTTTGGAAGAGGGCTTCCCAAAAGGACTAGCACTAGGGGCAGCTGTTTGGGCAGCACTGGCAAAGCCGCCACCAGAAGAGGCAAATGAGCCGAATCCTCCCCCAGCACCAATGTTAGCAAAACCAGATCCAGTTGTTAGGCCACCACTTCCTATAGAAGGTTGTCCAAAGAGTGATCTCCCAGCCCCCAATGCCCCTGTTTGGCCGAAAGCAGGGCTATTACTTCCGAGATTGCCTGGGCTACCAAATGAGATCCCTCCACTTGTTTGTGGTGTACTTGAGCCAAACCCAGGTGTGGTACTAGAACCACCTGGAGTTTGAGAAAATGACCCTAAAGGAGAAGGCGAACCAAACGCAGGCTTGCTTTGCATGCCTAGAGCTGAGCTCATGCCGAAGCTTGGTGTGGCTGGCTTACCGAACGTGGACTGGCCAAAGCCGGCTTGTCCAAATGGAGATTTAGCTGGGGTAGTTGTCGTCACCGCTGGCTGGGTAGAGGTAATCTGGGGTTGGCTTTGCTGTCCTTTGGAGTTCACTGCGACTAGGCCACTGTATGGTTTTTGCTGTTTAATAGACTCGGTATGTACAAACCACCAAGAGGACAGCATTCCATCATTTGTAAGCACCAAAAGTGCAGGAAGCGGGGACGAAGATTCTTTAATTTCCTCATCTCCAGGGACGGGGGATATGACACTATCTCTGCTCGAAAGGTCCAGGCACATTCCAATGGGGGATGTATCGTTCATATCTTCCGTCATAGGAAGCACTGCTCTCCGGGAATCATCAGCCATAGTAAGAGCTGCGAATGTGGGTGTGCCATCTGCAGTGGATTGTGTGATCAATCCAATATCAGTTGAAGCAGTAGATGCAATGATTAGGGCTTCCTTCAGGTGTGGCTCAAAATCTCTCATACGGGCTGTGAACTGGTATGCAGGGTGCCTTGCCAATCCGAACGGAGCACTAACTTCAGGCAACTTTCTGAACTCATACTGGTCCGGAGGCTTTCTTGTGGCTATATAATAATTAGACGCCGGCGGCGGGCCATCAGGCGTATTTGTTGGAGTATAAACAACAAAAAATACGTGGTTTGCCAGCCACAAGATAGTAGATACTAAAGGTCGGTTAGTTTGCAACCTTCTATTCAATCAGTCCAACAGTGCAAAAACTTACCATGATGATCACTCCCAATCTCCGGAGCTCTGGGTATATCCGCCTGCTTTTCCCCATCTGGTTTTACCTGATATGCACTCCCATCTCCCAAACCAGCTACCAGCTGAGTACCTTTATTACTCCAGCAGACAGAGCTGACGCCGGATTTCAACACAGGTCCTGCCGAACCTGAAACGAGTTGATTCGTTTTCAAATTGGCGATCAACAGTTCGCCGTTGGTTGTAACAGCTGCAAATAACTCAGACGTATCCGGATTCGGGTTGGCGGCCAGAGCTCGCAGTGTTGCACCGTTTATATTGAGAGTAGCTGTTGGCTGGGTCCTTCCCTGTAGTAGTCCCGAGACATCATATATAGCCAATGCATCGCCGCCATCAACTGCCACCACTAAGGCGCTGCCATCTGCAGAAAATGCGAGATGAGAAACCCTCTTTGGAAGTGGTATCTGAAGCTCTGGTTGAAAAGTCCTGACATCACTACCATCCACAGGCTCACTCGCATACGCCTTCCTCACAGAATCAGTGCGCGCAATCGCTATTCCTTCCGGACCTGCAGCCGCAAGCAGCCCTTTTACCGACGTGACGCTCAATAATGAAGCGGTAGGCGCGGGTAATGAGTCTTCTGGCCAGGGGGTAGGAAGCAGTTTAACTTTTGCATTGTGCCCAATAGATAGAAACCCGATTTGCTATACACATCTTTGCGTTAGTCGCTATGTGCTCCAACATATAGCTCTGGCTATGTAATAAGAATGCATACCTGAGTTTCGATTTCCTGAAGCTCTGCTCCAGTGGTCACTTTTCCACCAGCAGCTTGGGACGAGCCTGAACCAAACGAAAAGGCCATCCTGAAGGATGATTCAAAATCTGCCGAAAGAGACCTCGGTCCACTACCTAGAGACAGACGCGACTTGGGGACATTGAGCTTTAGCGGAGGCAGGCTTGAGGTAGCTAAGGAGCGGCGCAGGACGACACGAGGTCCCCGGTTGAAAAGCTTGAGGGTAGGCCCGAAAATTTTGACCGTTGCTCCCTAGCAGAAGCAAAACACAGCCGTCACAGGTGAGCAGCCGTCTCCAGCTGGCTCTGTCTTCTGTGAACAAGTGACAATAGAAAAGCGTTAAACACCGTTGTAGTTGATGAAGTTGAAGTTGACGCTGACATTGTTTTTTGATATTTCCCTTTTAGGTGTTGGAGACGGCTGTGAGCTCTGATTGGTCAGAAGCTTTCCAGGCAGCTTTCGAGCTTACAACAACAACGAAGAGCGAACATCAAAGCATCGTCACATCCAACAGACATAACGGAAAAAAAAAAAAAAAAAAAAGGAACCAGCCAGAAACGAAGAAGAAGACGACGCTGATTCAGGTTGAGACGCCGCCGCAACAGCTACCGGAAACGCTCGCAAACAACTAGAGGAACGCTGCAGTCATGCCTGGCTTTGACTTCTCCAACTACAACCGCAACCGCGCACTCCATGCAAAGGGTGTACCGCTACCCAAGGCGACGAGCACTGGTACAACCATTGTGGGATGCATATTTGATGGAGGAGTAGTGGTGCGTTATCTAAGGCGATTGTCTGGTTTCCTCGCTCGGTATATAACTAATGCTTATCACAGATTGCTGCTGATACCAGAGCTACCAGTGGACCTATTGTTGCAGACAAGGTACTTGATAGTGTTCCATCTCATCCATCCGAGTTCTATCTAACGCCTGTGCACATGTAGAACTGCGAGAAAATCCATTATATAGCGCCGTCGATATGGTGTGCCGGAGCCGGTACTGCAGCAGATACCGAATTCACCACCAACCTGATCAGCTCCAACATTGAACTCCATTCTCTCTCAACCGGCAGAGCACCCCGCGTAGCGACATGCATGACCATGCTTAAACAGCACCTTTTCCGCTATCAAGGCCACATAGGCGCCTACTTAGTGGTGGCTGGTGTCGACCCGACTGGAACACACCTCTTCACTGTACATGCTCATGGCTCGACCGATAAGCTCCCATATGTGACTATGGGCTCCGGTTCTCTGGCCGCCATGTCTGTCTTCGAGTCGATGTGGAAACCATCATTGACAAAGGACGAAGCCATCAAACTTGCATCTGAGGCCATTCAGGCTGGTATTTGGAACGATCTGGGTTCCGGAAGCAACGTTGATGTCTGTGTGATGGAGAAAGACAAGCCAACCAAAGTGATGAGGAACTACCTTACGCCTAATGAGCGAGGAGAGAAGGAGAGAAGCTATAAGTTCCAGAGGGGAACAACGGCGTGGTTAGATGAGCAGGTCATTACAAAGGCTGACCTAGCTCGATATGTCACCATCGAAGAACTCGGTGGAGAGGAAGCTGTAGCAGAGCGGATGGATGTTGACGTCTAAATAGACTAGAGTTTCTGCTCCTTTGACTCCGCCAATTCGATATCCCATTTCATGGCTTGTCTTCTCGTAAATTAAGCATAGACCTGCGTATTGAAATCAGGGATTCAGGCCAATTAAACCCGGTCATAGGTATAATTCTATGGCTATATCTACATATATATATACACACACACCTGATCAGATCGTACAAAATATCAAACTGCCATTCAATAGGCTTTCAAACCACCGATTTGAGGCCCTTCTACTTCCCTTAATATGTCCATTATATATTTCCGTCTTTCATGAGGCACTCTGCTCCCTGAGTCAATGTATCGTTGTATGCCAGCATGATACAAGGCCCGGCACATGGAAGGCAATATCGGTGCATTCTGGGTTCGAAGAAGCTTGCAGCACCGATATGTTAACCTCCATGCAACGCGATTAGAAACAGGCACAGTAGAGAAAACCAATGCAAGGAAAGTTATCGTGTTAAGACATGCTTGTGGGTCAAGGATAGGTATTCCCTCGGGTAAATACCTGGTAGGGTTTACTGCCACTCCTTTACTAGGTGGTGAGTATCGTAGCTTTTGTAAAGCGTATCTAAGCGGCTTGTGGTTCTCAATGAGTCCAAGGAGTACCCCTCGAGAGTGTATGACGTTGTTTTCCGTATATAGCAGTAAACGATGGAGAAAGTGTGGGTCGGTTATATCTGTCTCCAGCGCTGCTTGTTCAAATAATGCATTGCTGAGGTTCTTGAGCGATGTTCCTTTCTCGTACATCCACATAAGTTCCGGTTTGTGCAAAACACCACAGTCAAGGCTGTTTATTGCTGATATCATCGACTGTGGTAAAGGTCCGGTAAGCCCCATTCGTTCCATATATTTTGATCTGACAGCCGTCACAAGAACGTGATCTGTGTATGGGAGACCTAGTTTGTCGAAACGCAAAATAAGAGACTCGACTTTCGCTAGCATACCGCCCCTTTCATGTAATCCAGAAGCTTGTTTCAAGTAGAGGAGGTATTTAGCGAACAGATCCATTCGGCGACTGTCAATATCGAAATACATCTTTGTGCGGCGGCCAATAATTCGTAGTAACCACATCCGCACAAAACAAACTTCTTCGGCAGTAAGGGCTTTACCCAGCTGGTTTTTGTCCGGGCATGAAACTTGAAACTCCATCCATATCTCCGAAGAAAGCATGCCACGAAGTCCAACCAGGCGCTGCAGCATCCATGACCAAACTAGCAGCATCTGAGGGCGGTTGGTATCATAATTGGGCGAGCATATCAAAGCTTCCGTAGTGCCGAATATACTGGAAAGGGCGACTGTACTGGGGAAGTATCGTAACGTATTTGACATCTCCTGTAGGCGACATTGCAGGCTTTTCCTATCTATCCAATCATCTTTTCTTGGCATAGCCGATTTCTCAGTAGACAATTCAAGGGTATGTAGCAGAACCTTGGACATGGTCTTCTGCTCTGAGCGCCCCATCTTCCTCAAGGTATGAAGAATATGGTTGCATAAAGCGATCGATTTAGTTCCCGGCGGTAAATTCAGCAACATGTCCAGCCACAGGTTAAGAGTGGAAGGACCAAGGTCACTGGCCCTTAGCACAGCGCATTCTCGCAAGCCCGTCCAAAGTTCCGTGTAGAAAGAAACCAGAAGGTCTGGGTGGGAGTGTGCAAAAGAGCCCTCAGTGGTATTAAGATGTGGCAGCTTGACAATTATATTCTCGATTTCATTGAGAGGTATTGCCCCAAGGGTCAAACCCGCTGCCAGCTGATCAAGGTGCTCAATTATGACTGGCAAAGAAAACTTCTGCAGACTCAAGTATTCCATCAAAGTCGTATAATTGTTCGAGCCCGGAGCATTTAACGATGGATCCAAAAGGAAATCGTGCAAATCAGTAACCATCCACCTTGTTATTTTCTGGGTTTGAAGTATATGGTTGAATATCATTTTGCTGAGCGTTGGCTGGACGCGAAGATTTATATCGACATCCCTGATCACACGACGAACCGTGTCTAGTGAAATTTTATCGTCACAGAAAAGGCATTCTATGACAACAGGAATGGCTTTTTCTTTCCTTAATCTTGGTGGTTTTGGTGGTGATGGAGGAGGGAGATGAGGGTTTGATTTTCGTATACTAAACACTGGGACGGCCGAGCTATTGTAGGATTCTGGGATGGGTGGATCGTTGTCTATATTATCAATTGCGGTTAGATGATAGGACAGACAGAGCCGTGTAAACATATCAATGTCAACATAGAGAATTAAATGGTACTCACAAGCAGGCGTTTGGAATAATGGCGAGGGGGCAGTGGAAGCTTCTCCCCGGGGTCGTCTTTCGGTACCTGAAAAGCCGAACAAAAGTGCAGCATCTAGCCCAGCAGAAGAGCCAATTCCACTGGCTAAGTCCATATTGCGACGTCTAGCAAGGCGCCTCCTAGCTTCGAAAGGTCCTGGTACACTGCTTCCATAACGTCGCTGGTGCCGCCGGGCAAAGCTTGCAAAAGTCGAGGCAACAAGCTCGTCACTGACCCAAACATGGTCGATTGCGGGATTCCCATACTTCCGGGCCGCCGTTCGGCAGGCATGTCTACAAAAAGACATCCAGCAGCGGCCCAATGCCTATGTTCCCAGCAGCTTCAATGTCGTGTTGCTGTCCAATTTCAAGCTCTCTGTCCTCGCGTTCAGCTTCACTACCATGGTCGTTTTTTGTCGTCTTCTCTTGAATTTGACAGTACAATAGTTATTACTAATCCAGATGACTAATCTAGTCACGTGTACTCCGTACGACGAACCAAATCTCCGTTTGAGTTCCCAAAAGGGTAAACAGGACAATTTCGACTTCAACTTCGACTTCAACTTCGACTTCATCGTTTTGACACGTAAATCAACAATCACATAGGTCGGACAAATTGGCAGTCTCGGGTGTCTGTACTCCTTACGTGAAAGGCTAATCCTTGACACACAAAACTTTCAGAGGGATTGTTTCGCTGGCGGTGCTCCGTAGTAAGTAGTTATCTATTGTAACTTATCTCTAGCTCTAACTATCTCACTAACATCACTCTGCATAGGCCACCCACCCCATTTGTTTCAAGTTCAGGGACAATACATGTTTAGCGACATGCAATGCTCACACGAGCCGTGGGCAAATGGAATATATAACCCACAAAATTTAGCCCTTCCACCGACATCTTCCATCATTCCCTAGGATTTGTGCGGGTATTTCCCCTCCTCTGCTCTGCCGTCTCCTCTTATTTGATTCAAGAATATTCTTTTTTCCTGCTTAACGTGCATACAGAGATCCCGCGTGGCTTATACGCTAAAGCGTGACTATGGGACAGGAATTTGGTGGTGCAAGAGGTACGTGCAAAACCTCTGATCAGTTTCCGGATTCTCCAGACCCCATGCGTGTCTTTCCAATCAACCGAACTCGACGTCTAGTTAACTGACTTCCTCAGGGTGCCATGCCACAACATAATCAGAGGCCAGTGGGAGCAATTTGGTTGCAGATAATTAGTATATATGCAACCGTAGATCTTCACCGCCGGCCCGTCTATACATATTAGGTATAATGATCCTGGGACCAGGCTAGTCGTCAGGGCATATTTATATCTCCGAGAAAGAGACGACAGCTCTCTAACCCAGGGTGGAATTTATCAATCGCCCAGTTATCCCGCGTTGGTCAAGTTCTAGGCGGTGCCATGTGACAACTCACCCATCGATACGACCTCTGGGCGCTGGCGTGCAACTCTAACTATAGCTGACGTATTATCGTAACGAAGAGGCAGGGCTCAGTCGATCGTCTCGAGACAGGTCTCATTCGACGACCGTCTGCAGTCGAAACTCCAGTGTTGGCACTGATGCTGCACTTTCACTGGATGGGCTCCAAGCCACCGTGGACATGGGCCATCCGTTTTGCAAACTTTCCAGTTCCATGGGTTTGATATGCGTCGAGGCTCGTCGCAGGGCGCCACTTGTCACTATTCGTCGTTGACAAGAAACGAGTGCTATTTTCATCCCGCAAAGCAGAAGAGCAGTCGCCTCCCAACTTTTAAACCAAACGTGGGGTGACGAGACTGATTAGCAAGCTTGCTGGAGAATTTTAACTAGCTGAACAAGAAGCGAGGGAAAAAATGAAGGAAAAAAAAAAAAAAAAAAAAAAGCCTACTGCGAGGCCCTGGGAACCGTCTTAATGGGTGGCCTATTACCGGGGCGTGGCTGACCCAAAGGTCTTGCTAGGGTTCAATCACCGTTTCCAACTGTTTGGAGCGGCATGGGGAGATTGCATTAGCGGGCGTTGGACTGCAGAAACCTCCAGTGTCAACATTGTATGGATTTACGAAGAACCGAGTCCTTTAGTCTTCGCCTCGGGGGATGGCCTTGTTAATCAAACACGGACAGCCAGATTAACAAGGCAAGATAGCATACGATGCACAAGACGTGATGGGCTCATACTAGCCCCAGCACTAACAAACCTTCCTTTCCTCCATCAGCAAAGGGTGCTGCTTGATGCAAACTTTTGCCCAGGTGGCCACGACAGGCAAACATTGCTCGGTCGATCGCTTTTCGGGTCATGAAAATACGTTAAATTACGACTGCTGGTACAACCCGGTATCAGGGCCTTTTCGGGGCCCAACACACAGGTTCAACCTTCATCCCTGGACGTATATTTTCGGTCTGAAAAGAAAAAATCTTTGTATAGGCCTGATAGACCGAAAACAAAGGTTAATTACAAATTAAGCTTCTGGCTCTGCCCATCTTGCGTGGTTGCAGGCCCCCGAGTGTTTGGTAGTTCAGGAAACGAATATAACTTCCTCCACACCCCCATCCACTTCCCTGGATTTTCCAGCCCAAAAAACAAAAAACAAAAAACATTTGAAGGTGTTCTGTCGCTTCTCGAATCCTTCATAAAGTCATCTCATAGTGCGCCTCTTCCATCAGTTGATACTGGTATCGAATACATGGTATGAAAACTCAAGGGGCTCACGTTGCGCCAAAGAAGCTCGTTCGAATCACCACAATATTGCCATCATGACGACCAATCCCGAGTCAGGGCCTGATGAAAAGACCGACCCGCCCGCTGCCACAGATCATGAAGTTCGTGCTATCACGCCTGATGTATGTATTTTCACTCCGAAAAGCGCATAAGGAAAAGTCAGGTTTAATATTTGCATTGTGGATTCTGACCTGGTTTTCTTCCTAATAGTCCGGCGAGTATGAGAAGGACTATAACCCTGAGTATGTCCAACCCCAACATTGAAGGAGCCACGGTTGAAATATTCGGAGCTGATATGCTTTCACTCAGCAGTTCCATGTCACTCACTTCGAGTATCACCGATTACCCCATGGAAAGTGGTCGGAGATACCATCGATACCATGAAGGAAGTGAGTTCCCATCGCATAATGGATGTCACTTCTTCTTCTTCTTCTTTTTGGCTATCCCGTGGCAGTATTGCAGTCAAGGCTAATAGCAGCTCCATAGCGTACCTCTATCCCAACGATGAAATAGAACTGGACCGATTGGACATGCAATATGAAATAATAAGGATGGTAAATGAAGGACGAATTTTCTTTGCGCCCTTGGATAACCCAGAACGAGTGCTTGACATTGGTACCGGATCAGGTATCTGGCCAATCGAAATGGGTAATTCTTCCACATTTGCATCTATATGATCAACAATCCGAATCGACGCATGCTAAATTACCATTTATGCAGCTGAGATATTCCCCGATGCTCAGATCATCGGAACCGATTTATCTCCTGTCCAGCCGGGACAGGTACCGCCGAATGTTCAATTCTTTGTTGACGATGCCCAAGAGGAAGACTGGTTATGGCCGAAAGATCATTTTGATTATATCCGCTCATCAATGCTTCTCGGAGCCCTCAATTCCTATAAGTCTCTCATAAACACCGCTCGCACATACTTAAAACCAGGCGGGTACATGGAGTGCCACGAATGGGATGTCGCCCTTTTCTGTGACGATGACACATTACCTGCACCGCAAGATGACTTCCAATGTCCACATGAATTCCAGAATTGGATCCAATACCTGCGCCTATCCACAAAAAATCTGGATAGACCAGTGTTTATTGTTGATAAAATCGCCGATTGGATGCGGGAGGCCGGCTTCGAAGACGTCAAGGAAACCATTACAAAGATTCCGCTGAACCCTTGGCCCAAAGATCCACATCTAAAGCGTCTCGGTGCCTGGAGCGAGAGAAATTGGCTTGATGGCATTGCGGCATTTTCATATGCGCCTTTTGGGGCCCGCGGTCTCGGATGGACCCAAGAAGAGATAGAGGTCTTCTTGGTTGGTGTGAGGCGAAGCATCTCGGATCGAAAAGTGCATTCCTATCAACGGTTTCATGTTGTGACTGGCAGAAAGCCGTCATCATGAGAATATCATTAACCACCGTATCTTACACAGGGCACAGGTAACTACAATGCGGAAAGGCTGGCTTTTTGATATCTCGTTCTCTCTCTCTCTCTATTTCTCACCTTTTTCCCCCGTCTCGTCAACTTAACACCATGCACACGCACTGGCACACACATACGGACACCTAATTAATGATCGTTACGGCCGGCGGTGGTTAAAAATCCTGAGGTAAAAGTGTTTACTGTTTGCTCTTCTTTATCCCTTTTCTGCCGTATGTAAATCCTCCCGAGTGTGTTGGCGTTCAGCAGCCCTTTCCGTCACTTCCCCTTCTTGAATAATCCCTCTTATCAATGTACATATATACCCTTGTGTCAATTTCTATTAGATCTCCATCTTCACAACTATACCTTCCAAAAACCCGCGTTTCATGCTATAGATTTCCATATCACCATTTCCAGTTTCCGTAATTGGGTTACTGAGAATGAAGGACTAACATGTCATCATCATCCGGCTATGCAGGAGTACGTTATCAAGTTCTTTGCGCTATTCTGCATCACCAGTCAAGCATTACATACTCCATACCATCTATAGACACTTTTCGAAGCCCTACTTTCGCCCCTCTCAGCCAACTATGATTTGGTTGGCAAGCTACTGCACGGAGTATGAATCTTTAAGTGCCAACGACCGGGGATCTGGGTAGCCCCAATTGCTAAGTATCAATGTGATCTGTCCTAACTGTCTAATGTGCGCCATGCAAGCCCTCTGAAAGCAAGCTGCAGGGTACTTCGTAGAAGACGGTGCTTTTCCTCACGAGACCAGTGGACTGGACGGTTACAGTGCTTATCGCACTAGCCGTGTTGAAACGTTTCGTTGACCATTGCAATAAAGGGGTAATATAGCATGGAGTACTCCGTACTTCGTACTCCTTATCACGGATGGACTCTTGGACGGTGACAAGTCGGACTGCACTTCAAGAGCTTGATGAGCTTAGGTCAGGAGAGGAAAAGGGGCCAAAAAATGAGGGTTGCCGCTTTGAGAGAAGATGTTCGAAAGAAATGAGCTCCTAACCGGCCACAATTTGAATCTCGACCGATCCCCCGCCACTTCAACCTCTGTCTATCCCCATAGTGGCTGTAGTTGAAAACCCACGTACCGGGTACCCAGTACACACCGCCGACGGCTATAGTGGAGTGACCGGACATCGGATCATTCCCCAAATTTCAATTCGTGGGAATAGCGTAACTTGCCCCATTGGGCTGGGTGAATGTATGCGGGATAGTCCATGATCCCTAGTTTGGCCCCTGTAATCTATCTGCCTGTTCCAACGCAAAGGTAGTGCGTGTCATACGATGTATGGGTGGGCAGCTTCAGATGCGTTGGGACATGTAACATTTGAATCTGCGATGCTGTGTTCAATGTTGGCTCTAAAACGCTAGTTACTCAGACGACCAGGCTGACAATGAACATGGGGGATCCATTGCAACCACGGATGATGCTCTGCTAGGCTCCCAGGAGTCTAGGCCCTGTGGTGAAGTTGGCAGCATATGCGGAGTCCCATCATCATATAGTAAAAGGGCGTTGTATAGCCAGGTTGATACTCAACTAATATAGCTGGGACACTTGCTTGCGTGTGAAGGATATAGCCTAGGAACTAGTATGTAGTGCGTTTTATGGACGCCCAAGGGTCTATGTGTGACAATATAGCAAAAAAGGCCACAAAGGAAGGAATAGAAGCCGGGGGAAGGGAACGCGGTTGTCTAATGTATAACCAGCTTCTATTGTGAATCCATCTAAATGCTCCTTCAATAAATGCAGTGAAATGTTTAGCCTGTGTATATATTAGTCATGAATTCTTCCTCGCGGGGGAAGGGGGTATATATGTGCGTATGAGCGTATGATTGTCCCAAAGATATATGCAACTCCAAGGTGAAGAATATCTAACCATGATTCCTCATTCATGGTTCTGAACTTCCTGTCTTGCCAAGACCCCAACGGCCAACTTCTCGCATAGCCTCCTCGCCACCCTCAGCTAGTCTTCCATTAGAATTGGCAGGATTGCTTGCTCCGAGGACGCCAGCAACACAGCTCCAACCGTCACGGCCTCCACCCCATCTGAGTACCTCATTTTTGAACCTCTCGCCGGCGTTCCTATCGACAGAAAGATCGCCACTCCCAAACACATCAGTCCAGATCTTATTGGCTATTGCCCGGTCGAACAGGTAACTATAATAAGTTGCGCCATAACCAAACAAATGAGTAAAATAGCCTTGCCACGCAGTTTTAGAGTCAGCTGGGTCGGGTATGCTGCTGTGTTTGGAGGATACAGCATGAAGGATAGCAGTGCTGTCGATGTGGCATCCGGCGGAAGTGGTGTGGTAGGCCTGGTCCATTAACGCCATGATGATCTGCGTTTCATTATCCATGCCGCCATGTATGCTATCACGGTTTTGGCGGTTTCGATGAATATTTTGAACCATGTCTTCGGGCAGTGGGTCGTCGGTTGACCAGTGCCGAGCGTATAGGCGCAGAACCTGTGGGTCCATGGCAAAGCTTTCCATCAGCACGGAGGGCAGCTCCGCGAAGTCGGTGACGCAACGGGTTCCTGAAATCGATTGGAGATCCGTGCGGCCAAGTACTGAATGTATAGCGTGTCCCATTTCGTGAAAAAGGGTTCTGACGCTATGTTCCGAGAGGAGAGATGGTTTCGCAGAAGGAGTACTAGAGGTTGGTGTATCAAAGTCGCATATAAGAGCAATAGTCGGTAGCTGATAGAGGCGGTTCGTACCTGGCTTCAAACCTGTAGCCATCCCATCGTTGGGGTGTGGTGAGTCGGGTAGCGAAGCACATTCTGCTATCTCAGCTGGAGAAATCTCCCTCGAGCTTCGTAAGGTGAAGTGAGCCGGGTTAGGGCTTTTTCCAGGGCGCGAAAAGAGATCGCAGTATACAACGGCGATGTGGTTGTCATCTTCATCCAACACATCCAGTCTACGGACGTCTGGATTCCAAGTCTCGCCTGGTAAGGTTTCGCTCGGAACAAACCTGACACCGTATAGGCGCGTGAAAAGACGAGAAAGTCCCTGCATTACTGTCCCTAGAGAGAAGAACGAAGGAAGCAAATCAGTATCCCGCGATCTTCTCGCCAGGCCGTGTTTAATATAATATTTTTCCATATAGTATGAGTAGTCCCAGGGTTGAAGGTTAGTTGCCAGTGGGGATTCAATTTGCTTGAGCGCAAGTAGTTGGGACAATTCATCGTCTAGCTGACCACGGTTGCTTGCATTTAACGAAGATAGGAAGTTGACCACAGCCTCCGGAGTTCTGGCCATTTTATCACTCAATGTCATATGGGCATAGCTCTGGTACCCAGACAGTTTGGCCAGCTCAGCTCTCCGCTGGAGTAACGTCTCCAGCCGTCCGATCTGCTCTCGGGAAGAAGTTCGATAGGCAAGATGAATCTGTCGCCTGACCTCCGCATCCTCAACCGTACTTAACGCAGCCTTTGGAGTAGACCCATACATTGGAATAGTCACTTTTGACCAGCGTTTCAGCTTCCGAAGAAGATCTGGGTCCATTCCCTGAAGCTGGTTTTTGCTAAAGCTAAGCTGAGACGTTTCTGGATTCATGTTTTTGACAAAATCAGGGCCAAGCTGGCTGATTTCGTTTGACAGAGTCACAAATCGGTGTCTATCTTCAGGGGGTAGATGAATGGCAGACTTTGCAAAGTCTCGTAGAAACGCAGTGGCTGCAACGTTTTCCTCCTCGCTCCAGTGGGAGGTAACCTCGGGGTTCTCGATGGCCCGCTTTAACTGCTCATGGAGACCAGGAGTTGTGTTGAGAATATTCATATACTCGAATATAAACGCAAATGCCTCCGTAGCAGCCTCTTGTATTGCGGGATCGGGATGGTTTGTCTTCATGAACTCGGCCATGTCTATCACTCGACAGAGCAAGTCACTCAATTGGTCAAGATCCTTAGCCATCCGCCTGAAATCCTCCATAGTTGACGCTGCTAGCACCTTGCCAACGATCTTCTGACATTTGTGAAGCGAGATATGGGCGAATTTGCGGAAGCCTTCTGGGTTCGTGAGATACTGGTTCTGCAGTAAGCCTGTACGCCTCGAGGAGGCCGATTGCCGCTGGGTAAACTCGCGCCAGAACGAATTCGAGTCAAAGACAAGCCGTAGATTGGTATCATCGTGTCTCTTAGTTCCAGATAGGCCTGCTATAGCTGGGTCGAGTCTCGTGCGCTCTGGTACGGCCACCGAGTAGCATCGAGAAGTGCCAACGTTTATACGCAGAAGACACCTGTGGCAGGTCCACGGCCGCGGCTGGAGGGCCCGGAGCATTTTCTGCTGTCAACCAGCCGGGCTGCAGACATCCAATTATGCTATTATATCACGGTCGACTGGTATTTTCAAGCGCTCGCTGCCGCCGGTTTGCTGGTTGTTGCTTGCTTGACGTCGGAAAAAGATCGAAGTTTTTCTTTTCTGCCGAGAACGAAAAACCCAAAATGGTCGAACGTCAACTTCAACTTGAACTTCTCTTCTTCCTTCTCCTGCACCATAACTAACGCCCGCGGACAACAGGACACGATGCTTGGTTCAATTCTTCATCGGGTAAGTCAGGCATTATCCAATGCATTGCGCGTGTTTGAAGAGCGTTGCTAACTGTGCGCTTCAACTACAGAGGCTGGCGGCCACAGGCGCTGCAGTGGCCATGGGTGTAGCCATCAGCCCAATTCAAACCGCATACGCAGAAGCACCTCCGCACAGCTCGGTATGTGATATAGTAACGTGCACGAGGTGATGGGAGGAGCTGGGAACTGTTGTAGATCCGGTTCTTGACGCTGACGATGTTTCTTTAGTCTCCCTCGAAGAAACCGATGTACGATGTGGATGAGGAAGAGAGCACCAACAGCATCCTCCGCAAGATAGAGAAGCCTGCTGCACAGCCAGCAACGAGCCAGCCGGATTCTCCCTCGCCGCAAGCCCCTACCCTCATCAAGACCCGTTCTCCAACCCCAACTGACCAGTTGGCCGAGCAAATCCGACACGCCCGTCTATTCCTTTACCGCCACTCGCTGGTAGCGGAAAACAGCTTCAACGACACTGTTGCCCGCGTCCTCCGTGCCGAGTCTCAGTTCACAAGTACAATTGCGTCCCTAGCACCACCACGCGAGTCTGGTGAAAGGCTGCTACCAGGTGGTATTTATGTCCTGGTATCCGCAATGGCTGGTTCGATTGTCTCGCGGAATCGAGGTATACTGCTCCGAACCGCCTCTCCGATTGCAGTGGGGACAGTTGCTGCCTGGAGTTTGCTCCCAATCACTATGAGAAATGTCTCTGACCTGGTATGGGAGTACGAGAAGAAGGTTCCCGCAGTGGCTGAAAACCATCTCTACCTTCAGTATGTTGCGGAGCACTCGGTACAGCAGGCTATCAGGGTCAGTGGCGATGCACGAGTTTGGATGGAAAGCAAGATAGGCCAGGGTCGAGAAACGTTGGAGAAATGGATCAGCAAGGGACTATGAGAGCATGGCTTCAGTCGACCAACTACACCAACTACACAATAAACAAAAAGCAGAACCAGGAGAAGCGCTATAAATCAGCCTCATGCCAGAGCTGCTCTCATTATATTCTCTTTCCAAGTGTCATTGTATACATGTACTTTACCAACAACGTTTAGAGGCACCAAAATTTATATTCCTGTGGATGCTAAAGCATCTAACTTGTTCAATTGGCTATCTTTCTAGACCCAGTCTGCCACCTTTAGAACCAAGAAAGACAAGCAGGTTTATTTATCAGGCAATTACTCATCCGGAGGGCTGCCTATATCCTCAGTAGGAGGTGCTGGCGTTGTGGTGGGCGACGGTGATGAAACAGCAGCTCCGGCCTTTGGAGGTGGCGCAACCGGCGCTGTCCTAGAAGCAGGTATATAGTCCTCTTTCTGGCTCCGTTCTTCGCCTTCTTTAAAGTAGTCATCAAACGAAGGCGCCTCAACATGACGGTTCTTTCGGGCATGTTTAGTCGGTGGTGTTGGCTTTTTGGGCGCACCTCCAGACGAGACTATGTTAGCCGGGATTAAGAATTGGGGTTCAGACGCTGGCATAACAGGGTTACTGATGTTGGTTCCTGTGTCATGCCCATCTTCTTTTGTTGCAAAGACAACCTCTCCCGGTCCTGGCACTTCTCCACTCAGGGCCAGAGGTAGCCTGTGAAGTGCACCGTAACCCAGAACTGCACCCAGAGCCCCTTCACCTCCCCAGTTACGATTAGGAACGATCTCAACTTCTCGAACCACGTCGAACTCGTTATTGTATACCCATAGAGTCAGGCTCCTGTTCAAATGGTCCTCAACGAGCTCACCAAGCGCAGTCTCCCCGCGAAGCGTCCCACTCGGTGTCCCTAATATATAATCTGAATGTGGTAGTAGGCCAGCCAGATAAGCCGGGCTCTGAGGCGACGGTATTGATAGGACATGCCATATATTCTGTGTCAAGGAGAGCGGTGCTAGCTGAAGTGTTACGCCGAGAGACGGGTTTGATGCTGGTATAGGCACAACAGCTTGATGTGTCCGTTGACCCTAGGAGGAATCAGCTACTTATAGCAATGCATAGGGGCAGACGAACGGTGTAGCATACCTTAGCACTCCAGAGGTCCAACGATACGCTTGATCCAGCGCAATTGCGTACTTCTGTAGTAAATAGATTCGGGTCTGCTTCGTCCTGGTGCCTGTTAGCAACGATCTCCTGCCGCTCAGAGAGCCAGCTCCACGTACTATAATGTGTCCATTTATTCCAATAATAAAGTCGAACCACGGCTCTAATGGTAGATCTGGGTTCTTGTTCCGTAGCACCTGGAAGCCATATGCGTTGTCTCTGCTATGCGACTGCGTGGAGGACGTATCTGCATCGAGGCTGCTGATAAGGCGGTTCAGGGCTCCGAACATGGCGCTCGCGGTCGACAGCTGTATATCTTCTCGTATCTTCTTCTCTTCCGGCCTCCTGGCCTTTATCACTTTCTCTTCTTCTTGTCTCCTCGTCTTATTGTCTTCTTCTTGTTGTCCTTTGCTTCGTCAATTAGTTATGCAAGTTAACTGCAACTTCAACTTGGCCCAATCGAGATGCAAACAAAACAAACACAGCTTGCAGTAGCAATTTTGGCTTAACTTTAGCTGGCTACAATAGCGTCACTCTCGACATCAAAACCAAAAGAATTAAAAATGGAGAGGCGCAGAGAAGAATAACTTGGGGGCCTCGAGATAGATGATGCACTGCGGAAGAGCGTTCTAATCATGGCCGGGGAGGACGCGCAGTCCGTACACTATCACTACCGCACGAAGGCAGAGGTTCCATGGGATATACAAAAGTACGTCGATAAGGCTACTGAGCTAAAAGGCTTGATGACTGACCGGCAGCTCTAGCTACTGGGCCCAGAGATACAAGATCTTCTCCAAGTACGATGAAGGCGTCTGGCTGACGGACGATGCATGGTTTGGGGTGACCCCCGAGCCTGTGGCAAAGTGAGTCCTATTGCCTATTTTCCCAGTGAAGAGCTATCATTCTGACTGGATGTAAAGCAAGATAGCGCTGCATATGGCACAGGCAGCCCCGGAGACGAAGTGTATCCTGATAGATGCATTTGCTGGGGCAGGCGGAAATACCATAGCGTTTGCAAAGTCCAACCGGTGGAAGCGTGTCTACGCGATTGAGAAAGACCGGGAGACGCTGAAGTGTGCTAAGCACAATGCTGAACTGTACGGAGTGGCAGACAAGATCACATGGTTTGTTGGGGACTGCTTTGAGCTTCTTCAGAACCAGCTGAAGGATCTTGCCCCTTACAGTGTCATATTTGGTAGTCCGCCGTGGGGTGGTGAGTTGATGCTACAGCTATAACATAAGCAATAAACCAACAGATTAACTAACTGAAACCAGGGCCGGGATACAGGTCTGATGCAGTATTCAATCTATCAACCATGGAGCCGTACTCCCTGGAATTCCTCCATGCTGAGTTCTCCAAATTTACTCGAGACGTGGTGCTTTTCCTCCCGCGCACCTCAGATCTGAGACAGCTGGCCGCCACTACTGCACCAGGCAAAAAGTCACTCGTCATGCATTACTGCTCAGAGGGCGCCAGCAAGGCATTATGTATATACAACGGAGACTTCAAGCCTATTGATGAATGAAGGACGACTTTACTCAGTAACACAACATCTACACAAAACACACCCAACTGCTCGCCTCAATAGCCTGCCTCAACTAATTCTCAGTAACACTTCTATTGTATCAGATCTTCTATCATTCATGCAATAACTATATCTCCTTCGCTATTTATCAACAACACAGTCCTGTTCGCGCGTCAAGTAGATATCACGTGATAGCTCCAAAATGGAAATCTAAAGCTTCTTTTTCGATTTGATATCTCGCGCGCAACAAGCAAAGCAAAGCAAACCAACGAAGAAGAAGGAGAATAAATCTGCCAACGACGTGCGGTTGTTCCTCTGTTAGTCACCTGGAAGATATTCTCGCTTGATACGGGGGCGCATGCCCCTGTCATGACCAGCCGAATTGCTCGCATCCCCCCGAACGAGCCCAAGTTGAACGCTGCCTGAGCTACCAACTGTCTTTCCTACCTCGCCATGTCTGCTTCTCCCTCCGAATCTCCCGCCCCTGAGCCATCAGGCATGGACAGTCAGCATGCTGGCATCATGGGGGACCTTGCGGAAGATGACTTTGAGCCTGCGGAGGATGACGACGAGTTCGACAAGGTGGTGCAGCGCATGAACGAACCGAACGCCAACATGGACTTTTTGACCCGAGATCTTGAAATAGGAGAGAAGGCAGACGACGCGATAGACTACGAGGATTTCGACGACGACGAACTTCCAGACGAAGAAGTTGTTGCTCCGAGCGCAAGGCCGCCTACTGCTATACCCCAGGACGACGATCTGGGAGACCTCTTTGGCGGAGAAGAAGGCTTTCAAGGAGGCCAGGAAGGCGAAGGAGATGAGCTGGATGACCTGTTTGGAGATGTACCCTCATCCCCTGCGCAAAAACAGGCCGGTATTGGCCTCTCACTCCCAATTACGGACCATTCCATGGAGGCCGCATTTGGAGAGAGTGGCATATCGCAACGGTCCCTTGAAGTGCATGATGATATATTCGCTGAGGATATAGAGAATGAGAAGGAAGCGCCGCCCTCGCCTACTCTTGATATGGACCCTGCTACGCTCCGAGATTATCAGCTGCAGCAAGCCCTGTTTGCAATGTCCGCATATGGACCAGATAACCCCCCCGCACCACCGGAAAATAACGAAGAACTGCTTGCTTCCCTATGGCCCAAGTTTGATAAAGATGCCCTACCCCGTTTCATGGAGCTCATACCACCTAAAAAGGCGCGCTTCATCGGCAAAGCGCCTATTAAACCTCCTAAGCGGATCAATCCTACAAAGATCAACATCGAACTCGCTCCCGATCAAGAGCGTGCATTTCTGTTTACTGGACAGACCCAAAAGAAACCGGTCGAGTCGGATCAGTTCATTACTGTTATGACTCCGCCGTCTATGTCCGCCGAGTCAAGTGATGTGGAAGGCGGTGATGATTCTGATGAGGAACTTCCTGGAGGTATCACCATGGAAGACTTGCAGTTCATATGCGCTGACTGGGACGTAAAGAGTCCAACCCCAGAGAATGACACCGTTGCTACACCTGAGGTACCTCAAAATGATGAAGATGACTGGCTATTCGAAGTAGCTCAGCCAACGAAGAAGCGCAAACTAGGAAGAGATCCTGCAGATTACCTGTCATACTCGCATATTGATCTCCCCAATCTTGATGACCCAGCCGAAGCTACAGCGCTGCTTGCCAGAAAGATCCGGATTGATATGAATGATCCGCATCTGTTGTTGGATGATTATTCTAATAATGAACCCATCACGAAAATCAAATCCAGCAAGCTTCAGAGTACAAATGAAATATCCAGCGGTTTGACCAAGCGTCTCATGCAACGGTACAATATCTCAAATGATGCTGCATACGACATGTTGAAGGAAAATCACCAGAACAAGGTACGAAGCACTCTTGGCAACATAGCCTTAGAGCACAGCTTGCCTGCAATCCGACTCCAGTGGCCATACTACAAGACAAAACTTGCGAGACCCGAGGCTCGATCATTCCATCGTCCATCACTAACCTTCCATCCAAACCTCCCACTCACCTTCAAAGTCCCGGCATATCTCAAGCGGAAACATCAAAAAGGAAAGGATGCGAAGACCTTGTTCGACACCACAAAATCTCTGTCCTTGGCGGATAACTCCAATGCTTTGTTGATAGAGCATTCAGAAGAGTATCCAACCATGTTATCTAACTTCGGTATGGGAAGCCGCTTGATCAATTACTACCGCAAGAAAAATGCGGAGGACCCGTCCCGGCCAAAGACAGAGATCGGTGAGACAGCAGTTTTGCTTCCTCAAGACAAAAGTCCGTTTTCCAGCTTTGGTCATGTCGACCCGGGAGAGACCACACCAACTATTACTACGGGACTTTATCGTGCTCCCGTTTTCCGCCAGGAGGTCAAAAGCACTGACTTCCTTATTGTACGGAACAGCACTGGCGTGGAAGGCTCCAGCTACTTCATACGAAATATCGATCATTTGTATGTGGCAGGCCAACAATTCCCATCTATCGATGTACCAGGGCCTCATTCCAGAAAAGTCACGACTGCTGCAAAGAATCGCCTGAAAATGATTTGCTATCGTCGAATTAAACGGAATGGAAATAATAGGGTCAGTGTGGCCGAGGTCACCGAACATTTTCCCGATTCAACAGACATGCAAAACAGGCAAAAGATGAAGGAATTTCTCCAGTTCAACAAAGATCATAAAGAGTGGGAAATGAAGAGCGGGGAATCGGTACCCAGTGAGGATGTCATGCGCGGATATGTAAAGCCTGAAGACGTCTGCCTTCTTGAGGCCATGCAAGTTGGTCAGCAGCAGCTTCATGACGCTGGATATGACCGTGAATCAGATAACGGTGATGACTACGAGGGCAAGGAAGGAGAAAGTTTGGAACAGCAGCTCGCTCCTTGGAAAACCACCAGGAGCTTCCTTCTAGCCTCTCAAGGAAAAGCCATGTTACAACTTCACGGAGAGGGAGATCCAACTGGCCGTGGAGAAGGCTTCAGTTTCATCAAGACATCCATGAAGGGAGGCTTCAGAGCTGTTGGCGAGAGTGTGGAGGACAAAATCGATGCTCAACGACAAAAGGAGCTTGGAGGGCACAGTTATAATGTTGCCCGACAACAAAAGTCCTACGAAGAAGCTATTCGTCGAATTTGGGAAAGCCAAAAGTCTAGCTTATCCTCAACTGTCCACCACTCGGATGAAGAGAGTGATGTGGACATGGGAGAAGCTGATGAACTGTTCGGAAAGCCAACACCGAGATCTGATCGCCCTACTCCATCCTTTAGCCGTCGGGATGATGAGACAACCAGTCAGTTCAGTCGATTCAGCACCTCAAGCCAGTCGGGTAAGGTTATGGTAATCTCCCGTCAGCTACGCAACAACAAAGGCCAAATTGAGACTGTCAAGGAAGTTATACGAGATGCCAGAGTAATTAAACAGTATCAGAAACAGCGCCATGAAGCAGACCTTGCAAATATGACGTATGTTCTCTTTACTCTTGCTTTTGTACGAATTATCACTAACCATGGTTCTTCTGTAGGCTTGTTGATATTCAACCTACTGGTAACCCCGAAGTTGACGCTCGAAACATGAAGCAGTATGTATACACCGCTCTATCCTCAACTTGTATATCTTAATGTATATCTAACCAGCTTTTCTCGTACAGCATCGAAGATGAGCTTCGCCGTCTTCAACGCAATAAGGAGCGACGTCACGCTCGAGAAAAGCAAAAAAGCGTCATGGCAGAAAGCAATCGGGAAATGTCGCCAAATACAGCCGCTGGTTCCCCCGCTGCTAGTGGTTCAGGCGGCCCCAAGACTGGAGGCACACAGAGGAAGTGTGCTAATTGTGGCCAGGTCGGCCATATCAAGACCAACAAAAAGTGTGTTGCTCGTTCTTCATAAAATACTCAACAATCAGCACTTATGCACCCGCACACCCGATTCACTTGTCCACCAATACCACAGCCACCAGTTTCTTATCATCACCAACGTTCAATATTCCTTTTCTTCCCATATTCATCTTCATCCAACAGAAGCACCGGGACATTCTTCCTCTCACTTGCCCACAGCCGGCCACTTGATCAGCACAATTTGCTAACCAAATTCCTCAGATTATGTCCGCTTCTCAATGGGTCAATGAGGCCGGAGGACGCTTCCAATTTGCCAGCATTTGCTCTAGGTGTATCCCCTGTGTAGGGTTGTCAGTCCTCTGGCTCCTACCATATTCTCTAAACCCGAATTTTCGCGACAACTACGTGGTTACGGCGCATCGGTTTGCTTGTTTACGGAATACAAGAAGGTTAAGTGATATGTTAAATGCAACGCATGTTGGGTTAAGGAGTTTGATTTTTGCATTCAGCTTTTAGGCATACATCTTAATACAGTCTTCGAGTCAATTCGCACCAGAATTATTAATGATTAAAATGCCCCTGAGGTCATGTACTTCTCGTCGTTGTGTTTTAGATGGGGATTTCAATTTAATACTCTGGTCCACTAGAGTTCGTTATTGTTTCTTCTTCCCTGTACTGTTCACACCTAAGCTAGTAAAGAGAAAGTCAAATAGAGTGAGCAAATAGGAGGAATAAGGCTGATTCGTTATTAGCGATTGGACTGATTCTAATAATGATACAGTGACCGTCTAGGGTGTTAAGCATAACCACAACCAAACACAAATACCTCGAGAGTCCTTCAACGAACGTTACCGAACAAGGCAGTCAAGTTTCAGCTCTCCGTTTATATCAGGAAGACCAAGGTATGGGGTATATTGTTGGCATATCATTGGCCAAAACCAGCATTGTGGGCCGGCCACTGTTCCCCTCTCACTGGTCAAAAACGCTAAGGACATCTCTTGGACGTTGATATGAGTACCCCAAAAACGCCTCCCGTTTTCGAATATTCAATGCAATCTTCCCCATACTTTCATCGCGCAGAATCTTATCACGGGCTTTGCGCCTGCCCTTTTTCTTCGCGGCTTTCTTAACATTAGATGTGTTCTCTACGGCATTGGGGCTCTGTTGATTCTGCTTTGTGTTGGGTGCTGCATTATCATTGCCAACTTCGGCATTGTCTGGAAGGATCTCTTCCGTTGTGCCATCATTTCTGTCCGCAACTGTAAGATTGAAATACTTGGTATCTTCCCAGTTCCGCACCTTGGGTATGAATGGAGGCCGCGAGTACTGTATAGCCTCCCATTCGATATTCTTAAAAAAAGCGTGGTCTTTGATGTCAGTAGCATCATCTGGGTACACGTAATGGCCCTGATAATTCTTGTTCGCCCTGTCAGAGGACTTATAATCATTCAATAAATACTTCTGAGAAGACAGCCGTCTATCTTTTTCTTGAAGTATTTGTTCGATTAGATTAATGGCAGCATCGGAAACCAATCGGTCAGAGGGGCGTTCTTCGGGAAATGACAAATATTCCTCGTGGTGCTAAATCTTGCCTGTCAGTCCACAGCCCACCAGGTTTATACATGGAACTGCATTGATGGAACCGTACCGTGATCCTATGCTTGGTATTTTCTCTGCAATCGGCTGCGAATGGCGTATAACCAAATAGACACTACAAACCATCGCTTAGCATCAAACATGACAGAAAGGGAAATTGGTTAATATGAAAGCCCAAGGGTAGGATATACCTCAAACAGAATTATGCCAACGCTCCACCAGTCGCATCTACCATCGTATGGTTCCCCATTTACAACTTCTGGAGCCATATACTGACTGGTGCCTACCATACTGACCGCCAACCTCCTTCGCTCTCGGCGATTTCGCCATCGAAGAATATCTTCGCCTGGACAAGGTTGCTTCCTATCCCCCTTATCCACAAGTTCAGCGTTTTTCCCGTCAGGGGAGTTTGCAATCTTATATGCTTTTTTGGTTTCTTTAACGGGATTCTTCTTGTCCTCACTGTCTCCTTCAACCTTGATGCCCAGTTTCTTGAGCAATGACTGTCGATGATTATTGAAGTATGACTCGTTGTGAGACCAATGTCCATCAAACGCGAGCCCAAAGTCAGAGATCTTCAGGTGGCCAGACGCTGAGATCAGAAAATTGTCTGGTTTGACATCTCGGTGGATCCAACGAAGTCGGTGGGCTTCCTCAATGCAAAGAATCATTTCAGCAACGTACCATTTGGAGATTTCCTCAGATAAAATATGCTTTCTCATGAGTAAAGAAAGAAAATCACCACCAACCATGTAGTCCATGATTAGGTAGAGGTTGTGTTTATCCTGGAAGCTCGAGATGAGTGGTACAATCCAGCGAGATTTATTAGAAGCAACTAAGAAGTCTCTTTCTGCTCGCAGGTGGCCTTCTTGACAATTTAGGAGCATTTCTGACTTGCGGATAACTTTCATCGCGAAAACATTCTTTTTAGGTTTTCCGGGGTCCTTTCGATGAAATGATCGTGGTACCTTCGGGGTTAACGGTTCAGGTTCAATGCCGGTATTCTTTTCTTTAACTAAGCGAACAACACCAAAGCTGCCTCTTCCTAATACCTTGATTACTTCATATTCTGACACCAAGGGGCTCTTTTTACCATCTCTTCGGTTCGAATGTGTTTTGATAACGCGATCTCTTCGAAGGTGATTGGATTCCTGACGATACCAAGCATACCGGGCTTCTTGTCGTTCCTCCTCTGAAAGGGGCAACGAGTATATAGCTTGCTCTAGTTCACGTTGACGGCGTAGCCTGGGAGGCTCCTTGGAAAATAAAGAATCAAAGTATGTTTCAAGAAAAATCTTTGCAGCGGCAGCTGCTTCCACGGTAGCAATGGACGGTTTGATAAGGGGCGGCTGGATGTCTCCAAATGAGGGTTGTGGAGATTCCGACGATGCACTGTTTGGCGGAAGAGCACCTTTTTCTTTGCTAGCCAAACTTGCCGATGTCCTTTTTGGTTGAGAGACAGGGCTGCCTTCAGAGGTAGGATTGGTAGATTGGCTTTTGTGAGAAGTCCCACTCCCACTGAGATGGGAAGCAGAGGAGTCCGAGTCATCCTGAGTGTTATCGCCCAGCTTCTGAAGTGGGGATGGCGCGGACGGCCGTGCACCAGTCGAAAAGCTACCTATAGCTGGCCGCAGCCGCAGATTTGCACGACGAACTACAGTTGGGGGACCGAATGACATTGAGAATTTATCTGAAATTCTCTTCGTTAAACCTATCCCGGAATGAAGACGCTGCTGGCTAGAGACTAGAGCTTTGGCGGTCCTAGGGGTCGTCTGTTCCGTGGGGGCGTCGTTAACACCGGGCTCCTTTTTACCAGGGTATTGACTTTGATAGGCCGTTCTCTCCCTCTTCTGATGCAGAGTACTCAAGTCTGCAGATTTATTGTTGCCTTGGTTATTTCGCTCAGGACTGGAAGGCGTTTTTCCGTTCGTAAGAATTTGGCTCGTACCCTCGTCTTCTCTACTTGACTGGTAAATCTTTTTTGGTATATTCTGGGAGGTTATGCTACCTAGGTATTGGATCAATCAGTATGGGATACTTCTCGAGTGTTCTAAATGTAACTAACCTGCACTCTTGTTCGTCTTGAATAATGAAAGAAGTCTTGATCCTTTTTGCTTAATAAAGCCACGGACTGACTTTGTATTTTTGGTACTGCCAACTCCTTCGGTCTGTGAAGAGAACTCTGGTGACGGTGGATTGTTAACATCAATTGGAACCACTGCCTTGGAAGGGTTTCCGAGTGAAGAGATACTCTCGGGGCTATTCATGATATCGTCATGGGGCTGGCAGGTATATAAATACACCTAGAGAGAATAAATGGAGCTAGAAAGTCCGATGGCTAGCAGAAGCCATCTGGTGCTTCCGGTGAAATAGGTGAGGTAAAGAGTAAAAAGAAGGGTATAATAAACGCAGCAAAGATTACTATGTAATGATGTGATCGTCGCATAAGTAATTGCGGAATAAACGATAGTAGCATCTCCCATTCGTAACTTGCATGGAGACAGGGCGAGAGCACTTCGACTGCTCTGCAATACAAGTTTGATCGGAAGGGAATAGACGCTGCGGCTCTGTGGTATTGTGGATGAAGAAAGCTCAAGCTGCTTGGGCGGAAAGGGCGAAAAGGAGACAGAACTCGAGAGAAACCCCGACTGTGGCCACAGACCACTAAATACCGCGACATCATCGCTGGAAACAGAGCTAATCATTCGCTAACGGCTGAGAACAAGATTCTGTAGTTGTTCGCTATTCTTCTCGAGGTATTTAACGGAGTCGATGACTGGGGGCAGTTAAGAGTCGATGATGTTGACTTATGCTTAAAAAAAACCTTATTTGACGGGGACACGGGCCACACCGTGGCCTTGCTGGCAAAGGATAGACAGGGATGGCTCGAGCGTGTCAACCATTGACGTATGGGCAAAACAAGGTGAATTATACGATGAGTGTTATTCTATAGGAAAGAGGTCTTAATCGATAATACACGTGCAGATATAAAACGCCAGTCTTTTTGGGGGTCGTCCGACAACAACTCGAACAAATTAGCACGAAGCAAAAGCCAACAAAGGATAAGAAACACGATGTGAATATAAACCAACAGAAGCCTTGAAAATATTTTTTTGTTGGTTGTGTTTTTCTTGTTTAACATCAGTTGAGAAACGTAATGGGTATGGAACAGGCCTCGTAGGCTCCATTAACTGGGGTTAAAATGGATGGGTATTTATTTGATGCTCAGGAGCTTAACGTCGAAGATGAGTTTGGAATTAGCGGGAATTCCAGGAAGAGATTTCTTTCCATAGGCAAGATGAGCTGGGATAGTGAGTCTTCGCTCACCGCCCACAGCCATGCCGGGAATACCAATGTCCCAGCCCTTGATTACTTCACCCGTTCCAACCTTGCAAGTGAAAGGCTTTCCGGATTTATTAGCTAGATCGTGAGTTAGCAACTGCAGAACATAGATAGAACAGAGGATAGAGCTGGGTACTTACAGTCGAAAACTTTGCCATTCTCTAGCTTTCCGATGTATCTCATGCCAATTCGATCACCCTTCTTAACCTGCTTGCCTGTTCCAAGCTTCTTGTCGTCAACAGTAACCCCTTGTACTTGCTTCACTCCAAGAGTGCCAGTCTGGGTTGTCTTGGATGGAGTAGGGCCTTGTTCCAGGTCCTTCGCGAACTGGACTTTCTTGTCAGACTTGGTGTTGGCCTTAGCAGCCTCTGCCTCAGCAGCTTCGCCATTGTTCTTCTTTAGTTTCTTCATTTGTTTCTTGCTCGACTTAGTCTCGCCATTTGTCGCAGGCTCGTCCTTCAAGGTCTTGGAGATCATGTCATCCAAGTTTGGCTCCTCATCTGAATCATCTGCGGGGCGCTTCTTGCCCTTCTTCTCCTTCTTGGATTGCTTAGCCTGAGTCTGAGCCTTGACCTCCTCCTCCTCATCGGTGTCGATCTCCATAACTCTTGGATTGGCCATGTCATCTAGCTCGTCACTCTCATCATCATCACCCACGAGGGCAGCTAGCTCATCTTCATCGGGTGAGAGGTCGTAGTCATCCTCATCATCCTCATCATTGTCCTCGTCTTCACTGTCATACATGTTTTCGAGGGGAGTCACATAGTTTCCAGTGACGTAGACAGTGTGAGTCCCAGTGACCTTGAAGAAGACACGCTCACCTTCACCTACAACAAAGTCCAAAGTCTGCTGGCAGTTCTGTACGGATTGTCAGCATTTCCTTATCCAAAACGGTTTTGCGAATAGAGTGAACATACACGCTCTGGGTCAAGTGTGCAGACGACAACTTCGTCGAGTTCCAAATCCTCGTCGCTGTCACTATCATCTTCATCTTCCATGGCCTTTCCCTTGCCCTTAACTAGTTTAGAAATGGCAGCAGCGAGGTCAGTCTCCCCCTCCTCGTCATCATCATCGTCTTCATCCATGCCGTCATCCATATCCTTCAAGGCAGCTTCAAGCATGGCCTTCTTCTTTCTGGCCGGGTCACTCGGGCCGCCATTGGTCTCATCGTCGGACTCATCATCCTCCTCATCTTCGTCATCCTCCTCGTCGTCATCGTCGTCATCATAATCAAGACCAGGAGGAGGGCGGATGATCTTCAGCGTAGCTCGGGGGGGCTTGCTGGCCTGGGCCTCATCCTCGTACTCCGGCACCGCGTCGGGATCAATTGCGGCCATGGTCACACGGAACTATATCATATTTTAGTCAATTGAATCGCCTCTTCATGAGCAGGATACTTATCAGGGAATTCATCTACATACCATGGCGGCGGCATCAGGGACAGCAGGCACAAGGGCGCCTGGAGGCACCTTGGCCGCATAGAGAGCAACTGGCTGAGTTCCTGACATAATTATCTTGGGTAAACGAGAGAATTCCGTGAAGTGCAAAACTGGAAAAAATGAATAGACAACGGCTCAGCTCGCTCTATTAATGACGAGGAGAAAATCTCAGTCAAATAGAGAATTTTCTCTAAAGCTCCAACTCGTTTCCACATAGCAACGAAAAGAAAGGAAAAAAAGTAAATAATTTTTTTTAACATGATAACGCTAGACTAATAGTGGCTAGCGTTAATATGACTAATAAGCATTATATAATTTATCATGTGACCCTTGGATTTGGCGTGTTTTTTCGTGTCCAAAAAGTCATTAAAGAGACAAAACGGTAGCAGCACCACGATGATAACTGTATCAAGGAGAGATCAGGCATGATGACAGCTTGATCTGGGAGTTTGGGGCTGATTACATGGTATAGCTTCGTTTTGAACATGATTTTCTCCTGCTTGATGCCACAGTATGGGCTCTAGACTTGAGTCAGGCTCCAACGCCACGCGTAAGAGGATTGAGAACCGTGAGTACAAATGTTGCAACATACTTCAATAGTACATGGCTAACGGACTTAGATGAATTTGTGGGAGAGGATGGCGAGGAGTATGGAGCATCTGGCTTTGGAGGCTTTGGAGATTACTTTCGTCGGAAGAAAATCAAGCTTCAAAATCTAGATTCTGAAATACGCTCTGCATCTCCAAACAACCCACCCATATTCAAGGGCGTTGTAGCACACGTGAATGGCTACACACAGCCATCACTGAATGACCTTCACCGTATGATTGTGAGCCATGGCGGGGGTTTCCTTCAGTATCTCGATGGGAAAACAGCGGCGACTCACATTATTACCAGCGCATTAACTCCTAAGAAGAGAGAGGAGTTCCGCCGATACCGTGTTGTGAAACCGGCATGGATTGTTGACAGTATTAAAGCTGGCCGTATGTTGCCCTGGGAAACATATCGTCTGTTAGGCGAAGGTACTGCACAAAAGGTTCTGAAATTTGATGCCAATGGCATATCTACCCAAAATAATACCCAATCCCAGAGTTACAAGGCTCAAACAGATGCATGCTGGTATACTTCGCAGTTAAACAAGGAGGTCGTCCCCATTGACTCCCAGAGTATAGCCAAATGCCCCTCAGCTGACACTACGGAAGACCCGCCTTTGGAAGATGAGCCAGCAACCGATGTTCAAGCAACGGATCAGGCGAATGGTGTTTCTATGGCTTCAGCAACCCCTGAAGAGTTTGGTGCATTGGGATCGGATGACCTTTTGTCACCAGGTCATCCTGAACGGCCTAGTTTGGAGCAGGTGCATACAAGCCCGAAAGCTGATGGAAGGAAGCCGTTAACTTCAGAGGAGCACAATGCCTTGCTGCTTTCGAAGGCACATATCCGGCAATCCAGCGTAATCAATCCTGATTTCATCCAGCAGTACTATCGTGAATCACGTCTTCACCACCTGTCTACCTGGAAGGCGGAGCTGAAAGCACAGCTGCAAACCCTCGCCCAAGAACGCGGTACAGCAAAGCTTTCTCCTATCAAACGGCTTCCTGGAACAAGGCGGTATATTCTTCATGTTGATTTTGATAGTTTTTTCGCAGCAGTTTCTTTGCAAAAACACCCTGAACTTGCCGATTCTCCCATTGCCGTTGCACATGGAACTGGTCCGGGCTCCGAAATAGCTAGCTGCAATTACCCAGCACGCAAATTTGGTGTCAAAAATGGAATGTGGATGAAAGGAGCCCTAGAGCGCTGCCCAGAACTCAAAGTGTTGCCATATGACTTTCCAGCATACGAGGATGCTAGCAGGAAGTTCTATGAGGCAATTCTTGATATCGATGGCATTGTTCAAAGTGTCAGCATTGATGAAGCACTCGTTGACATTTCCTCTTTATGTATACAGGCTGGTGGTTCTGATGGAAGAGCAATATCAGAGAGCTCAATATATCGAGAACAGGAAAAAGCTGATACCATAGCAGAAAAATTGCGAGATTCCATCAAGCAGAAAACTGGTTGTCATGTATCTGTTGGTATTGGTCAGAACATCCTACAGGCAAGGTTGGCATTAAAAAAAGCAAAACCCGCCGGCCAGTTTCAGCTAAAACCCGAAAATATGCTTGATTTCATCGGTGAATTCTCTGTCACTGATCTACCTGGTGTGGCGCATAGTCTGGGAACAAAGCTTGAAGAGCTCAGTGTCAAATATGTTAAAGATATCCGCCAGCTTAGCCGAGAGAAGCTGACTGGGCATCTTGGTCCAAAAACTGGAGCAAAACTATGGGAATACGCACGGGGAATCGACAACACTGTCGTTGGAGAGCAAGTAATACGAAAGTCCGTTTCAGCGGAAATAAACTGGGGTATTCGGTTTACTAACCAGGCACAGGCGGATGAATTTGTGCGGAGCCTGAGTGAGGAACTACATCGTCGACTTTTGGAGAACGGGGTCAAAGGTAGACAGCTGACGATGAGGATAATGCGAAGGGCTGCGGATTCACCCGTTGATCCTCCCAAACATCTCGGCCACGGCAAATGTGACACCTTTAACAAGAGTATTATCCTACATACTCCAACTAATGCAAGTGATATAATTGGCAAGGAGGCAGTTTCCGTTCTTCGCAGTTTTAACTTCTCACCTGGGGACCTGAGAGGGTTGGGAGTTCAAATGACGAAGCTCACGCCCATTAAATCTACTGCTAGTGGTGAACACACGAGCAGTCAGCAGCAACTCCAGTTTAAGGCGGCTACTCCTGGTCCAAAAAGCATAATTTCTCAAGACCCTGATGAAATAATGAGTCCTAAGAAAGGAGAGAATGCGAGCCCACATATATCCGCATCATTGGCGATTGGATCTTCGCTACATGATGCATCTCAGAAACTCCTGAATACACGAGGTACGCAGTTTATTTTACCAACACAATCGGATCCTTCGACCATTGCGGAACTACCAAGTGATGTCCGCTCTAAATTGGCTCCAAAGGAGAGGCCGAGTATCAGTGAACAGCTAAAAGCTGCAGCTTCTGCCAAACGTCCAATGCAGACACTGTTTGCGTCAACAGCCCTTCCGCCTGAATCACAGCTTGATCAGGATACGTTGAACGCATTACCTGAAGATGTAAGAGCTGAAGTACTAGGCTACTATAAGCAAAATGCCAATACACCAACAATTGCTTCTCCAAGCCCAAGCCCTTTACCAAAATCCCCGCGTCAGAGGAAACCTACGACGCCAACAAAACCAAAATCTAGCCGTGGAAGAGGGCGACCAAGAGCTGCAACAAGATCAGCAACCGGGCCTACTCTTACTCAGTCCAACTTCATAATCCCTCAAGTCTCCTTGTCCACGCATGAATGTACAAACTCTGCAGATAATTCTCCTACACGGGCATCCGCGGATCCCGACAGAGATATCTCAGAGGAATTCCTTGCCGCTTTGCCGGAAGATATACGTCAAGAAGTTCTAGAAGAACACAGACAGGCTCGAATCCAAGAGCAAGGAGGCCTAAACCTTGCCGCAGTGCATGAGAAGAATTCACGGATAAAGCAGCATAGAACCAACAACTCTTCTGTCCCTGTAGAGCCCGAGCAGAAACTCCTCCGGTTTGATCCGCGTCCTGCGAAACCCACGTTCACATCAAAAAGGCTATCTTCTCTATCAGAGATTCGCGAGGCCTTGAGCGAGTGGTATTCATCATTTGAAAACGAAGCACCGTATGAAGAAGACGTAGAGGCGCTCACCAAGTACTTGAGGCGAGTTGTCTTGGAGGAAAAGGATATTTCCAAAGCCACCGACCTGGCACGATGGCTAGGCTGGCTCGTAAACGATTTCAACAGTAGCTGCCATGGTAGCACGGGAGACACGGGCCCTTCAAGCGAATCCAGCCCATCACTCTCTGGTTGGAAGAATGCAGTTATCAAAGTGCAGAACTGTGTGAGCAATGCTGTTGTGGAAAGGGGCTTGCCTCCTGTTGATTTTGCGTGAAGCTCGTGTCACCATCTGATCCATATTTGTATAGATAACTAGTCCACGATACCTTTTTGGCTTATCTGCATGCATGAATATGCAATTGAGAGTAATATTAATAATACCAAACATGAGATTATATAGGTTTATCGAATGTGATATTTCAGCCTGCTGCTGCGCTGCCGTGACTCACCCCGCTTGTGGAAGTACGAAGTTGCAGTTGCGCCCTTCCATGTATTGGCAACTTGACACGATCCAACACCGAGGATCACAATATATAAAGACAGGCTGCAGGGAGGCGCCAAATATTTGAGAAGCATATTTGGGAACAGGTAACTAAGCATATTCCTTGCAACTGGACCTCTGTGTCTATTTTGTTCTCTGTCCCGAGATTATAACGGTCAGTCCAACTGGCGCAGGCACACCCTTGGTACGAAAGACGGGTGATATTCCAAAAGCAGTCAACCTTTGCTGAGTTAGGAGCCCGATGGAAATACGAAGTACGATGGCGGGCAATTCTACAGGTATATATCCTTTGCCTGCGGGACAAGTACAACCCAGGGATGACAATAGGCATGGGTTTTATTGTGTACATGGCTGGATGCTAACATCGTAGTAGAACCCAAGCACTACGCCATTCTTCTCTTTGAAGGCTTCCAGGCTCTCGACGTCTTCGGTCCTCTTGATGCTCTTAATATTACTTCTCTCGACAACGGCATCAAACTTTCTATCATTGCGCCAACATTGAACCCGGTGAGCACGAAGCCGCCTCCACTTCCCATAGTCAACCTAAAGCCAGGATGGGGCTTCTCTGAAAGCGTGGTTCCTACACACAGCTACGATGATCTGCCCACAGACATTGATGTTCTCATCGTTCCGGGTGGCCTGGGTACCAGTCACTGCGCCAACATTGAGCCAACCGTCAAGCTTGCTCGTAAGCTATACCCGGAAGTTAAATATTTGTTTAGTATCTGTACGGGCTCAAAAGTTCTAGCTGAAGCTGGTCTTCTGGATGGAAAGAAAGCGACAACCAACAAGAGGAGGTATGAGGAGACGACAAGGCCGTACCCTCAGGTTCAGTGGCAGAGGAGCGCCCGATGGGTGATTGATGGAAATATATGGACATCCTCCGGTATCAGTGCGGGTACTGATGCTATGCTTGCCTTTATCGGGATGGTTTATGGCCGGGAATATGCACAGGCAATAGCAAAGCGGATGGAATACCGTTGGGTAGAGGATCCTACAGATGACCCCTTTGCTGCCCCAGAACCGAGCTCCACCAGAGGACCGGAGTCTGCGTATGCAAGTCCCACGTCACACGTCGACTTGGGAAGTGAGGGGAAATAAGGTCCTCATTTTAGGCGATATTGTAGGAAGCTGTGGCGCATCTCAACATGTCTGTCACAGAGGCTGGTGGTCAATAGGTGGTTGGACGCATATCCATACCCTTGTCACCTCCTGCACCCGGGATGTTAGTATGCCGTCATAGCTTCGTCGTTTAATTTCAGCTCAGTGTACAAAAAAATAAACATCAACCAATTGGTGAGATTCCAGAGAGAGGAAACCCCTTGTGTTTACATATGCATCAGCAGGCAAAATCGAAACTGACATCCACACATGTATCCATTGGTGGAAGCTTAACGATCATTAATACCTCTGTCGTCTAGACCCCATCAACACTTCGAGATAGTATGCCGTACACATAATTCCTCAAGAATGTTTACAACGAATGTCTTCAGCGAACTGATTTGGCTCTTGGATCATAGGTTAACTTTTATGATATTGAGGCTGAGGTATTTGCTTATCTAAGGCGAATGGTATATCTTGGCGCTGATATAAGCTAACTGATGTCCGCTAAAATGGCAGTAAAATGGCAGGTGACCAGAGGGCGGCTAAAGACGGATAACTTTCTGAGCGGGGCTTGCCGGCGCTAGATCGTAACAGGAAAACAGATGGCAAGCGGCTATAAGCGGCTAGGGCTTAGGGCTAGGGCATTTTGCAGGGCGCGGATGTTTGGTTACGGGCTGCAAGGGCCTGATCAGAGAAGTAGGTAGTTGGCGATGCCCCAGCGCGAAAGGATATTCTGGACGGAGTCAAGATAAGATTACCAACTTGAGAGATAAACCTCCGATATTATTCTAGCAGACTTGGCGTAGTAATGATCACACCTATACTTTTTGATGGAACTCGAACACAATAAACGGATACATTGTATATCTGTCTCTGCTATTTACTACATCATATATGTTGGCTAATGCTCACATAGTGAGAATGTGTCTTGATGGAATGATTCCTCTTGACCAGAATAAACAGCTTTCCTTTCTTCCATTAGCTCCAGGCGCAGCTCCTTCGCCTCTTCCATAGTGATTGGAAAGTCATCCAAATAAGATGTGACTTCGTCGAATAATTCTCTGGGAAGTTTACCTGCGATGCCATGCAATGGCATCAGCCTATCCCACCAATCTGCTCTTTGTGCGGGTACATTTGCCGTAGAGATGATGCGAGTGTTTGGGTCAACAAGAAACAACGCGAGAATTTTTCGGTGACCTGGTTGGGTAGGATCATCCAGTTCGAAAGGATGTACACGATGCTGCAGCGAGTTTGGGAATGTGACAAGGCGCCCTTCTTTGCATAAAACGCTGCCGATTTCTTGGACAGTAGACTCCTGATCCTCGAATCCAAACACTTCGTTCAGCCAAGAACGATGATCTTGCTCGTAGAAAACATCATCGGCATCGTAAAAGCTAACCATTTGGCGAAACCCAAGGCGGCTCTCAGTTATGTTAGAACTGTCGTAGTAGAACAGTGCTGAAGCACAGATGTGTTCGTTCTGCAAAGTGGGGTTATTATATTTTCCCAAGAAATAAGTGAAGGTTATATATAGCGAAATACATACCAATTGGCCCTCAACATGCCATGAACCTCCATCGTATTTATTGTCTTCGGGAGTAAGATGAATATTCGCGAGTTTCACAATGACTTGTATCCCAGTCTTTCCGTAATCTCTCTGAAGGTTGACAGTTTTCCGTTCATCTAAAGGCTTTTTTTCATCATCGGAGCAATTTACCTTCTCCTCTGGGACGAATTTCCCCGGCTCGGGTTGCGCTACCTTGCGAATTTCCCATCCCCACTCTTCAATACGTTGCTCATAATCTTCCTCATTTTCATCTGGAAGCCTTTGAGGCCAATCCTTTTCTGGTATGTTATCCGGATCTGGGTCATAGATACATTCGGTATAGTTAATCCTCTTATAATCAAGCCGAGTTTTACCAACAGATAATGTCTCATTCCACAGAGGGATTGTGCGGGCAATGACCTGTTCAAGAACTCCGTACAATTCCTTGTGCTCGTCAGGATGCAGGTTATTGATATAACTGGTGATGGTGCATTCGCTTGAAGGATTCTGTGCATGGGAATCCTTCCCAGGACGGTTTGTCGATCCAAATGCTACGTCGCAAGGAAGCCATTGAAACTTGTCGCTGAAGGGGTGCTTCATTCTTTGCGAAATATGCGGAGGTCCGAGTCCATCACTTGGAACTTCAGTTTCTGACTTATTTGGAATAGGAATTACTTCACCAGTGCCAGATTTGGCGATACCATCCTGAATGTTCAGAATACCATCTTTAACGATGCGGGTCCGACCATAAACCAAGGGGAAGAGCGAAGGATGGACAAGGTCAAGAACCTGATTTTTGCTGTGGGGATGATAGTCCTTTTGCGCTTCAGGTACTTGCTCAAGACGAGCAACTGCAGCTTTCAGTGACTCTTTGAGTGAAGTGGGAATAAGAGAGTCGGATTTGAAAACACCAGAGGTAAGAGCAGAGATAATAGCATCAGTTTTGAACGCTTCAGATTTATACTGAAGTTCAGCGATGATCCAGTCAACCATTTTTTCTGTTATATCCAAGGTATCATTTTCTAGTAGCTCTCGTCTCCATTTGGCGGTGATAGTTTGGTCAAAAACCTAAGCATTACCAAACAAATTGGATGTTATTACAATGATTTATCAGAGGTAAGAACTAAGCCTTTACCTTGTCTTCCCACCCAGGCTTGTCAGTGATATCATTCATGGCATAAATCATCGCATGCTCTCTCAAAGTAATCATAGGCATGCTATTCCGTATACATAAAAGGAAAAATTAGCTATTATTCATCATCAAAGCGAGCTGGGCAACAGGAACTCTCACGATATACTGCCATAATCGATGTCACTTTGATCTAGAGCGTTAGGGAATGATCGGTTTCTGAAATCCTTGGATCCATCATATTCCGTATTGGTTATGAACCCATCCCCTGGTTACGCTCTCCATGCCCTAAATCCATTCAAAGGGATGCCATAACCCGGGAGCTTTATGGCAGGGGTCATTGTTGAGTAAAGAACCCTAGAACTAGCCTGTAATTCCTTAACAAAATATGAATAAGGTCGCAAAGCCATCGAGTATTCTGGTGCACTGGGACGATCCGGAAGGCCAGAAGAAAAGCGGAAGACTTTGCATCCCCATCATCTATTTATCTCCCTTCTCAGACATGGGTTAGCCGCTTCATGGGTTGACGGGCCATCTAGGCAGCAATCCAACAATAACCAATCCAGCTTCCAGGACGGCACATGCATAGTTAGTCACATATTGATACCAATCTATCACACCAACAACAAGCACTAGCTCGTCATTTGTCTCATCTTGAGCCCGCTTTTGTGGTATGCTCAGTCGGCGAAAGTCGACGTTGGAAGTCCGACGAAGAAAGGGGCTGGCCTGCTTAGCTAAGTCAGTAACGATGTTGCTGACTTACTTATTACATAATCACATAATTGACCTCGGCTTAGCGGGCTCTTGTTACATAAGCCGCTTACCGGCTATTTCCCAAAGCAGAAAAAGCAAAAAAGAACATCGAGCAAAGAAACATCCCCGGCAAGCAAATTCCGGGCTCAAGGAACAGCCACAAATCACAAATCACTCAGTCATTCATTCACAATTCATTATTTGGGACGCAGACAGCGAAGCACAGAGCGAAATAATAGGAGGAGAGAAATACCGCAGAGACAGAGGCCAGAGACAAGTAGAACCTTCCTCGTATTTGATGTCTCCCCATACCGCATGCAGTCAGCGGATAGAGAGTGCTAACGGATTGCTCCCAAACTTCATAAAAGACGGTAGCTCTACGGAGTAAGGCTTGGTCTCTATTTATATTACACCAGCCGTCGGTATCCGCTCGCCCGCGCGCGCATATTTTATCAGATTACTTTATTATTGGGCTGAGCGTTGGACGCTGTCATCCTTCCAAGGTTGCGCCTCGTGGTGAGGAGGTGAGTGGAGGGCGCAGGAGACAGGCAAGGGAGCATTAAATATAAGACGCCAGCCGCCACAGCAGGGGCGGGACTGATCCCGGAGTCCTTTTTGACTTTCTGACGTTGAAAAAGGGCAAAAAAGCAACGACGCAGAAGAAGAAAAGAAAGGAGTTGAAAAGCCCGGTTTTAACTTCGTCAAAACTCTATCGGCGGATGGTACTTATATGAATACTGAGTCGGACTTTTTTCTTGACGGGTTGCTGGAAGGACTGAGATATCATCATATCTTCTATTCTGTAAAGTCTCGAGCATAAATACGTCACCGCCCCAGCGTCTGGAAAATAGTGACAGGGTTACTATTCGACCATATCAAGAACAGTATCACGTACCTGCAAAAGCAGAAACGGGAAGAAAAAGCCGAAAAGATGGCCCCCCTCCAGCCAGAGAGTCTCTTTTGCAAGCTGGACACAGCGCCGGCGGATGAAGTCTTCGCTCTGATGGGCGACTTCGCCGCTGATACTCACCCAGACAAGGTCAGCTTGGGTGCTGGTGTGTACAGAGACAACGAAGCAAAGAGTTGGAGGCTACCGGCGGTCAAGAAGGCAGGTTATCACTCGTTTCTCGAATGATAAAGTCACTAACATACCATAGGCTGAACAATTACTCCTCGATGACCCAACTTTTGATCATGAATACCTTCCTATCCCTGGCTACGCACCATTCTACAACATGGCTAGGGATCTAATCTTCGGAACAGGCGAGTCGAGCATCCCCAAGGAACGCATTGCCAGTCTCCAAACAATCTCAGGAACGGGAGCGAACCACATCGGAGCTCGCTTCCTAGCAGACCACCTCCCAAAGCTTTCTGATCCCAATGCAAAGCGCACTATCTGGATCTCCGACCCAACGTGGGCCAACCACCATTTGATCTGGAACCTTGTCTCGAGCGGAACCTCCGGCAGCCCCATCCAGGTGAAGACATACCCTTACTACCATGAACCCACACGGTCACTTAACTTTGAGGGAATGATGAAGGAACTCGAGGCTCATGCTGTCGCGGGAGATGTTGTCCTTCTTCACGCCTGTGCTCACAACCCTACTGGAATTGATCCCACCCGTGCTCAGTGGCTGCGGATCGCTGATCTGTGCGAGAGCAGAAGCTTATTCCCCTTCTTTGACTCAGCATATCAAGGATTCGCTTCTGGAGATCTGGACAATGATGCCTGGCCCATCCGCGAATTTGCTAAGCGTGGGATGGAGCTTTGCGTTGCTCAGAGTTTCAGCAAGAACCTAGGTCTTTATGGTCAGCGAACTGGCGCCTTCCACCTTGTGTGCCGCAACGCAGAGGCGACTGTCTGTGCCCGATCTCAGGTTGTTGAGCTTCAGCGTGGCGAGATCTCTACTCCACCATCATACGGTATGTTGTGCCTAGATGCATAACTTTCTTACTGAAACCTTCATGCAGTGACACTAACTGAACCAACGTAGGACCACGACTTGCGGCAAAGATCTTGAGTGACCCAGCCCTTGTTGAGATGTGGAAGGAAGATCTCATCACCATGAGCAGCAGAATTAAGTCCATGCGCCGTGCTCTATATGATGAGCTGCAGAGACTGCAGACCCCCGGAACCTGGGAGCACATCATCAACCAGATCGGCATGTTCTCGTACACCGGCCTCACCAAGGAGCAAGTCCGCCTCCTTCGTGAATACCACATCTATCTCCTGGACTCCGGCCGTATTTCTATCGCCGGACGTAAGCAATCCCCTTCCACCCATTGATACGATGTAGCCGACCAAACCACTAACATTTTCTTATAGTAAACACCAGCAACCTGAAGTACGTCGCAGAAGCCATCGATTCCGTGGTCCGTAAGACTACCAAAACCTCCAACGGCTCCAATGGCTCTAATGGCCACTAAATCAACAACCATACGGCCTATCTGATACGGTTCAACGAATTTAAATGATGCTATGTATCTCATTCCAACGTCCCTCACCAACGGGGCCAGTCTCCTATGTTCGACCGCCTACCGCTTCCGCACGATCCCATTGATTGATTTCTTGCATTTTGGCCTCGTATCTCAACCCGACCGACCAGTAACCGGTTGGAATATTGACCAACAGGATAAATATTTTTTTCTCACTCGCGAGTTTGATGCATAGATGTAAGACGTTCCTCATGTTTCTATACTTTTCATACTTGGTTTGTTGGTTGTTAGAGTTGGCAGCTCAGCACTTGTTGTGTTGATTGTATCCTAGTCTGTATTAGCAGGATAGAGTCAGAGACACAGCTAGATTCTATCTAGACATCTTTAACCAGTTGATTTACACTTTTAGCTATCTCCGAGTCTACAATGTCCGGTTCCTGAGTACGGTACCTTTTACAAAGCTTCAAGTTTGTATCCATTCATCCCCGACCCTCGTCCGGGCGGACGTTACTCTTTGTAGTAACCTATAACTACGCCAAATCGAGCTCAATCTACCCGCGGGTTGCCCCTAAGTTCATCAAGTGTAACAGCTAGTCAACTACATACCTCTGAGACCGATATGGAGAGAGAGAACTGGGCGTTTATTTGAGTTGGTCACAGTGCTACTTAGTTACGTCAACACCAACTCTTTTGACTTCAGCCGCAACACCAACCTTAACTAACTTATCTTCAACTTCTACTTTTCAACTTATACCCTTTCTTCCTCATATTTTGTCCTGCAACATGTCACAGCGCCCTTTCAACTAATTACCCGCATGTCCCAATCATATCAAGTGGGATGCTCCTGGTCGTACTGCACAGCTGGTAGCTATAATCAATGGCCCAGAAAATGCCCAAGAGCATCAGGGCTGCTATCAAGCTTTATCATAAGAAACTCCCCGGACTCCTTGCTTTATATTCAAAAGGGAGGGCCATCTACTCCGAACACCTTAAGCCTTTCCCTTTTTGAGTGGAGGTAATGATCCCCTTGCCACATATCTTCTCGTCCCACTTTGCTAGCGACGATAGCAGAGACAACAATTCTGGATAAAAACAACGACAACTACAACATCGAACAATCCTCAGAGCCGGTCAACAGTTCATACTTGTTGACTCTAGCGTTGCAAAACAATATGGGTGATGCTCCAACGGTTCTCTCTCTCTCATCCTGATGCCCCAGAATGGAACAAAGCTCTTATGCTCGAGTTTCAGGCAGCCCTCAAGAAGGATCCAGCAGCAGACCTGATGTCTATGTTTTCCGATTCCTATCGTCGTCGGCACCAATATGCCGAGGGGGAATTATTATCATACCCTGCGGGAATCAATCGTCAGATGCTCGACGAGCTCGACAACAAATAGAGGCGAGATCTGGAGGTCAACTTGCTTACCATCATTCCATCAAATTATAACCGCAGAATAACAATGGCAACTGGACCCAATGTCAAAAAACCAGAGCCTCCGAAGCCACGTGCGTCTGAGTATTTAGATCGTCTTGATCTTGCGGAAGCTGCTACAGTTGTATTTCAGTTATCGGAGAAGGTTCGGGCTATACTTGCGCGCTACTAGGACGGGTCCTTGGGCGAAAAACCGAAGGGCGAAGAGTTCCTACTCGGTGCGTCCCTGAAACGGCTGCTTTTAGGCTCCGGAAAAATCTGGGAAGGCCCCGCAAGAGGCCTCGCGGTGAAGTGCAGTGAGGGCATTGTGGCAAAAGTCATCATGGGCAATAAGGAGTACACTAGGTACACCATACTGCAGCATCTCGAGCGATAGATGCCTAATATCCCAGTTCCCAGACCACACGGTCTAATTGCCTTTGCTCCATTCTGTGTTGTTTCCATGTCATACATTCCAGGCATGACTCCGACCAAGGCCTGGCCCAGCCTTGCACACGAAGACAAGCTGTTCATACAACGCCAGCTAGACGACATATTCCATCGACTAAGGACAATTTGACAAGATGATGGCCATCCCCTTGGTGGAATCAGTGGAGAAGGGGCAAAGGACAAGCGGGTTGATGAGTGCTCCACGTTCAAAGATATCACCCCAGCAGCTGCATTCCGACTTGCAGTTTTCCCCCCGTCATCATGGCAGCAATTCATACATCAAGTTTCTTCGCTCACTCCTACGTCATGACAACTCATCTCTGTACGGGTCCGTGTTTACCCGTGAACTGACAATATCCTGGTGAAACGGGAGCCAGGTGATAATGGCCGCTAGATAGTCAGCGGGATCATAGACTGGGAAGATGGGGGCGTTTACCCTGAGCATTATGAATGCACTGCTCTGTCTCAATGTTTAAGTGTAATCGATGAAGACGACTGGTATCTCTATCTGCCTGAGTGTATCTCGCCTTCCAGATTCCCCGTACGCTGGCTTGTGGATCGGCTCTGGAGATTCATCTACGTACTACATGACATTTTCTGTATCTTCTTCTTGTGGCATTGAAGCGTATTTTGGGATGTTCTTTTGTCATTTTTATTTGAACTGACCGATATAGCCCAGTTATGAATAACTATAGGTTCCTATTTAAACTTAACTTCCAGGAGAATTGTAAATTGTGAGCTATTACCAAAGTGATAGAGTGCGCCCACACCAGTGGTCAGCAAGTTGAAGCTATGTGCATGACAGCAATCTTCCTGTTCAGCACAATAATAACCCGATACAGTCTTTCAAATCTCCCTTTCAATCTTCTGGTTCAATAGACGAGTACTTTAGAATTGATATGTAGAAATTGACAGGGATCTATCTCCCTCGACTTCAATTAGTTAACAACCTCCTGCGCGCTAGATGGTGGATAGCAGCATATTCAATAAAGCTGCTTCACTCGCTTACTTTAGACCTTCGACTCTGCAGCGTCACTCCATCCCCGTAGTTAATTGCCTAGGTCACCGCGGCTCTGACTTCACTCAACAGCCACAGCTCTGCCTATTTAAGCGCCTGTATTCCCCAACCTTCTTGGCGATTTTTTTTTTTTTTTTTTTTTTTTTTACTTCTTCAACATCCTTATCACCATTTATCAGAAATATAACTTCATCCTGCCTGGCCATCCTAGTCGAGTCTGTTCAGCAAATTCTATGGCGAGGGTCCTAGTTTCTAATTCTCTATTATAAAGAAAAATAAAATATTTAACTATTATTACTTAAAAAATAATAACTTTTTTTTCTAGAATTTTTTTTTAGAAAAAATAAGAATCTAGCTTTTACTCTTCTATTTTATAGAGAAATATACTCTACCTAGTATATCTAAGGTCACTAAGTTATCAATATCATGTCCTGATGGCCTGGGTTTAACCTACTGCCTGCATGCTTGAACCCCATATAGTGGGGTGCTGAAAACTATAGTTAACTATTTCTAATCTTCAAGCTGTCCTCGATAACCCTGAGACAAACAAAGGAGGGCCCGAAAATCAATATCCGGGTGTTTATAGTTAGGCATATACCGGGGAAAGCAAGGCCCGTTTGCGTACTGCTATAGTTATCCAGGACGGCAAAGTGGTACTCCCAAAGCACGTTGACCCCAGACAGACTATTTGGGCAGAGGTAGGCGAGTTATTAATACGCTGCACCCCTATAATCAGCTACCTTGCTTACCATCGTTCTGTCCAGGGGATTGCCCAACAGATGAGCTCTGCTTCTGCTATGCCTAGTTGGTAAGCCATCGAAAGACAGCAATAAATTGCTCCCCGCTCAATATCCACCTCTTCTGTGACATATCGCAGCAAGGTAAGGATCACGTTTCCCAGGACGAGTCGAATATGTCTCTTAGGGTTCTTAGGGGTTCACGTAGAGGAGTTACTCGTCCTTAACCATGTCCCCTGTTCCAACGGTTTCATCTCTAGTATGTGCCTCACTTCGCCCACTATCTATACGCAGTGTCCTGACCAAACTCAGCGGAATATATGGGATCGTGTAGCCGAACTCCAGGCGATGATTAATAATCCTGAAATCAGCAGTGAGCAGAAGATAAATATACAAACAGCAATCGATCTTTATTATAAGAGTGGACAGCCTATACCACGGGTCTGCATCCAGGGTGGAAAGGTTATTTGCCTTCAAGACCTTGATTTCTCCCTCCCGTTCTGGATGGAGGTACTTTCTCCTTTTTCTATACATAGACTCTGCATCATACCCATACTTACTGTTTCCCATGCAGGGTTACGGCCAGCAGCTATCAGCACATACTGTTATTCCCGCTGCTGAACCAGCTCAACCTAACGATCACCAGTGGGGGATCACTCTTAATTTGGTCAACTGGTTACCTGGGCCCTCCTTGTGCCTGTGGGTCAGCAGCTTGGCTAGCAGGACAACGTACAATCTCTTCCACGGTCTAACGCAGGACATCGGGTTGTAAACTCCCTGATGGTACTTGAATTATTTCAATATCGATTTTAATATACTTTGTTTTATTTTTATGCTATTGTATATTTTATAGCTACAATTGGTGCTATGTCTATCGCGCTTGAATTAGTGTCAAACTTCAGCTCTGCCTACCATTAGAGTGGGCTCACTCCTTTTGGTGTATAGTGGCAGACTTTGACAATTGGATATTCTATATTCTATCAGGCCCTTCACGTTTCTCGACATTTCCATGCTCAACGACACTGGTAGTATAATAGTTTTCAAGGATGGGATTATCCAGTAGCTCCCTGTCACTAAAAGCTCCATCCTTGGACAAGCTATAGCTAGAGCTAGAAGGATACGGTGCCGCTCTTCAACAAAGCGTCCACTGTGTTGTTGTTTCTATTTAGACTAGTTTTATTTCCTCTTTAGGAATTGTTTGCTCTGTTTGCCGCTGCTCTCTCCAAGCTATAAAACCCCCGCCCCTGCCCCCGCGCCTCTTCTTCCTCTTCTTCCTCTTCATCCTCAACATCCATCTTCAACATCTTCAACTAACTGCGTTTTCAGGCCTGCTTGATCAGTTTCCTTCTGCCGCCATAACTCCTACTCTACTTCTTCCTGTGCGCGCTGTCTTCTCTGTCCACCTACGTGGCCGTGTTGGTGCCTTCTCTAATCTAGACTTGGCTAACTAGTTAACTAGTTACCCATTAGTTATCCACAGTGGGCAAGTCAGTTGAAGACCCATCTTCTCCTCTACTTCTTCTACGCCGAGATATTGGGCAAGGTAAGTTCCATGCTTCTCAATAGCTCTACGTTCTATCTAACAAGTGGCGCTGTGCTCTCCAGGTGGTCCTATAGAGAAGTTACTTGTCCTTAGCCGTCATGTCCACTGCTCCAATAGCTCCAGCTTCTTACCCAGTATGTAGGACTGTGATCTCACCTCTCCAGTCCCTCTCCGTTTACTCCCTATAGCTACAAGGGTTGCCCTAACCAAAAGTAGTGGAACATACCAGGCCGTATCGCTGAGCTCAAGGCGATAATTGACAATCCTGAAACAAGCGATGAGCAGAAGATAAATGTGCAAGTAGCAATCGACCTCTACGGTGGGAAGATGCAGCCTATACCGCGCGTCTGCATCCAGGGTGGACAGGTCATCAATCTTCAAAGGCTTGATTTCTCCCGCCCGTTCTGGATGGAGGTACTTTCACTTTATCATTCCCCGAAGCTGGTTTATCCCCTGTTCTCTGCTTACCCATTTTCCATCCAGGGCTATCTCCAACAACTCTCAGCACAGACTGCAATTCCCGCCACCGAGCCAGCGTCATCGTCTACGCCAGCTGAAGCCGTCCCTGAGACTGTAAGCTCGGCATCAGCTGCAGTCCAGCATTAGAGAGGCCAGCTGGCTAACATTTCTGGACTTTCTTTTAGCATGGGGTTCAGCAATTTGCCCACCGTGTTGCGTATGATCTCTTCCCGGGCGGATCAGGACATCAGGTTCGCATTTCGAGAATTCCAGTTAACATTTGTTTGATTAGAAATGCCTTTTATTAATACATCCTGTCCGGGCTGTTTAGATGCTTGCCCGAATGAGAGCAATTCCGGCCTTTTCATTGTCCCTTCCCCTGTTCCTCGACATCACCATGCTCAATGATACAGGCAGCGATGCGTTGACAGTCTTCGACACAGACCTAATCGCGTTAGGCATCGCTCCAACGTACCTGGGTTTTGGGCCTCAAACTCAAGCAATGACAGCTAATGGGATTGTTTTACGGCAAGTTGTCTACGTTGAGATCCAGCTACTTGATTCGCAACGTAATCCTATTTCAGATTGGATTCTCGAGGAATCTGTCGTTGTTCCGTCAGCTGAAGGTAACACTAGGCTGTCCGGCAGAGGGATGAGGGATTGTCTGTATTTTGCAACAGCACCAGGTAACCAACAGCTATACGTGGCCGAAAAGAAGAATGGCATTGTACAGCAGCTTCCTGTTGTTTAATTACCTTGAATCATTACTTTACTGGAATGATGACCATGATTCTATTTGATACACTTTATTAACTATTAACTACCGGTACAAATGAATAGACATCCCTCTGCTCTTGTGTCCTAAATAGTTCCCCTGCACCAACAACCAGCGAGATAGTTCTTCCTTCAGATACCATCAACGTTGCTTCCTACAACGATATAGGATGTAAAAAGAAATATCACCATAACAGTGAGATGAAGTATATCTATACCATAGAGCGAAAGAAAAAAAAAAAAGAAAGAAAAAAAAAAAAAGAACGGGGCCCTGCCGCGACTCGAACGCGGGGCCTCTCGCATCTTTGGTGTCCCAAAGCGAGAATCATACCACTAGACCACAAGGCCATTCTTGCCAGCAGAGATGCAGGGGGTTGCTCATAGTGACCAGCCATCAGAGTGCAGCAATATTTCTCCTGGTGTCTACCACTTATTACGTATCATTTGATCGATGTTAATGCCAGCTCGACAGCTCATCGTTTCATCTTTTTGTAGTTCAAAGAAAGAGGCTACTTTTTTTTTCGTGTGCGAGATAGGAGAACCAAGGAAAATGTCTTAGTCAGATGAATAGCTGAAGTTACACAGATCACGTTATGTGATAAAAGAATTGACCAATAAGACAGCAGTAACAAATAAGCTTAATCGTCATTAGTCTTGGCACTGGCTATATCGACGACGCCTTGCCCCGTGCGGGACATCTAAATATCTACTTCCAGGTCCAGCCGGGCTCTCGAGGGACAAACGACAAAGGCACGATGGCGTCGAGAACTCAGGTCTCGTACGGGGACCGTGCAAAGACACACCCGAACCCCCTTGTGCGGCGGCTGTTTGAGATAGCAGAGCAGAAACAGTCCAACGTCGTCGTCTCCGCAGATGTCACCACCACGAGCGCATTGCTAGACCTGGCCGAGCGTGAGTCTTGATACTTTATGAAGAGAAGAAGGAGAAGAAGCAATAGCTGACAATAAGGACACAAGACAGGCCTCGGACCGCACATGGTCGTGCTCAAGACACACATCGACATCATCACTGATTTCTCCCCGCAGACAGTCGAGGGCCTCAAGGCCGCCGCTCAGAAACACAACTTCCTCATCTTCGAGGACAGAAAGTTCGTCGATATAGGCCACACAGTCCAGATGCAGTACCATGGCGGCAGCCTACGCATCTCCGAATGGGCGCATATCGTCAACTGTGCCGTGCTAGCGGGGTCAGGCATTGTCGATGCTCTAGCGCAGATATCTTCCTCGGGCGTATTCCCTTACCCCGCTGGCGAGAGGGGACTGTTGATTCTCGCTGAGATGACTTCCAAGGGCTCGTTGGCAACGGGCGAGTATACGAAGCTGTCGGTTGAGATGGCCAGGAGACATGCTGGGTTCGTCATGGGGTTCGTGGCTACGCGGTCCCTGGGCGATATCGAGACTGAGACTGAGCGCAAGGCCGATGAAGACTTTGTGCTATTCACCACGGGTGTCAATCTTGCCTCGAAGGGTGACCAGTTAGGCCAGCAGTATCAGACTCCCGAGTCGGCTGTGGGCAGAGGAGCGGACTTTATCATCTCGGGGAGAGGTATCTATGCTGCTCCTGACCCTGTGGAGGCCATAAAGCAGTACCAATCTGCAGGCTGGAGCGCATACCTCAAGCGTATATCCAGATAATTAAAATGAAAGAAAGACAGAAAAAAGTTTATGCTTAAGATCTGACCAATAGCTTCATTTATACCTTATAACTTGAAAGAAAGAAAGCAGAATATCATACATAATCGTAGGCTAGAATGGGGAAGCAGGAGCTTGCATCATGGGCAATGCGACGCCAAACACCGTCATGCCCCAGAGCGCCATCTGAGCGAACCAGAAGCCGCCACCGTACTTCCGTCCGGCTCCCGCAGCCTGGCCGGAGTAGACATATCCGTACAAGAACAGCACGCGCATCACCACCCATGTAGCTCCGATCAACGTCGTGGCGGCAGGATACTTGAGTCCAGCAACGAGAGTGAGCAGCATCGTCTGTGGTGCGTTCTCAAGGTAGTTCGTGTGGGCTCGCTGGGCGCAGTTGAACGCATCGGCCTTGGGCTGTGGGGGAGGCCAATTGGTTAGCAGTTGAATCGAGTTGTACAGTTTGTACACACTCGCATTGAGGGAGGACTCACGTCGGCCTTGCATTGTTCGATACTGGCATAGCTGTGGGGATAGGGGATGCCGGCAGCTCTGCGCTTGATGCCAGTGATGATGCCGTGGACGAAGCCGAGGACTGGGATGGCGCCGAGGGCGACGGCGATGATGTTGCTGGCGGGCAGATGTCAAGTTAGCTGTGCTCTCCCTGCGGGTGTCACGGCAGCCAACTCACCCGTAACCGTCTGGGACTGGGATCATCATCTTGAATCAATTGATTGGGATAGACTGAGGTGGTTGTAGCTGGTGTAGTTGGTGTAGTTGCAGTTGTACTGTTGGTGTTATTCGTATGTTGACGATAGTTAGTTAACCGGTATTTAACTACTTATGACGCAACGTGAAGATGGAGATTCAACTACGAAGACATTTAGATATTTATACAGCTCCGGATCCTCAGCTCATCCTCTAGGCTGCAGAGCATACGACATGGAAGCTTCGAGCTCTCCTTTTCGCACTCCTTTCCCCTTTGCGCTGACGCGGGATCCGGGATGATTAGACCAACCGAGCCGGCGCAGCCATCCAGCCGAGCCTTCGGACGAAACAGCGGACGAAGCAGGGAAGGCCAGGGAGACGATCTGTTTATTTACATTTACATTGCTTGAGGACAGATTAGAGAAGAGAAGGGTATGTTATTGCAGCTACCTACAGCGACAGTTGACAGCGACGTCTTTTTCATGGACCCTGGGACAAGACCTGCTTGCTGACACTGCCGTACTTGGCCTGCCAGGCAAAGAAATACAGCAACGCCCCCAGCGGCTGGCCGACAAGGCAGAAGCTGAGCCAGAAGACACAGTTGCCTATTATCTTCCCGGCCTGGCCGTTCATCTTCTCCAGGGGCACCGTGGCAGCTATCAGAGGGAGCTGCAGCATCATTCCGGCAAAGGCGACGCCTGTACAAGTTAGCACTCCAGTTGACTTTTACAGAGCCATAGATAGCCATGAACTTACCAATGATGTTGTGCGTTGGGATGCCGACGAGCACCTCATGCAAGACGGCAGAGAAAGTGAAGACGACAAGACTGGCGGCAAACGGACTCCATCCTCGCCCAACAAGCGGGGAGAAGATATGTCGCTTCATGAAATGGTACACAGGTCGGTTCCAGGAGCGCCAGTACGAGCCTACGCTGGGGCTATTCCACCATTCGCTGTAGAACTCCCGGTCTCCAAACCGCATTACTTCTGCCAAAGCGTTCAGGAAGGACTGGAACAAGGCAAAGAATCCCGCTAGCCAGATCACCAACGAGATGGTCGATAGCTTCATCATCCGCTCCAGGATAGACACCCAGTCCAACATGGCTACTTTGTCCAGCGAGTTGCGCAGCACGGGGGCCGCATATTGCGCCGAAATAATCCAGATAAACACCCCCAGCCCAACGAGCTCCAGCACCCGCTTGGCTACGAACGACCACCGCACACGCTCGGTCCGCGGGTATACAGGCTGATACACCAGCGTCGGCGCCAGCCAGAAGTAAGACAGGTTTGATATCGTGACGTTATGTGGGTACGGGCAAGACATGTATATTTCCGGCAGCCTATTGTCCGGCGACGGATTGAGCACCGCATGTCGAAGGTCCCGGTTGGTAAACGCATACGAGCAGTTCTTCAGCCAGACGATGATAGCATGCAGCTGGCACACTGTCCCGATGCCCGGGTGATGTATATAGTAGTAGACCACATACGTAGTCACCAGGAGACACAGGCTGGCGTTGACCGTATGCGCAAACGCAACGTACGCCCAGGTCGTCTGCAGCGCCGAAAGCTCCTTGCTCGTGCACGAGGAGGCCTCATCTCTCTTCACACGTCCAATCGCCCCCTTCACCAGCTGGGCGGCCGCCAGCTCGATGAGATACGCCACGAACAGGTGGCAGGGGACCAGGGCGTAGAGGACCGCGCCTAGCACTAGGTCCTGCTTGCGGTAGTCGTGGCAGCGGATGCAGATGAGGACGCCATACTTCATGAAGTTCTCGACTACCAGCCGCAGGTTCATCACGATCAGCACAATGACCATCAGGTTCCTGAAGCCCAGGAAGCTGGGGGTCTTCTCGGTCTCGCGGCTCAGACATGATGGCTTCACTTCGGAGTGATACGCCGCGACATGGCGGTACTTGCTGCGTAGCTTCTGGCCGGCCGAACGATGCTGGTGCTGCTGATGCTGCCCATGATGATGCTGCTGCTGATTCTGCTTCTCCTTCTCATGCAGCGAGTTCCCGCGTCCGTTGAGCCCGGTGTTGGTCTTTTCCTGGAGCGCTGCTGCGGTGCTGTGGCTGACCTCCGTCTCAGTCACGATCGCCATGTTCTCCCTCTTTGCTTTTCTTCAGATCGGATGTTTGATGTGTATATGTAGCTGGTGATTCCGTCCAAGACGGGCCTGCAGATGTCTCTCGATGGCCTTCAACCAGGCAGTTCTAAGCTCTGCGTCTCATCTGGGTGGCTGCGGGCGTTTGTCTATGTATCAAAATGCCAAAACCGTGCGAAGGCGAAACGGCGAGAATCAGAGACACGGAGTCTCACTAACTAGCTTTATATCGCCGACAGCAGACAAAGACAGGGCCGGTACGGAGTATATATATATTTATAAAAGGAGAAGAGACGAAGAGCAGGAGAAAGCAAGGAGATGTTACGAGACAGTTGAAAGAACCCAGGCCGTCCTCTTCCAAGATTCGGATCTTCCCTCAACCTTATCGCCCGCAAGTTGCTGCCCTTGGTCAGGTCGCTACAGAATTCGACATCGCACGGCAGAGCAAGCAACTTCGCTAGCTTATATACATATAACTACATAGACTACGGAGTACTCGACTGGCAGACAGCGAGTCAGGCCAACTTGGCCATCGACAAAGGGATCCTGCTGCGTTGGGCCAGAACTTGCTGGCGGGGATGCTTCCTTGGTTCGTGGTTTCATCTCTGTAACCGGGAGATCACGATAGAGCTGCGAGACGGGCGGGCTAGATCCTTCGCTGCTGGCCAGGGAGAGAGAGAAGACGTCGGGATGCAGCCACAGAAGCCACTGCATCTCGTACGTGCTGCATGGGGAGAGCTTACTGGCGCCGTTTTGCCGGACAGGGGCTGCTCCCTGGCTCCACGGATGCATATAGTTACATGGTACAGATGCAGGCAGCTAAACAAGATACCGGCAGGCGAAATAGCTCAAGAAGTGCTTTTTTAGCTAGTAGTTACACTGCTAAGCCTCTGGTCCTGCATGTCGGCGGCTTATCCGTCGGTGGATATTAAGAGATCTTCTTCGACACATATAACAAGTTGTAGCTTACTAGGAGAGCATATTTGGGGGGGATAAGAAACAGAATCAAATTAGCTATTGATATGTCCTAGTTGTCCATGGTATACATCGAATAATGAAGAACCAAGGGTGCAGAGTAAACGATAGTTATCAAATGTGCTATCCCAAATGTATATACCAAAAACAGGTGTCAACGACCAAGATTTGGCTCTTCAGTCGGACTGTCTTGGAGCGTCTGGGAAGCCCCTAGATGGATTACCTTGAGAAGCCAACTCGTCAATGGTGAAGCCGTATGCAAGTTCGAAAGCTTCAGTCCATCTTCTACGAAGATGGGCCTTGTTCTCCTGAGTCATATGCCACGCGAAATGGCAAGCTGTATCAGAAGGCTCGGGTAGGTTTTGACCGTCGTAGCGGTAGTACTAAACAGCGCAACCGTTAGTCCAGCTGTATGTAGTAATATAAGACACAAGGGGAGACACTTACGTCTCTGATTCCTCGGATGGACTGCCAGTATCGCACTGGCACGGGGTAGTCGTTGAGTTCGTCGAAACCGGTGGTCTCGGCGAGATCTATCAGTTGTGAGACTGATATGTCCGCGTCCTCCTTGCGGTACAATTTCCTGATAAGTCGCAGTAGCATGTTCTTGATGTAGTCGATTTCTCTGTGAGTGAGGGTGCGGATGGTGCGCATGTCTGACTTCTGTGTCTCGAAGGTTAGGTATTGAAACACATACTTGCTATCAGATGAGATGCGGTACTTACATGCCACTCTTTCGCACGCTCACCAGCTACTGCCAACCGCCACTGTGAGATGCGTTAGCATGCCTGCTTTTCAAAGTAGGGCTTGAGAAAGGGGGCTCCACTTACATCAAAAAATGGCCCTGAACCGATGTCTGGGATCGGAGACTTTTGAAGATCCCATTTCGTTAATGGAAAGGTGTCTTTAGCCTTAGCGGGAGGAGGCGCCATCGAGGAGGAGCTGCTGGCTTGTTGGCGGTCTTCGTCTTCTTGTTTATGAACGCTCATTAAATGAGTATGTGCGTTCAGTTCGACGAGGCAGTATTATATCTTTGGATAGCAGAAACAGAGCGGGAGATTGTGGTACTCGAAGTTGACAAGGGAAGGAAAGAGGGCTGAGATGGACTCCCTAGGAAGGGGGCTCTTTTATAGGGGTTGGGTGAGCCGGAACCATGGATCCTGATATGGTTCTATGCCAGAGTCGTTGACGTAGGTAGCAACGGAAGGGCGACATCGATAGAAAACTATGTAGGCACCGGGTATTTGGAGTGGATTTTACGGGTTTAACCCAAAAGTCGATGATTCAATAGGCCACGGTAGTCATGTCCATTGTTCCTGCAGTGGTATCCTATGCATATGACGTTATATACATAGACAGAATACGCTCTGTAGGGCTTTCCGGTATTTACTGTGCAACCCAGGCGTGCTTTCCGTATCGTTCTCCCATGCAGTAGCGAGGTAAGTCTCTTTCATATAAGACGGTCTAAACAGAGCTTCTCCGATAGCAGCCTTATAAAATATAGGTAGGCACCAAAAAAAAAAAACACACTGGACACGCCTTCTGCTGGTACTCCATTGTTCAATGGGCTTAAAACGACCCCAAGCCATCCATCTGATAGATTCATCCATCAACTTGGCAGGATGTTTATGTCTTTAGCCCAGGGTATGGAATGGAGTGGCGGAAACCAACAGACAGGTACATGAGGCCCTGAAACTTTGGGAGATGCCATCATCGACTGTCGTTCCATCGAGGTAGGTGACAGGGAGAAGACACCGCCTAATTCTTAGCGCTCTTCTTGACAGGCCGGTTCGTTATGCCGTGCTTCTTCAAGGTTCGGTATATAGTTGACTTCGAGATGTTATCCGGCATTCCACTGGCCAGCTCGCTGTACGAGATGCTTGGGTTTGAGCGGACTCGCGAGATGAGCATGCGGACGTCACGGTCAGACAGCTTCTTGGGCCTCCCCGAGCGCGGCTTCGACACTCCATCGACCCGCGAGCTCTCCTTCATGATGGTATTCTGCACCGTAGATACCGGGATGTCGAGAGCGGCGGAGATCTGTCGTAGAGATGCGCCCGCCATGCGCCGTCCAAGAATCAGGCCTCGCGTAAACGGCGTCAGCTCAGCGCGTTTCTTCTTCTCTCCCGGCTCGCCTGCCGCCTTCTCATCCTTCTTGCTCTCTGCCATGGTGAATTGATGGCTGGTATCTCCCCGTCGCCCGGCTCTCTGCTCACTTCGCCTTCGTCCTCGCCGTCGTTTTTCCTTTCGTTTTTATGACGTTTTTTTTTTTTTTTTTTTTTTTTTTTTTTTTTTTTTTTTTGACGCGACGCGATGGTCACATGATAGATTATGTAAATATTGACTTACATAATAGTTTAGTAATATAAATATTACATAATCGTTCTTTGAAGCTAAAGTTGACGATGTTGGATATTTTGATCGAGCAGACAAACAGCAGAAGAAGCGCTCTTCGGCCAGCTCTCCGCCGTTTCTTTTGCTGTGACGCCGTCTTTCTATCTGTCATGGCCTTATTTGAAGAAGGGGGTGAAGCCGCCTTTGCGCCGCGACCAGCTTTGGGTCCACGACGACCGAGTATGTTGACTCCCAGGACCGCCGAGCTTATCAGGAACACAGCTTGCTAACTGAACGGTGCATAGGGCCTGTCACGGATTATGGCTCGTCGCTGGTGCAATGGGTGCGGGTTCGGCAGCCTCGATACAAAGGATCTCCCAGGCTGGAAGTAGAGCGGCCGAGTGCTAGCTATACCGTTGATGTTCGTCTACCTTCAACCTGCAAAGCTAGGGAGCTATATATAACTTACCCTTGAATTACTCCACCAGATGCTTCCTCCAGTCGCTACGATACACTCCGCTGCAAACACGATACCCGTTCGGCATCTACATCAATCCATTGGAAAATCGAAGAAGCCCATAACAGTCGTGAGATGGACGCCGGACGGTCGTCGTTTGCTCACAGGCGGTCATACGGGCGAATTTATGTTATGGAACGGCACAGCTTTCAATTTCGAAACTGTCATGGATGTATGGTAGTTCCAGTCTCTCGCGTATAACAGCCGCTGCTAACGGTGAAATACAGGCACACTATGACCAGTTCCAGGCTGGTGTGACATCGGCTGCCTGGTCACATAGCCACGACTGGCTTATATCAGGCGGACAAAAGGGTGATGTCAAGTATTGGAGGCCGAACTTTAACAATGTCGAGACCGTCGACGATGCGCACCAAGAAGCCGTCAGGGATCTGACATGGTGTCCTAACGATTCAAAGTTTCTTTCAGCCTCGGACGATACCACACTGAAAATATTTGATTTCACTGCGCGGACGTGCGAGATGGTCCTGACTGGACATGGATGGGATGTTAAGTCCTGCGATTGGCATCCAACAAAGGGTCTGCTGGTTTCAGGCTCCAAGGACCACCAAGTCAAGTTCTGGGATCCTCGTACAGGTCGGTGCTTGACCACCCTACATACCCATAAGAACACCGTCACTACCACGAAATTTTCCCCGGTCAACACTAATTTACTGGGAACATCCTCTCGCGACCAGACCGGCCGCGTGTTCGACCTGCGTATGATGCGGGACATCTGTATACTTAGAGGCCATGACAAACCAATTTCGTCTCTGGCCTGGCATCCATTGCACAGTAACATGATCTCTACCGGCAGTGAAGATGGGTCCTTGTATCACTATCTACTTGACGAGCCTAACCTTCCTGCCGGGCAGATGCCTACTGTTGCTCCATACGGCACTACAGATCCCACCAACGCTCCTGCTCAGGTGATATTCCCGGCACACAAGATCCAGTATGCCCACGGGTCGACTATTTGGTCCCTTGACTGGCACCCACTAGGCCACATCCTCGCTTCCGGATCCAAAGACAACTTCACCCGTTTCTGGTCCCGTGCCAGACCGGGGGAGATCAATTACCTCAAGGACAGATTCCACATCGGAGAAGAGGCTGCTGAAGCACAGGGAACATGGAACCGTGGATTCGGACGGAAACAAATGCGTGAGGAAGAAGAACAGGAAGCACAGGCAGAAGACGAAAGTCGCATGGACCAAAGACAAGCTGCCGAATCACAAATCCCCGGAATTCAAAACACTGCTACTGAAGGTCAAGGCCTACCGGGTCTCCTTCCTGGTATTGGGGCATTACAGCCTCCACCTCCACCACCGCCCAATGCATCCGGGGCACCCCCAGCTCTTCCACAGATGGATCCTGGGCGATTAGCTGCCATGCTATCCCAAGGCGGCCTTCCCCCTCCACCTCCGCCGCCAGGCCAGGGTCAACAACCTCCATTTCCCCATGGCACACAACCTCCCCCACCACCTTTCTTCTCTAACCCGAACATGCCGGGCAGCATACCGCCGAATATAGCTCATATGTTCCCCAACCCACAGTTTCCGCCTCCTGGAATGCCGCCCCAGAATTTCGGGCAGCAGGGTTATCCTCCGTCAGGGCTACCGGGGCTGTATGCTGGAGCGAACGAAAAGCCAAAGTGAGCAATCATGGAAGAAACTATCATCAAGCTTATATAAAAGCACACTGCGCCGAGTGTCAGCATATTGGCAGGCCAACCAACATGCTACGATTAAGGGCGCCCCATATCTATGGCCAAGGAATGAATACCTTAAAGGCCACCAATAGCCTGAGTAAGAGTTGACAGTTACGCGATCAACCCTACGACGCCGCTGCTACCTCAACGGCACCTACAGATGACACGATGACATGCCAGGCCGGCAGAGGTGTTACAACCTGAAGAAACTTGCCTTTACCTAGTGAACAGGGAGCAATCTCTGCCGTTACGGTGCAAGCCACCGGTTACACACCGGGTAATAGGGGTAGAGACAGCTGTCAAAATATATCCGCTATTCAACCATCTCAAGCCATCATTGATACATCACTTGATCTTCATATTCTCTCCTGACTCTGACAGTAAACTCCCCTGACTATCCGTTAATCCGACACCGTAACCAGCCACTCATAGCCACTTGTAAAATATAATAAACGTCGAACATAAATCTCAATCTATAATGCCCATCCGATGTATGTGCTGACTAAGCAAATCTACAAAGTGCAAAGTTGAAGCAGGAAAAAGAAGCAAAAAAGCTCAAAAACAACGACAGAGACGCCGTCAAGATGGCGAGAGACGCAGAGATTTCGGTGAACGAGCGGGCATTCATCCTCGAAGCTCTGCACAAGAATGTGCGGCTCGATGGGCGGCGGTTCGACCAGCTCCGGCCTGTCGAGCTGACCTTTGGCGAGGAGCATGGCAACGTCAAGGTGCAGCTTGGGAAGACAGCGTGAGCAGACAGTCTTTTGAATTCTCCGTATACAGGCTGGAGTTGTGTGCTAATTGGATATGTCGATAGGGTACTGGTACGGATTTCCGCAGAGCTGACGACCCCGCGGCCTGAGCGCGATTGCGACGGGATATTTACTGTTGTGGTGGAATTGAACGACATGGCTCTACCGGGCTACGAGACCGGACGGTGCGTTTTTGATATTGACGGTGTTGACTACGAGGGTAAGAAAGAAAAGCTAATGGACAGGGTGGTAGGCCATCGGAGCTGGAGGTCAGCCTGTCCCGCACTCTGGACAAGATCGTTCGGCGGTCCAATGCGCTGGACACGGAGTCTCTGTGTATTGCTAAGGGGAGGATATGCTGGAACGTCCGGGCAGACGTTCACATCCTGGACTGTGACGGAGGGCTGATTGACGCGAGCTGCCTTGCCATCCTGGCGGGGCTGCTTCACTTCCGTCTGCCGGAATCTACAGTGCGAGATGGCGAGGTGACCGTCTTCACTACGGAGGAGAAGGTGCCTGTACAGCTGAACCTGACCAAGATCCCGCTGTCCGTGACGTTCAATCTCTACGATGAAGGCAGGATCATGCTCCTAGACGCCACGGCGAGCGAGGAGGCAGTCAGTGAAGGGTCGTTGGTCGTTGCTCTTGACAAGACGGGGGAGATTGCGCTGTACTCGAAGCCTGACGGGGCTCCAGCGGACCCGGTGAATATGGTGAACTGCTCCACGCTTGCGCTGGAGAAGGTGAGGGAGCTGAACAAGCTGCTTGCTGCCCGGCTGGAGGAGGACAAGCAGCTTCGGGAGAAGAAACGGCCCACGGCAGGGCTCAGTGCGGCCCATGAGAGGTGACCATGAAACAAAACAATCGACGACGACGACCTATCCGACGATCCAGCGGGAGCCTATTTACGGCACTGGACCATTCACTACTGGAACAGCCACTCCGTACACGCAGGGACACATCCAGGACGTTTTATCTCCAGCGACGGAACGTCCGGCTACGACCGACCAGCTCAGCCATGCCGCCGGCCCGCAGCAGCATCCCCATCCTCAAACGGCCAACTCCAAGGCTCGCTTGCCAGCGCGCAGCTGGATCTCCCCGTCGACTATCTCGATCGACCCACGCTGTTTCGAGCTATTAATAGTCGGCATCCAGCCAGGCTTACCATCTAGTTATTTTAACAAGTAGCTACGGAGCACTTAGCTAGCGAAATAAAGAACACAAGCAGAATAAAGCAGCATAGACGCCTCCTAAGCGACGGGCCAGCCAGTAGCAGCACCAGTAACTCCCACACAGTCCGTAGGATGCGAGCAGCAGCGCAGACAGGCAGACAGACAGACGCCGGGCTCCGTGTTTGCCTAAACGTAGGGTCGCTTGGCCTGAAATTGCGCTGTGGCTGAACTGCTTCGCCTCGCAGAACGTACGAATCTCCCTGACAGCGAAAAGGAAAAAACCCCCCGAGTTTCACACGCCAGCAGCAGCAGGGCAAAGGGTCACCGCGCAGCCTGATCCCCAGCGTACGGCCTCCCCCGTTGTCCTCTCCGTCTTCACTAACTGCTTCATGTCCTTTTGCCCGCGAGTCGACGCCGCGGCTAACGGCCTGATACTGACCGTCCTGTGCCTCTAGACGCCCCCTTTGGAGCCCGCAAACCACCACCCGCCAGCAGCCCGCGAAGCCAGCGAAGCCAGCGAAGCCAGCTCGAGAACCGCCCAGCAAAGGAGACAAGAGACGACTGACCGGACGAGCAAGGAAGCCTTCGATGAGCGAGCGTGTCTTCGCCTCTACCTCTCCGTGACCGGGTCGCGCAGGACCAAGCGACATGGCCAGCGGCAGGCCTCCTGGAGGCCACGGCGACAACCTCCTCCAGCTCGACGACGCTCCCTCGCAGTACAGCTCCGGCCAGAGACCGCCGGTGGGCGACGACAGCCTGGTGCAGCAGTTCAACATCAACGACTCCGACCAGCCGTCGTCGTCGGCGCGGCCGTCGGTCTCCTACGATGACTTTGTCGGCGGCCAGGGACGGCCCCCAGCGCACGGCAGCAGCAGCAGCAATCATAATAATAATAATATTCACAGCGGTGGCCGCCAGGGACAGCCCCAGGATGACGCCAGCAGGGCGTATGGGGGCGATGGCAGTGCTACGGGGATGTACACGCAGACCGCAGACCTGCACAATTACCAGCGGTATTCTGATCTAGACGACCTCGAGGACGACCGGACGTATGGATACTACAACGACGGAGACAGGTCTGACGGCGCCACTCCCATACGCGACGCCCGCGCAAGAGATAGAAACAGCATCATGGCCCTGGGCGGTGGCATCATGGGCAGAGCAAAGAACATGCTGGGAATCAAGCCCGAGTACTCTGAGATGGATCTGCCCTTGACTGAGGCCGGAGCTGCCTCTCGCAGGGTCGGCACCGCAGACACAGACGAGACGCCGCCCCCTGGCAAGCCCAAGGCCAGCAAGTTCAAGTTTGGCTTTGGACGGCGAGAGCCTGATCCCTCGACCTTGGGGCCTCGCATCATCCTGCTCAACAATGCTCCCGCAAACGCTGCTCACAAGTTCGTCGACAACCATATATCTACCGCCAAATACAACATCTTCACCTTCCTACCGAAATTCCTCTTCGAACAGTTCTCCAAATACGCCAACCTGTTCTTCCTCTTCACCGCCGTCCTCCAGCAGATCCCCAACATCTCGCCTACAAACAGATATACGACCATTGGCCCGCTCATCGTCGTGCTGATAGTCTCCGCCATCAAGGAATTGGTCGAAGACTACAAGCGGAAGAGCTCGGACAAGTCTCTCAATCACTCGAAGACAAAGGTGCTGCGTGGTTCCAACTTCGAACAGGTCAAATGGATAGACGTGGCCGTGGGAGATATCGTCCGGGTCGAGTCCGAGGAACCTTTCCCTGCAGACCTGGTCCTGCTTGCCAGCTCAGAGCCCGAAGCACTCTGCTACATCGAAACAGCCAATCTGGACGGAGAAACCAACCTGAAGATCAAGCAGGGTATCCCCGAGACGGCCGATCTAGTCAGCGCTGGTCAGCTTAGCAGATTGACATCGAGGATCAAATCAGAACAGCCAAACAGCAGTCTCTACACCTATGAAGCTACCCTGACGCTGCAATCCGGCGGAGGTGAAAAGGAGCTCTCCCTTGCCCCCGACCAGCTGCTTCTTCGAGGAGCTACGCTGCGGAACACCCCCTGGATCCACGGTGTCGTCGTCTTCACCGGACACGAAACGAAGCTCATGAGAAATGCCACTGCAACCCCTATAAAACGAACAGCCGTCGAACACATGGTCAACCTGCAAATTCTCATGCTGGTTGGAATTCTCGTTGCTCTCAGCTTGATAAGTTCAATTGGCGATCTCGTTATCCGTACCACTGCTTCCAAGAACAAATCCTACCTCGACTACAGCAACGTCAACCTCGCTCAGCAGTTCTTCTCCGATATCTTCACCTACTGGGTCTTGTACTCCAACCTTGTCCCCATCTCGCTCTTCGTTACCATCGAAATCGTCAAGTATTACCACGCCTTTCTCATCAGCTCCGATCTCGATATCTACTATGAACCCACCGATACTCCGTCGAACTGTCGAACTTCCTCCCTCGTTGAAGAACTCGGTCAGATCGAGTACATCTTCTCAGACAAGACCGGTACCCTTACCTGCAACCAGATGGAGTTCAAACAGTGCTCCATCGGCGGTATTCAATACGCTGAGGTTGTTCCAGAAGACCGAAGAGCAGCTTATAATGACGACACAGAGACGGCCATGTATGACTTTAAACAACTCAAACAACACATAGATTCCCATCCAACAGGCGACGCAATCGTTCAGTTCCTCACTCTCCTCGCTACCTGCCATACTGTCATCCCTGAACGAAGTGACGAAAAGCCTGGTGAAATCAAGTACCAGGCCGCTTCTCCAGATGAAGGTGCCCTTGTCGAAGGTGCCGTCATGCTAGGATACCAATTCACCAACCGAAAGCCAAGATACGTCAACATCTCTGCTCGAGGAGAAGAGCAAGAGTTCGAACTCTTGGCTGTCTGTGAATTCAACTCTACGAGAAAACGAATGTCGACAATCTTCAGATGTCCTGATGGTAAAATACGGATATACTGTAAGGGAGCCGATACAGTCATCCTCGAACGTCTCGGACAAGACAATCCTATCGTGGAAACAACACTCCAGCACCTTGAAGAATACGCCTCTGAAGGTCTTCGAACCCTTTGTCTCGCAATGCGTGAAATCTCCGAAGAAGAATTCCAGGAATGGTGGCAAGTCTTTAACAAAGCTTCTACCACCGTCAGCGGAAACAGACAGGAGGAACTAGACAAAGCAGCTGAGCTTATTGAGAAGGATTTCTTCCTCCTTGGTGCAACTGCAATTGAAGATCGACTCCAAGACGGCGTCCCAGATACCATCCACACATTACAACAAGCCGGTATCAAGGTTTGGGTTTTGACCGGTGATCGACAGGAGACTGCCATAAACATCGGCATGAGTTGCAAGCTTATTTCAGAAGACATGACTCTACTCATTGTCAACGAGGAAGATGCCCTAAGTACCAGGGACAACTTGACGAAGAAGCTCGAACAGGTCAAAAGTCAAGCCAATTCAGCCGACATCGAAACGCTAGCTCTTATCATTGATGGAAAATCACTTACCTACGCCCTTGAGAAGGAATTGGAGAAAACCTTCCTGGACCTCGCTGTCATGTGTAAGGCAGTTATTTGCTGGTAAGTCATTACTCGCACTCCTATACAAAGCAGACCTAAACTAACAGTATTCATAGTCGTGTCTCCCCCCTACAAAAGGCTCTTGTTGTTAAACTTGTAAAACGTCATCTTAAAGCCCTTTTGCTTGCCATCGGTGACGGTGCCAATGATGTCTCCATGATTCAAGCAGCGCACGTCGGCGTTGGTATCAGCGGTATGGAGGGTCTTCAAGCAGCTCGAAGTGCTGATATTTCAATTGGCCAATTCCGATATCTTCGAAAACTACTTCTCGTTCATGGATCCTGGAGTTATTCCCGCGTTAGCAAGACCATTCTGTATTCATTCTACAAGAATATTGTTCTTTACATGACACAATTCTGGGTATGTCTTCATTCACAATTACTACTAACCATTACATTTCTAACAGCTTAATAGTACGCATTTGAAAACTCGTTCTCTGGACAAGTTATTTACGAATCTTGGACGCTCTCTTTATATAACGTTTTATTCACTGTTCTCCCTCCCTTCGCCATGGGTATCTTTGACCAATTTATCTCTGCGAGACTCCTGGATCGATACCCCCAACTGTACCAGCTCGGCCAGAAAGGCACCTTTTTCAAGATGCACAGTTTCTGGTCCTGGGTTGGAAACGGCTTCTACCACTCCCTTGTTGCATATCTCCTTTCCCGACAAATCTTCAAAAACGACATGCCAACCAGTGACGGAACCACATCTGGCCTCTGGGTATGGGGTACAGCCCTCTATACTTCTGTCCTAGCTACAGTTCTCGGCAAGGCAGCCTTGGTCACCAACGTCTGGACCAAGTACACCGTTATCGCGATTCCCGGCTCATTACTTGTCTGGCTCGGCTTCATCCCCGCATACGCATACGCTGCCCCCAGCATTGGATTCTCCTTCGAATACTACCAAATGATCCCACATCTCTACCCCCTTCCAACAGTGTGGATTATGGCAGTCCTCATCCCTTGCCTCTGTCTCGTTCGTGACTTTGCTTGGAAGTACGCCAAACGCATGTACTACCCACAAAGCTACCATCACGTCCAAGAGATCCAGAAGTACAACGTACAGGACTACAGACCACGTATGGAACAGTTC